GAGCCGGCACTCCTTCTTGTACCCTTAGAATTCCGGGGTTTATAGAATTTATTCTATGTATTCTATACATTGATCCACAAAGATCACTTTTCGTCCATGTGCCTTGCATCAGCAAGCCTTTTTCAACACATGAAACAGCTAACGGTATCTTAAAAATAATCGAACATTGTTTAATGGAATTAAATGAGCTTCCATTCATGATATGAAATTTGTCTGTATGAATAAACAAATATCTTTGAAAATCATTATTAAATAAAAGAAATTAATCAGGTACCACATAAACCTTGCTTCAACTTCAAGCTTATCAATCAATTTGAAGTATTGTCGCTCATAGCATTTGGGATGTTTTGGAAATTTTCTAAATTTTAGTAGTTTTATTGCTTGTATTAAGTTCATGCACATTATGATGGAATTTCATTCATAAAAATTGACGTTCTTGAGAATCAAAGGAATGATTCTTTTCTCCAGATTTATCATTGGATTTATATACAACACTCATCTTATTTTGATTGATTAAGAGCAAGGCAAAAAGTGTTTTTTAAATAATTTAAAATTTAAATTTAAGGGAAGTTTCACGAAATTATTCGCGATTGATCAACGACAACTTGTCAAGGGACCAATCATAAGCTACATATCGGGAATTTATTAATTTAGTTAAATTAAGAGATTAAAAAGATTCAACACTGCTGAATGGTACTTAAAAGATTAGAAAACTGATTGTAGAGTTGCTGAAATAATTAATGTTAAGCGTTTATTTGATATCATGAAACTGCCAGTCCGACATGTTTATGCTGTTTTATGAAATGCTTTCAATTCCAAATAATTCTTCAGATAATCAATTTCATTTTAAGAAATTCATGTCTATTGACTTGTCAAAAATGGATTATATTGGATTTGCATACTCAGCTTTAGTTGCCGGTGGAGGAATTTTTGGTAAATTTGAAACGTTCTGAAGACTAAAATATTCTATTTAGAAAAACAACAAATTAGAAAATTTAATGTTTACGCTTTTTTAACAAAGGTTACATCAAGGCACAATCAGTCCCAAGTCTTGCAGCTAGTGGCTTACGAGCGGAATTCTCAATGGAAATGTTAATCAATTTGGGGATTTCGACCAATGCTTGGAAACAATTATCGAAAAGAAATCATTTCAAGCTCAATATTGTCTCGCTTACATTCAGCCATCGGTTTCGTCAAATTTCAAGTATCTTAATTAGTATCCTATTTACGGACTTTGGCGTTATCTTTTGAAGCATACAAAAGTAAATTTGAAGACGTAAGTAAATATTAAATCCAAACACAGCTTCCCGTGTCATCATGTTTCATTGTGGTTTTCTTTCATTTTATTGCCTCTTTTTCATTTAGCCAAGTCATGTTGTACCAAAAACGTCACAAATTTAATGGGGTGAGAATTAAGTTTAATTAATTTCGTCAAATAATTAATATTCAATTAAATTATCTTAAAGCTTTATGCATTCCTTCAACATGCACACATGAAGAACTTCAACATGTTTTACAGCAAAAACTCAAAACGTTTGTCAACAGTTCGATCATTAATTTTGATGTTGAAGTTAAGAAAGAAATGTGCCAGATAAGAGAAGAAAGCAAGGAATACGATTTAGGGACTAAAATTGCTTTGTGAGCTATTGAATCATTCAAAATGAATTAAATTTATTTTTCCTTTATTCTCAGATATTTCGTTGCATTTATTGCATTAATTGCTTTACTCTCGACGTTATATGAAACATATTCAGCATCTGAAAATCAAAGTTTGTTTTCTATTTGTTGCCTTGTTTCCAATTATTAAACAATTTTATTTATAGATGAATGGTTGACAGCATTTTCTTTAAAAAAGAATTTAGAGGACATGATGTCGATTGAAGTTCCGAAAGGCGATATTGCATCACCTCACGGTGTCAGATTCTTCCGCATGATTATTTTGATACTTTCACATAGATCAATGGAAGTTGAATTTAATCCAGTGGCAAACAGAACTCAAATGTCACAAATGATTAAATCTCCATTTTCTGTCTTACTTCGAAGCAGTTCTTTGTACACGGACACGTTTCTGATGTTGAGTGGAATGTTAGTTGCATATTCATTTATTGGAAGACTTCAACGTGGACAAAATATTAACGTCCTTAAGGAAATTGCTGCTCGGTACTTCCGGGTTGTGCCTCCAATGGCTGCTCTTTTATTATTCGGAACTTTTATTTTGCCACTTCTTGGAGATGGACCACAATGGAACATGCTGATTACCAATCAATCAGAGATATGCAAACAAACTTGGTGGAGAAATTTTCTGATGATTCACAATTGGTTTGGTTTTGAAAATATTTGCATGACGCACACACATCACGTCGGAACCGACTTCAGTCTTTTTCTCATCGCTCCTTTCATGATTATGTGTCTACAACACAAATATCCAAAGAAGTCGATGAGTGTAATTTTCATACTTGCTTTGATATCAACGATCGGAAGATTTTACATAACTTATGCTCGAGACATGACTGTTTATGTTTTATTTGGAATTGAGTATGGTNAGGGATGTTTCACGAAATTATTCGCGAATGATCAACGACAACTTGTCAAGGGACAAATCATAAGCTACATATCGGAAATTTATTAATTTTGTTAAATTAAGAGATTAAAAAGATTCAAAACTGCTGAATGGTAGGTACTTAAAAGATTAGAAAACTGATGGTAGAGTTGCTGAAATAATTAATTTTAAGCGTTTATTTGATATCATGAAACTGCCAGTCCGACATGTTTATGTTTTATGAAAAGCTTCAGATAAAGTCAACATAAATCTTCTTTACAAAATAAATTGCATTTTAACTTTTCAAGAAATTCATGTCTATTGACTTGTCAAAAATGGATTATATTGGATTTGCATACTCAGCTTTAGTTGCCGGTGGAGGAATTTTTGGTAAATTTGAAACGTTCTTAAGACTAAAATATTCTATTCAGAAAAACAACAAATTAGAAATTTTAATGTTTACGTTCTTTCAACAAAGGTTACATCAAGGCACAATCAGTCCCAAGTCTTGCAGCTGGTTTGACCTTTGGAGCTCTCTTAGCTGGAGGTGCTTACTTGAACTCATCTGAACCACCAAGACCTCTTTTACAATTGGGAACTGCTGCTGTTCTTGGAGGTTTAATGGGATACAGGTATGAAAGAATAACAAGTGGACGAATTTTTGCTAACTCATTTTCTACAGATTCTACAACAGCGGTAAAATAATGCCAGCTGGAATGATTTCTTTGGTGTCAATTGCCGTTCTCGTTCGTGGTCTCATTGTTTACAATCGACATCTTCCCCTTGTTGGATCTAAAGCCGAATAAATCATTCTTTTTAAAGACGTAGTTTCATCAAGTAGGTAATACATAAAAGGTTTCAAGGATTATTTTACATTTATAATATCAAAACACACAAATATTTTCCAATAAAATAGAAATTTTGAATATTCATCTCATTTTATTTAAACAATTCTGGATGCTGAATCTTCCACTCATCAAATAATTCAGCGTGAACTTTATAGACATGATTGAGAAGCAAAGCAAGTTTACTAAATGACTTATTTGAGATACAAAACTCACATTTGTGAGGCTTTGGAGTTGTTGGAGTATGAAGTTTCTCGTGCATTTTTAAGTATCTTGGAAGAACAAAAGTTTTGTCACAGAATGTACAAGGGTACGGTAAATGATCCTTTTGATAATGCTCCTTAAGTAAATCCTTACTATCAAATTCTGTTTTACACAATTGGCATCCGAATATGTCTTCATGTATCTTCATATGAGTCTTTAAATGATATTTTGACGCAACTTCTTTGTTGCAAATTTTGCAAGCATACACAGGAATATCAACGCCATGAAAGCGACTATGACGAGTGAGAAGTTGTTTGTTTATAAAACTTTGTTCACATCCATCGTAAGGACATCTAAAAGGTTTGTCTCCTGTATGAGTCGTTAAATGAAGATTCAAACTAACTTCATCTGAAAGCTTCTTACTACAATAAACACAAATCCATTCTTTCTCAGGCTCAAGATGACGATTCATATGCTTATTGTAGGAATTCTTCGACATATCCAACAAGCAAAACCGACACCGAAACATTTTCGGATCATCAGGAAATTGATATTGACAAGTATGGGCTTTATTTTCTTCAAAAGAAGGAAATGAAAAGCCGCAATATTTGCAATGACGGACATCGAAAATTCTGAAGTCAACTTCTGGTCGGCGTCTCTTTTTATTCATGCAAGCATGCTTAGCAATTCCACTATGGGTGATATATCGTTCACCACATGTTGTACNCTAATTAATAATAAGAATTAACAACATACATTTGGATCAAATTTCAAATTATTTGACGTCAAAAATGCAGCTCGACCATCTTTGAGCACAATCGAAAATCCTGCTAACAAAGGAGAACAATCCATGGACACAACATAAGCTTCTTTATCCATGAAGTCAACTTCTGGTCGGCGTCTCTTTTTATTCATGCAAGCATGCTTAGCAATTCCACTATGGGTGATATATCGTTCACCACATGTTGTACAAACAAATCGATGAGAATCTGAAACATTTAAATTTGTTTAATATTTAAATTTATGTGAAATCCGCTATTTTTGATTACTTGTATGTAAATCCATGTGCATTGTAAGACTTTTCAAAGTTGTGAACACTCGACCACATAAATCTGAAAATTAATTGAATTAAAGAGACAGCAACGAAAATAAAATTTGTCACTTACCGCATTCAAATCTTCCGGTCTTTCGAGGATATCTTTTCTTTTGTGTAGTATATTTAACAATCAGGCCAGTAAACTCATCCAAAACAGGATCCTTTGTCTCATCATTGCTTTCTAACAATTCAAGTTGTTGTTGATCAAGTTGAAGTTTTCTTGGAGGAATAAATTTTATGGATTGTACTTATATGAGTTTTCATGTTTCGAGGATTTACGAATTTTTTGCCACAATATTGGCAGTCGAGGGTCTCATGAAGATGATTACTAAATGTTTTCTTACTAAGTTCTTTGGAACAAATGCGACAGATAAAGTTTTTAGGGTCACATTGTAAATATGCGCAAACATGCATCTTCAAAGATTCTTTAGAATTGAATATTGTGTCGCAGTATTTGCATGCAGCTTTTCCTGTAAGTTGACGAAGTTTATGTTTTACAGGTTTGAGGTCATCCTTTCTCTCATTTTTTAATTTTAATTTACGATTTTCGTTGTAATTAAATGTTTCATAATCAGAATGGTTTTCTGAACATTCAGAATTAATATTTCGATTCAATGATGGATCAGTAATCATGTACTGATGATCCAATATTGCAGCAGGTATTTCATAAAATTCTTCATCTTTTATCTCTATTTTTGAATGCAATTCTTGTTGTGATGAAGATTGCTCAATATTTGAGTCAACAAAAGAAATTATTGCTGTAGCTCCTTCATCTTCGAAATACTCATCAAGGTACTCTTCGATTATGATTTCTTCTTCATCTTCTTTTAACTCTGATCTGAAATTATTAAATGTTAGCAATGCTTTTATTTTTTAATTCAAATATTTATCATTACTTGTTGTCGATTGGAGACAATTCACGCGAAGTTATTTCAACTTTTGATTGTTTACGAGGCACTCTTTGGGTCTTTTCTGTTTTTAAAATTTTCTCAACTTGCGTCTCAGAATCTATACTTTCCACAATAAAAACATTGCCGTCTTCAGCCTCAATGATCAGAACACTAGGAAGAGAATTATTTGGAGCTTTGGACATGTTTATAAAAGAATTATTTCACTTTCTAAATAAGCTTCATATTGATAAAAAGGAATTAAAATATATTGCTGACGCCTTCTGGTGGTTGTTCCGTGAACTAAAATTACAGTAAATTTCTTTAAAACGGTTATCCATTTCGTTGAACTTAAATAGGTATGTTAAAATTAATCTTAATCTTTATTTAGTACAAGCATGTTTTCGGATATATTTCTGTTTATACGTTGAATTTATAATATCAACTGATTGATAAATAAATTAGGTAATAGAAATCATAGATGATTATATATTGTTCATTATAAAGAGTTTTCACTGTAATCGTTTATTTTGAATTTCAAGAAATTCTCGCCGCAATTTTAATGGAAGGAATTGACAAAAAACGCACGATTTCAGATTTCCCAATCAAACCTAGACGAACTAAAGGAACTGTGTCTTTTACATATCGTAATTATTTCGCTTCTGCTGTTCTGGGAGTTGGAATACTTATAGGAATTGGTTACATGTAAGCATTCATTAGATGGAAATTCCATGTTTATTAATTTTCTATAAATCATACAAGGGTTCTGCCGGCATCATCCGGTGCAAGGAAATATTTTTATGATAATATGGAAAGATCCGAGGAAAGTAAATTACAAGCGCGTATGACACCTTTTGTTGGTACAACCCGTGATTCAGAATCATTGAAAAAACTCTTGGAATCAACTGATAAATAAAAAAAATTATTATTCAGATAATTTGTTGTAAAGCACGATAAAATATCCATTTAGGTAGTTTATAGGAAAAGTAAAAATATAATTATGGATAAATCAAAAGATAAAAAGGAAAGGTAAAGACATTTAATAAAATTTTGTTTTAATTTTAACAAGTTAGTCAAATCTTTACAGACATCACGAAGATGACAACGTTGTCGAGAAATTTTTGAACTCAAAAAATGTTTTTAATGATTCTTCATCGTGTAAAAAGCAAAAATTAGACGAAACATGTGAAGATCCGGAAGAGAGTTTAAAATTATTTAAAAACTATAAAAGTCGAAATGTTAAATCATCTGTTGCTTCAAATGCCTCATCCTCAAATTCGAGTGTTACAAATTTTATTAATATTTCGGGAAAAAGTAAATTACAAAAAGCACCAGCATTACGCGTGAGAAGAAAACAAACATCCAAAAAGAAATTGTCACAACAAGAAAAAATATTTAATTATGTTGTAACAGAAAATTGCTTACAAGAAGGAATCGATCCAGAAGAAATGCAACTCGCAATTGCTCTGTCTGAATCTATGAAAGCAAATGAAAAAGAGTCTAATGATGAAAGTCTTCCCTCGAAATTTGAAAATCCTTTCGCCAACACTGGAAAAGTTCAACCAATTGGATCAATGCTCGAACGATTTGGATTTAAATGTAAAAAAACTTACAGTGAATATGAACTCGACTTAATAACATGCAAAGGTAACAAAAGATCAAAGTTTCAGAAGTTTCCAACAGTTCTCACGAGAACTTCTGATGAGAAGCGAAAGGAAAGCATTAGAAATAAAATTGAATATATTCTTAGTCAAAACTCAACCTTGGCATCCGATAATGAGAACAGCGATGATGGAAACTCTCATTATGAAGTTTTTAGTTTCAATCTTCAAGATTTTCATGAAAACAATGGAAATAGTGTTTTTAAGATTAACAACGAAGGTCGCTTAACTGCAAATATTTTGCTGGACTATTACGTCACTGACTTGTTTACTCCATCATTTTTGAAAGCTGATCATCTGTTGAAGAGTTGGAATGAAATACCTGGAAGAGAACATTCTCCTGAAAAGATTGTCGTGGAAATTTATGAAAATATTCCAGAAGCTTCGATGAATTCACCTGAAGTAGATACTTCAAGTTGTGCCGATCTTTTTGCTGATATTGTTGAGAATGAAAATGTTTCTGAGTGTCCAGTCTTATTAGCAGATCATTTGGAAGATCTTCAAAGTAAGCTTTCAAATTCAGCAATGTGTATCGATACAAATGATGATACTGACGACATTAAGAGTCAATCTGAAATACCAAAAACTGAAGAGGTGTTAGATTTGAAAGAAAATTCGACAAGGGAAAGCACAATAGTCGCTGAAATACCTTACGATGATTCTTATTATACGCTAAAGCATCGCATTGAAACACTTGATAATAATCGCAAAAACGAACTAGTTGAGATTGATTTGGTATCGAGTGAAGAAGAAAATAATTTAATTAAAGAAACAAGTAATGAGATATCTGACAGTGACCAACTTGATGACTTCAAAACCAGTCAAAATTCTTCACATGATGATGATGTAATTGTTTTATCAGACGAAGAAATCAATTATTCGATTAAAAATCATATTCAAAATTCACAATCAATTGAATTGGATGATAACGAGGATTCGATTGATTTGACTCAAAATGAAGAAAGAATTGAAGAAGTTGAAATCATCAATCAGATGGATAAATCTTTAATTGATGTCATGGATTGTCAAGATACCATCTCAATTAATGAAACTGTTTTAAATCTTCTTGAAACTTCATTTATTCCCCATAATATTAAACATGTTAACGATGAGTTGTCAGAAAGCATTGAAGACATAATGCAGAAGTATGATGGTGACATTGACACGAAAAAGAATTCTCGTTGCAGCTTCCAAAAAATAAAATCTGCTTCGCAAATAGTCAACGAGAAACAAAATAAATCAGTTCGTTTTTCACTCGTTGATGAAGAAAATAATATCAACAAATCATTTCATCAATCTCAAGAAAATGTCTTCAGAACGTCATTAGTTATGCCAACAAAACTTACCACCAAACAACAAAGGAAGAAGAGCCTTGGCATAAATATTGATGATGATTACTTCATTGATATCGAAACTTTCTTTCCTGAACCAGAGTTTGAAAACATGAATGTAGTTGAATTAAAGCGAGAACTTTCTAAACTTGGAATGCGAGCATTGCCTACTAGAAAAGCAACTGAAGTTTTAAAATCCATTTATGAACAGATTCATCCCAAGATTCAAGTCAAAACTGTTGAAGAAATTGATAAAAATGATTCTCGTTTCGCCTTAAACTTCACTGATATTGTCACAAACATTGGGATTCAAGAACAAGATGACTTCATTTTCCAACTCGACGAGCTTGAAGATGAGATTTGCGTGTTGCCGAAAATTAGAAAATCCAAAGTACTTTTGACTTTAATTTTCATTATTTCCTAATAACATTTGCTGTTCTTTCATCAGGTTCACAGTTGTGTAATTCCACTTCATATTTCTTTTTACAACATGGTTCGTTCAAGTAAAAAGCTTCAAAAGTTTATTCTTGAATTTCGTCCCGTTGAGCTTGATCAAATTCATAAGCATTTCCGAAAGTTTGGATTAAGTTATCAACCTAATGACATCATTGGTTTTCTTGATAGAAGATGCATAACTTTTAAGACAAAAGACAAATCTTATTCCAAAGTTCACGAGCGGAAGAAGCAAAAGCGAGCAACACAGAAAAGTCAGCGTTGATGTCATTTTCTATTATAATTTCTAAATTTCTTTTTCATGTTAATACAATAATAAAAGATTGAAATAAATTTGTTACTTTTAAAAAACATTTATTTGTGTTGATGAAGTCAAGTCACAAATTTCTGTTCTGCCCCTTTTTTACATAAAAGTTTAGAAATATCTAATGGGAAAAAGTTTTCAGTGTGGAAAATTTCTTAATGGTTTATGCTTTAAGGCAAAAAGAAACGAGATAAGAGACACAGATATTTGGAACAACAGTTAGACAAGATTTAGAATTTATTCCATGTTTTTTTCTCCTAGACCATAAGTTTCTATATCGAGCTATCTATCTACATGTTTATCTCATAAAAATCATCCATCAAGAGTCAATAAAAAAGTTTCATACATAAAAATTGTTTAGATTATTTCTTATTAAAAAAGATTCACAATGGAAAGACGCTTTCTAATCGTATTTATGTAAGTATTAAGCTACCAAATATTTTTTTGTTGTTTTCCTAAGATACATAAATGCTTACTTTTTAGGAAAGAAAGCACTTTGATCGTGCCACAATAATTATATTCTAAAAATTATGACATAAATTGGCACATTTCCATCAAAATTGTTTTTACACGAGATTGGCAGCAGCATTGTTGTTGCCTTGCACCGGTTGTGCGGCTACAACACCATCTTCGTCTTGCTTTGATTTGTCGTCATCAGCTCCATCCTTTATAGACATCGACTCATCTCCGTCAAGACCAACAAGAGCTCGATACTTCTTGGAAATTGCTTCCCAATCAGCCACATTTTCAATACGAGTTTGATTTAAAGTCGCAAAACTCGTTTGCGATCCTAAAGGTGAAAGATGTAGAACTGATAATGTTTTGGATTCTTAAAATGCATGAAGTCAAAAAGCAGCGGGAATGGATTTTGGTTTGAAACAGAGAGAGATTAATATGTTGTCATGCAAATTACATTCCATTGTCCATGATGTGTTTTGCAAAAAGGAAAAATAAACAAACATACAAAATACATAAATAGCTACGATTCACCATTTTAATAAGGTTTTAATTGTGCCACCTCTAAGCTAAAAAAGAGAAAAATGAAATAAAATCTGAAAAGGAAAGAAAAGTTCTTCGCAAAGCAAACATTTTAACTCTCAACTTTTTCTTTCCTTTCTTCAGATAATAATAATACCTAATTATTAACATGAACTAAATTATTCAAGACTTCTAACAACATTATTTTCCTATCTAAATCTAATTATTTTGTCTTTTAATTATCTTTTAAAGTTTCTTTCTTCTAAAGTCAACTATGGCATCAAGAATAAATATTTATCAATTCTTGTTGATTGTAGCTAACTAAATAATTTACCACTGATGATAAATTCAATAACAATCATTAACTTAAAGGAACGACAGTCGAATATATGTTGAGATTTCGATTGTCGTTCTTTTCTACAAAAATATTCTGTCGTGCAAAAGATGAGCTTTCATGTCAGAGTGACTTTTAAATATTTCTACGTGATAATCTTTCATTCCGATTTGAAAATTTCAAGCATGGAAGCTTTACTGATTTGTAATCATTGTCTACTCGTATGCTCAAGTGTTTTGTTCAGGTTCCATCAGCCAATAGCATGTACTTAAGTATGAAATTTTTTAAGGTATTAAACACTACTCAAGTCCTTGTAATTTCAATTAAAGTTACAATTATAGTGAAAGGCCTTCGGCAGGAGATTGATGCACTAAATACTTGTACAAGGAAAACTTTCATTAGTTGAAGAAATATTTTGAAAAAGTCAGTCTAGCTCCATGTGGATTGAACGCCTTGAGAGATTTTTAAAAATAAAAATTATGAATTAACTTTAATTAACGTCCCACTCTGATTTTATGTTTATGAAAATAAACAATCAATAAGTTTCTGATATTATTAAAGTTTTTTATCTATGACTGTAACATCAAAATGAATTCATTATCTATGAATTTAAACACAGACACCAAATCAATAGTTTTGGTTATTGAAATGAGTGAAAAATATTTTGAGGAGATGCAAACCTTTTGGAGCCACCTGACCTTTACGGATTTTTGACAACCACTTCGCACCTGCTTTACTTCGAGGACTTTGTGGTCCTCCACGTGTTAGCACCATTTGTGCAAAACTGGGTCGTTTACGTTTACGGAATTTTGTCTGAAATTTATCATTAATTATTTTTAAAGAACTTGCACAAAATATAAATTTCTTACTCTACAAAAATCGACAACCCACACGAACCATGTGGTTATAAGATTTAAAGGAGAAGGAGCTGTTGTCGTTCTATGCATGTTTCGAATCAACTTTGATAATCCAAATTTCCACTCAATATCAGATTGGGCCTAAAAATATCATTTAAAATATAAATCAATAATTTACTTAAAACATTTTTGAGAAACATATTCATAAATCTTTCGTTTTAATTTTAATACCTGAATCCTCTGATAAGTGTCAGACATCATAGCAATCAGTAGATTGATCAATACAACTACTGATACCAACATATAAATGCCAAAGACAACTTTGAACAGATATTCTGTCCAGTAGGGCTGTGTTCTTGTCGCATTATTTTGATTCTTATCGACTTGTGTTTGTTCTGTCGTCGTTTGACCGAATACAGCGAAGAACAACAGTTCAAAAGAGGTAATTGGATTCATTCGAACTGTTATTTGTTCATAAGGAATGGATGTAAATTGAGGACACAGGGATGATGATTTGTGATGTAAGTTTGATCGTAGGATATTGGTACAGGTTGCGTGAGATGGAAAGAGAGAGAGAGAGAGAACAGACAAAAAAGTGTCGATTATTACCTGAATTCGTTGATAAGTGTCTGACATCATTGCAATGAGTAGATTAATTAAAACTATTACGGAGACTAACATATATATTCCATATACTAATTTAAATAAATTTTCGGTCCATTCAGGACGTGACTGCCGCTGAGAGTTGATATCATCTGGTGATGTCTGGCCGAATACGGCGAAAAAAAGTCTCTCAAAAGCAATGATTGGTGTCATTGGAACTGGTTGCAAACGTGAGTGAGTGGAAAAAAAATCACATTAACTTTTCAAGAAGACAAATTATCATATTTGGATAATTGATTTAGGAAGGAATCCATTAAATGGTGCTGTGGATGATGAATCTTGCCAGGGTTCACATCTAAGGACTGCTTTTGTACTTTTTTTCAGAATGCACGCATGAAACTTGTAAGATTTAATAATGTCGAAAAGGATGTCACTTGAACAGTGCTATCTGATACAAAACTTATTACAAGGAATCGGATCATACAAGAAAGGGGCGAAACATCAACACTAACTATAGCCAGCCAATCACACGAAAAATAATTAATTATGTATAATATTTAGTTATGTATTCAAACATAAACATCGATATTTATGAAAATTACATGCAGATTTCAGAAGTAATACTTTTTAAATATCAAAGAAAGTATTTATGAATGATTGGTCAAGATGAATAGGCATGGAAGAACAACGATAGGGGAATACAAAAAAAAATGACAATGTCATTGTATATTTTCCCATCAGCGTATATTTATTGGTGGAAACTTGATGCGCATGGCTGCGTGAACAGGAGAGAAGGGGAAGAGAATGGAGTCACACTTTGGGGGTGGATGACTTACTGTCTGTTTTATGTTTACGTCTATAGAGATCAGTGACGGGCATGGAAGGCCCAGAAGGATATTCTCCATTTACCATATCTTCTGCTGATGTTTCCAGTTTCAATTCTTCATCTATTTCGTTACTATTTTCATTTTCTACATCTGTGCAACAATCAAATTTGACACATAAGAAAACGAATTAAATCGTCATCAGATTACAATACAACAAATATTTCAACTATGATCTCCGTAATATATGAAATTAATATTATTATTTATTTCAGTAACATATTTTTATGTATTTTTATAGAGTAATTAATGCTTACCGTCTGAAAAATATCCTGCCGCATTAACTTGTCTTTGCAGTCTTCTGATATCGTCTGGTGTGAGATTTTGAAACGATTGATTGAGTGCAACAATGTGCATGGAAAATCCAAACACAAAAATTGCAAGCACAGCCAAAAAACGAGCTAAATCTTTAAGAAGATCTCCAATGATGATAGCCCATGGACCAAACAAATGATGGAATGATAAAAAATCTAAAATCTGTACACAGGCCAACAGAAATGATAAAGCGAAAAACTGATTTCTTATGTACATGAGTGTTGGCCAATACGCTTTCTCAATCAAAGTCATGCCTGCAACATGACATCCAACGCCTACAACTCCAAACAAAAGAACGAGAACTTTTATACTTCCAAGACCTGACTTATCACTTGGATTTGTTAATTCGAATAGCAAAAGTCCACTCAACCATATAAGTAAACCCCATTCGTACCAGTATGGAAGTAAACTTGGTCGTACGACAGGATAAAGCGGCATGATGCCAACAATCATCAAATGTATCATAAGATAAATGTGTGATGTCAAATATGACATAAATTTTATGATAGGCACTTTGTTGAATTTATGTCCAAGAGGCAGTGTGAAAATAATCCATACAGGAGGACAAATTATGAAGCCAAAGAAGAGTAACATAATTTTCCATGCTGTCCAATTTAAGCTTCCCCTCCAAAGTTCCTGAAACAATGAGAAAATAATTTAAATTACAATTGAAAAACAAAATTCTGATAATGTTTTTTCTTTACTTGCAAATACCGTTGAACAACTGTATGTGCTATCACTTCTTTTTGTTCACTTTCTATGAGAACATCTAAGAATTCAACATTACGTCGATCAATAGCTGTCAATATTCTTCCAGCTGAATCAGCACCTGCAGCTAAAGCTAAAAGTTCAGTTGCCATTGTCTCACATTGTTTACCAGCGGCAATCAAATCCTTGGCTCGTTCTTTTTCTTTCGTTGATAAAACAATATAAATATTTGATAATTTAGCAGCTGCATCTACTGGAGCTGGTGACACCAGAATGAACTCTTCAATTGGCTTGTTTTGATTGTTTTTTGACACAACCATCAGATTATAAACAAATCTTTTATCTTCCATTAACGCATATGTGTCATGTTCACGATGCATCAGATATTTTAAGACATCATTATGACCTTCTGAAGCTGCAAACCAAATTGGAGCGCACCCATAGTTGGTTTCACTTCTTGGCGTAGCACCAGATTCTGTTAATAGCTTAACAACATCCAAAAATCCAGCTTTTGCACAACAATGAAGTGGTGTCCATCCATTTTTGTCAGTTGCATTAATTTCAGCACCCTGGCCAAGTAGAACTTCCACCATTTGATAATGTCCATGCATTGCTGCTATATGCAGCCCAGTTTTTCCATGTCGATCAGTGCTATGCAATAACTCTGCTGATCTGCTTAACAATAATCCAACAATAGAAACATGACCTCCAAAACATGCAAGATGAAGTGGATTGTATCCCTAAAACAAAAAAGTAAAATTAATGTCATTGATTTAATTACTATTACAAATGAATTACATTCTCTGATGTTCCCGCATCGACTTGTACACCAGCAGAGTTGAGAAGTAATCGAACAACATTTTCGTTTCCAGAATAAGATGCAAGATGCAATGGAGTTAACCCAGATTCAGATCCAAGCTCTGGCACTAATGATTGACCTGTTGGTGTGTCTGATTTCAAAGTAGCCGGAACAGTTACAAGAAGTTCTCGAACTGTATCAGCTTGACCATAATAAGCAGCAACATGCAAAGGCGTTAGACCGAGTTTTTTACTAGATGTTCTTAACGATCCCGAACTTCTCATCACTTCTAATACTTGTCCATGACCATTTTGAGCTGCTAAATGGACAGCCGTGAACCCCGATTTGTTCTCATCTGTCGTTGAAGCACCAGCACGAACTAAAGCTTTGACAACCTCAGCATGTCCACCTTCGGCAGCTAATTGCAGGGGAGTAGAGTCTGTTAACTTGTTTCTCACATTTATAACTCCAGTACGATCAAATTTCATCAACTCTTCAATCACACGAACAGATCCTTGCATTGCTGCAATATGAGCGCAAGTATTTCCATCTTTACTCGTAGCCATTACTAACTGCGGATGTTGCTCTAAAAATAATTTGGCAACGTCGGAAAAATTATTTTGGGCAGCAACATGAATCGGCTTTTGTCCTAAATCATCTGTCGCATTCATGCTTGCACCAAGCTCTAGTAAAAGCTTACAAACTTCGAGTTGACCATTCCCTGCTGCTAAATGAAGAGGCGTTTGTTTCCGAAGTGTAAGAATATCAATGACTGCATTGTGATCTCGAATGAGAAACTTCACTAAATGTGTGTAGCCATTCATTGCTGCCAAATGTAAGGCAGTTCGACCAACTCTTGACTTTGAATTTATGAAAGCTTTATTTGACAATAGAGCGTCGCACACCTGCAAGTAGCCTCTTTCAGCCGCTAAGTGAAGTGCCGATCGACCTTCTGTATCAAAAACGTCGACTCTTGCATGATTTCCTAGTAAACTTGTTACCAACTCCATATGGCCTTTGTGACATGCAATTAAAAGTGGCGTCCAACCAACTGTTGATTGACGGTTCATCGCTTTCTGCACTTCTGTCGCATTCATATGGGTCAACATTTCCAATAGAATTTCATTATTTCCTGCAAGAGCACAGTAATGAAAACATGTCTCATTTGTTGACTTTGTCTGTAATGAAACGTCAGCCCCATTTTCCAATAACATTTTGACAATTTCTTTGTCAGATTCTGGTATTCTGACTTCTTCTTTAGGTATTTGGCATGTTTTATGTAATGCTGTTTCACCAATTGAATTTGTAGCGTTGATATATGATGTTGCAATTTCTGGTGAATGTTTATGTTTCACATAATCGATTAAATGTCGTACGATTTCAGGATGACAATGTCGACATGCTAAATGAAGTGGAGTTTCTCCCGACTGTTGAAATATTATTAAAAAATAATCTATTATGATAAGATGAATGAAGCTTATAACTTACGTGAGATTTTAAAAGTGGATCTCCCATATCATCAAGAAGCAAGTCTAATGTAACAACATTACCATAGCGTGCTGCAACATGAACGGGAGTTTCACCATTCTCTGTTATAATGTTAGGATTAGCTCCTGATTTCAACAGCATCAACACGCAACGATCACCATCAGAAACCCGAGCACCAAGATGCAATGGCGTCTCCTTTAACTTTCCACCTTGAATGTGAAGATCCGCACCAAAACCTAGCAATGTTTCCACAACTGCTGGCTTTGCTGATTCAACAGCTATATGCAATGCAGTGTAATTATTCTGCAATCATTTTCAATTAAAAATTTCATAATTATTATAAATGACTATGGTTCCCTTACATTGGTCGTCACGTCAACATGTTCACCTTTCTGAAGAAGTGTATTTATAATTCCTACATGACCTTTTCGTGCTGCTGTATGAATACTTCTAGCACCTCCCTTGTTTGGCATATGTAAAAACACTCCTTTCTTAAAAAGCATTTGAGCACAATCAGCATGTCCATTAAGTGACGCAATATGCATTAATGTGCTTCCATCTTTTGTTCTCTCGAATATACTTGCCCTGAATTTATCGGCAAGTAACTCAATAATAGTTGCGTGTCCATTTTCAGCAGCTAAATGCATAGGTGTTCGGTCTAATTATGATGAGAAAAGCACAAAGTTATGATTCATGAAGTTAAAAGTTGTATTTATGAGAAAATTCAAACCTTGATTGTCTGCAATTGACGCTGACGCTCGGACGCCATAAAAATATTTTACCAAAGCTTCATCTCCTTCAGCCGCTGCTATATGTAACGCAGTTTGACCTTCGCCGTTTGTTGTGTCAACATTTGTTCCATAATCTACTAAAATACGGCACATATCAACATCACGTCGACGTGCTGCTAAATGTAATGCCGTATCTCCATTTGCTGTTGTAGCCTAAGAAGAAAGTTTATTAATATTAAATTTCTATTAACATTTGAAAACTTTTACATTCGGCCAATCTATTATAACACCCCAATTTTTCCTCATTACTAAAAAACTTTCGAGAACTTCTCGCGTTGATGGTCAATAAGAAACTGAATGAATTGCATTTTCTTTTAATTTTGCAATTTTTCCCTGTTCTCGATATTGTTTTTCCCTCTTGTTAACTAATCAATCAGCCCCATTTTATTAGGCCTACGAAAAGTGTTTGTAAAGCCTTAAAAACTGACTTGTCTTTACAGAAAAAAAGCTCAAACGCAGTTTAGCCTGAAAGAAAAGAATTTATTGCAAAGCATAAATTTCCTCTTAAGGAAAATTTCTTTTCAATTTTCAAACGTTGACGAATTTGTGATATTTATTGCATTTTAATTCAAAAGAACAAATTGCTTGTTAGATTGATTTTCTTTGAGATGGTATAAGTTTGAGCGGAAACGAAAGCTTTTGCAATTCAAACAGAATAATAATAACAGAAACCTACAACTGCCTATGTAGTAGCAAAAAATTTTATTTATTATCTTTCTATTAAACTTGATTGATTTACCCTCATTTACAAAAACAGCTTTTTGTGTTATCGTTTTTTGACTTGTTTTACTTTTTCTATCATGTTTACTATAAGGAAAGAAATGCGTGTGCATGCATGTAAATCGACATATGAAATTTATTTCTTCTTCTTTCCATTGATTAAATTGTAAAGTAATGTTCCATATAAATCGTTGTTTAGATGAGAAAACGTTGAGTTTATGATTGTTCATTTAATCAAAAAGTAAAATAGGTCAGTATGTAATTCAACAGGTCAAACTTTGTAAATCTACTTAATGTTAAATAATTTAAAAAGAAATACCTAAATATGTTTCCTTACTTTTAATTGTTCAGCTGTTTGTGCTGATAGAAGCTCCCGAACCATTGATTGATTCCCTGCCTCTACTGCTAGTAAAAGCGGAAGTTTTCCACGCTGTGAATTTAAAAGATTTGTTATTAGAGATTGCCATGATCCAGGCTGCTTCTTTTCTGAAGTTTTCTGTTTAAAGTTAGAAGCCAACTTTTTCAAAGCTTCTTTTTGTCGAAGTTGTTTGACATTTGAAGACATGTTTGTTGATGTTGATGAATCACTTTGAACATCTTTCACATTTATATTGTTATCTCGCCGATTATTAATATCGTTTTTAAATTCATTTTTTCTACCAAAAGACATTGCTACTTCCTTTAAGTTTATTTCTTGTACTACACACTTCTTTCTTCATCCACGAGCGCCATTCCAATACTAAAACCCTAACAAAATTCTATTGTAACTGCACTCTCGTAGTAGACGAGTCGTTTTTATTACCGATAGAAAACTATTTTTTATTTGTTAATTTCGAAGCAAATAAATAAAATAGACAAAGATATGTATTCAGGAGGGATCGAAAGAAATTTCATATTTGGGGTGGCATAAATAGATAACAACAGTGACAAGAGAGAAGGAACTAAGAGTTTTGTTTTAGTAGTTTTAATCTCCGCCCATTCCTATTGACGCACAATCAATTGTTCTATGTTTCATTTCATTATTTAAAGAAACACGGAAAAGCTACAATTAAATATTTTCCAACCATCACCCTGAGTATTTTTTCTCTTTCCTTTCAGGGTTAGATATCAGACAGTTTTGAAAGTATTATTTACGATTTATTTTGAGGAACAGCAAGAGGCAAATTAGGATGATTTTCATCGTAAAAGTATGAAAACAATCTGATTGCAGCAAGAAGTAGGTATTTATGATATTGTAAACAGATAGACTAAAATAGGAAACAGTTCAAGGGTTGTTCATAACATTTGACACATATTTTTTTATAACATATTCAAGAGGAAAATTTATGAACCTGTGACCGTTTTATGAAACATGATGGGAAAATCTTAGGGCTAATACATTACATTCATAAAAGAAAAATTGAATAATCAATCTTAATATCAGCAACAAAATAAAACGTTAGATCGAGAAGCGCAAACGATTCCCTTTTTTATTTTTCTTTAAATGCTATTGAATGCTTGTTTTTCTTTTGCCTTTCTAGGTTCCCAAAATATTGGTATCGCACGCAAAGTCAAGCCTATGTTATTTCGATTATTATCCTTGATTTTACTTGAGGATTCTCCAGGGAAATGTTATTTCTTCAAACTTCTCTTGATCATTCCTTTTATTTTGAGTTTCACTTTTCTTTTTTTTATTTGTTGCTTTTAAAAGTTTAACTGCTTGAAGTTGAGCGTCGAGGAAATTGAACGTGATAAGAAGGGTTTCGAGGTTGTAATTGTTTTGGGTATTGATTAAATATACATAAATATCATCTAAGTAACAAAGAGAAGTTTTTATATTTACTTCAAATTGTAGTAAACGTTGCTGTTTGTGATAGATATTTACAGAAAATATTGAAATTACATTCATTGAAGATGATCATCTAATCATATTTTCTGTTTACTTTCTTAATAACATTTTCCTGGTTTAACTGAACTAAATTGTTTTGAAAGTAATTTTCAATCGAACGTTATTGAATAGGAATTTGAGTTTTGGAAATTGAATAGGAATTTTGATGAAGGGAATAGTTTATCGATCCAACAAGAAAAAATAAAATTCCCTTATTTTATTAGTTCCGGAAGTTAGTGGGATAAGAAAAATATATTCAGGGCTTTGGAACGAAAAAACAATTTGAAGTGAAAAAGATTTGGAAAAAACTCTTTTAGACTTTTTTTTATCTATATTTAAAAGGGGACACATTTTTGTTCAATCACTATGAGAAGTGCTACTATAAAAAGGGAACGTTGGTACCATTTCGTATCAAACATTTTTAATAATATTGAATCATAGCAATACTTTTACACTTCAATTTTTCCATATAAAATATTATTCACATATATTTAAGGATTTTCCTTTATCAAACAACAAAGAAACGCTATATAAATGTAAATGATTTATTTAGAAAATGGGACACTTACATTGTCTGCTTTCACACGAATGTCTTTGCCGGCTGTGGCTAAAATCGTTTTAAGTATACTTGTGGCAGTTCCAGTTTGACGACTAGCAACAAGATGAGCTGCGGTTTGTGATCGAGACTGTTTCCAGAGAAGAAAAATGTCAAAATTAATTTATGCTTTTATGTTCACACTTTTGTATTTGCAATTATCTAAAAGGCTTTGAATATTGAAAACTTTTAACCTACTTCTAATCTAACAATGCGTAAGATTTAAGTGCAGTTTAAGTGAATTAATTGTCTTTTAGTTTTGTTTCCATCTAAATGCATTTCTTATGCTCTATTCATGCCACAATTTTTTTTTATTTATGTTCTTTTGCCTTCATTTTAAGGCCAAGGGTCTTTTCACAAATCTTCGGAGTTCCATCATCATCTCGCGAATGGTACCAATACATCTTTGATCTTAATTCAACCGAAAAAATGCAAAAGTTAACTTAAGCTACAATCGATCACTCAGAGCGTGTAATTGAAACTGAATTTGCGATAGAGAGCTACTTAGAAATGTGCATGAATACAACATTGTTCGCTGAACTGTTCAGAATCGAATTACTTCACACATATAAAAAATCAAATAAACTTTATTCAAAGCGAGAGCTTGTGAAAGCAAAGACAGAAGTTCTGTCGAAGCTATTCAACTTATTCAGTGATTCCCCATGAAATTTAGGCGAGAATCGCTTACCGACACATGAAAAATACATAAGTATCGTAAATCATGCTTTAATATCGGCAACTATTGTGTGAGAAAAAGTGCTTGAGAAAAAATTGAAAATGACTTAAATAAAGTAAAGTTGAGGGTATGAGCATTTTACCCATAAATTTCAATATTTAAGTGGTAAAAATTCGGGATATTAAACAAAGTGTTTAAAGAAAACTGTTAATAACAAAGTAGATATTGTTTTTTGCAATATTAATTATAGTTCTACTAGAAGAGAAATATTGATAAATGTTCTTAATTGCTTCTATTTTATATGATGAAGATCAAATAGAAACTTTAAAGATTTAATCTTTTCGTTTATTTTAAATATTTTAGTAATCTTAGAGAAAAGTTTTAATTATTGTGCAAAATATTAAAGAATTTAGAAAAGAAATTTCTTCTCAAAAACGAGAATATTAAGGATTAAAGATAGAAGATTAACAAGAAATTAATTCTTATATTGTGCAGTTATGTCATTTACCACAATTAAAATTTCCTCGATGGTTTTTGCACTGAACCTTCTCTGAAATACTCATAAATTTTGAATCTTTTCTCATGCGGCAAGTGCAAATTTGAAAAGCACATTTTTGTCTCGTTGTTGTATTTAATTAATCATAAAGATAAATACTTACACCTCCAGTTGAAAATGCATCCACTCCTTTTTTGTTAAGCAATGTCTTAACAACATCTTCTCGAGAATACATGGAAGCAATATGAAGAACATTATAGTTATCCTAGAATGGATAATAAATATTCAAAATTGATTTTCATGAGAAATTAAGGATAATCGAGTTTGCGATTTGAACTAAAAAATTAAATTTTTAAGGTTTGGCTTGCATGTGAGTTCATACATAATTATTCAATATCTAATAAATGAAAAAAAAAACTAATCTGATTCGACACTATATAAATAAAACTTTCGTTTCCACGGCTATTATTAATTTCACAACTGTCTGGAAAGTATTTAGTAGAAAACTCATTAATATTGATCTCATACCTATTTAAAAAACTTTAGCTACTGTATTTGGATTTGTTTTACAAAAAACATTAATCAATCTTTGTTACGCTTTAAAAATTATGATACGTTTGAAGTTTCGTTCCATCCTTTTATGTTTTATTTTATCTAATTAAACTATCTTTCGTTACGGCTGAAATCTATTCATATATTGAACACATTTTTGGAAGATAATAAGTATTAACAAATTCAATGCATGACTTTAGAACTTTCCTCTATAGTTCCACGACTACCACAGCTTGAAAAATATTATTTATAAAACACGTGATTTGCAAAAGTTAAGTTGCGTTTCACGGCGCCCTCATTAACATTTTCCTCGGTCGCTTTTATTCTTTTCATTCTTTCAATTTCTCAAAGAACCTACGTCAAAATCTTACGTTTAGACTGGTCACACGATAATCATGAAAATAGTTATGCAAATGAGTCCTTTAATGTGTAAGTTCCTTCTCAAAACATTTTTTTATACTCAGACTGTCTAACAAATACAAACAAATGTAGCAAGTTTTAATGAAATGGAAAACTTTTAAAGTTATGTTCCTTAAGAATTTTCTTTTTATTTTAATATATCTAGATATTTTTGAAAAATCTAAGAATGTAAGCAGGAATTTGACAATTATATATATCTTTGATTTTTTAAGAATTCGAATAATTCAGCAGGAGCTCAACTTATCATTCTTGAAATATACTACAAGACTTGCAAAGGCTTCGATTTTGCGGGCTAAGATGGTGAGTGTGTAGTAATGCGAGTTATTTTTCGGTGTCAAGAAGGGAAATTGGGTCATGGTCTTTGGCGGCAAGGCTTTATGGAAATGATTATTACTGTTTTACGAACACTTCCAAGTCAAGCAACGTTTTTGGTATAAAAAGGAACTTTGAAGCAACACTTTTCAACTTATGTTTGATATTTATTAACTGAAGCAAATACTTTTTATCATTCAAATGATTAAATTGCAAATTTATGATGAAGATCATTTTTCTTCAAAAATCTAGTTTGGATTTTCCAAGGGTTTTCCCAAATTTCTTATCAGAAATCTTCATTAATAACTCAACTTCTATTCAAAAATTGCTTAGATTGAAATGAATTTCAAAGCTAATAAAACACTCGTTATCGTTATTATAAAGCGTGACGAATCATCATCACTATAAAATATTTGTTAATTCACACATTTTGATTACACTTCAGATATTTCTTTTCGTTTGTCTTCGTATAAGTCTTTCTTTTTATTTTTTAATTATTCAGGTCATCGCCATAATTTTTTATTTTCCTACGTAGCGTGTGCCATTTAGAAATTAGGAAAATTGTATTTCACATGTTTTGTACATATTTAGCAAGCTCTAAACGCCCCTTTTTAAAGGGAAATTTTTCTTTTTTCTTTCATTGTTCTCGCACTTTCGTGAGATCAGTTAAGATTTGTATTTGCTTACGTTATTTCTAGCACAAACGTCAGAACCCAATTCTATTAGTCTATCGATCAGTGGGGTTTTATTATCCTTAACAGCCAGCATCAGTGGGGTATTGCCGGTAACCTGAAATATGAAAGAAGAGGAAAATAAATGAATATGAGTAGACATAATTATATGTATGAACTTGGAATTTCCAGAGGAAATAAGTATAAGTCGTATAAGTAAAGAAACTACTTTCATTAAGCTTATGGTGCTCAATTTTCTTGATCTTAGATAAGCACACAAAATTTTATCCTCTAGTAAAATAAATAATGCTTGTTGTTCGTGAGGTGAGGTTTTAATGATTTTTATATACTTTTTAGACTGCTCTTTTTTATAAACAACAAGCTAAAAGCAGCAAAGTGGAATAATTTTCATTGTCATGGATTACTGTAATAATTATTGTTCTAATTGTGATTATTTTTTATTTCCAGTGACGAAGCTTTCGGGAAAAAACAATATTTAAAGGTTAACTAAGAAAAATTATGATTATCTAATTAATAAAGTTTTACGAGAAGTTTCACATTTTCTTGAAAAAGTTCTGAATCATGAATGGAATGTAACGTGAAAAAAAACGTGATTTGAACTCAAGTTCAACATACATATTTTAGTTTTTTAATGTAAATAAAATGAAGAATTGTTCTTGTAGTTGATATCAAATTCAGTGTTTTTAAGTAAAATTATGTACAACTACAGTTCGTTGTTTTCCGAAATTAGAAGAGAGTTGCTCAAATTAATATCTTCTCGTTTAACAATAGGTATCTTGTCTTGGATGATGACGCATTAAATCGATGAATATTAATCCTTGAATCCAATAAAAATGCAAAGCTTTACTTTCAACTATCCTTGGGCAAAGAAATCAGGTTAAAAAGCAATAAATTTCATGAGAATCGGGCAAAGAAGAAATTGTATATCAATTCATATTTATAACTAATTATCTATTCTAATATTTAAAAAACCTTTCCGTGAGAATTCGTTATCTATATAACTCATTTGAGTTTTCCAAATGAATGATAGGCTTGCAATTGTACAGTCTTACAGGAAACCTGAAGTTAAATGTTGTAAGAAGTTTTTCTTTTTTAACTTCTAAAGCTTTTCTATGCTTTTTTCTTCTTGAAAGAAAAATTAGCGTATAAAAGAACTTTAATAGTATTTCCATGGGAAAACCGCGACTATATTCGTTAAGGTAGTGTTGTTGTTCGAGCATATTTTTTACGTGATTATACACTTTCTTTACGATTTGACAAACGAGATTATAACCGAAAAATGTAGGTGTTTTCAAACATCGTAATAAGAAAAGTAGGTTACACTTTATTGTTCAGTTTTAGCTGATCCTAGATTTAGCTTATTTTGTTTTTTAAACTATTATTAAAACTTAAGCTGCTTCTTCTATTGATTAAATTTTTTTTTATGTTACGAATTGATAGTCAAGATTGATTATCAAATAAACAAAAGTTTACAAATCTTTCACACCGGTTAACAAGCAATAACTTATAATTGATTGATTAAAATGCAAATGTATACTTTAATTAAGTTTGTAAAAGTGACATAAAATGTTCAAACGGGTACATAATTTTATATAACAGGAATATGTGAAGCTTCAAGCAATGCCTTTGTACATATCGTTTTGTTTAACATACTTAAGGAGAAAGAAAATGCAAATCAGTTTGAAAATCGATCACGAAAAAAAAACTCGGTCAAAAACCTTTTTAGTAGAAATTCTAAAAATTTAAGTGAGGATTAACTTTTGTTTTATTTTGATAACTTGTATGTTTCATAAAGTGGACAATCTATGTTTCCATTTATAATTAATAATTCTTGAAAGATTAATTATAGTCTTCATAGTTTCAATAACACATGGAAGTTATTATTATTAAAAACGATTTGAAAATCTAATCAACTTGCTAACACTGGCATTTAGGTAAAACGGAATTGTACAATGTATAACTTCATTTTCATTTAAATTACATTAAAAATCCTATTTTTTATTATTATTTGGGCCGGTAAAGATTTTTTATAAAACACGATTTGTTACTACGTTGATCGATTGCTCTGAAATTTCGCGCTTCCTTTATGCTCCGAAGCATAAATCTCAAGTTTTTTTCCTGATTGTGAATTGATAACAAGATTTGAATGAATTTGTTTAGCTTCATTGCGCAATTCCGGAATACTAATTTTTTTCTCGAAATTCACGATCTTAAAAACATCAAAATAAAATCTTGAGAGATGATAAAATGAAAAAGGAAAAACAATTTTTAAGATACGATATCACGTCCACTGACAATAATCTCAACAATTTCTAATTTTATAAAAATAATTTCTCATTCTTTATGCAAAAAAAGGATAATAATTATTAAGTTTTTTAAACGTCATATGAACTAAAATTTAAGAAATTAATTTGAGACAATAAACTTGCTATTTTCTTGCGTGAGCTTAACTTGGACGGTATTTATCATCGTAAAGAAAGGCCTTTGCAGAACTTAAAAAAAGTTTATGCCGTGTAATATTTCCATGTACACTGTGCAAGTTGACCTCATATTTATCAGAAAATTGCTACCCATGACAACATTGAAATCGTTTCTTTCTTTCAAAACATAGAAAACTTTTGATACATTCTGGATCGTCTTATGTTTGTTTCTTAATGAAAATATTACCAACATTGTAAGAAATGTTATCATGCTGTCAAGTTTTTTTTAATAAAACTTATAAATTATAAAAGTAATTACTCACCGGATCATGAACACCAGCAAGTGGCACCAAATGAATTTCTTCCTCTGCATTTAATTTTGCCTTTTCTACACCTTTTTCGAGGGATTTAATGACACCTTCAACTGCCGTCCATTCACCCTTGAGTCCCAATGTGAGGATTTTTTGGGCTGCATCCCGCATTGAAGCTCCAGCACTCTGTGGCTTTGGCGTAGTGGTTGGTGGGACTTCTTCCCGTCGATCACTATTACTTGCAGTTTCGTCTGTTGCAGATCCATCTTTTTTAGACTTTTCATCATCTTCTTTTTTCTTTTTAGGAATTTTCTTTTTCACTTTACTTTTTTTCGGCCCACTTCCACCGCTCGGGCCAGGCGATGACATTTTATGGAATTATTTATTTCGTTTTTATCATTAAATCATTTCTTCACTTAATGTTAGCATTTTTCAAAATTTACTTTACTCTTTTATTCTAACTTTGATGTGACTATTAAAATCATTTAATTAGTAACTGTGAATATTTTTAGAATTTGTAAGAAGTTATTATAAAAACATTATTGCTGCTTTTTTTTTAACTCACTTGAAATGAGTTGAACATACAAAAATAACTTTTTAATTAATATCAAATTTTCCTACGAAAAAAAATCCTGAATAATCCAACATATATTTTAAATGGTAATATAACTTCAACATTTTAAAGATAAAATTAACATCACTTATTTTTATTTTACGAATTTTCGATCATGAAAATCTTATTTCAGCTCAGGGTTCGTGAATTTTTATATTTTCCACTTATACTTGTATATACTTTTTTTCTATTTCATTGTTACTTTTTATATTACAATATTTAAGGCGATACAAATAATTTCTTCAGCTAGGTTTACCAAACTGAACAACTCGGTGGTTTCTACGGTTCTGAAACCGAAGGATTTTTTAACTAACAACCTTTCTTTTTAGTTTTCTGTTTGCGATTGTATAAGTGTAGGCTTTGTAGCTACAACGAAAATGCAAATTTCTTGATCCATTGCCATAACAATCGCCTCAAGACAATCGAAAAACCACGTTGTTTTGTTGGATGTTGCGCGTAAACCTGCAAACTCAAAAACTGAAGTCAAGGTTTATCCTTGTTGAAAATCGATTACAAATTACTATTTTCATTTGACTACTTTTACGCAATGATTATTCATAATTTTATGATACATTTTAAATATTTTTATGCGTTGTTTTGAATAAAATTTATTCGTAAAGGAATTGCTTACATCTCATGCTTGTCTGATCTCTTTACCGGTTTATTAAATTGAAAGTAATTGTAAAATAATTTTAAAAGTGAATGAATTTAATTAAATAAAATTTCTTGTCGATCTCATATTTTACATATGTACGATCTTATATTTTTTTTGCGGACGTTTTGCTATGATACCAAACAACAAAATATTTATTCATTGGCAGATAGAGTACAAAAAACCATGCGCTTCAAACCATCTGTTGATAAACAAACTCAATTTTTTGTTTCGAATAATAATTCACTTTATTATTTCTCTAGTTATTTGTATTGACATCGTGATAATTTACAATTTTTTGCATTAATTCATTAGTTTAACATCGACAAAAGGTTGAATCAAGCCAGATATCTAAATACCTATTTGAATATCTTTTTGATTATTCAAATGTTTCATTCTTTAACTACTGAATTCAATTCAAAAAAATCGGAACAATGGAAAGTGAATCAAGCGTTATTTTCGATATAGGTTCAACTCTACGGTTATAATTTATAAATAAATAAGCATGAAAAGTGTCTTCACATTTCATTTCACATACGATCTTTCAAAATGAATACCTGAAGTCAGGTTTTACAATAACAATCTGATAAATCTTGTAGTTTTATAATGTTATGTAATTTATAATCTTTATTGATCTTTTTCTTATTTGAAAGTTTAGGAAAGCTTTTGCAGATTTTTAATTTTTTCTTCTAATCACTTTGTTCCTTTTTAAAGAAAAGTAAATTTTAATGTTGCGTAAGGCAGAAACATAAGACTCTACATATTATTCACATGCATATTATTAACTTGTCAACTACATAAATGTACCTAATATTTGAATAATCCATTAAAAATTCAATTTTCAGTCATTACATTTTGCATTTATTATTTTTATTATGATTTGTTAATTTTATTCTTAAAATAAGCAACAATTTGAGCGCAATTCAGTGAAATTGCAAATCTGACAATAATATTGTGTGTTTTTAAATGCAAAGTTTACCAAACATAAAAAAAGAGAAATTCTTTGAATTCGTAAACGACGGAAATTGTTGATTAACTACTGAATGCTTACCATTTACTTTACTTGGTACTTTGTGGTTCATAATCCCATACATTTGGAATGATCATGAAATTTATCTTTAAATTATGAAAACGTGAATTCGTTCAATGAAAGCTGCAATGCATCTTCTTAAAATCGAAAGTTGTTTAAAAAGTTGATTGAAAAGATTGCATTTATGTTCTTGATACTCATATCATTGCATATTTTCCCATAAAATTTAAAAATATTATAAAAGTGTTCATTATTAATCTGAAGCTATTTAAGATGTTGAAGTATTTAGGAAGAAGTGAATACAAAAAAAGCCGCAAAACATTTAATTTACAAATGCGCATGACAGAAATTCACAAGATATCCTTTAAATTGGGGGTAGTAATCTTTTGTGAAAATCTTCAGTGCTTAGAACATAAAGTTTCCCTAAAACATAAATATCTTCCCTACCTTCACTAGCAAATCTAAACTATTATTTAAATAAGCTATAAATAAAGAGAAGAATTAAAAGTGATTGCTGAAGGCTTATTAATTATATGAAGATGTTTTGAAGCAAAGTGAAAAAATAATCACGTAACAAAAAAAAGTTTAACAAGTTAGATTCCTAAAGTTTTGACTTCTGGTGTTTTCCTTCCTTTTTCAATTGTTGAACAATATAAAAATTTAATTGTGTGGTTGAAAAAATAAATAAATTGAAGAATTATGATAAAATATACGTTGTGAAAATTAACTTAAAAATATGTTTATATTTCAAACGTTTTATTTCTTCGAAAAATTTATAAATTTTATCTCTAGATACCTATTTACTTTAATCTCCGGAGCAAAAATATTTTCTTAATTTTCTTTTCATTGGCACATTTTTTGAAACATTTATGAATGTGAAACAAAGTGAGAGTCTTGAGCAGTTAATAAAATTTAATTTGAAGCAAGTTATTCATGGATTTAGTTTACGAACAGCCGTTGAGTATGACGGAGACTGATATTTTTCTGCACAACATCGACACAGCCAATGATTTTTGCTAGCAATATGCAAAATCGAAATAATAATGAAGGCATATATAATTCGCTATAACCTTGGTCATCACAGTCGAGTCAAGCGAAGACCTTAAAATAAGAAAATAGAGTATCTATCGTGCATATAATAATAGAAGAAAAAAGTATAAAAATATACATGTACATAGTGCAAACTGAGATTTTATGAAAAGAAATAAATATTTAAAGTGAAAATGAGAAAGATAACTTCCATTCTCTCAGTTATAAGAATAAGGCGAAATGTGAAATTTCTTTTAGTATTTTTCATCTCGTGGATATTTCTTCTTGTGTATTATCTACAAGGAACTGTGAACAAGGTAAATTAAGTTATTTTATCATCTGTGACTGGGAATATCTACATTCGATAAAATAAAACTCATTGAAAGTTTGTTTTTATGAGTTTTCTCTGCATAAAATTTTTGATTATAATGCATCTGCATTACAGAAATTTCAATTTCCTGGGAATATAAGTAAACTTTATGAGAATGCTTCGTTGAACTCTCATACTAACACTTACTCTCATCAATATACCCACAAAATGAAATCGAAAGTCATTCAATGTTTGTCTTAAAGCTAAAATGTTTCAGTAGGAGGAATAGGATGAAAAGTAAATTTTTAAATGAATTGCGAACGTGATCCAAATAAAATTGAAATTGTGGCAATTGTGTGTGATTGATACTTTCTATAGTCAAACAAAATCGGATTTAAATTCACAAGAAAAAAATCCGACAAAAAATATATTTTTTAATCATTAAATTTTTTTTGCTGCACTTTCGAGTCATTGACATCAATTATCATTTAATTTTTTTATTTGCCTCTTTCAACTATAACAGTTTTTCAAGTAATAGCTTGAATGTTTTTGTTTCGATAAATATGTCCGAAATTGTCTCTGCACGATACTAAAATCATCACCGGTTTCAATAGTTTCAATTCGATTTCGGCAGTGATAAACAACGTTCAATGTAGGATGCTTTCACCAAATATAAAAATAAAAAGTTGGACAAAAATAAATGATGTGATTCGTCACAATTTGCACTATTTAAAGAAAACCTTTCAAACTGCTCTAATTAGTATACTCTAACAAATTTCACGCTCCAATAAATTGTAATACAATAATTTATTTAAAATTTTCAAATGAATAAATACACATGCGTGTCATGAACAAACAAAAAGAATTTTTCTTAAACAAGTTGTGAAAACTAAAGCTTAGATAGCGTGTTTGTCAATTTAATTATGATGCATTATTATAAATATTTACTGCTTAGTTCTACTTATTTTTAATGTTAAAATTAATATTTCATCTTGTGTGTAACACCATTCTAAAAAAACACATAAATTGCTTACTGCTTCACTCCATTGTTTGTTTAGGTTTTTATTATTTTGAAACATTAATTATAATTGTAAAATTGTTTCGCGACCAACCTAAGTTTTACGATACACAATATACATAAGTTTTAATATTTATGAGAATTTCAATGAGATTCAAGAGAAGTTGTTGTTAAAAGAATCGAAAAAAGAACTAAAAATTGTAAGACCTTCGCTTACTTATCTTACCTTGAAATCATCTTCATCCAAAAGAAGAAAGTAAAAGTTGTTTCAAGCCACTTTCAGCATTCCTACGTCAACTTGTGCTTGCAACTCGCCTGTTGCATAATTTTCACACACTTAAACAAACGTTGAAATATATAACAAAAGCAGAAACGAAGTGATGAGATGTAATTATGCTGAAGTTTGAATATATTTTAAATTGTTACTTAACACAATAAGCTATCTAAGTTTCTTTATGGTAAAATATTTTAGGTAACTGACCTATGTCAATTCAGTTTTTGTTGCTGTAGGAGCTTTTTTGGAATACTTATATGGAGAGAAAGCAATTTGAAGAGTTTTAACATTTTTTATTTTGAAGTAGATAATTAAGATTTCAGATAAATGTTAATTATATCTAATTGATTTCATTCCTTCACTAAATTCCTTTAAATCATTGCAATTACTGCTTTTGTTACAGAATGAAAATAGAGCTTTAAGGCTTCGAGATGTCACACAAACAGCTCTAGTTACCAATATACAAAATTCCTCAAACTCAGAAATTATGGAACGCAGCAACTCTTTCGTTTCATATTCATCTTCCGACATTATTCCACAAATCTCATGGGACTATTTTGATGAAATGTCTTATATAAAACGTGGCTCATTACGGACTGGTGAAGATCCATATATAAGAAATCGATTTAATCAGCAGGCGAGTGATTCGCTTCCTTCGAATCGTGATATTCCCGACACGCGGAACGCTAAGTGAGTAATGTTAACTGGACATTTACAAATTGACCAGGGGTTTGAATCAATCTTTTCTCCATAGAAATTTCTAAAAACAATTATTTATCATCTTCGATAATTTTTTCAAGCTCTGAAATCAACAAAAGAAATTATTTTAGTTTGATGGTTTCTGTTACATTGATTTTGACTTTTAATCTTCTTCACAACAGGTGTAGGAAGCGTAAATACAAAAGCAATCTACCAGCAACTTCTGTTATAATTACTTTCCATAATGAAGCTCGTTCCACGCTACTAAGGACTATTGTGAGGTAGTGAAAAGTATAATATTTACTTCATTTCGCTCGAGTTAATTTCTCATTAAAAACAAACTCACAGAGAATTTAAGCGAAAAAAAAAATAAGTTAAAAGTTTTCATCTTCTTTGCAGTGTTTTAAACCGCAGTCCGGAAAATTTAATTAAGGAAATAATATTGGTCGACGATTTTTCAGACAATGGTAAATATAGTCAAAACAAACTATGATAAACGATATTTTAATTCGATTTGCTTTGCTGTTACAGCTGATGATGGTCTTGAATTAGCAAAAATAAATAAAGTTCGAGTGATTAGAAATGACAAGCGGGAAGGATTAGTTAGATCGAGAGTGAGAGGTTCAGAAATAGCTACAGCTAATATTCTCACATTTCTCGATTCCCACTGTGAATGCAATGATAATTGGCTTCCACCATTAATAGAAAGAGTAGCTGAAGATGATACTCGAGTTGTTTGCCCTGTCATTGATGTCATTTCCATGGATACTTTTCAATACATTGGAGCTTCAGCTGATTTGCGGGGTGGATTTGATTGGAATCTTGTTTTCAAATGGGAGTATTTGTCGGAGAATGAAAGGAAGCTACGTCAAAAGGATCCAACCACTCCAATAAAAACACCAATGATAGCCGGCAAGTATTGATGTTGAATTCACAGAATTAATTTTTAAGGTATTAAATCAATTTTATTACGTGTAGGTGGTCTCTTTGTGATAAATAAAGCGTATTTTGAAAAACTCGGAAAATACGATATGAAAATGGATGTTTGGGGAGGTAAATACAAATTTATTTGGATTTTATTACAGTATTTAGTATCTCTCTGATATTTCAGGAGAAAATCTCGAGATTTCTTTTCGGGTTCATTTATGCGGAGGTTCTTTAGAAATTATTCCTTGCAGTAGAGGTAAAGAAACAATTTAAATTTATGATCAACAAAATTTCGTTTAATTTTTTTCTGAAACTTTTTTCCTTTCAAAAGTTGGGCATGTTTTCCGGAAAAGGCATCCATACACTTTTCCTGGTAAGTAATAAACTAAGAAAACCCTCATAAAATTCTTTTATTAATTTTATATTTATTTGTTTTCATGACGAAGGTGGAAGTGGAAATGTTTTCGCGAGAAATACGCGGAGAGCCGCAGAAGTTTGGATGGACGATTATGTTCAGTATTACTACGCATCTGTTCCCTTAGCTAAGAACATTCCAATTGGAAAGTAAGAAGAAATTTCTTTATAAACTATAATCAAAAAATTAAATAATTTATTCTTTGTCATTCAGCATTGATGATCGATTAGCATTAAAAGAAAAGCTCAAATGTAAACCTTTTAAATGGTATTTAGAAAATGTTTACCCCGAGTTGACTGTGCCTGAGACTCGTGCAAAAGGAAGTATTAGACAAGATCACAATTGCATGGACACTTTGGGCCATTTAGTAGATGGAACAATAGGTAAGAGTAATTATCAATAAACATTTAGGACGAGCGCTATAAAGTCTTATTTTTCAATAGGTGTTTACCAATGTCATGAAACTGGAGGAAATCAAGAATGGGAGTTTTCAAACAAAGGTCAAATTAAACACATAGACTTATGCTTAACTCTTGTTAAATTTTCAAGAGGCTCAATGGTTGTCATGAAATATTGTGACGACTCTGAAAACCAACAATGGGTTGTGAAAAATATAAATCATGAGGGACTAATAAAACATAGTAAGTTAAATGTATGTCTTGACTCAACGTGGGTTCAAGGAAAAGGAATTACAGCTGAAAGATGCAACAGCGCTTTAGATACACAACAATGGAGATTCATATCAAATTTGATATAAATCTTTAACGAATTAGCAACAAGACTGAAATTTACATAATTTGTTGCTACAGAGTGAAGAAAAGAGAACCTTCTGTAAAAAAATTTCTCTATTTATCATCATCTCCACCATCAAACAGCGTTATGACTTGTACCCATGTCCATTACTATTCAGATTGTTGCATTGTGTCAAAAACTCTCCAACATGATGGAAAGACGAGTTGTTATAAATCTTTATTCAAGAATCTAGTGAACTTTGGAACTGTTGCATGTGAGTGAGAACATCTGAAATTTTGATAGACTTGTGACGAATCTGAATTGTTCGAGTTTATGAATTAAAAGGTTTAAAATATAATTTTTCACATTGTCTTTTTGAAAAATTGAAACAAATACTCAACTCAATTTAATGCAGTTGTAGACTGCAAACATTGTCATTAAAATTTTTATTAGATGTGATTATGAAATGCTTTTACAGTTCATTATGTCAATAAATTTTGTTGCATTTAAGAATTAAATCTATTTATTTGGACACTTTCAAAATTTAAAACAATTCAGATTAAAGTTCTGAATTTCATTTGTTAAGCAAATCATTATAAAAGAAACTAGGAAAATGTAATAAAATTGAATTGAACTACATTTTTATTTATTGTGGAGAATTTTTATTGTAAATATGTTTAAGTAAGTAGCTATTCATTAATAATTTGTTCTATTAGAGGTTAATTAAACGAGCATCTAACTGCGTAATCGATATTATTTAGATTTTTCTTGTTACACTCGACAACATGAAAATATTGCTGAAGTGTAACGAGAAAGAAAACAAACAATAAATTTTTTAAGCAAAGCAATCAAAATGTTTTAGAAACTTTTCTTTTTAATTCATAAATCATTTCCATGAAATTATTTAATCATTGAGAAGTTTTTCTTTCCAGAAGTCATCTAGGCCTAAAATTTGTTAATCTAAATATAATCAATCGTATTAATCGCACACTTTGAAATTTGAGATAGCAAACAAACTCTTGAAAAACATAAATTATTCATTTTTATTCTTTATCATTTTGAATTACTATAACATCATTATGGTAAATATTTATGTATGAATGAATATTTAATTCATTTTATTTTAACATGAAGGTATTATCTTAGATATAAAATTTATCTTCAATTGAATTATTAAATTTTATAAGGAGTAAAATTAAAATAAGTTTTAACTATTCGGGAAACAAATTGAATAGGCCAGAAATTGGTTCTCTTTGCAGACAATCGATTCTTGATCAAAATGAGAGCAATTGTATTGAAAACCAAATAAAACGCTATCAAAGCTAATATTGAAGAACCAACGTTGAGGTTTTCGAATCCCATGATTCTTAAAAGAAAAGTCGGCTTCTTATATGGACAGAAATTTTCATCTGGTGGACAAATCATGTCACTTCTGTTGTAACCATAAATCGACTGAATGATTCCTTCAAGTGAATGTCGTAAATAACTAAAAGTCATCATATATCTAATAAAAACAGGAAGAGTTTCTTTTCCACTTCCAATTCCATAAACACTTAACAGCATCATGGGAACAGCACATACCGGGCCAATAAAGACACCATTCTAAAAGATAAAAATGAATATGAAAATTTCGTCATGCTCTTCATTAATTGAATTGATATTTAACATACTATCGCACTTAATCTTGAAGATATTAAAAGTCCAAAACTCTCTGATGTCATACTTGTTAGAATTGATATGAGATAAAATAAACTCATTCGTTTCATTTCAATAGGTTGATCCGTTATTAAATACACCATTGTTAAGTATAAAAGAGTATTAAGAAGTTGAATTGGAAGTTTTGCAAGTGACATTGCCAAAAAATATGGAAAGCATCGATACCATCTGTTGAAATGTTCTCTCTTCAATAATTGAACTTGAGTTGGAACTAAAAAAAGAATTTTTTAATTATTAGAACAATTGCAAAATGTCTATATTTACATTCTATCAAAATTGGCATCATTGGAATGTACATAAAAGCAATGATTATGGTAAAACAGAATCCAAAATTGAATAAAGTTTTAGTTGCGTCATTTCCCATCTGATAAAACAAGCCACCTATTACAAAGCCAAGAAAGATGTGCATATAGATTCGAATTAAGAGGTAGGTCTGTGAATTAAAAACAAAACTTTTAATTATGAATCTTTTATGTTAATCTGCGATTTAAATAACCTTATTGCGATACATTTTCAGGGTGGATCTCTTGAACAGTAGAATAAATTGCTCCCAAGCTGAACATTTAAATGTCAAATTTCTGGGATTAATTTCTTCTTCTTCCAATGGGCGTTCAACATAGAAGTCATCAAAAGTTGTAGAATATTTTCTTATATATCTATCTTTAGTATCTTTTGATGGTTTCCAATTTAGAACATGACCGTTATCAACACATTCAACCATTCGATGAAGATGTTCTTTTCCATATTCACCACATGCTACTTCAATAACTAAAATATGAAAATTAGTTTCTCTATCTTTTCTGATGATTAAAAATCTTACTGAAATCAGCAGGATTGTAAGTTTTTGGACATCGAAGTCCAATCGTTTCTACATAAGGAACAATGTTGTGACCTTCACCTTGGTAAATGCATTGACCATTTGCGACACAATAAACATGATCAAACATCTCAAATATTTTTGCTGATGGAGTGTGAATAGAACAAATCACTGTTCGACCTCCATGTGCAATTCTTCTAAGTAGTTCAATTGTTTGTGAACTGCTGAGATCATCTAAACCAGTAGTTGGTTCATCAAGGAATAAAACTGGCGGATTATTCACTAGTTCAAGTGCAATCGACAATCGCTTCTTTTCTCCACCAGACAATTGTTTGCAATCTGTATCCATAGTTTTATCTAAACGTAATAAGTGAATTATTTCTTCTATTAAGTCATTCTTTTGTTGCTTTGTCAGATCTTCAAATCCTAATTTAAAATCGGCAGCGAAAAGCATTGATTCTCTCACTGTTAAACCTTCTTGAACAATATCTTGTTGCATGATGTAACGTGACATTCTGCGAAATGTTTTCATGTCGCGTTCTTTTTTATTCACAAAGATATTTCCACTAACATTGAGACATCTTAATTGATAAAAAATTCTTATTAACATAAGAAATGTGACAAATATTAATTATTTTTGATTAATTAACAAAACTCACTTAAACCCAGCTAAGACATTTAAAAGTGATGTTTTACCAGCCCCTGCAATTAATTTATAAATTTTGATTATTTTACGATTACTTTCAAATTTATACAAATTTCACCTGATGGTCCCATTATAGCTGTAAGTTTCCCGGATTTAAACGATCCCGATAGTGAGCGAAGAATTTTTGATGGACCTGTTGTCAAATGATATTCAGTGTTTAAATATAGAAAACAAATCAAAAGCTTTGATAAACAATAAACGAAATTCCTTTTATCCTTCTCAAAACAAAAATAGAAAAAAAATCTTTCCACACGAGAAGAAAATAATTTAATTAATTCAAATGGTTTGTTTTTAAGCTGCACCTTTTTTGGAGTCGCTGAAATATCGTCATTTAATTTCAAATCTTAACGTCAATCTTATTCTGAATAAAATTTTCCTAATGATATTTATTTTATGAAAAAGAAGCCACGAAAAAGATAGCCATGTCGTCAAGCAAGATTCTTTGATTTTTTATTTCTTATAATTTAATTAATGGCAGTCAATAAACACTGTTAGCGCCACAATCGATTAGCTATAAAGGTTTTCTTATTGGTTTTTTAAGCAATGGCCCTTTGTATTTTAGGAATTCTGTTATCGATAAAAAAGTCATTAAAATTTTTATTTTTAAGTTATGACTTATCAAAAGAGATAACAAAGTTTTTGGGGACTCACTTGAATTTAAAAATAAGTCGTAAAACTGGTTTAAATACTATCCTAAAATATAAACATTTAGAATTATTCGCAGATGTAAACAAAAACAAAACTATAAGTTTTGATACAGCCAACTATAACATTTTAAATTTTCATCAGAAATTCATATTATCGATTAAAGATCACTTACTTTCAACTTCATTTTCCACAGTATAAATCAAATCCTCGAAATCGATATCTACCGGTGGCCAACGTGGTAAATATTTTAAAGCTTGACCTCTTTTGCCAGTATTGACATCTATTATTTGTTGGGATGATGTAATATCCGTCATTTCGTTCAATTTTCCAAGTCCCTCTGATTATATCTTGTTTTTAACATGTGATATTACAATGCTGCAAATAGATATGTTCCCACAATTATAATTCATTATCTTTTTTGCTAGAAAAATAACAAATTTTGTTAGACACACTTTTAAGTGTGCATGCAATTTAAAATATTGTATTTAAGAATATTGACGAACATTCAAATTATATTACCCAGAAGTTGTTCGATACGCACTCAATGATTTCACATCATGAATCATTAACAGTAACTAATTAATTCCTTATGCTTTGATGTTTAGCTTGAAACATTTTATACGTGGAAAAATATTTTATATATGTAGATTATGTGGAAAAATCTAACAAACATTTTCCTTAATTAATTCATACTTTTAAGTATATTTACTTAATTAAAATATTATTCATGTTTAATAATGAGAAATTTTACCTACACCAATGCAATGCATTGGAGGTCAAAAAGGCTGCAATTATCTATTTTTATATTGATTGGCAATTTTATAATCAACAAATATGCTTTTGATCACCTTTTCCTTGACTTTTTGTTAAAATTTCCGGTTTAGTAAAAGAAATATTCGAGAGTTTTAACTATTTATTATCATTATATTCAAATGTCATTAAAGTTTGCAAGAAAAAGATACAAAAAGTCAACATATCTAAATTCTTCAGAAACAACAAAAAATCATTAATGATTGTAGCGAATATCATATGATCGTTCACAACAACATGATGCAGAAGTTGCCTGTTTAGATTCTACGCTAATGTTATCATCAGTATTTTTCCATTAATATATTTTTAAAACAAAGCACAACAGGTTCATTTCCTTTAATTTTAGTCAATAGCTCACGTGTAAAACATACAGAAGAAATATTTGAGCCTTTATTTATCAAACTTAATAGCATAAAATTTAATAATCAATTACAAGCGTGAGGTGAGAAAATGAATTATTTTTACGTTAAACAAATGGAATAAATTTCTTTTTAAAACCCCGATGCGCATTGAGTAAAACAGAAATATATTATCTATTTTTATATATCTATTTATTTTGCTTTCAGTATTCAAATTACAAGAAAGCGATTTCTCTCTTGTGTTTTTTTTTTTTGGGGAAAAACAATGAATGGCAATAAAGAAAGTCGGAGAAAGAAACATTCAATTATCACTGCTTTTGTTGGTTGTTCTCAAAATCTGAACATGACTTCACAATTGAATATTTTTTTATCATTTCTTCTCGTTATGTAAATAATAAACTTCTTTATGTAAATATAGGGAAATGATTAATCAAAACTTATAGAACTTACGTCGTTAGAAACTTTCTATATTCTCATTTCCTTGTCACTTTTTATTTATATTTTTATGTTAAGAGTTTAAACAGATTTTTTAAAAATAATTTCGCAATCGGAAAACACTTCTGTTCTCAAACAACATTCAATCGTGACTGATCAACGAACTAGTGGAACAAAGAGCATAAAAAGCGTTAGAAATGAAAAACAGAAACAAAAATATCGCACGATAATATGACAATTTGAATACACATTCTCATTCTTGCTTATTGAGCACGATATTTAAGCATCGTCTTTGTGTGAATTTGTGTTCAGAGAAAGCGTGATCAAAAAATTTATCAACAACTCTGTGATCCAAATCCAAACTTACAATGGTTTGACTGTTTTATTTATCCCATGATGAATGTTATTCTCGACTTTTACTACTACCATCAAACTTCAAATATCGTTTAAAAGTGGAAATAATTTATGTTCTTTTTTAATGGTAACCAAAATGAATCATCATAGATCATAGTTCGGCGTTAATTAGAATGTATGTCAATATATATTTTTTTATATTTTCAACTATAATATTTGAAGTTACCTATTTCAGTTCACTCAGGTGTTTCTTGCAACTTCAATTTTTTTTAGAATATGCTAATTAACCATGAGAGAATTAAAGCATTGCCAGAGAAGGAAAGAAACTTATTACAGGTATTTTTTTGTTTGTAACTTGATATAAAATAATGTCTCAGTGTTAAAGCTTAGAATGTCACTTGATTGAAAGGCATAGGTATTCATCTATCTTTGTAATTAATCTCCCAAAAGATTTTTGACAAAATAAAACTCAATAAAACTGGTATTTATTCATTCTAAAGAGTTTTAACAAAATATTTATTTGTTTCAAGCGTTGGTTTTCTAGTTTTTTATTTGTCTTAGCTAACAACTTCGTTAACAAAACATGCGACCTTACCTAATACTTAAGATCAGGCTCTTGACTGAAATATTTTTACCATGTTTTTTTTATAAAATTAGTAATCAACGAATGTCGCCAGTTGAAATTTTGAACACTGCAAAAAATTGTCTTTGGCGGTAACTATTGAGAAGATCCTGCAAAGAATAAAAATTAGATGTCTCAAATATGTAAAGAAACAACATTTTTAAAGTTCACAGAGTTCTGTTTCTTTTATTTCACCCTTTGTTTAATTTTGTGGTTTTATGATCACAGCACGAAATCGCAGCAAAAAATCAACCATTATTTTTCAAAATAAAATAATAATAAAAAAAGCGAAAAAGAGTTATACATGTGTCATGTAACTTCCTTAGCCATTAGACATAGAATAATAATAAAAAATGTTTGTTCTCTTTCAGAAAGATATATTCATAATATAATGATGATAAACTAAATTTCAAAAGAATAATATTTATGGGTGCTTCAATGTTTTTTTGTTTTGTTCAGCCTTCAAGACCCTTTCAACGCTGTTTCTTCAACTTCCACCTCAAAAACAGAAAAGCCGCAATTCTTAATACAATAAAGATTATTATTAGTGCTACGATGTCGAGTGTTATGTCCGAATTTGTCATGTCAAGCTCTTTCAATGTTATATGCGGAGATTTAAAGTGACAATGTAAACTGGCACATTTAAGTTGTTCTCTGTCAAAGCCATAAGTTGACAAAGCTGTAGCTTCGAATCCATATCGAATATATGATAAATAAGTTATCCAACGAAGATAAATTGGAATAGCATCAAACGAAACGAAGAAACCCGAAAATAATAGGAATGGAACTGACATGACAGGTGCCAAGAACACGCCGTTTTGTACATTCATTGCCGCTCCCACAACAAGACCAACACTCTGAGCTACAAATGCTATTAAAAGGCAAGCAGTTAAGAACATTCCATATCTGAAAAGTTCCATTGGTTGGGATGTAAAGTAATAAACAATAGAAACATAGATGAAACAGAAAATTGCCTAAAATCATAATTAAAAAATTAGTTCAACATTTATTCTTGCTGTTGTCAATAAATTCTTACTTGAAACGGAATGTCAGACAAAGTAATTGCCATGTAGTAGCTTCTCAATGAGTACCATCTGTTGAAATTTTCCTTTAGCAACACCGGCATCTCCAATGGGACTGAAAATATTTACAACTTATTTATTTCAAATTCATTTAATTTTTGTTAAGTTAATCTTACAAGAAAGAATTGTGATTGTCATTGAAGTGTACATCAAAAAGAGCATGTTGAAGAACAGGAATCCCAAATTGCTGAGAACTTTTGAACCATCATTTCCAATGTCATAATACAAAGCTCCAATTAAGAATCCTACCAGAACGTGTGCAAATAGACGCAAGTACATAAGTGTCTGTTGAATAATTTTTTTATGATGATTAATCAAATGACAGAAGAAATATATCGACTTGATATTGCAATTAATTATTTAATTGACATAATAAGCAATCGATTTGTAAATTTTCTAAAATTAATTGCATTTAATTTCCTTATGAAAATTCATGTGTTGGAAATAAAAGTTTCGTGCTGCTCAATTAATTTTAAGTTTCAAAACCAAATTTCTTTCAAAATATGAATTAACATCAAAATTAATTGATTCGTTAAAATATGCAATTAATTAATTGATTTTAGTATGAAAAATTTACCCAATCTCGTCGGCTAAACAAAAGTGTTCTCTTCAAAACGATCCAAAATTGATGAAGCTGAGGAGGAAATTAACTTAATTATTTGTGTGTTAACAACATTCGTCATTGCATACCTCAGATGTTGGATATCTTTGCGGAGATAAATCAGCTGGAACATCATTAAGAAGCGCTGTTGTATTGTCGGGTTCCTTTTCTTCAACATTTATTGCGATTGTTTTGTCACCTTTCAAAATATCATTGACGACTTTTGATGACAATAATTCTTTTCCACCACCATTTATATTGTCAGAAAACTTTTCATTCTTCTCATATGTTGATTTTAAATTTGCTTCAGTCAGCAGAGCTTTAGCTCCATTGTTTTTCACATTGCTGACCATAACTTTATCATAGCCAAGATCATAACGAATATCGCGTTTACCATTTTCAATAGCATTTATCAATTTTTGTGTATGATCTCCATGCTCACCACAAGCTACTTCAATGATATAGCTGGCAGGATTATGGTAAGATGGACATTCCAAGTTTAATGTGGCAAGGAAAGGGACTAATTGTTTTGTGCTTCCTTGATAAACGCATGATCCCTCAGAAAGTGTATAAAGTTGATCGAACATCTCGAAAAGTCTTGCTGATGGCTGATGAATTGTACAAATAATTGTACGACCGCCCCGGGCAAGGAATTTCAACAAATTTATGCATTGGAAGCACGTTGAACTGTCAAGACCTGATGTTGGTTCATCAAAGAACATAATCTTAAATGAAATGTTGATTCATTTAGTTATTAAGAAAATCAATAATAAAAAAAAAATTTTGTTTTACCGGTGGATTGTTCACTAATTCCAATGCGATTGATAAACGCTTCTTTTGTCCACCTGAAAGATTTCGCGTCAAAGTCTTGCGATGGTCTTCAAGTCCAAGAGTCTCCAGAATTTCTCGAATCTAAGTAAATAAGTAAGTGAATAATTGCATTTATAATACATAAAAGTGAACGACAGATTAATAAAATGATAATATTTAAGTAGAAAATGTTTCTTGGGAAAATGTGCACGTTTTGACCTTGATATTAACATTCGCGAAAGTATATAAAATATTTATTTATTTGTACTCACAACACTCATCTTTTCTCCACGTTGAACCTTTTGACTTAATTTAAGGTTGGCGGCAACATTCATTGCTTCCTCAACGGTCAAGTTTGCATGAAGCTGATTATCTTGCATGATGTATGCTGACAATTTTCGAAAAAGACTTAAATTTCTTTCCTTGCCGTTCATTGTGATGGAACCTTCGATTTTCGACGTTCTACAAAAGATACACACATAGCAAATAAATAATCCAGGATTTAAAGAATGTCATGAAGAAGAAACTTAATTTAGAACAAAGTTCAACCGTCACATTGTAAGTTCTGATAGTGATGTGTGTCGCATGATTTCTTATCAGTTTTTTTTCTTGCTTATCAGCTGTTCTGTTGCAGTTCTCAATTCAATAAACTTTTAATAAATAGTTTGCCAATCAAAACTTCATTTCAAAATGATTTCTTCTTAAATTAATTGTGAGAAATCTCTCTTCTTTCTTCATCATCACCATCATCAACAAAAAAGAAGAATGGTCACAAAAATTTCTTGCTTAATAAACGCAGAAACTTTTTATGGAGCAAATTTGTTGCTGAAATACTTTTTTTTTAAATTACTCCGCTTGAGATAGATACAGTTTTGCAATTTTATTTGAAACTCAGTGAAGCTTGTGGTCTGAAGGTTAATTCGTCAGCAAACTGACGAATGGTTGTGTGTATGTTTGCTGTACATTGACGTCAGGTTGAACTTTGAATCGCGTTTACATTCTTCATTCGACCTTAAATGTAAATACTTTTCATATTGAAACTTACTTGTAACCGCTAAGAATATTCAAAAGTGTTGATTTGCCAGCACCACTTGGCCCCATAATAGCACAAAGTTCTCCCGATCTCAATCGCCCGCTAACCTCCTTAAGGATTGTTTTTTCATCTAGAATAATTTTTCATTTATTTTTATAAAGTCACCGAAACAAAGTTCATTTCGTAAGCCTATTTTCAGTGACAACAATTTCAATTTTGTAATCTTTAAAATATAATTATCTTGTCCTAGAAAATCCAGCTACATGCTTGCGTCTCAGTCATGTTAATAACCGATCGAGTCACGCTTCCTTCATGACAATTGTAATTAATTATACGTGTACGAAATTCGTACTACGAATATATTTATAAGAGTGATCAGTGCTTCTGATAATTTTCCTCGTAGAATTTTGAGTGAAAAAAATATAATACGGAAATTGAAATTACATTGTAAAGATATGTAAATCAAAGCTGGCCTAGACTTGCATTGATATTATTTCACCAGGCAGGGCTTCTAGTTGCTTAGAGATAATAAAAATATTAAACCAGTTTTCTACTCACTGTTAGAGCGTCCATCCTTGACTCTATATGCGAGATCTCTGAAAGCCAATTCAACTGCTGGCCTTGAAGGTAAATGTGAGAGTGTTTTGGGTTGTGCGGGTATGATTTGAATTTTAGTAGAAACACTACTTGTCCCAACCAAGCTCTTCACTTCATCTCCACGTAAATCATTTAACTTTATCGTTGTATCAACCATTTTGTTAATAGTTTTGTTCTCCACGCTTTTTTTTAAAAAAATCACCTTAAAAATTGCTTCCAAATTGTCCAGCAAAGCAATGCGTGAAATAAATATCACTTTATCTTTGTGTTTTATTTTCTTTTATTTTTATTTTTTAAGTTGTTCTTTGTTCGCAACAAATCAAAGGTCTAATTCCTCTACACAAATGAAGTTTTTTTTATTTCATTGAACTTTCAATCACTTTATTTTACTACTTTGAATTTTTAGAAACTAAATTATGAAGAGTTTCTTCCACCTTAATTTGTCACAACGATAAGCTTGCAACTAATCAGAAAAATATCTGTAATTCATTCATTCCCAATTACAAAAACAACAAAAAAATATCTTCACACGAAAATCTTTCAGCCTTTCCGAGGCAGTTGTCGATTTTGAACTGAAATGAAAATTCTATAAATTGTGATCGAACACAATTGTTTGAATGTGTTTTGTGTCATATTTGTGTAAACTAAGTGTAAACAATTTTTTTTTCTTAAATTGTGTTCATTCATACTAACATAATGTTTGAATGTGTGGAAAACATGAAATTTATGCAATTGAAGATCATTTATAGCATTATACTGTGGAAAAAGATTATTTCTGGAAATCTAAGCTCTTTTCTTGCGTGTTTTTATTACAATCTTAAATATAAAGCTAAATGTTATATAACGATGAATATTTTAATGTAAATTGACTTTAATTTGAGGATGAAATAATTGATAGAATCTTTAAATGATTGTCTTTATTTGTATGTCGAACTGTGAACTCAAATATGATTTAATTAACTATTGATCAGATTTATTTAGTTATCAAACTTACACATGATTCAAGACGTAAAGTTTAATGATCCATGGAATGATGTCTTGTGATAATACGAGGTTTCCAAAGCATTGTTTAAATCTTAATGTGAATGCACCAATAAAGTAAATGCATTAGTCATTATATCTAATAATAGTTCATGACCTTTTTGTTTTATTTAATTATAGATACTATTTTCTTAATAAGATTCAGATACTTTGTTGTAGAAGAAGAAAAATATGATTTGCGTGTTTTGAAATTCAAAAATTTGAAATAAATATCTATTCAAAATATAAATAAATATCCTGGTCTTCTGAAAAGATCATAAATTCTTATCTTAAGATAAAATAAAAAATAAACTTTCCTTAGAATCAAGTTGTAGTTGATCCCTCAACTAATATTTTCTTCCTCATAATTTCAATATAAAACTAGTAAAGCGAGAAAGACTTGCTTTGCTATTTACTGTATTTTTTTCTTGAGCTTCGAAAAATGTTTTGATGAAACCAAATTCTAGCGAGTAAACAACAAAATATAAAGGCCGTCAACTTTATTTGTGTTTCTAATTTTGAACGCTAAATTTGTAATTTATTCTCAAACTTATATTTTCATCCATGAAGTTCTGAAATACTTGAATAATGTGTGAAAATTCTGAAAGGTTTCTTTTGATGCTACCTGAATGAAAAGCAATAAATTGTTTATGAAGTCATTACGAAAATAACTACTAGATATTTGAATATATGACTGAGGTATTGGAGGTTTGACTGTGATGAGCTACCCGGAAAATCAGAACAAAACTCTGAAGGAATAATTGCTGGTATTAATGAGTTAAAAATATAAGTAAACGATTTCCATAGTGTATAAATTGCAGAATATTTCCCTTAAGAATTTTATGTCTACAGCTGTTGAGAATCTAAGCATTAATGAAACAAATATTAATTCAGTTGTTCTTTAAATTTTATCATTGAATTTTGTTTCTTTCAAAAGCTTTTCATTGATGTTTTTATTTTCACCTTTAATACCATTATAAATGTAACTTAAAAATACTTATTTCCTCAATCACAATCAATGTAATATTGGCTTATGCTGAATGATACTGAATCGTCATATTTGAAAAATAAATTCGCGTTTATAATTTTTTTCAATAACAGAAAGAAATAAAAATAAAGGAATAAATTGCCTTGTTTCACTTTACGATACAATTTCGTAAGACGTAAAATAAAATCTAGAAAATTATCACTTTGCTTCTTTAGCACATTTTTGTGTTTCAATATTTCATCACCTTCACTACTTATCTCGCGGATCAATTTTTAATCAAGAAGCTTTTAACTTTTAAAATTTTAAAAGAATAGGTGGGAGATTCATAGAAATAGTTCGAATAGGGTGATGGCATACAATTGTTTATAGCATAATTTATATAGTCAAAATATAAAAGAATTCGTTTTCTATTTTAAATAGACAATTTCTTTTGATTAGGAAAAATAATTAACGTATGGAATGAAGTCTCCAGCGTAATACGAAATAAGCCACAACTCTGAGACCAATAAAAATGCCAGTCAATGCGGCAGCATCAACCCAATAGTTTGCATCGGCCATTGACATCGCCTGAATAACAAAAAAGTATAAAATAATCGATTATAGAGAATGCAGAAGTGAAATAGACCTTGAGAAACTTCTCGGGGCTACTATAATGACAGTAAATTTCATTACACTCCAGCTTCTCTCGACCCATTCCATATATTGAGACCATTGCACCTGAAATGATTGGAAATTTCTCTACATTTATGTTCACTTCATAAGAAATTTTAATTTACTTACCTTCAAAACCAAACCTCACGTAACTTATATAAGAAACCCATTTTAAATAATCAGGAATAACATCAAAATTAACAAAGAAACCAGAAAACAAAATCGTTGGTATTGTTGTGACTGGTCCAAGAAACACTCCAGTTTCAACACTCATGCCAGCACCTATCAAGAGTCCCAAACTTTGTGCAACAAGTGATGTCAAAATACAAATCAACACAAACATAGCAATACGATCTGCTTCCTGAAAATAAAGGAAAGGAAAAGTATGAAATAAAAAACAAATCAAAAAAATATCAAACAAACCATTGGTTGAGCTGTTAGCAAGTATACAACTATCACATATACACTGGAGAATAAAATCTGTGAAAGTTGAAGGTGAAAGTCTATCAAGAAAGGCATTGAATATTATAGATTCTCATAAATCACCTGAAATGGCAAATCTGCAATCGTCTTAGCGAGATAATATGCCTTGAGTGAATACCAATAGTTTAAATGTTCTCGAATGAAAACACTCATTTCAGTTGGAAAAGTCAGGATTGTTGGCATCATAGCCGAGAACATGGTGAAGAGTGTAGTGAAGAAAATACATCCAGCATTACTCATAATTTTGCTTGCATCGTTCCCAATTCCATAATAAATCATTCCAATAATTGCACCAACAACGACATGACTCACAAGACGCATTTGTGTCAATGTTTGGTCACGAATAATTGTTATAAAAGTTCTCTTAAGAAGAATCCAAAACTGAGTCCATGAAGAGGTTGGAAAGCCATTAATGTGGTTTCTATAATGAGAATCTTTCCGCGAGACTATGACACTTTCTGTTGATGAGTCTAATAGTGATGACGATGCTTCATTAGACGACTGTTGTTGTTTCTGATGGTGATGAGTTCCATCAACATTTATCACTGTATAGTCATTATTACGTTGACTTTTACTTGATGAAATTTTCACTAAATTCACATCCACAATGACATTTTCACGAGGCACAAATTCTGTGGTTTGATCCAAAGCAATTTCATTTGACGATGCTGCCAAAACAGAGTTGACAATTTTTTCGTTAGACTGTTGTTGTAATGATAAATTTTTATCGTGATTGTTAGTGCTTTGAGCATAATTATGAGATTTTCCATCATTTACTGCTTTCACTAACTTATCAACAGCTTCACCATGTTCACCACATGCAACTTCCATCACAAAGTCGGCTGGATTATGATAAGATGGACAAATGTAACCGTTACCAGCTAAAAATGGAACAAGTCCCGAAACTACTCCTTCGTAAATGCATCTCCCTTCTGCCAACATGTAAAGATTATCAAACATCTCAAAAAGCCTTGCCGAAGGCTGATGAATCGTACAAACTATTGTACGACCTCCACGTGCCAGAGATTTCAGTAAATTTAAAAGTTGCGAACACGATGAAGAGTCCAAGCCTTCAAATAAAATGTGTCAAGAAATAAATTCCAGAAAATTTATTTAATTACCTGAAGTAGGCTCATCAAAGAACATTACTGGAGGATTATTCACCAATTCCAATGCTGCAGACAAACGTTTCCTTTGTCCACCAGAAAGATTAATTGTTTGAGTTTTAGCAGCTTCCGAAAGTCCTAAAGCATCAATGATTTCATCAACAATAATTTTCTTTGCTGATAATGTTAAATCTTTTCCTAATTTTAAGTTTGCTGACACCAACATAGCTTCGCGTACAGTGAGATAAGGAAGAAGTTGATCATCTTGCATAATATAACAACTCAATTTTCTAAAACGACGCAAGTTTCTTTCTTTTCCATTTATAAGAACTTGTCCCGTTAAATTTGAAGTTTTATATCCTGCCAATATATTCATTAATGTTGATTTCCCCGCACCTACAAATTACATCATGTTATAAAATTATTCCATTTAATCAGAGCTAGAAAGTTGTTAATTTTCCCACTTACCAGATGGACCCATAATTGCCACCAACTCACTTGATCGAAACTTTCCATTGATACTTTTAAGGATTGTTTTATAACCGCGAGCATGACCTTCAGACACAGAATAAGATATTTCCTTAAATTCGATATCAACAGGTGGTCTTTGAAGCAAATGAGTTAATTGAACCTGTTCGAAGATTAATTTATTATGTATTTCTTCCACAGATATGAAATGTTTACTTACAGTTGGTTTCTTCTGATTATTTATTTCATTTTGAAAAGTTCGTACCAGACTTTGTTTTTGATTAGTTGCTACCGTCTTGTTGTTAGCGTCATTGATACTAAAAATTGTATTAAACACATTAAATGATTATTAAATGGTTAGCAGATCTGTCGTGTAATTATTGATTTCTGTTTGCATTAAGAAACAACATAAAAAATTCTCACCCCGATGATGACACATTTCCATTGTTGAAGTAATTTGGAGATGATCTAAGGCTGTTTGACGCTGAATTGTAACTTATTCCGTTATTAGGTGGTGGTGGAGTTGTTACGCTTTCAAAGGATAATTTTGAGCTTTTCCCATCAGCCATGATGCTGATTTTATTTTTCAAACTTTGATTTTATGTTGAAGTTCTTGATGTCTCTGATAAAAAATTTGCCAGAAAGAATAGCTTCATCAATAATGGTGCTTGGTTTTTATGATATGATGATAAACAAAGAATGATTCTGAAAAAAATGAAACAAAACATTTCAAGTATCTTTCGTGTTTCAACTCAATTAATTAATGCAACGGTATGACATTTCTTTCTTGAGCTTGGATGTGTCTAATAATTTGCAAAAATTAGTTTCAATTAGAGTCAATTTATGCTTTTAATTTTTTTAATTGATTCTGTTTTTAAACGGGAAAAATTTTCACCTTGAACCACAGAGCTTTAAAACTTATGTCAGTGCTTGTGTATTTTTACAATTGAATTTAGGAACAACTTTCAATAGATTTAATGAGTCATGTTACACAATTATTTTTTCCTTTGTTATTTACAATAATGACAAGAATTTTTTTCATTCATCTAAGCATCCAGAAAAAGTTATTAAATTTTATTCCATTGATAAATTCTCGTTTTACGGAAGAAAGCTGTCTTCACTTGACACATATTTGTATTTCTCACTAACCATTTTTTCTTTCCTTTTTTTCCAGAATCTCATTCATAAAAAATCAATTTCAAAAGTTTTATTCGGAAACCTTACAAGTTGTGATCAGTGGTTGAATGACACAGAAAGACTGCTTTTCATGTTTTCTTTATTTTCATTTAATGTTCAAAACTACGTTCTCTCTTTATTCTCTCTTCCGAACAGCTGATTATGTGTTGAATGTGTTTGTGTCATTATTTCCTTGATTATTTCCACTTACATCTCATCATCAATTCTTGTTTTTGATTTTTAAATAAATTCGATATTGAATGTATTCATTTAGAAATTTAGGTGTGTGATTTTTACCGAACTTTGAGCCTTCTTCGGGGTTCTTGAAGTTCATTAAAAGAGAATTTTTATAAGAATCACTTGAGTGTTTAGAGTTAGACAAACAAAAATGGTTGGCTAATGGCAGAATGATTTTCAAAATTATCGAATTATCTTTCCCAATTTAATTTCATTCATAAGTGGGTTCTTTTTTTCAATAATTCATTGTTATCTATCTATCTTGAAAGTGTAATTAAGTAATAAAAATTATTATCCTCATTATTAAAGCTTTTACCGTTTCAAAAGATGAAATTTTTTGGTTTTCAAATAGCACTTGAGAATGCAATCATAAACGCCACGATGTTTGTCATTAAAAAAATCTCGAAAATTTTAAAACGAGTTGAGCTTTTTTAATTTTTTACACTTTATTTTTATTTTTGCACTCAGTGTCTTTTAAATAACCCAGAAGTATGCCTATCCTTATTTTTATCACAGAAATTTGAAATGTTTTTTAAACTACTCATACCTATTTCTTTGTTTTTTATTATCTTTGATTCATATCTACGTGAAATATGAACCAAGTCTTGTTCTTTGTCTTTTTGAAAACATTGAAATCTTTGTTAAAGTGCCTTAAAAAACTCTTTACCAGGGTAAATAATATCTAGTTCGAGATCAAATATTCAACGTAAAGGTCCATTACAAACTGCAGAGCATAGAAAGAAAAATTGGAAAAGAGTAAGAGAATTATTCGGCAGCTGTGTATTTATTAATAAACCTTTAAATGTGTTGAGTATAAACAAATCATCGGTTTTTAAGTACATTGCACGAAGTTTGTTTTAGGCTGAAATTAATGACTGTGTGTGTCGAACACATGTTTTTTCGTCTTTGTTTCCTTTTTTTTCTTACGTAATATTTTTCTAATCTAATGACAAATTTTTAAAAACATTACAAGATACTAAAAGCATTACAATGTTTGTTTGACATTGATTTCATGATTACAATAGAAACAATGATTCATTAGAACATCCTTTGAATTTCATAGACTTTTACACTATCAACATAAAAGTGGAAAAATATTTTTGTACATTACCATTCAGCAGTCTATTCAAGTCTCCAAAATATCCAAACAATTTTCTTATCTCACTTATAAATTATAATAATTATCAGTGAGATAAATTCTAGACAGCATCTAACTTTTCTCAAATTTTTTTAATGTCATGTATTTATAAAATCCTTCGTCAATTCTTTCAAGAAGATTTGCTTTTTTTTTGTGAATTTTCTTAATCTTTAAAAAAACTAAAGCGTTAATAAAAACTTTATTTTCTCCTTAATAAACTAGGTAAAAGCCTTTCACTTCTAAGTATTCGACGACAGTATTTTACACACTTGTTAACTCCTTTGTTTTTAAAATCTAATGTAGTTGAAGATTCTTTTAAGCAAACTTTATAAAATAAAGCAAATTTGAGTTTTTTTGTTGAGTTCAGTGCAAATGTACCGAAATCGTCTGTTCGACGCATGTGCCGTACACGTACTGTGTGTTGAAAATATTCACTTTATAAAGTTGAAAGAAATTTTATGTGAATGTTTGTAGATATTTAAGATAGTATGAATGTGAACAAAAATCACTCGTCCATCAAGTCTAACAGCATCAAAACATTCATTTGACTGATAAATATATTCGAAAGAATATTTTTATGATTGAATCATTTTATTAGACATAATATAATTTATAAACGAGAATAAAATGCTTATACACGTAGACATAATTTATGATTTATCTTCTAATATGTTGCAAATAAATTTCGCTTAAAATATAAAATTATTCCAGTGCATAACAATAAAATCAGTATGACAATTGCTCCAATCGTGATAACTTGAGTGATACCATATTGAGGAGTCACAATTTGTAATTCTTCACCGAAAGCTTCATAATTAGATGTTGATACAGAAGAAACTTGCAATGTGTAAAGAACTCCATTTTCCAATAGACCTTCGGGAACTACAAGGGCGAAAACATTAGTTAAAAAATTTTAATTCTATTTACAAAAAAATAATGTTTACTTATGTAGAAATTGTCAGTTGTTTCTGCCTTTCCACAAAGTATATGCTCAGGTTCGAGGTACCATCGAATAACGTAAACCACTAAGCTTTGTTGACCCCAATCAGGTGAATTCCAACAAACAAAAAATCCATCCGGTCTTGTCTCGATTGAAACATTTCGGGGTGGCCCAAGTTGAGAGAATGCTGACACGCTTCCTTTTAAATTTTCCACTTCTTCGTAGTCGTGTTCTGTAAATTAATAATTTTATTCATAAATAAAATCCTTTATATAAAAAATTTACCTTTTGTTCGAAAACGAAAAGCTTTACTAAACAAGCCGTCGTTGTATGAATCTTGCGACAATATCATGAACCTTTTGAACAACGAAAAATTCAATCATAAATTCATTAATCAAAATCAATTCCAAAATAGAAGCAACAAACTCGTATTCTCTTCCAGGCTCAAGATTTGATACCGTAGAAACATAATCTGTTGTGGATTTCACTTGATGTGTTCGCCACTCAGCTGAATCTGAAAGCCGATACCAAATTGAAAATTTTATTCCATGGCGAACATAATTTTGAACCCAACGAATTGTAATTGAATCTTTAGTGCTATTAGCAGTTAAATTTGAAGGAGCTTTCGGTGAAAATGTTTCAATCATTAATTCAGCATCAGTTTCAATTTTCGCAGCTTCGTTAATTGCTGCACATGTATAAATTCCTAATAAAAAATTAAAATGAAATTGAGACACGTTAATGATGATATCAAGCGACACTTTTTAATTGCTTTTAATTTACCTCTATCATGAGCAGTTAAATTTTCAATTGTTAAGTTTCCGCCATTTATAGTGTGACGATGAAATGGTAAAGGAATTCCATCTTTTCTTGTCCAATCAATAAGAGAACGATCATCATTGGTATGTTTATCTTTTGCTGAACAATTCATTGTCACAGATTCACCAAGCTTTCGGATGTAAACTGACTTAGGTTTGAGTGTAAACTCAGGTGGATGTTGGACTAAAACTTTAATGATTGGTGATGGCCCTTCTGTCCCTAATACATTATAAGGAGTGCAAGTATACTTTCCACCATGGAGATCATCAACTTCACTGAAAAAAAGCGATCCATTCCTTTTATAAAAAACATTCTTAACATTGTATGGATCATAAAGAATTCCATCTTTTTCCCATCTTAGGTTAGTCAAAGGTGGATTACTTCGAAAATGACAATCAAGAATTGCTTGTTGGCCATAAGCAAAGAAAACTTCTTTAGGAGCGTAGACAACTTTAGCTTTGTCTATAGAAAATAAATGATTAAAATTTTAAGTTCATATTAAAAGATTTCTTAATTTACATTGAACATTGAGATAAGCATGAGCGTCTTCTTCTTCTCCAATCATATTCTTTACTCTACATTCAAAAACTCCAAAGTCAGTCATTAGCGTAGGCGTTATGAGAAGGCCACTATCAGATCCCATTACTGATCTTGACGCTAAATCACTGAACGTAGATAAAATTTTTCCATCCTTATACCAAGTCACAAACATTGTTTCGGGATTCTTAACAGAACAAGGAAAAAACGCAGATTCATATTCAAGCACTGTTTGATTTATTGGTGGAATTTTTAAAAGTGTTCCCCCATCCACTGCTAAGCTAAACCAAGTTCCATTACGAGTGGTTTGGGGTGAACGATTTGGATAGCTCATTCTGCATTCATACCATCCGGTGTCTGCTTCTCTGACAGAAGTAAGATTGATGCTCGCTTTTCCCAAACCATAATGAGTATCAATGAGACGAACTCTACCAGCATATTCTTGATTTGTAAAAGATGAATCTTCTCCATACCATGCGTAGAATAATTTACCCTTAAAATATTATCAAATTGATAAACCGAAAGCTTAATTGGCCATATTGACAAAGTGTTTGATTCAATTTTTGTAATTAATGGAAGGCCATTTATTAAAAATTTTATTCAGGATGTTTTGATGAACATACTCTCAACTAATATTGAGAAATGAATATCAATTATTGTACATATGTCAATTGTTATTAAATTGAATTAAAGAATAAGAAGATTTTCTTGTCATTGCAAATGCAATTTGAATACATACCTATTTAAAGAAGTTTTATATGCATAAGAAAAGATCACACAAGTTGTGTGGGAAAAAGATTAATAAAATTTTAAATTGTTTTAAATAAACTTACATCTTTGCTCCAATTTATATTGTAAGGTATTGGATAGTCATTCGGGAATTCAACTGGACCTTATGACGATAAGATTAATTATAATTGAAATGATGAGATGACATTTTCATAAAACAAACGAAACTCACAATTGAATACGACATAGCCGCCAACACGACCTTCCAGATAGGTTGGCTTTTTGTTTTCCTCAAATAAGCAAAACACTAATTGGCAGTGCATATATAACAAAGTGAAACTGACCAGAGATAAAATCTCGTAAAATGACATTAAATGTGCCATTTTATTTGTTTTTCTATATTAATAACTTTAAACAATTGAACGTATCAGTGGTTTTACTTTGCCGATGAAATTTGACGTTCATTTATTTTTTGTTTCTTATGATTTTAATCGTTTGCTTTAAAATGTAGACGTCTTTCAAAACAGCAAACTTAATGAATTAATAAACTCAACGTAGATTTATGAAAGTTATCACTGGGAATTGGCTATAATTGGTCACTTCCAGATTCACTTATTCTCCAATTATTTAAGATTCAAATAAGTAAGTAGCATTAACTGTTTCAAAAAGTATTAGGTCAGGTAATTTTGTTTTTCCTAATATTTCTTAAATAAAATTTCTATCGCTTAGTAGGTACCTATATATTTTTATCTTATGCATATTATTTTGTATTAGAATAGTTTTGCTATTATTTTTAAACTAAACTTCGCGTTTGCACTGCTAACGAAGTAAACCAGAACTGGAGTAATCATAAAATATCTCATCGCATGCTTAAAAATAATGCGAGTTAGGTAGTTATGATGGGTTGTGTAGAATATTACTATGATTATGAATGTATTAGCACGCTTTGTTATAACTCATATTGCATAAAGTAGTGGCACACTCACTTTCCTTTCATATCAAAATTAAAATGAATTGTGCTAGTCATTAAATTTAATAATTTTATGCAAATATGTTGAAGTATGTTAATTTAAACGGATAGAATTCCTCACATTTTTAAAATATTCATCTTGTTTTCACAAAAAAAAAATTCTGTAATATTTTTTCAAATGTCTGGTGATACTAAATTGTGTATGTTCTTAACATATTGATCACATAAATCAAAAAGTGTCTTAAAATTTTTTTTATGCTATAATTCTGAATACAAAACATTTTCAAATTTTTCTAACGGACCAAAAAACTTCAAGAATAATAACGCCGCTGGAAATGGGCGGTTTTATGTAAACATAGTGTTTTCACAAAGTATTAAGCTCTGAAGTTAATTGATATTAAAAGTCAAACACTCATTAAATATAATATGATAATAAAACTATCATTAAATTGAAGCATATTGAAATTCTTCTTCCCAATATTGAGAAAGTAGTAAGTTTGCGTAATGGATAGTCAGGTAAATAAAGCATTGAAATCTAAAAGACATCATTTTTAAAAATATTTCGTTTAAAGCCTATGCCAGATGATATTGTGCTTATCGATTTAGTAGATGATGAGTGGCGTAATGATAAGTTACCCGACGAGGACATTCAATTGCCACTGAATAAACTTCCAGATCCAGAAGAAAACGAGAATCAAATAAAAGATAGCGTAAGTAAATTTAATGAAGAAAATGATTCATCAGCATAAATACGACAATGAAAAATATTTTAGGAAGAGAAATGGCTCGAACTGGCTATCATGACTCGTCATGGTGATGAACAACTCAATAGTAGCAATGTGTAAATAAACAACAAGTGAAAATAAAACACAAGTTTGTGTGAAACGAGTGCAACCTTGTGTGAAAAAGTATTAAAGTAAACTGAAAGATTAATAATAATGAACATAAATAAAAACTTACATAATAAATCAGTTTTGACTGAATTTGCCCGAGACTTTGAAGACGATCCAAAGGGTACAGTGCTTACAAAAATTGTTAATAAAATTTATGTGGCGTGTAATAATACATCGCAAGAGTTAAAAGAACCAGTCAACATTGAGTCGAATAACAAAAGTCAAGAGAAAGCAGTAAATGAGAAAAGTGATAAAGTAATAAATAGTGAAACATCATCATTATCATCAGATTCAGTTCCATCTTGCAGTAGTGATTCTACATCTTTAGAGAATAAAATAAAAGAAGACGAGACATTGAGTGCAAGTGAATATAAGGTCGACACATCACTTGGAAGGACGCCTTTAAATGTAATAAAACGAATAAGTAATCTATTAGCAATGAAGGACAAGGATTTAAATGATTATAAGAAAACAGATCTGCAGAAGCTCTGGATGCCAGACAGCAAATCTCGTGAATGTTACGACTGCACTGTAAAATTTAATACATTTAAAAGAAAGCATCATTGTCGATTATGTGGTCAAATCTTTTGTTATCAATGTTGCAATCAAATTGTATCTGGAAAAATTATAAAATGTTCAGGTGATCTTCGCGTTTGCAATTATTGTTCAAAAGTTGTTTTAACTTATTTGAAATCATCTGATATCAATGCTGATCTCAAATCTGATCTTCAAGCACTTGAAGATGATTTATCGAGTAAATTTGTTGGAACTTCAAGTGGCTCATCAATCAATTTAATGCCAGAAAGTGAAAGAAATTCTCTTAGAAAAGTTTCGATGGGATATCAGGAAGATAAATGGATAAAAAATCACGACATTTTATCAAATGCTGATCGAAAAAGTATTTTACAACAATCAAAATCACTTAAAGTTCTTTATGAAGATATGATAAAAGCACTTCCAATTCATAACAAAGGATCGGAATTAATGAATTATCTTACAAATATTCAAAAGTTAACAAACAAACAACAAATGTCAGCAATTCTTACTGCTATGATTGAAGCTGGTTTTATTGTTCCTATTGTAATGAATGAAGGAATAATTGAGTCAAGCGATTCCTGTAGTGTTGACTTTAATGAAAGTATCATTTATAAGTTACAAAATTGTGATGAAATCTTGAAAGAAGTCACAAAAGTTGATGCAACTCAATCATCAGAATTGAATGAAGAATTAGAAATTAAAGAAGTTTTACCGCCAAGCATCAATGCTGAGAATCTTTTTTCATTAACACAAGAGCAGGAACTTCATAGTTCAATTGTTTCTACAACTGGCTCGAAAGCACTTTTAGAAGCTTATTGTGAACACGAAGAACTTCTTTTAAATCAACTTTTACGGTATGAAAATTTGGATATGTCTTGGTCACGAATTTTAATCAATCAATGTGCTCGCATTGCACACACAATTCATCCAGAATTCGGTCAAGTTGTCGACTCGATGGATATTCGAAATTTTGTTAATTTTAAGAAAATTTCCGGTGGTTTAAGAAGTGAATGTGCGATTATTGGTGGTGTCGTGTTTACGAAAAACGTCGCACATAAAGATATGAAAACAACAATCGAAAATCCTAAAATTCTTCTTGTTCAATGTCCTATAGCTTATCAGAGAGTCGAAGGGAAATTTGTAACAATTGAATCGCTTGTTCTGCAAGAAAAGGAATATTTGAAGAATGTCACATCGAGAATTCTTTCCTATGCGCCCGACGTGGTCATAACACAAAAAAATGTTTCAGGAATTGCACAAGATATGCTTCGTGAGAATGGAATAACCTTAGTGATCGATGTAAAGTTGTCAGTGTTTGAACGATTGTCACAATGTCTTCAATGTGATGTTGTAACGTCGATAGAATCCAACATTGGACGACCCAAGTTAGGAAGTTGCAGAAAGTTTTACACGAAAAGTTTCATTGATGGAAATGGTTTTGTGAAGACTTTAATGTTCTTCGAAGTTCCATTCAGTCAACGTGGATGTTCACTCATACTTCGTGGTGCAAATGAAAAAGAACTTGCAAGAGTTAAAAAGATTGCAAAGTTTTTACTTTTCGCTCGATATAATTTCCGATTAGAACTTTCTTATTTGCTGGATGTGTTTGCTGAGCCACCACCTCGTAAACAAAATATTTTCGAATCAATTGAACAATCAGCAAATACACAAACTGAAGAAAATTCAATGACTACGAAGGATAATCAAGAAACTTTGAAAACATCTACTCAAAGAAAGGAAAAACTAATTAATAAAGAAAATGTTTCAGATTTTTCCGATCCTCTTCGAACGACAAATTTAACTGAGCTTAGTTGTGAACATGAGAAAGTTGTTTTGGAAGTTCAACATTCCTTCGACAACAAATTCCGATCAGCACTTAGTTCAACAATTCTCTCAATCAGTCCTTTCCTTCAACATCCACTTCCGTATTTTGAAACTGAAACCGGAAGGAAATGCACACTTCGCGTCTTCTTTCCAACAGAACTTTTTTATTCAGCACAATGGGATAACATCGTGAAACTTGAGAAAAATGACAACAACCAAGTTGAAAGTTCTTCAGATAATCAAACGGAAGTTAATCCAACTCATGAATTTCTTTTGATGAACTTTACAGCATCATTGGAACATAAAGATATCTTTCAAACAGCAATCGCTGATTATCGTAGAAATGGTGGAACTTACAAGAAAGTGACAAGAATGAAAGATGTGAATAAAAAATCAGAAGCAATTGCGAATATAAAATTAATAAAAAATGAAGGTTTGAGAGATGCTTTAGTGATCTACAATCATCAAAGACTTCCAGTTCTCTTTTCAAGTTATCATCACAATTCTCAAGAACTTCCTTCGTCATTCTGTGCTCAACCTTTGTTGCTTAACATGCATTTCTATGGACAAGATGATATCATGTTAGGCTTGTTTCTCGAACGATATTGCTTTCGAAGCTCTTACATTTGCCAATCATGTAAACTTCCAATGATGAATCATGTGAGGAAATATGCACATTCAATGGGTGTTGTTACAGTCAAACTGTCTGAAGATCCGATAAGAAATGAAAATTCACAAATCGTCATGACATCGCGTTGTGCAATTTGCAATTCAATGACACCAAGTGTTAACATTTCCAACGATACTTGGTGTTTATCATTTGCAAAGTTTCTTGAATTGAAATTTCATGGACATTCATACACGAGACGTAATTTGGAGGGTGATGATGATGGTTCATGTCATCATTCCATACATCGAGATCATATTCAATATTTCTCAAGTAATGGTGTCATTGTCAGCTTTATTTACAATCCTGTTGAAATTTGGGAAATTGAATTGCCACATTTGACAATCAAATTGAAAGCGAATGATATTATTGAAGGAAATAGTTATGGCGAGAAGATTAAAGCATTTGCAATGAAAGGTTACGAAGTATATGCGAAAATTCATGAAAAATTGGCGAATTTATCAGGTGAAGTAGAAACTCCGATGTTGGCAAGTTTGAAGAAAGTTCTGCATCGCGATCAGTTGATTTTTAAGCATCGTGCTGAAGTTATTTACACATTATTGGCATCGAAAAATGTTGATGCTACAGAAGTGAGTGATTCAATGTTGATGATGCAGAAAGATCTTGCTGATAGCATTGAATTGTGGGGACCACGGCTTAATGAAGCTGCAATTCTTTCAAAGATTTCCAATTCAAAAGCTGAAAACAATTCTTCATATCAAAATGAACAAGTTAGAGAAGTTGATGAAACTATTAACGATTTGGAACTCGATTATGATTCAAGTGGAATAAAACCACAGGATGAATCTCAAACATCTGACAAGAAAGAAAAACTTGACAAGAATTCTATTAAGCAATTGCTTGTAAAACTTTTACCATCAAGTTCGGAACAAAACATTTTATCAACTCCTTTCTCTCTCAATGAACATTTTTGTCTTTCCACTGGACAATTTCCCATTCTTGTTCATGATCAAGATTTGAGTTCAATTATTGCGTATTTTTTGATGTCCTACGATTACAAGAAGCTCTTCGAGAATCTTTCAAGTTCTGCGACTGCTGAACAAAGTTGTGGTAACAGTCCAAGTTTAAAGAGAAAGAATAATCAAAGTAACAACAGCAGTGGTGGACAAATAGAAACTGAAGAAAAAGATTCAAATCTTGGAGTAAATTTGGCAATAAATAAAGAAACGTCAGAGAAGAAAAAGCATTCAAGTCGACATATTGAAGTCAACGCACAAGATTCAACCACACAATTTTCTTGCAAAATGTATTTCGTGAAGGAATTTGATGAATTAAGATCAAATTGTTTGTCATTGCCAATTCAAAAATCCTTTTTCGATTCAATAAATCAAGATGAGTCGTCAAAAATGTTATGCGAAGAAACTCGAAAGGGATATGCACGATCATTGAGTAGCAGTCAAATGTGGGAAGCACGTGGTGGCAAAAGTGGTTCAAAGTTTAGTAAAACCAGCGATGATCGATTTATATTGAAAGAAATGTCAAAACAAGATGTTGGAGAGTTTGAGAAATTTGCACCATTTTATTTTGAATATTTGAATGAAAGTATTCGGATGAAAGCTCCAACACTTCTGGCAAAGATCTTTGGTGTTTATAAAGTAACAATCAAGAAGAAAGATTCAGTTGTTGAGAGAGCTGTACTTGTCATTGAGAATTTATTTTGCGATAGAATCATCAAGAGTAAATATGATTTGAAAGGATCGGAAAGGAATCGACTTGTTGATACGACGGGACAGGTTGGAGAAACAGTTTTACTGGATGAAAATTTGATTAAAGGTGAGTTAATATTTTACTTGTTAATTGTTAATTTTATTAATTTTCTTGTCTTCAGAATCGTGGACCAAACCACTTTATATCCTTACACATTCACATTCCGTTTTACGTGCTGCAATAATTCGCGATGCAACATTTTTGGAGAAGAATTATGTCATGGATTACTCCCTTCTTGTGGGCATAGACGATAAATATCTCATTGTTGGCATTATTGATTATATTCGAAAGTTTACTATCGATAAGAGAATTGAAAGTTACCTGAAGCAAGTTGTTGATCATCAGCGTCTACCAACAATTGTATCTCCAAATGTTTACAAGACAAGGTTCATTGAAGCTATGGATAGATATTTCTTGGCAATTCCTGATCGTTGGAATGGTTTTATGGCATCTCCAAAAAAATAATTTATATTTTCCCTGCACTAAGAAATTTACATCAAAATGTTACTATTCTTGAAACAAAATTTATCTTATTTCATTCTTTAATAAAAATAATCACAAGCTAAATATTGAATGGTTGTTATTGTCACTTTTAAACACCTGTTTCAAAGCAAAAAAATTAATGTTTTCCCAAGAATGTTAGACAGACAACTGAAATTATTTTCAAATTATGCAACGTCGCCGCTGAATTATTCAACGGCTTATTTTAACTTCAAAACCAAAACAGAAAAGTTTTCAAAGTATTGAAATTGAAAAGTTAACATAATGAATAGAGTGAAATCTTGTAATTATCCGGAATTATCACCAGAATTCAAGTGAGTTTTAGATGCAGAACGTGTTTGTAACAAACAATAAATAAATTCACCTTTTTCTTCAGAACATTGTTCAGTAACGAAAACGAACAGCTGATAATTGTCGGTGTTATAGGAAAATCAAATCTCCAAAATGCAAATAAAATGTCATGCTTTAATCTTTTCTCCTGCAATGCAGCATTTGTCTCTCAAAGTACAATTGATCGACAAGAAGGTCGAATCAAATTTTTTTACGAGAAGAACAGTAAATACATTTTCGTTCATTTCGAGACAGCATTTGATATGTTCATCACAAATGATTTAATTAAGGCCTCTGATTTTGAATATTTTCTTCCGTTTTATTCTAAATTGAGGACAAAATTTGCTCAAATGGTCTTGCTGGCTACTCAAATTTGTCACATAGTGGTTTTTGTAGAGCCTTCTTCGTATTTTGATTCTTCATATCTTCCGATATTTAAGGGACTCAAAATAATCAGAGAGAAATATGTGTTAAAGTTCCTTCCTAAGCTTTTGAAGAACACATCATATGGAAGTTATCTTGGTAAAGAAGGAAGATTATGTTCACCAAGATTCATATTTTTCTTCGAGACTGCAGAAAAGACTGCAGATGACAAAACTTTAAATGCACTTGAAATTGACATGGAAGATTCAATCTATCAACTGCTACGAACGAATTTTATCATAACAAATAACGCACAGATGAGCTTGTTTAGCATTCCAAAAAATAAAAAGTTTCTCTTTATCAACACAAATGATCAGTTGAATTCAGATCCAGTTATTGGTTCCCTAAACACATTGCTTGCATACATTGATGGAAAAAATGAAGCATTTGAAATAAAACCTCATCAAAATTATGGCATTCGTAGAGAAAAACGAGACATGCAATTATCAAATATTTTGGATGAGACTAAAGATGACAAGAAAAGATCATTTCTTGACTTACTTAATGATCATGTAGATGAAGCTTTGCATTATGGTTTTGATGATAGTCATATTAAATATCGGGGAAGAAATCATTTTGTTACTCCCACAATTAAAGTTTGGTACGAAACTTTCAAATTTATGCATAAAATATTCTTTGAAAACGTAAGATTGGGTTCCTTTACTCCCAGTGATCCAGATTATGTAAGTTTAATTGTAACATTCATCATTGATGATATGCTAAAATATTTCGTTTTTTCACGTAGAAAGCATTCATTGAAAATTTTCATAAAATAATCGACATAGATGAGCAGTAAGTATTAAAATTTGTTATTTGAATTCTTGATGACATTTCTCTTCTTAAAGATTCTTCAGAGACGCTTGTTTCACCGGCTACGACAAAGCACTTTCAAGTTATGCCGAGCTTCTACCACATCATTACAGCAAATCATTTCATGAGGGAAAACTTGAAGCAGCCTTGGAAATATTTCATAAATATGCACGTGGACCTGAGTCGACATTATTGGAAGAGAAATTGAAAGATTATTGTACTTCGATCTGGATGAATGGGAAACAGCAATGTGAGATTTTAAGTCTACGAAGTCATCCATGCGTTCTCATAGCGAAACATAATTTGAAACATTCAAGTGGCGTTGTTCATATTAATGCATGTAATTGTGGAAGCACACAAGGAACACGTGAAGATCCGTACACGATTTATTCAGCGAATTATGAATTTTATCAAATTATGAAAGGAAGTTGTGATAAATGCGAGAAATCAGCTTTTATTGATTTTCCAACTTTTATACCTTCATCAGAAGAATTTAAAGCAGCAGAAATTACAAATAAGAATTTAACTGCAACATTGCTTTCTGAATATTCTAATCAGACTCCAACTGATGATAAAGCAACAATCGATCATCAACATCATCTTTCAGCAAGTCAAAAGACCCAAGAATCTGAAACTGATTTAAATTTGAGTTCATCAAATTCAGAAAGTGAAAAGAGTGACGATGAAGTGAAAGAGGAAATTAATTCTGATGTCGATGAAGAGTTGAATGAAATTGTTGTTAAAATAGGAGAAGTTGGAATTAAAGAAGAACAGAAGCAAGCATCAACGACAGAATATTTACCAGGAATGATTTTAACGACAACTTCACAAGGACTGTTGCCTAGATTTTCCAGTTTTAGTTTAGTTTGCATTGGGTCTTCTTCTTTTTATAGCCACAACATTGGTCTTCAAGGTAAGTTATAATTATGAAACAACTCAATGACTCATTTTTATTGTGAATATTTAAACAGAAAGTCAAATGCCAGGATTCTTATCGGGAACGAATATTTTATTACCTTGGGATGTAAAAATTCGCTTAGAACATGCAAAAAGTTGGGTTGAAAGTTATGAAAAAAATCGAAATCGTAAGAAACATAAGCAGGGACAAAGTCATCAACAAAGCAGTGAAAGTGGAACATATTTTACTCTTAAAATATTTGTGGGAATGGAAATGGAATGTGGACGTGGACACAGATTCATGATGAGTTCAAACAACACAATTGCAACGAGTCAATCGAGAAGTATAGCAAGTTGCGGTAGTAGAGTTGTTTTTAGTGACATACCATTATTCTTCCCATGTCCTTGCAAAAATAATTCTATCGCTCAATTGATGCGGTAAATTTAATCAAAATTTTTACTATTTCTTCGATTTACTTTTTTGTTTCCTTCACAGAATTCATATTGTAACTCCTAAGGCTCCAGTTAATATTCATTTGGATCCCAAAATAAAAATAAGGAGAGAAACAGAAATGATTTTTACAACTGGATGGAGTGAACCAGCTAAGCTTTCACAATCTGCTTATTGGGTTTTGCGTTTGCCTTACGTTTATCAGGGTGAAGGTGAACCATTACCAACACCTTTAGATCCACGTACAATACCAGACTTGTCACAATATGGTTGTTTACTTCAAGGAATGTTTGAAATTAAAGAAAATGATTGTTAATTTCCTATTATTAAGAGAAATAAATAGAACTTCTTTGTATTATAAATAGTATCAACGTATCAGTGAATAAAAAAATAACGAAGTTCTTATTTTGAAAAATAAATACTCAGCGGCTTAGCGGCGCGACGTTACTATAAAAGTTCCCGCTTTATGAATTGGAAAATTTTGTTTATTTTTATCAGTTGAATGAAAGGAGAATATATAAAATGAATTTATTCCTCTTTTACTCGTAAATAAATGTTATCAAAAGATCTCAGACATTCGTCATTAATCTGTGCGAAAGCGGGTATAAGTGTAATAAGTTATCAATTCAATCGGAGGTGCTTTAGAGAAGTTTTTTGAATTAAAGTGCGCAGACGCTACCAGACACTATTAAATTCAACGAAAAATATTTTTCATTCAATAGTCTCAAAATAAATTTTAAATCAAGAGTTATGGGTGAGTAAAATCTCATTAGTATTCACAATCGTCCTTATGATGTAAAAAGAATGTTTTCGATATCAAATAAAGTTGTTGAAATGAAGTAAATAACAACAACTTAAATGTTTCTAAATTACTCAATGATAACCGAAGCACCACTCAGCTTTATTTATAAAAATTTCACCCTCTATTTCTTTATTGTCTGCTAATTTTTAATTTTCTCTTACAAGAATCTGAAGTAAATAATAGTGGAATTTTGGATCTTACTAAAAAGGGACTCAAAAAAATCCCAAAAACTGAAGATTCTCAATCTGTTCGTACGCTTCTATTGGACGACAATGAATTGCAGAAAATCGACAATATCGACTCGTTCTTAAGGATTGAGAAGGTAACGAAACATAAAAGTTTTCAAAAAATTTTCACACTTTTTATTTTTACTTTCTAGCTTTCACTGAAGCATAATCAACTACTACGAATGTATGGCGTTAGTCGATTGCATAATTTGCGTGAACTTGATCTCAGTTACAACGGTATTTTAACGATCGAGGCTCTAAAAGAATGCATTCATTTGACGCATTTAAACTTAGAAGGAAATTCAATTAAGTCCATAGAACACTTGAATACGAATTTAAAATTAGAGTTTCTGAATTTAGCAGAGAATAGTATTGGAATTATTTCTGATATTTCGTTTCTAAAACATTTAAAAGTAAGAAAATTATATTTTTATATGTGTAGTGTGTATTGAGAAATTATTAATTGTAGTTCTTTACATGGTCATTGCATGAATGAATTAGTTATCATTATAATCGTTAATATATTTGAAACTCATAAAATTTTCTCATCTTTTATATTCTTAAAGGAATTGTATTTGCATTCTAACCGGATTTCCCACTTTCGTCAGTGCGATCGATATTTGCCAACATCACTTGAAATTTTAACATTGAACAAGAACAGCATAAGTGATTTGAATGAAATTTGCACATTGTCACATTTGAACAATTTAACAAGTATTACAATAGTTGATAATCCTTGTGTACAAATGACAGGTGGACATTCACTGTAAGTTTTTAAAAGTCAAAGAATTAAAATGAGCATTATCGTGATTTTTCTTTGTTTAGTTTCAATTCTAGTGGCTTTGATTACCGTCCATTTGTATTGAACTGGTGCATGAGTGTAAAAATAATTGACGGATATGTTGTGAGTCCTATTGAATCGTTGAAAGCTGAATGGCTTTATAGTCAAGGAAAAGGTCGTTCATATCGCGTGGGTGATCAACAAGCTCTCGCTCAATATCTTTCACAAACGTGTCCTTTAAGTGGAGAAGCACTCGAAAATGAAAACGAAAGAAAACTTCGATTAATACTCAGCAAAGCACAACAGCATCAACGACAACTTCAAGAACAAATCATCTCAGGAAGTTCACCTGCTACCACTCCAAACAGTTCGTCCACAAATAATTCTCCTTCTACAAACAGACGTAAAGGGCATAGTCGTATTCAGAGTCCAAGAGGTAAGTTTTACATTACGAAAGCTATAAATCACCAACAGTTTTTTATAAGTTTGAATGATTTCTCATTCTTGATGAGTCATAATAGCCTACTTCACCCTACCCTCTCCCTGTCTGTAATAAATACTATAAATCATATTTAGAATTGCTAACTGACATATTATCATTATTATGATTTATTAGTTAGTCGATTGAGTGGTCATCGACCTGCTACAGCGGATGCTATCATGTCAAATAGTTTTCATGGAACATCAATGACATCAAGTCACATAGAACCTCACAACAGCAGCAATCAATCAAATCAATCGCTTGAAATGACAAAATCATTAATAGAAAATTTCACAAGCGATAATTTGATGACCCAGAGTTTAGACCCTGCGATTCTTGGTGTGTCTGCTATGAATTCAATGAACTCATCGATGACATCATCGATTCGAGATCATCAACAGAAATCACCAACGACAAACAACAACATGAACGTTAATTTGTACAACGATCAATCGAGTATTCCCATTGTTCAATCTTCGGGTCCATTAGTGACAGCATCAAAAATGATGCCAGTGCCTGAATCTCTTATGTCACCTGATTGTGGACCATCATCAACAATTACACCTCAACAACGTTCTCTGTCAGCCTTAACAACAGCAGTGCCAACAATATCGTCGCATTCTTCAAAAACTTCAAAAATAAGTCAACCACATCGTCCCTTCAGCAGTCCATCGTCTATGACAAAAACTTCAAAGGCATCAAAGACAAAATCTGAAAAGTCGCCTTCAAACAGTCCACGAAAAGCAATTGCCAACACAACAAACACGAAAATACTCCAGAATCAATCGATATTGAAGCATACAACAACCTCTTCACATCCACTTCCATCTCAAAAACAATCGTTGGCAATTATGTCAAGTGGATCAATGGATATGGACCGAAGTGATGATGATGTTGATTATATCGGTGATCAAATAAAAAGTTTACAAAAAACTTCAGGAAATGAAATAAATAAAAATCAAAAACAGTTGAACAACAGTTTCCAACATACGAAAGAAATTGCTGATAACAAAGAATTAAAATCAGCAATTTTAATTCAAAAATTGTGGCGTGGATATTCAATTAGAAAGAAATGTGTTGATAAGATTGCGGATAGTCTTCAGAAGAAAAGGTTTGAAAAGCTTTTTAATATGAAGTTTGGAAAATGAATTTTAATTTTATTATTTTATATATAGAACTCAAGATTACATAATGCAGCTGACAAAGGATGTTGAAAGTACTAAACAGGCTTTAGAAAATGAAAGAAAAATTCAACAATTGCAAATGCAAGCAATAAATGCTTTATGGAAAAAAGTTTCCAACATGCAATCAATTACAGAAACATCTGGTGGGGGCACAAGTGATATTGCAGCTGTCAGTGGATTTGGTGGTCAAGAGGTTGTTCAAGATTTAACCAGAACTTGTTCTATGCTTACGAATCAGGTAAATTCTTTAAGTTTATTAAAAAAAGATCGAAGTCTAATTTGTATTCACTTCTCTCAGGTACAACAACTTCAAACATCAATGCGTGATATATTGAATTGCGTAACAGTTTTTGCACAGCTTCCTCAAGTTCAACAGCAACAAAATACAAATACAGCAACATCAAGCATACAAACAGAAATTATTGCTGTTCATACACCACAAATTGAAAATCCAAAAGAATTCCCATTTGTCACGAATCAGAAGATGCAAAGACCATCATCTTTGCCAATAAGCAGCACATCATCGAGTGAATCTACCAAGACTAATACGACTACGAATGAAAGTCAAGAGCCGCCTTTGAAAGATTGCAATGGGTCGGTGTAAATTAACACTTCTGATTTGAATGAGTAAGCGATCGCTTTGCTATTGAAAATTAAAACACAAGAACAAAAGTACTTTAACTTAAGCTTATAAAGCTTTCTCTTTAGCGTAATTCTTGATATATTTAAAAAATAAAACACCCTCACACACATTGTCAGCTTTCAATAAATATTCCTGTCTGTGCTTGCGATGAATAATTTTCCTCACAGCTATCAAGCCAGTTCCTTGATCTCAAAATCAAATTCAATTGTGTCTTTCATTCAATGTCCAAAGATCGACCACATGAATAAAAGTTATGTTTTAGTAAATATTAACGATGGAGTCATTTATTCACTTTCTGATGATGAGCTTTCTTCTTCAGACACATCAAGAGTCTTTCGATTTAAATTTCCTTTGAAGTTGTCAAGATCGTCATCACTTTCTTCGTGACATCTTTTCTTTGTGAATTCTTTCGGCCAAATTCCATCCTTTGTGAATTCCTTTATATGTTCGTCGGTAAGTATTCTAACGATTTCAGCTTTTACTTTATCACCTTCCGGAATGCGCTCAACGATCACGAAATTTCCTCTTTTTATCCAAACATTTTTTCGAAATTTTGTAGGCACTGCAAGAAATTTAAAAGTTTATATGCATAAAATGCTACTTTTATAGAATAAAAAGATATTACTTGATACTAAGAATTTATTCATTCCAAGAGCCGATTCAACTTCATGTAAATTGTTTCCTTTTGAACTAATAATTTTGACAATCTCTTGGTTGTCTGTGGGCTGACTGAAATCATCTAATTCAATCTCACGTTTGACATGTTTGAGCTTAACGACTCTTGACATTTTAGATTTGTTATGTTATATTTTTTCGTGTTTCTCTTGAATGTTTGTTTTTATTCAATGAGCTCAAATACGACGCCGTTGAGATTTGAACGACGGCATAGAATTCAATTCAAATTTATACGTTAAATTTTATAACTACTTGAATATTCAAGATAAGAATAAAAATTGTTGAGCTTGTTGTTGAACAAGATTCTAATAACAGATATCATTAATAAGCTTTCTTGAATATTTTATTGTAAATTGATCTGTCTTTTTTCATTTCAAAATAATAAATTGTAAGTTGGTTGATGTAAACAAACATGTATCGTATACATAGTGATATTATACCTTGGGACCTCAAGAAGATGTAAACTCATCTTGAATAAGCACTAAATTTTTCTACTTAACTTAGATAAGTTAGATTGATAATGCGGACTAAAAACTTTTTAAAATAAATTAAAATTTTTATTACAAATCAAAGCAAAATTTTAAATCTATTTAAAATTTTGGATTTTTGCTAGAACTCTTGTTTTAAACAAATTTGATGAAACAGTTTAAATGACTAAAGGAAAAAGAATTCTATCTGTCGATCTTACTAAGTATTTGATATTTTTTATAATACAAGATATTCATTCTTTAACTATAGACATGTTCATTAGATGAACCATAATATTTTGTTTTATTCTTTCTTAAATCTATTCTTAATTATTTTGAAATCGTTAAAGAATTTATCGAAATAATATCATTCTCAAATTGACTCTCTCACATTTCATCTAGAGAATAAAATAATAATGTTGAAAAGCATAGCTTGAACAGAAATTATAAGTTTGAATCTCTTCGAGTATAAACCTTCAGTGTGCAATCGTCTCGAGTGTGAATAACATCGCGAAGAAAGACTAAGTTTATGAGCGGAAGAACGCAAAAAAAAAATCTCGTTAAAAATTTCTTCTAAATCTACAGTAAGTTTAACTTACAACTCTTTCTCTGAAGACAAATCTGACGAAGATATCAAAAGTGTTTAAAGATTATTATTTTCTTTATTATTATTTTTTTTTCATAAGGAACTAAACCAGTAAAAGAAAGAAAAAAAATCCGAAAAAGAATGTCGAAATACTTTGTGATACTTTTGAGTTTTGCTGTTTTCTTAACTCGATTTGCCGGTAAGAAAATAAAAGAAAAAGAAAATTATTGAAGATATTTGAATTTTATTATGTACCCTTTGATCGTCAATGTTCTCTCAGTGTTTAAGGCTGATGTAATCAAAAATCTTATTTTTTAAATCCGCAAGACACAAAAGAAAAGAACGATGTTGCAAAAAAAATTGTTTTCTTTTTCTACAAATCTGAGATTGTTCTCTCGTAAAGATCGTTATGAAAGGCAAAGGAAATGATGAAGCACGAAGAAAACAACCGTTAAAACATTTTAATTGACAATCGATTTATTGTTGATGTTGAATGAATGAATGTGGTTGATACATACAACAATTATATTTCCAACAGTTTATTGAACCATTTACAAAGTTAAAGTTATCAATCGTTACAAAAGTAGGAACAGATAAATCACTTGTTAAGATATTTATTTAGAACTGGAGATTTCAATTGGATGATCTAATCATCTTCACTTCCTACACAAAGCGTTTCAATCAAAACAATTTACACGCGAGAAAATGAATAAATAAATGTATTTGCCAATTGTTCAAAATTTATATCACGATAGACATTTTTTTTGATCTCATCATTCCAAGATTATTGATGATGTGTTAATAATTTTTTCCTGCTTTGAGTTCGTTGTGTCTAATTGGCGATTGCGAAGGTCATCAGTTTTGTGAATGGAATGATTCTGTTTCAACTTATTCTCCCTTAATGTTCGAGTCATCACTGGCACTGATGTATGTACATAGCATCACCTGTAGTAAGTACATTAAGATTGCATGAAAACGTTTCAATGTTGGATATGAAAATCAAGCAGTTGAGAAGTAATTGCTGATAATTGTAGGAATTCACGCAATAATTCCTGGTTGGTGAGACTGGAAGAAATTCATAGTAAAAATTAAACAATACTTAAAGGCAAGTCTAAGCAGCGTGGCTGAGTGAGGGTTTTCTTAGAATAAAATTGCTTACAATTTTTATGAATATATTTTTAAATTTTAAATTTTATCACGACTTGTCATGAACATTGTAATTATACGTCAATAATTGTGTAAAGTTCTTACTAAAGTAGTCGGACGAACAGATTGAAATCACAACAAAAATATTTCTTCTCTTCAAAGATTAAATTACTCGAACATAAATAATCTGCCAGTATTCAAAATTCGACTTTCATGAAATAATTCTGAATCACTTGTTGCTTACTTAAATATGTGTAATCTCTTGTTACAAACAGAATCATATAAAAGATGAACGCTTCCTTTCCAGGTAAATAAATAAACTGTTTTTTTTCTTGTGTCGTGATTGAAATGTCTATTAATATTAGATTTGTGTACTCTGAAGTGTTGAATGATTATGATGACCTTAACCGAACTTTTGTTAGCTTTTAAAATATTTACTGTTCTGAGGTTAAAATCCATAAAATTTGTTGTGACTTGTGACGTTTATGGTTGATAAATTCTGCAGTGATTGCAATGTTATTATTATTCTGAAGCTTCAACTTCAAATTTAATAAGCTATTAATCATAAACCTTTAATTTATTAATCATACAACTTAAGTAGTCATTCAATAGAAATACATATTTGTTGATGCTTGTTAGATTGCCACATTATAACAATTACATCATTATTAATTATAATCCAAATGAATCGATTACAGACAAAAGAAAAATAAGACTTCAACACCAATTTCAAATATCTCTTCATCACCATCATCAGTCTTATTCTCTTTTATTGTTTGTAAAGATAATGTTATTAATATATAAAAAAATAAAAGGTGATTTTATATTTATCTTCTTATAGATTCTAAGCCGGCTTACCAGTTTTTGGAAAGCAGACCTGGATATATTCCTGTTTATATAAGGTTGGGAGATCAACCTCTTAGCGAAATACATCCTCTGTTAGCTGAAGCATTTGGCGAACGTGATTTAATTAATACAAGAAATATTCAGGCATGTTTCTCGCTCAATCAATTCTGAAAACTTTTCTAAATATAATAAATAAAATAACGTCATTTAATTCACAGGAACTCGATGAAAAAGAAATAACTCCCTTAGGTTCTTCGTCATCAGATTCTGATGAAGCGGGCCTTTTTCTTAATGAAATTATTCCTGCTGATGAAACTCAACTTGGTAACAAGAAGAAAAAAAATTCATAATCTGAAAATTTCTTGAGCTAATAAAAATTATTTTTAGCAAAATTATTGCATAAAAACTTAATTAGAGAGTTTCATTTTTTTTATTTCTTCACTCATTTAATTATTTATGAAAGTTTTAATGATTGGTTAGAATTTTATTGAATCATTTCTTCATCCAATTTCTTTGTAATCCAATCAGGTTCGGCTTGGGTAATTTTCTCAATGATATTATTGACCTGATAGCAAAGACTTTGTATTTGTTTATCCCATTGTGGAAGGATTTCGCGGGCTGTCAAAATTAAATTGATTGAATGTTTACGAATTTATTATGAAGAGAATTCTTCTTACCTTCAAAATTAACAATGCTGTCAATTTGATCAATGTAACCATTCATTCGGCCTTCAGTGATCATTTGGCTTGCAATCCGTTCAGCTTTTTTTGGTGGAATTTCCAAGAGTGCACCAAGTTCTTCAAACGTTATGTTATTGTACAATTTACTTGCTGACAACAAATTGTGCTCAAACACTGCACGATCAAGAATTGATGATCCGTCGGGTGTTTTTGCTTTTTGATGATCCATCAGAAGAGCTTCAAACTCTTGCAATTCTGTTCGTTTAATAATACGATCTAAATACATCTTCTCTAGTATATTGAAAGCTGGTAAATTTTGACAACGCTCATCCTTGAACAATGTTGCAAGCATTCTTGAACGTTGCTGTCCAGCTGATGCCAAAACTGTGCAAATCAAAGCTTTTTTCAAAGCAACTAATCGTTCTGTCTCATCAACTTCACTGCGGTACGATAGTTCATTATAACGTTGTGCAGCTTCAATAAACTTACGACGATAATCTAACACACGAGCATAGCAAACCTTATAGAGAATTTGTAGTGTTTCGTTTTTAGTATCAGCTTGAAGCATTGAAGCGCGATTTATAAATGATTCAGCCATTGCCGCATCTTCATCTTCAAGATATAAGCGAGCGATTTTCAAATAAGTTTCTAATTTATATTCGACAGAATATTGTCTGAAACATTAATCAGATGTTAAATTTGAGAAAATTCGTTTTTAAAATTGAAATTATTTGTTTACCTTTGACCAGTTTCTAAAGGAATAAGTCCGAGGACATTTGCAGCTTCGCGCCATTGTTCTTGACGTTCATAAATTGATGCGAGATGTTGTCGAATTGTTGCAACTTGTTCCTCAAATGAAATAACTCGTGGTTGTACACGATCCAAAGTGAAATGAGAAATTGCCGCTGAAACATCATCCGGAAGTGATTTGAATTGGATACAAATTTCAGTAAGAATTTGTCTCGAAATTACCAAACTCACTTGATCATTGACAACTGAAAGAGAGTGAATATAAAAGCTTTACAACATTTTTATATTTAAAATAAAGCAAAACTTACTTGCTTCAATAAAAATTCTCATCCATTCACTTTGATTTGGATCTTTTGCCAAGAAAATTTGTTCCAACAAAGAACGATAACGATCTGCAAGTTCTTTGTGTCCACCAGATGATGAACTTAAGCTCAACAATTGTTGGCGAAGTGTTTGAGTGTTCATTTTCTCTATTTTTCTATAATTAAACTCACTTTCACTGTTTTGTTTATTTATTCCGCAAGACAAGTTATAACTATTACAGTTCTAAGACGACGATTTTAAGCTTGTGCACAAGTGTCGTGAATACACTGTAAATGTTGTATTTTCAAATAAATTTCTGTTTTTAACTTTATAGATTAATGTGTATATTTGCTGTATATGTGTATATTTCGAATTGAGATTAAAATGAGATTAACTTAAAATAAAAAATATAATGAAGGTTTCCAAATATTTATACTTGTATATAATCCAAACATAACAGATTGAAAAAGCTGATATTTAAATTTTTCATGCTTTAGGTGATTGACTAGATTAGATGTGAGGTTCATTGACTTATTTTTATATAGAAGTGAATATGAAGAAGTGAATATAGGTATATAGAAGACATATGGTTGCTAATTTTATTGTTGACATTTTGCAACTTTGTTTCTTTTCTTGGCACAACCTTCTTGTTGAGAAATTTTTAATCTTGAATTATGAAAAAAAGCTGAAAATAGCTGCTTTGAAAATCTTATTCAATATCAAACATAAATAAATTTGTCACTAAGTGTTTTTTTATTAATTTTCTTGAAATTCAAAGTATCCCTACATAGTTTTGAAATAACTAGCTACTACTTAAACTTTATAGAAAATTATGACGGTTCGGTGATATATTTTTTCTTTGCTAAGGAGTGCACTCAGACTATTTTTTATCAAAGTCCTTCTATGAAAAACTGAAATTCATTATTTGAATTTCCATCATGTTATATTCATCATAAGAAAATCTACTTCATTAGATAACTTATTTAACTGATTGATAGAAGTGATATTTATGCTTATTTAGGTAAAAAGAAAGTTAAGGTAATTTTAGAAAAGTCGAGTTGAAAAAGTAACACATTTAAAGTGCATGATTGAATTTGGTTGGCTCGACTTTAATATTAGAATATTTTCTGATACATCCATTTAAGTTGGCAAGGGTTGGTTGAGTTAAGAAGGCATGTCATGCAAATTTATTTGAACTAACTAGCATAGGATAATCTGACGAAAGATTAAAATAATGTATTTATAATATTTTCCTAATATTTTTTCATTATAATACTGGAATCATCTGAAGAACTAAGTTTGTATCTATAAAGTGATGTTTATTTACTCTAATCCATTCAAATGTCACTTTGATTTCATTGAAACAATAATTTACTATGAAAACAGTAGCAATATTCAATATTTTTCAATTGGTTCTCAGTGATTACTAATTAATGAGATAAGGCACAATTATTGCAGAAAAATTAATACAGCCGCTGTTTTAGTTTCCATTTCATCTCATGTGACAATTTCATATTTTACTATCTCGACAGTAATCTGACATTAAACGACTTGACTTATGCTTTCATAAAAAAAATTTCACTAATTTTACTATTTTCAAAATCTTCATCATTTGCATTAAAAAGAAAGAAAGGAGAGAGGAGAAAATTTATGTGAAAACATGTAGGAAAATAGAATCAAAAAAACCTGAAGAAATAATTTCAAATTTATCTACAATTAACATGATAAGGGTTATTATAATTATTATTAATATTATTATTTAAGAACATATATTGCTCTTAGTATTTTTTACATATTTTTATCATTTCATTGGAATGTTTTCAAGTTTATTTATTTTTTACTCTAAATTGCCTTTTTCTTTGCATTAACTTAAACAAAACAATAAGAGAGGAAAGAGAAACGAAAAAGAATTAGATAAATAACAAAATATGTTTTTGTGTTCAACACTGCAGCCTTAACTGTAACAAGGATTAAAACTTCTTTATCCTATTATTTGCCTATGTAAATCAAAAAATGTTTAATTAATATTTCTGTAATTTTTTGAGAGGACTTTTGCAATAACTCTTTAAAAAAATATGCTTCGCATTTTCCCAAAATCAAAAAAAAATCTTTTGCGTCATGAAAAGAACACAAAAATAAATTTTAAAAAATTTATTAAAGGTCGGGAGAATGCCATTCGAACACAACATGAGCCATCATTAAGTATACAGTTGCTACACAGATACTGCCTATCATAACCGGGAATCCAACTCTGAAAAATCAATTAAAAGTTTTATTAACTGTTCTTGAAAGTCATCAAAAGAATTGTTTCGTACTTAAAGAACTCAACGAAAGTGAATCTGTAACCATGTTGCTCCGCAACACCTGCACAGACAACATTCGCAGATGCTCCAATTAACGTTCCATTTCCTAGAAAACATTTAAAGTTAAATAATTTGATTACTTAATTACAGTTGTAATAATTTTCTTACCTCCAAGGCATGCTCCAAATGCCAAAGCCCAAACAAGAGGTTGTAATGGTAAGTTGAGGGCTTCATTTTCCGAGAGAGAAATTGCAATTTTCACCATCATTGTTGTTAATGGAATGTTATCAACAAATGCTGATGCTAATGCAGAAACCTTTGAAACAAAAGAGAACAATTTAATCAAATTTGTCATCCTTTTAAATCATAAAATAAAAACTCACCCATAAAATGATTAAAATAGCGACAGCTAAACGAGACTCTTCCCCTACAGAAAGAATAACGTTTTCAGTTTGCCGTCCAATCCAATCGATAAGTCCAAGTTCAGAAAGAGCTTCCATTAGAACGAATAAAGCAGCAAAGAAAAGTAAAGTTGACCATTCAACACGGGCAAGAACGGCTTCCATATCCTCTCTAGAAAAATATAAATCGACGTTAATTTTATGATGAAATTATTTTATATGACCGCTCACCGATCAGAAAGAATAAGAAGCAAAATAGCTCCTAAAAGTGCTGTCCATCCAAGTGACAATCTTTGGAGATTAGGAACAGAATGAAGGAAGAAAAAGCTAATGACAAAAATCAAGGTGACTGAAGATTTTACAAGAAGTTTTTTATTTCTAATAGGATATTTTGCTTGTAAATCTTCAAGTGTTGCTTTATAGCTTTCAGTGGGAATTGAGCCAGATACCAGCTTCTTCTTCAATTGGCGACCAAGGCGATTAACTTTCTTCAGAAGCGTTTCTCGTACCAAGTCTTCATCTTTTGAATAAGATGAAAGCGAAGCCGCTGCACGTTGCCACACAGATATTTCATGACGTAATTCTTGGACATCATTTGGTTCGCTGAATCTTAAGTCATTAATATTGCGGAACTTATGTTTAAGCTGGAAATATGTCTGCACCATTACCAGACAAACTCCAATTGCCATGTGAAGTGTAAAAGTGGTAAAATTAACTCCCTGAAAAATATTTTTGTCATGATCGTCGTCATCAAACTTAACAATTTTCTTACCTTTTTCGAGATGTGACTATTTGAAGCAATAATGACATTTGGTGGATCACCAACAGGAGTCAAAGCACCGCCAATGTTGGAATAAATCACCATAGACATAAGAATTGGAACAGGATTCAACTCCATAACTTCACATAAACGGATTGTTACAGGCGTCATCAGTAAAACGGTTGTGACATTGTCCAAGAATGATGAAAGAATTGCAGTAAATAAGCAGAGACAATTTATAAGCGGCCAAACTGCTCCATTTGTAATCTAAAATTCAAAAGCATAAATTTTTTTGATGTTGAATTTATGAAGAGACAAGTTTTAATACTTTGTAGGCATAGACAGCAAGATAATCAAAGATTCCAGTCTCTGACAGAATGGCAACTAAAATCATCATACCAAACAGCAGTAGAAGTGTTTCAATATCAATCCAAGACATTATTAACGTCATTGGTGGTCTTTCATTCATAGCAGCTAAGATGCCTGTAATGAAAAGATGAAAAGATAAAAATTGTCTATTTGAATAGAATAAAATTAGCTTACCGATTGCCATCGTTGATGCGATTATAGCAGCAAATGTTCTATGTACCAATTCCCAAATAATCATAACATAAAGTCCCAAGAGAACAATAGTTGCGTAGATTATTCCCCTGTCCTTGTCTAAAGGCGATGGATCATAAGCAAAATTCAATGGAAAACTCTCATCAAAGTTGGTAATCAAATTTAGATTTAGAACTGCTGATCTATTGTCATAAAGCATACGGTAGGCCATTTCATTAAGATCCACAACCTTAACACGTTTTATTTCTTTGACTTTATCCATTTCAGTGATGTTTACAATGGGAAATGTAAATTCTTTTGTTATGTTTTTTGTTGAATTCGTTATGGGATCGTATATTGACAGATAGTAATGTAAATAATTTGTTGAATCATTATCATAATGTTCATTGTAGAATGATCCCTTAAATATCAGTCCGACACGTGGTTCAATTGGCAAATCCGCAAGTACATAAGCTAAAACGTTTTTATAAATAAGGAAATAAGTTTATAATTAGCTTGCTTTATCATAAGGTAATTTTATCGCTTACTCTTGGTATCATTATCTTTCGGTATTGCTAATTGTCTGTAATGAAGGGTTTTTTCGTTTTTGGACATGAGAAAGACTGTGAACATGAACCATGCAATGAGGAGCACGATCAATTTACACCAACTGACGTATTTATTTTGCTATAATTAATAAGAAAAAATATTATTTATGATCTAGTTGAAAGTCGAGAAATATTTTGTGATTTACTTTGTGGTGACCACCAAGATGATGATGCATATCGGTAATGTCATGATCGTCAGGTTCGGGTTTCTCACTAAATCGTTGATTTAAATTATTTAGGACGAATTCAATTAAAAAATTAAATTTCTACTTCATACCCATTTTTAAGATGTCCCATCGCTTCTGCTGTTTCATTGGACATGTTTATTTTTACTAAATCATTGTGTGATTCACCATTATTTGAATTATTCTCAGACACATCTTCGTTGGGTAGTGGATCCTCATCAGGGTTTTGTGGAGGTCCTGAAAATAAAATTTATTTCTTCCATTAACATGTTCTAAGAACTAATGACGTAAAGAAATATTAGTGAGACCCGTGAGGTCGATGAAGGAAATCTGAGTAGTTATATGAGATTTTAAACCATTAAATTGACTTTATATGTTTAGTTTAGATAGATTGATTGGCGAGGTTCAAGTCAAGGTTCTGGCGAATGTGATTTCTTAATAAAATAGAATTTTATGTCATTTTAATGATAGAAAATCACAGCATATGTCTAGATAAGCAGCAATTGCACATGAATCCTTTTGTTGATATAAATAGTTTAATAATAGTTAATAGAAGTTGTTATTGATTTTTTTCTCCATATAATTTGTACTTGTGTCACGTTTATGACCATATAAGATCTATTTATGTAGTCAATATCAAGAAGTCTTGTTGAAATTTTAAATCTTCACAACTTGGAATTTAATCCCTTAAGACAACATCAGACGATGATAAGATAAAATATTTCAAATCGTTTTCTTTCACGTTTTTGTAAATAAAATAATTAATAATTAAAACATCAACTGCGAACTTGCGTCATCTTCATTCACGTCGTTTAATTTCAAATTCCTTTAATTACTCATTTTCACGAGACCTTCAATTGGCAACAATGGTGTTAGTTTTAATTCTCTTTTTTAATTAAACTTGCGTATATTCCTATGGTCGTGTGGCAAAGTTGTAAATAGATAAATTTATCTAAAGCGTTAGTTTAAAGCTAAATACCTAGTTGGAAAGTCGCTTAAAAAATTATTTAGATTTCAACATGCAATATTAAGTCATAACTTTTTTGCACAAATGTTGACGTCTTACATCATAAAAAATCTTTGATCAAAATCTCTATAATAAAGAATAAGCTTTTGATGGCTCATCAATCAAATTATGATTTTTCTTGTTAATCTAAGGTATAATGAACTTTGATTTTTAATTATTTCGACAATCAAAATGATTTATTTGTTTTTCGTCGGAAAATCACAGCAGTTTCATTATCTTGTAGCTTCTGCGTGAGCTTACGATTTACCGGAATTACTTCGCAAATAACCTACCTAAGAAACGTGACTCAATGTCGTAAAGTATTTGGTGTTTATTGCATGATATTTAGTAGACGACAATCTTATCGTTATAGATCAACAGACCCTTGTGTATGATTATTTTGTGTAATTTTAAAAATGTAAAGCAATCACGAGTGAATTTAAAGCTCACAAACAAACTACTTCTTTTTTTATCATCAAAAACGATAAAAACCTTGAAAGTCATAAAGCTCTTCCAATTCACGGCTAAGAAATTTGAAGAGTGAAAATACAAACATGTTTACCGACTTAAGGAGGAAATAAAAATAAAATGAAAAAGGAAGTAAATTAAAGAACATTTAGAATATCTTGCGAAAAAAAGAGAAGATATGATGTATGGAAAATTATTATGATTTCAGTGACCTCTTAAGCCACTTAGTAGTATGCGAACATTTTGTCGCCGAAAATTTATATCGCTCATTCAACATATTTCGATTCTCGTGTGCGTTTGAGAGATTTTTGTTTCTATATTTTCCGAAAATTCATGACAAATGAAGACTTCTGATAATGTTTGTATGCAATTTTTTAAAAAGATTTGCATGAGGTAGTTTCGTTTGTACCTTGTACTTTTCTATCTATAAAGTCTTTATTTTTTATGATTTCTTTTATCACATTTAAATGAAAGAAAGGAAAAAAAAGAGAAGAAAAAAGCTTTTCTCAAACTTGAAGATTCAGAGAAGAACATTCGATCACTCGTGAAATCTCAAACTACGAGGTGAAGAAAATAATTTCCACACCATTTGGTTATTTTTAGTTAAATAAGATTTTGAAGAGCAGCGATTTTCAAACGGTATTTAAATTTTATAATACTAACAAAATCTGAAATTTAATCTGATGCTTAAGATTTTTGTGAAAAAAATAAACGAGTTGTATTTAAATTTTGAACTTGTGCAAAAATAATTTGTGACTTAGCAGGTTGCAATCACTAAAGATATTTATAGATAAGCGTGAGAAAGAAAAGGAAGGAAAATTGAATTGATGACATCACGGACTATCGCACACACATTCAAATTATAAAAAAAAATATCTGACATGTGAATACTCACCATGCAAGCGCTCATGTTCTTGACGGAAAGATGCTAAGCTCGGATCTTGACGGATTTTTTCTGGAAGTTGTCTCCACACTTCCAAACTTCCTTGGGTTACCTCGCTAAGGGAGACAAACGAATAATTTGATACAATTGATGGTCGATTCTTTTTTAATCTTGATTTCTTCTTATTGTCATCACTAAATTTCATTTTTTTCATATCTTCATCTTTCTTCATCTTTCTTTCTTTTTTCTTGATAATTTATTACTCTTTATTGTTAGCTCAAGCCTGAATTTATATTATTAAATATTTTCATGGGAAATCATAGAATTTAATTTTAAGTGTTATCAGGGAATAAAAAAAAGGAATAAAATAAGTTGAACAAAAAATCTCAAAGTGACAAGAAAAGAACTAAAAAAATATGCCAAAGACGGAAATTTATTGATTCGCGTAATTATGATACTGACTCAGCTAGTAGAGGATGTGCTGCTTGAGGATTAGATTCCATTATTCGGCTTTAACTTAAATGGAAATATTTTCCTTTTTTTCTATTCTTTATTTTTCTTTAATTCAATTCAATATTTATACTCAAATCACTTCAAATATTCAAAAAAGACTGAGCGAAATTTTCATGCGGCTAATTTTCAAAGAAAACTCAACGTTTAAGAAATACAATAAGTATCTAGCAACTCATGAGAAAAAATTCATTTCTATTTTCTCAATCCGTAAATGTGAGAAAAGCAGTGGAAAATATATAGAAAATATTTTTGGCTCATGACCAGAGGTGAAACTCTTGAAAAAAAAAAAGTTCAATAACTGTGATTGATAAAGGGATTTTTAAATAAATAAACAATTCTTTCACTAAATATTCAGTAATTAAAGCTCCAATCAAAATAATTATTTCGTAGATTAATTAAATAAATAAACTTTTCAGTAAAATATTTGCTTAAAAAGTTATACGACTGAAACAACTGGAATGATAATTCTCTCTTGAACTGAACAAACTGCATTAGAATCACGATGAAGTTTGATCCGATAATATTTAAAATAATAATAAATATCGTTCTCGCTCTCCAACAATATTTTCTAGTTTTAAAAGAATCTTTTTTGTTTTCGACAAAGACAATTTCAATTTCTTCGGCTTCATATGAAACCCCCGCAAAAAAATGTGTACGAAGAAAAATTTTATTTCTAAAACTTAAAAAACGACTTGTTAATAAAGCATCTTCCGTTCTTTGGCAAAATTTCTCGTTTGTTTTGTTCTTTTTAATGCTTGTTATGATTTAATGTAGCAAAAAGATTCATCTTCGTCACTCAGAGCAATGAATATTTTTAATTCAACAAAAGTAATTTTTATATTCTCAAGTAACAATTAAGAAAAAAATTCTTTTGATATCCTATAAAATATATGAAAAGGTTTTCTATTTAAAAGTTCAGATAGGTTGATATTTTTCACGTTAGAAATCAACCTTTACAAACCGAATGATTTACTCAAACTGATTCCAGTCCGAAATTGTTTCATTCATTCATATTGTAGACTGCTCCACGATGCCTCGTAAAAAAAACTTAAATTGATGTTTACATTTGTGTGCTAGCCACATGAGCAAGATATCAGTAATACACATTTTTATCAAGTGAAATATAATCTCGTATCAGTCTTTTTATATTGTACTAAATCAGTTACTGCAGAATATAATGATTACGTGAGTGATTTGGTGAATATTTCACTGTATTCAACCGAGGACAAGACAAGTAGATAACAATATTCGATCAAGAAATTGTCTTAGACAACATTTGTCTTTGTTTCGGTGGAAAGGTTTTTATGTCTGATAATGTACATCAAGGATTTCAGCAGAAATAACAATTCAATTATTGCTGATAACTTCAAATTTTTATTCTCAATTAGTGCAACCTTATCGCGATTATTAAAATCTTAAAAAGTTTTGCACATTGAAAGCTTACATAAACTTTCAGAAATTTCATAATGTATTTATGTAATAAAACAGTCAAAGTTATAATGGATTACGAATAAAAATTTCGATAAAAGCTTGATTTACAAGCTATGCTTTAATTGATAAGTTCAATTAGTACTTCATTCACTTGGTTTCTAACCATTGCAATGGTATCTGGATTAAAGATTTGACAAGATATATGAACATTGTACAAGGTATTTAAGTATTTGTTCACGATCTTTGATAATTAATTATCTTAAATGTAGAAGCGTCAATATGGCAGACAGAACAAGAAGAAATCAAACGTCATAAACACTTGGCAGTTCATTGCTGAGATATCGTTTGAAGCAGAATTTATATTTGCACCGCTAATTGTGAGTTGATGGAGCATCCAATGAAGTTAAATAAAGTATTTAGAACCTGTTTGCTTTAAATTGTTCTTAGAATTAAATGATTTTGTTGCTGCAAAAAGTTGGAAAAGCGAATTCGTGACTGTGAGATTTATCTGATTTTAGAAATATTTTTCAACAGTCGATTTTTGTTAAATTAGAATTATTCTAGAAACTGAGTCATTTATCTAATAAGAAACGTGAATGATGTTTGTTTGAAGTTCTTTTCAAGTAAACAAATTCTTCTTCGACAATAGTTCCAATGAAAAAACTACCTGATAATGACAACAATAATTACTCCCATTAACATTCTATTTGTTTCTTATATCTTGTATCAATAAAATCATTAGTAATTTCTGTCAACGAAATTCCAACTTGTAATTGAAACCAATTAATTGTTCAGATAACTAACTTAAAATGTGAAAATAAAAAAATAGAGGAAACGTCACATCTACGTAATTATTGACGTACTTATTGATAAGAGGAATTAAATATGTTTTTGTTGTTTCAATAAATATTTTCCAATGAACTGCAAAATATTGTGACGAGTTGAAATTCAATTGAAATTTCTTTACATGTTTCTGGGTCAAAAACTCTTTCAATTCGCAAGTATGATCTGAATATTTATTCTTGAAGACAATACTTGATGAATAAATTTTTTTATTATCATTGTGATTGTTAAATTTACTAAACATCAAATATTTTTAACTCTAAATTTATGCCTGTATGCTAAGCTTGAACCAAAACATTAAATATTCTTTGAACTGTATCGTTATCAAAGATTTTTTCATTCATTAATTTCGAGTCATAATCTAAGTTTTCTTTTGTGGACCTTAATGCTTCATTAACTTATTCATGCATTTCCACATAAATACATTTATAGACAGCTATTTGAAACGCAGCATTACAATAAAAGAATTATTTGCTTGATCAGCACATAAATTGTATCAATTGATACATATAAATACTCGAAAATACTTTTAAATTGATAAAGGTCAAAGATGATTCATTTAAATTATTTGACGGCTTATTTCTCCATTTTTGCAGTCAACACTTGATATTGTTTTTGACTGAAAACTGTTCAAATTTAAATGAAACTAAAGGGAATTTATGTTATACGCTTTTATGTTTTTTTTTCTTTTATATAGCAGTGATTATATACTTTATTGTATATAAACTTATATTATATGTATTTAAAATTGTCTTTACGATCTGTTATTCATTCAAATCGTATCCAATCTAAATAGTCACAAGTTTTTTGCAGTTTGTTTTTGATAAAACTTGATTTTTTTCAAATATGTTTCTGTAAATAATAAACATGAAGTGCTTGTGTATACATATGATGCTAATATTCCAACATGAAATTAGGTCATTAATGTCAGCTGCATAATTTATTATTATTGTTAATAAATTTTTATTTTAGATGCATGCTTAACAATTGACATCGGCAAGTATTTATTGAAAATTTGTTATCATGTTAAAATCTTGATAATGCAATGTGGTCAGAATTATAAATTATGAATTGCCTCTCAACAAAATAAAATCAACTTGATTTAATTTCATATTTTTAAAACAAAAGTTGGAAAATAATTGAAATCAGGATATGAATATTTATTTAAATTTAATTGAACTTGGAACTTTAATGATTAATTGTAAACGGAAGAGAAAGGTTGAAATCATTTCTATCAACCAAAAATATATTAGTTGACTGTCAAGCAATTTTTTTATTCTCCTTTTGTCTTTCTCAAAAACAAGCAGAAACTTTTGTTCAAGCAGTCCATTAACAACAATTGGAAATCGATCAAATTTTCGTTCTATTTTTATCTTTTTATTGCGCTTTCAATTACCTGAGAAGATTACATATACTTATTGAACGAGAGAAATGTTTAACTTTGAAGCAAGTGCAAGCTAAAAGTGAAACTTTCAATTTCACATTCTTGAAGTTAATTAATTTTAATAAACAGATAGTTAAATGTAAGTGATTGCTACTGTTGATCAACATCGATCAACTGAACTAAAGCGCCTTTGTTCGTATACATGACGCATATATTTAACAACTCTTTTAACTGCTCTCCAAGTACTCAATATCAATTTATTTATGAGTCGTCAAATGAAATATGTATAAAGTGAAGAGCTTTTATTAATCTGATTGAAATCGTGCTGTGAAGTTTCAATTCTCTCTTCAATCAAATGGATTCAATTCGCGCTTGAAAGAATCTTTCCATACATTATTATCCATACTTTTACACATTAATGAAAAACATGCAATAAGAGACTATGTAGTTTTCAACCTGTCTTAATGACTACTTTACGACACTAAAACGTAATTTTGCAGCAACTTACAAATCTCTTTATCATCACTTCACATCTTTTGTCAACAAAGTGATAAAAATAAATTTTATTTCTTACTCACTAATTGGCTATTCCAGAATTCCCCAATATTTTAACACATTTTCATAAAATTCGATAACTTTCAAATTACAAATTCTACTTGTGTGTATCTTATAAAAGAGACAAAACATATAAACTTACATGGGTGAAGGGAAAATCTCGGAATCCTTTCTTTTTCTTCTGATTTTTAATGATTTTTTTATGGCTCTGACCTTCATTGCTGTTCCTTTCTTTCTCGTGTAGTCGTGACTTCTTAATTTTTAATTATATTTCTGATATCGATTAACTAAATGTGTACCATGTATTACTTAATATTTTTAAAAAGTAACTTTCTTGTGAGTAGTCTGTCGATTGACGATTTCATGGAACTCAATTTCTTAACGGGCACTTTTATGATGCGAAATACTACTTTTTACAACTACAGCACCTTGAATTATATCGACTCGCTTTTATTTCGCACTTTCTTGAGAGAAAGATATTACAGAAGCGGATCTTGGTATTTTTGTGAAAGGAAACTTTTTCAAAACTTTTGCAAATCTATTTTTAACAGAAAGAAAGATTGAACAATTGAGTTGTCATAAATATTTGAATTTCATTGAATGTAGTGAAAAAGAACCGATCAGTTATCAACTAAATTTCTGGTTATCTTGAAAATGCACTGTGATATTTATTTTTCACCATATAACACTTTGTAACTTCTTCTTTAATAATAAAGAAAATTATCACGACAGAGTTTTATTTTAATTTATTTTTTATTATTAAATATTAAAATCCAATTGAATCACTGAACCGAACCATTCACAGCAAGCGTTTAAAACGGAATGAATTGTAATGAATGGCTCGTTTGTTGTGTATAGATGTAGGTAACCAAAAAACAACATGTATGATGCTCTAACGACACAAAGCTGTTACGACTGGAGAGAGAAACTTGCATTACATACAAGCATACTAAAAATCAAAATAAGAAGCAAAGACATAAAGCGTTTTGACTCTAAATGAGAGCTCTTAAAAAGCTATGGGTTCTTTACTTTTGTTTTCTCTCCTTTATGACTTTGAGGAATTGATTTTGATTTCTATTGTATGGGTAAAAGTAAGAACATTTCTGATCTGTCTAAATAAACTGTTCCTCTGTCGAAGAGTGTAGGAAAGCTTTCTTTACTTCAATCAATAGCATGACTCAGAAACCTTTCATTTCTACAATGTTTTGTGAGTTTAAAAGTTGTGAAGTGTTTAAATAGTTTTAATTATAATTAAGAAAAAAAGATTCTTAGTTAAACGTATTTTTAGAAAAAAAGAAATGTTCTTATATTTTTATTTGTACAGTTTAAGTCTTTGTTTATTCAATTGATAAGACATTACAACGAATTATTCTATATGTGTATCCCTTGTTTTATCAATCAAAATGAAACCACATAAGTATTTCAAAGTAGTTCAGAAAAATTTCCATGCTGCAATCAATTAATTGAATGAGCCGATGAGAAAAAGTTTCCTTTCTGTTAGGAAAAGTTTCCAAGAATATATTTATGGCATGTTTGTTCTCATATTATTTGCTAACTACTCAGACTATTTATATATACCAAGTGAAGATGCTTGATATCAATTGCATGTCATTATTAATCTTACGAACAATGTTTAACTCTCAAGTAGGTATTTGGTTGTTCTACAAATATGAACTTATTAGCGATTGAATACTTCAGCGAATTGTAAGCAATACCTTTTTTTTCTTTGGGACCAATAATGGTAAAGTCAATTATTTATTGAGTCAAGAATAAAACAATCGCAAAAATTAAATGTAAAGAATTGAATGATTATTTTTGCTGTCATTGTTTTTCTTTCTGTGTTGGTTTTTGTCTCGTTTCTTAACCTTAATTAAACATTTTGAATAAACTTCAATTAGCGAGAACTTATACTGTTATATGTAAGAGAATATCTTAGTAAATATGTAAGAAAAATCTTGCTTCATTTTTAAATGTTTGTCATCATTGCATATATCTACAGAGATAAGCAAAATTTTAGTATCTTTACATTGAACACGAGATATATTTCTGGCAAATTTCATTGTCTGCCGACCGAAAATAATATTCTTAAAGAGATATCTATAATAAAAAGAAAAATAATAAAATCACAATTAGTGTTTATTAGATATGTGAAGATGACGAGAACTGTTTCGAATGTGGTCACGTTTTTTTTGTTGTTTTGTTATTCATATCAGTTTAATTCTTATGACTCATCAATAGAGTGAGAAGTTAAAAAATGAAACCATCAATTTTGAAAATTGAATGTGATTAGTTCACAGATGAGAACATAAATGTGTTTAGATGTTTAGAGAATCATAAAGATGACCTTAAGGAAAATTAGAGAAATATAAACAAAGATTGTTTTATTCCGACCTCTGTTAGTTTTTACAACTCTTATCGGTTAAACTATATTTATTGTTGCTAGTAGGTATATTGAGTTTCAAAGTTCATAGTTTATTTCCTTATTTGTCATAAACATGTGGATTTCATGAATGGAGGTGACATTAATTTTTTTCTTTTGTTTCATGTTTAGAATCAAGTAAAACTGAGCCTAAAATTACTTAATTAATTATTTGTTCAATCTGCTCCTGTGATCAATCTTTAACATTTCATGTTTAAATTAATTATTTGAAGAAAAAGATCAATGATATTTGTAATTGGCGTCCTAAGTAATCAACATACATCAACTTGTGAATGATTGGAACTTGAATCATTACGACATGAAATGATTTCATGACGATTATCAATACTTTGCATAATCAATGGAAAATAAATCATTTAAAAGCTTCTTCACATACATAAATAATTCTTCATTGTAGACTCAAAGAGAGCCAGTTTGCGTTTTAGACGTTCCAGAACGTGTTTGTGTCTAATTGACATCATTATAAGCACACATTCTCGTTCGACTAGTGGTGTTCTCAATGTCACATTCATTTAATGTCACAAATAGAATACCAAGTCAAAAGAAAATGTCTCATATTGATCTTGGCATGAAAGAAGTGTTTAAACTTAAATTTTAATCACTACTATAAACAAAGGAAAGAAAAGAAGGAATTTTAAAGTGATTGAGATTCAAACAGTCAATGAACATATCGTTGTCGGCAATAATTTAACTGGCGTGTCATCAATGCAACATTAGGAACGTCATTTGTTCACACAAAAAATAGCAAAATTAATATAATTGGTATAGAATTTTTAATAACAAGGACTGTTAATTGACACTATTAAGTTGGTGTTGATATTTACATTGTTATGAATCTAATTGATGACGCTGGTACCTCCATTACGGTAGTTACTTGACAACAAAAGGAGAGTTGATATTAACATGACAGTAGAGTGTTGATAATTATGTTTTAGATAAATAGAATATGGAAACAGTTTATCTCTGCATGTGAAAATATATTAAAGCTACTATAGTTGAAACGAAAAAAGAGAGAATTATCGGCTACAGTTGTTAAACAAATAAATTTGATACAAGTATAAATAGAATGAAATGAATAATTTTTTTCAAAACACTGGCATATTTAACATCAGATTGGGACAAAAGATTCCCACGTAATATTTCAGCATATGTGATGCTTTGTTAATTATATCGTTAATTTTAGCAAAGAAAGACCGCAAAAAATCTAATAAAAGATTTTATATATTTAAAAAAAAGTTGTGAAGTTTCATCCAAACAATCTATTCAGGTAACGGTTGATGAATAAGAGGAATGTAAGTTATTTGAACATCAGCTGAGTTTGAAACTCCATTCTCTTTTATTGGCACGTACAAATTCAAACGTAAATTTTAATATTTACTTGGCAATTTTTATTGTTTAAATAAATTATCAACTCTTGTCACGCTGTTCAAAATTGTACTAAGTCGTTTACATCATGAAGAATTTTTATTATTATTATTATGACGTGAAAGAAGAAATTTTAGATAACTCACTTTAGGTTCTCAATACTTGGTGCTGACTCATCTGATTCAACTTGTACAAATGCGATGCGTGATCGTGATGAAGTTGATGGAGGTAGCAAATGTTTTGGCATATTTTTTATCACTTTGAAGATCTAATAGGAATTTTCTTTCTCCACTTTTCAATTCACTTTGAGTAAGTTTAGCACTTTTAATTGATGACGTATCGATTAATAATATAATATTTACAAATTTAAAATGTTTTGTGAAGTATCAAACCAATTTTTGGTTATCTTCTGGAAGTTGTTATTAGCACAAAGTTAAAAAATTCACTGAATTTTACTTGGTTTTTTCTATTTTTATATCTAACATATTTATATGAAACAACGATATGTTTAAAAAATCCTTGAAAAAAGTAATTATTTGGTCTATCTTGAACGATTTCAATCACACGTGTAAGTAGAATAAGTTTTTCACATAGATCAGTAAATAAATATCACTCTGAATCAAGTCTTGAATCTGTTTCTTTTAATTTTGTTTGAAGGCAGATGCGCATAGAGGCAAAAGCCATCAATAATCTTTTCCTGCTTTAACAAATTGAACTTTTTCTATCGCGCACCGAACAAATTGAGATAAAAATTACAAAGCAAACAAAGTGAAGGTTAAACAAAAGCAATTATTATCATTTGACGTAAATATTGAGTTTTGGAGAGCAGATTCTCTTTCACTTTCTAAACTTAAACATTTCATTGCCGACTTTAACTGCAAAAATGTTCGCTTCATTTCTTTCAAGGGGTTGTTAACATCCCATAACTGCCATAAATTTCACTTCTATTATAGAAGAATCGGTTCCTTTATACAGAATAATTTAGGTTATGCTAAATTTAAGTTCAAACATTCTTCACTTTCTTGGCACATTCCGGATCAACTTTTTTTATTTAGGTAGGTAGTTTTGAAAAAAAAATCTTCTCTGCTCATATGCGAAGAAATAATTTTTCAATATTCGATTTTAAGTATGAGAATCTTATTTTTGTCATGAAACTTTTATTTATTTCTACATTTATTACATCGTATATTGTCAAAACATTGCTATTATGTCAAATAAATCACTACATGTATGATTAGTTCCTTAATCTAACCATTCGACAGGGTAAAGTTTATTTTTCGTCATTACTTGAAGCACAGAGTCATTGGAACGAGTAAAGATTTATACTGGTGAAAGGAAGAAATGAGATTTTTACTTTTATTTTCTTTCACATTTGAGTGGAAAGCTGGAAAAGTATGGGAAAATTATCTCTGAATTTCCATTTCTAGGTAGATTTAAGAGAAAATCGATAATTTATTTATATCGATTTGAATTCCAAAAGATGGAGCCACGGCACTTAAGATTAAGAAATTTAATTTCACTTTCAGGCTTTAAAAGTCAACTTTTCATTTATTTCTTAGGATGATATTTTTAATGTTGAAATCACAATAAGATTCTAATTGATTTTTGGTTTGCATCTTTAATAATTTTACTTCGATTGGTCATCTAATGCCAACTCAGAAATGAATGAAAGAACAACAGATAAGTCATACTGAAAAAGACGCTTGTAAGCATAATTGGAAATCCAAATCTGAAATGAATTAATAAAAGTTAGAAAACGTCTACTTTTACAAAGAACTTGTATGTTACTTAAGAAAGTCCATAAAGTCCATTTTATATCCATGTTGTTCTGCAACACCCGCACATATGATGTTAGCTGAAGCACCTACAAGTGTCCCATTCCCTCCCAATGCAGGGCCAAATGCTATAGCCCACACAAGTGGTTGTAAAGGTAAACCTAATTTGGAATTTCCTGCTAGTGAGACAACAATTTTCACCATCATTTGAGTAACTGGAAGGGACTCGACGAATGCAGAAGTTAAAGCGGAAACCCATAAAATTATGATGATGGCAACAGCTAGCCGATAATCTTTTGAGACACCTTTTATGATTGTTTCAGTTCCCGATCCAATCCATGATATGAATCCCATTCTTTCAACAGCTTCCATCAACACAAACATAGCAGCAAAGAAGAGAAGTGTTGGCCATTCAACTCGATGTAAAATCGCATCCATATCGTCACGATTACTTATGATCAGAAGGAAAATGACACCAATAAGTGCTGACCAACCAAGAGAAAGTCTTCGAAAATCGGGAATTGACTGAACAAAAAACAAAAGCAGAATAAAAACAAGAGTTATCCCAGATTTGATAAGCAATCCTTTTTTCTTAATTGGATATGCTTTCTCCATATCTTCCAAAGTCGTTTTATATCGCTGCTCTTCAATGACCCCTCTTGTTGTCTTAAGCTTCAATTCTTGTCTCAACGCTTTAACTTTCTTTACAAGAGTCTCTCGAACTAAATCTGCATCCTTACTGAAAGGTGAAATTGAATTTCTCAACGCTCTCTCCCAAGTTACCAAGTTTTTCTTCAAAATTTTTATATCTTTGGGCTCGTGAATGAATAAAGTTCTGATATTTGGATAAATAAACCTCAGATGAATATTTGTTGTGAAGGTGATGAAAGCAGTTCCGATAAGCATATGAACAGTAAAATTAAGAAAGTGAATTCCCTAATGGAAGAAAACATGATTAAATATTAAATTTAATTTTTTGTCATGAATTAATTACCTGATCCAAAATAGTCTGATTTGTTGTTATTATAATATTTGGTGGATCACCAATTGGCGTGGCACATCCACCAATGTTTGCATGAATTACAATCGCCATGAGAATAGGAACCGGATCAATGTCCATATCTTCACAAAGTGTTATGGTAATCGGTGCCATGAGAAGAACTGTCGTCACATTATCCAAAAGCATTGATATAATACAAGTAATAATGCACAGACAATGAATCAAAGGCCAAATTTGTCCATTGGTAATCTTAATTAAAGAAATTAAATTTTAAGTGGTTCAATTAAAAGGAAATTTTCTCACTCTATAAGCGTAAACAGCAATGTGATCGAAAACGCCTGTTTCAGTTAATATTCCAACAAGAATCATCATTGAGAATAAAAGAAGAATTGTTTCAACATCAATCCATGCCATAATCTCTTCATGTGTTGGTCGATCATCTAATGCTGCTAGAAGACCAATCGATAAAGTGCTTGCAATTATCGCCGCAAATGTCCGATGTACAACCTGAAGAATTTTTTTTTAACTCATTCAATTCACTAATCTTCTTTTTCCTTCTTACCTCCCACACGATTAAAGCATACAAAAGAATTAATGTGAATGCAGCAAAGAGTACTCCAATAGGTTTATTAAGAGGCATTAAGTCTACACTGAGAGTAATCGGAACTTCCTGCTTTTGTCTGTCGTTGGACTTTGAAAAGTTTGAGACTATAACTGCTTGAACAATTTCATCCTCTTGTAACTCGTCGAAGTTTTCTTCTCCAATGTCAAATGTAAATTCAATTTTAGTCGCATTCACGAAATCTATTTCTTCTGGTTTGTAAATGTAAAATGTTTTATTTGCTGTGAGAATTTTCTCAGTATCAGTTCGCAAGAACATATTAATCAAGTTGTCTTTATTGCGTGTATCGTGACTTTTATTGCCACCTTTCCGTAAATATTCTTTAGAATTTGGTAAAAAAGGCGCTTGGATTGTGATGTGAATCAAAGGGCCATGAGGTTGAGTTGGCAAATTGTAAAGTTTTACATCATTTATTGGCAAAACAAGTTGACGCTTTTCAATTTTCTTCTCTGGTGTGGAAGTTAAAAATGCAACAATGAGAAACCAAATGAAAATTAGGAAAAATGTTTTTCCATATTCTTGAAATGGACTCTCAACTTTGAGATGATGAGAGTGATGATTATGATGATAGAAGTCAGCAGCTGCTTCTGTTTTTATTGGAGATTCAACAATTCGCACACTTTTTGTGGGACTTCTACGAGTTTTAACAGGAATATCAGAAGTGCTTTCATCTTTAACGATATCATCTTCATTTGTCACTTTTATCGTTATGAATTGATCTTCACCCATGGCACTGTCAGATTCCGAATCTTTTTCAATTTTCTTACTCCCATCAATTTCAAATTCATTTTTAAATGAAACTGAGAGTTCAGATGATGAACCTAAAGTAAGAAATATAAAAATATAAACAATCTTTCGTTGTGTTTATGATCAAAACACATCAAAATTAGTTCACAAAAGGAACAATCAAAGTGATATAGGGAAAGAAATCACACACAATAATCTCACCTTCACAACGCTTTGCTTCTCGTTGAAAATTAATCATTGATGGATCATGACGAATTTCTCCAGGAAGATTTCTCCAAATTGACAAGGAAGCTTCCGTCATCCTATTTTTAGCGAGATCAAGAAAAGAAATTTTACGTTTTCTTGTTTTATTAGTTGATTGTTCAGAGGAAGAACTTGGTTGATTGCTGGATTCTCCATCTTCATTGGAAAGCCCCATATTTTTAAGATTTTAATCTTTTTCGTGATTTTCTCATCCAAATTTTACTTAAAGAAAAAAAGAACTCTTTGCTAGAAGACTCCACGAAATAAATTGATTTAAATAGCTTTATGAAAAGATTAATTTATGAAACTTCACCCACGCACAATATCTTCTAACATATGATTGTTTGTGTTCACGCTGATCACACAAAACAGACTGAAATCAGATTATCAGAATGAGAATTTACGCATCCGCGATTACAAGAAAACTCAAGAGTCGAGAGTATTTAAGAAAGGTCGGCTTTAAGCTTCGTTTTGCTCTCATTTGACTCTCCAAAATTAAATTTATTTCTTCAAGTTAGCATTATTCTAGTAGATAAGTCGCTACATATTTCATAAATTCAAAACTATTTGTTTAGATTTGAAAAATAAAATCATTTTATTGATGAAACCAAAGTCATTAAAAACACATAAGTTGGTTGATATTTAAATAAGTAAATGATCATAGTTTAAGTCTCAAATTAATGTTGTATAAATTTCAATCTACATGTTGAATTACTTTTATTTATTGCCATGTAAACATTGTGTGAGCAATTAACAAATATGCCGTCGTAATGATGATTGATCCAAGCATTATTGGAAATCCAAATCTATAAAAACCAACATTTAAAGAATTAAAAATAATTTTCATAAATGAAGAATAAAAAAAGTTACTTAAAGAAATCCATAAATGTCATTTTGTAGCCATGTTGTTCAGCAATACCAGCACATATAACATTTGCAGAAGCACCTACAAGTGTTCCATTACCTCCAAGACAAGGTCCAAAAGCTAAAGCCCAGACAAGAGGATGAAGTGGTAAAGCAAGTCGACCAGCCATTGTAATGACAATTTTGACCATCATTTGAGTAACCGGAATTGAATCAACAAAAGCTGAAGTTAAACCGGAAACCCATAAAATTATTATAATTGCGACAGCAAGTCGATATTCTTTTGACACTGAGTTGATGATATCTTCGCAGCCAGATCCGATCCATGAAATGAATCCCATTCTTTCAACAGCTTCCATCAGCACAAACATCGCAGCAAAAAACACGAGAGTTGAGAACTCAACACGATGTAAAATCGCATCCATATCATCACGATTACTTATGATAAGCAACAAAATGACTCCAAGTAAAGCTGACCATCCTAATGAAAGTCGATGCAATTCCGGTATTGATTCAATGAAGAACAAAGTCAGAATGAAGACCAACACAAAACCTGACTTAATTAATAATCCTTTCTTCTTAATCGGATATGCTTTCTCCATATCCTCAAGCGTTGACTTGTATCTTGCACCAGCCACACCACCCTTTGCCACTTTTTTCTTTAAATCATGACGTAATATTTTCACTTTCTTCAACAAAGTTTCTCGCACCATCTTTGCATCCTTACTGAAGGGTGAAATTGATGCTGCAGCACGTTCCCATACGATAATATTTCGCTTCAAATTTTTAATCTCTTTAGGTTCTTGAATAAATAGAAGATTGATATTTCTGTAATTAAAACGAAGATGTAAATTTGTTGTGAGAGTAAGAATGATGACTCCAATCAGCATGTGAACCGTGAATGTTATAAATGTCACACCCTGTAAAGGAAGAAATTATAAAATGTTTGAATAAATTTTGTTAGATTTTTTACCCCTTCAAGAATTGTCTGATTTGATGTTATGATAATATTTGGTGGATCACCAATTGGCGTGGCACATCCACCAATGTTTGCATGAATTACAATCGCCATGAGAATAGGAACTGGATTGAGGTCTAAATCTTCGCAAAGCGTGATTGTAATCGGTGCCATGAGAAGAACTGTCGTTACATTATCCAAAAGCATTGATACAATACAAGTAATGATGCACAGACAATGAATCAAAGGCCAAATCTTGCCATCTGTAATCTATTTAAATTGTTGAGATATTGACATTCCAATTTATTGTTCATCAAACTCACTCTGTATGCATACACTGCAAGATGATCAAAAACTCCAGTTTCAGTGAGAATTGCCACTAAAATCATCATAGCGAAAAGTAATAAAATTGTCTCCACATCAATCCAACCAATTATTTCATGGTGTGTTGGACGATCGTTAAGTGCTGCTAATAAAGCAATTGATAAAGTACTCGCAATCATTGCTGCGAATGTTCGATGTACAATCTAAATGAATTTATTAATTTAAACACGATTGTTTATAACTTCCTTCATGTCACTTACCTCATAAATAATTAAAACATACAGGAAAATTAAAACAAAAGCCGCAAATATAACTCCAATTTGTTTGTTAATTGGAGCAATGTCATAAGTGAAAATCAAAGGCATTTCTCTTTTGTCTTGTGGTGATGTTTTACTGAAATGACTTTGAATGACGAGTTGCAACGTTTCATTACTTTCTTGAAGCATGTAAAGATTATCTTCACCAATATCGAACATGATTGGAATTTTCGTTAAATTTGCTGTGTCAAAATTTTCTGGTGCTTCGACTGAAATTATTTTAGGCTGCGTTAAAATTCTTTCACCTCCCTCACTTGCTTTAAGATATACTCGAATGTAATTTTCTCTCTCGATTTCTTTCCTTTTTTTACCATTTTGGTTGATAAAATCTTGTTTTCTTTGTTCAATTGGAAATGCTGTATGAAGAAAAGCTCCTGAGAGTGTTGCGTTGATTCTTGTGCCTTCGGGCAGTTTAGGAAAATTATAAATTCTCGGTTCATTAATTGGTATCGCCAATTGTCGTTTTTCAAGTTCTTTTTCTGGAGTTCTGCTCAAGAAAGCAACCATAAGGATCCATACAAGTACGAGACATCCAGTCTTGCCGAACTTATGGAAAGGATTTTGATCACTTTCTTCATGATGTTCATCATGATGTTCTTCTTTATGGTGAACGACATGAGAGTGTCCTTTATCTTTATGTTCTTCCCTAAGATTTGTAATAATTATTGACTTTTCTAAGAGAGTTTTCCGGAAAATTTACCTCGTTTTATGATCATTAATCTTATCATTCTCTTCAGCTTCAGTATTTCCTTCTTCATTGGTAACTTTGATTGTTATAAACTCTCCATTCAAAGATTCAGAATCATCAAAAGATCCAGCACCATCAACACTTGCAGATTTCCCGAAATGATGAATCGAATCATCGCGCCCTGTAGTGCTATTTTGAACCTCTTCGTCTGCATGTTCAGCTGTTTAATTATTCACAAATTGTGACGATGATGAGAACAGAAGAAAATAAACGAAAGTTGTTAATATTTACCTTTCCATCTGTCGTGTTCTTGTTGAAAGGAAATCATTGATGGATCGTGTCGAATAGTGCCTGGCAATTGTCGCCATACTTTCAACGATGCCTCAGTTACTTCACTTAAAGGAACCAAAGAAATAATAGATTTTTTTCGTGGTGCATTCTTTGGTCTTTCACTTTCATCCCCTCCTTGTGCTGATGTTGAAGCACGGCCACTAAAGCCCAAACGCTTCAAAAGTCCCATTATTTCGATTATGGTTTAAATAATTGATTTTCTTTTTCATTCAATTCATTGACTGATTGCATGAGTTGTATTTGTATCTAAAATGCAACAAATACTTCTCGTGTTCAAGTCTTACTCTACTTTTGTTTATATCACTTCAACTTGAATTCAAAATCTAATTTTTTTCAAAACTAGGTAGATATTTAACTCATGAACTAGAAAAATAATAAAAATAAAACTTCACTCAACACCCTTAACTCTATTTGTTTAATATTTTATTATTTCTCCGCCTTCCACAATAAACAAAACTACATAAAATGAAAATGCAGCATTGAAAGAGTCTCGTGGAAAATTCTCACATGACATTTACTTTTACTTTTTCACAAACGCCAAGTATATGAAGTTGGCATGATCCCAAAAATGAAAATTTCATGAGATGAAAAATGAGAGAATTTTACTTTTCAAACTAAGTACCTACATGAAATATCCTACTTTTGTTTTCTTTTCTAAATATTTATCGAACTAAAAACTTTGCCCCATGAAAATTAATAATTATTGATTTACTCGGCATTGACCGACAACTGAATTATTTGAGTCACCTGCATGGTAAATTAATTTGAAAATTTGTTATTTACTATTTTTGAATCCCACGCAATATCCCGAACAAATGAGAAATACTTTTTTCTTTTATCTCCAATAAAATAATTTAAAGACGATAAACATTTTCCAACTTCTACTCGCACCCAGCCTTCACGGAATACTGAGCAGAAACGCGCTTCTAAACTGCTCGAGCTTGTGAGTGAGAATTTTTTTGTTCGTTTTCGTTTATTTTTTACATTTTGATTTTTATTCTTTTGTTAAATACTTATGTAGATATTTTTATATATATTTTTTGGCGAGATAAATTGATGAATATGTTGTGAGAACTTAAGTTGAGATTCGAAAAAAACAAAAATAAAAACTTAATTCAGACACCTTTCGAAACACTACTTAGTTGTCCTCTGAGAGTGTGTCCGAGTGAATGAAAGAAGAATAATGGAAAATTACAAATTTTCATAAATATATTCTTCGAATAAGAAACATTAAAAGCATTTTGATTAAATGAAAATTAAGATGAAAGTGTGCCTATAGAGATTGTGTCTTTGAAAAAGCGGACGAGCAATAAAATAATTATCAAGTGTCATCGATCAATTGAAATGTATTAATGATCTCAAGTATTACGAGTGTCTTATTTACATTGACAAATAAACAATAATAAAGTTAAATCTAGAGAGAACTGCTTCGATATATATGTAGATGGAATGATGAAGAAACATTTCATGATAATAAATAATCATTCTCAATTGTCTTAAGTTATTAGTATTGTCGAGAAGAAAAAAAATCAAAATTAATGGAGAAATAAATTCGACAGAATCAAAAATTATAAAAAAACCGGTTTTTTAAAATTCAAGTTTGCAAAATTTGCACATTTCTTTTTTTATTAAGAAAAGAATGATTAAGTTTAAATTATGAAAATGAAAACTTCTTTCATGTGATAACAAATTAACATTAGATGAATTTTAGAAAAATAAAAACGTCGCTTAAAGTGATTTATTTAACGTACAAAAAACAAATGAAAAGTTCATTGAAATAATGAAAATGCTTAAAATATTTCAGTAACTTACTACCTCATAAAATATAAAATTTATTGAAGAAAAATTAAACATATCTCGTGATAAAAACAAAAAGAAGTTTTTATTGCTTCATCGATATGAATGAATTAATTAAAGTTTCTTTTTCAGTTTACATTTATTTATTTTAATTGTTATCAGAACTCAAAGCCGACACTCAATTGAATGGCATGATAATATCAATTTAAATTTTAAATTGAGCAATTTTTAGTTGATTGTGTTTTGAGAAAACGTCAACAAATCATAGTAGAATTGTAGAATGTTGGAGAAAGCATTAGCATTGGGATTGAACAAAAATTTTTGAATTTGAAAGGAGAATGTTTTATTAAATTATTGATCATACACGAAATGAAATTTTTATCATCAAAATGGGACTTTCCTGAAAACTTCTGATATCTACAGCGATATCTTCTAAACACAGACGAATTTATATCATACCTTTGTGTCGGAAATTGCTCTTCCGTATGGTGTTTCCGAAAAGTCTTAGCAGCTGATCTCAAACCCATTATGAATAAGAAAAAATCTCACGATGATATTTCCTTCAAGGTTTATCAATTTTTTAAGTTTTCTGTTGATTCACAATCTTCATATTTAATTTATAATTTGACTTTGAATTGAATTACACGTCTTTCGTTCTTCAAATTATTCTAATACGCAAAAACAAACCACTTTCAATTAATCAACGATTTATTTGTCATGTAAATTTAATAATTGACCCATTAATTTATTCAAAATATGTAACTTCGAATAAGGCAAATATGAAATTAGATGAAAATTATGAAATTTTAAGTCTTCGGAATCCACAGAAAAAGAAAGAACTGAGAGACTAAAATGAATGGAAAGTTTCTCACAATCTTTTATCTCCATAGAATATTTTCACCATGGAAATCTGATTTGATTTCCTTTTCCAAAAGTGGGAAACCCAAAGCTCAAGAAGACTGGAATGTGGAAGGAAATTACAGAAAACTCCAAAAGATGACGCAAATGTTTGTTTATCATCGGTAATGTGGTTTCAAATGCAATCACAAATTATTTATAAATATTTACCAAGCATATTCATAGAAGAAATTGCTTTCCCATTGAAAAATATTCATCAGAATAAAAGTTTTGTATGCCAACATCATATTCATATAAAGAATAAAAAGTTTGTGTGTGGTTAGAACCTTGTGTGTTAAACATTATACCGTTATGGCGTCAACAAAATGAAAAGGTAAGAAGAAAGACTATAAATTGGATGATATGTTTATCGACTTTCTTCAGTCGATGGTATTCATCTGGTTAAACAAGAACTCTCCAATTCAAAGTGTTATTTAGTGTGCTAAAAACAAGAAAGTTGAGCTAGGTCATGTTGAAAATATTCTTTCTTTTATCGGTGATTTTTGTCAAAATTTTTGGACAAGTTCCAAGTTTTGGACGTTGTCCAGATTTTGATGCAATGCCTGCTTTTGACAAAGATCAATTTTTAGGAATTTGGTATGAAACTGAAAGATATTTTACAGTCACAGAAGTAGTATCGAAATGTATTTCGGCTAATTATGAGCTAAGAGCTGATGGAAAAATTTACGTCAACAACCACTACGTTAATCGAATGTAAAGTTAATTTTTAATTAAAATCTTATTTTATAATAATTTATAACAAATTAACAGCAACAATGTCAAGAGAATAATCTCAGGAAAATTGACGTTAACAGGCAAAGGAGACGAAGGCAAATTTACTATCAAGTACGACACTTTCCCAATATCTTATGATGCATCATTGGTAGTCCTCGACACTGATTATAGAAACTATGCAGTGATTTGGAGTTGCAGTAATATCGGACCATTTGGTCATACTGAAAGTGCTTGGGTAACATTTACTGACTTCCAAACTATTTCTCAGACTTATTTTTAATTCTTTGTTAGTTAATGGCACGTGATCGCGTTCCTCGAGGTGAAGTTTTACAAGCTGCATACGGTGTTCTTGATAAATATAAAATGAATCGTTCGTTCTTTGTCAAAACTGATCAGGCTAACTGTGAAACTCTTCCACCGCCCGTTGAAGCTATTGATGTTGAAGTAAAAAAGGGTGAAGTCAAACAAGAACCTGAAAATTCAACAGAAAAAACTGTTGAAGTCAATACAGTTTCAACTGAAAGTACTACAAAATCTTAAAGTATAAAAAAATTGTTTGTCAAGATATTTAAACAATATTTGTAAGACTTTTAACTTAAAAAGTGTAAATGGATGTTGTGTACAAGAAGAAAGAAGCTATCATTGTAGAAAAATTTTTGAAATAAAAAGACGCAGCTAAGTAGATATTTACAAATTGAACCGTTAAACGATTCACTTGAACACAAGAGAAGAAAAGAAATCTATTTATGTAGATTCGTGCAGGTTTGGTTTGTCTACGAATACCATTGATCAATCTCGCTTTCAGTTTGCTTTCTTCTTTGGAAAAATGAAGAACGTTTTTATAATTATTGCGTTTCTAATTTGTGTTCTTTTAGAAGTTAGTGGGCAAATACCTGCATTTGGGAGGTTGAGATTTATTTAAATTTGATAAAACAATTTTAATAACATTTACTCGATAATTTATTAAAGGTGTCCAAATAAATACAAACCGATGAAAGATTTCAACAAATATCAGTTCATGGGAAAATGGTATGAAGTTGAAAGATTCTATCTAATGAGGGATATAATCGCAAAATGTGTAGCAGTAACGTTTGAAAGATTTGACGATGGAAAAATTTATGTTAATAATGTTTACACAAATCGACTGTTAGTAGAGAATATCTTATATAAGTTTGAATTCTTAGTAGATTAATTTTCTGTTTAGCACAAATCTAAGGGAAACAATTGCAGGAAAATTCAAATTAACATCAGGGGAGAATCGAGGAATTTTTAACATAGTGAGATCTTTAAAAAAAGTGTTCATTTTCAACTTTAATTAATTATATATTTTTACAGCGTTATGAACGTTTTCCGGCAGCTTTACTTCCAGATTTTTTAAGCTTTGTTAACTTCAACACAACGATGACAGTTCTCCATACTGACTATAAAAATTTTGCAATTCTCTGGTCTTGTCGAAATATTAATCAGGTAATAAATGCAAGTTTGGAAGATTCATTTCATTACCTAATATCAAGTTAATTTCAGTTCGCTCATATTGAGAGAAGTTGGCTGATGACACGAGAGCAATCACCTTCTGAATTGGTTATACAATCAGCTTACGGCTTTCTTGATAAATTTGGGTTGAGAAACTATTTCATCAAATCTGATCAATCAAATTGCGACCCATAAATAAATATTTCTCTTTTTAAAATTCCTGACAAAAAAATTCTATTTATTTAAACTTAAAAATCGAAAAATTGTGAACATTAAAAATAATAATGATAAATAAACTTATAAAATCAACTTTAATTTCTTGGTTTCAAAACACTCTTTGGGCTATTTTCGACTTGTAAACGTCCTGGACCACTGAATATTGGAGATTGATTCTCCTTTCCGAAGAACAACGATCTCTTCGTTGGTGTCTTGTTAGGACTGTCGAAAATTTGATAATTTTCTTGAAGTTTTTGAATTTTCTGAAACGAATAAAATTTAAGAAATATTTTTCTTTAATAAATTTTGAAATTCTCACCGATCTTATTTCAATATTCGATTCCTTCAAGTTCTCAAAACTCTTCCATTGTTCACTATCCAACCGTTGTTGCTCGATGATTGTTTTGTAGTCGTTTTCACGTTGAATTGATATTTTCTCAAACTCGGTGAATTTCCTGTCGAGTTCTTTCAACTGAAATTAATTGTATGTGAAAAACTGGAATATCAAGTCTTGATTATTTATATTCTTACTCTTAGTCTCAGCTGCATGTTTTCTTCCTCGCTTTGTTGAAGATTTTTCACTTCGTCGTCATCTGCTGCTGTTGCTACATTTTCGTCGGTCGTAACTTTATTGAATTTTTGACTTTTAATCTTGTTATAATTTTCATTAAGCTTCAGTTTAAGTTGAAGATTTTCCAACTTGATTGCTTTCATTTCATTATCATAGTCTTCGAGTTTCTTTTGCTTGTCACTCAATTCAATCTTAGCAAGTTCAATTCCAATTGAATATTCTTCGAGAATCGCTGATGTCATTGTTTTAGTGTTCTTTTCACGAATATCAAAACCTTTTTTGAGTTCAGAAATCTCGACAAACTTCTCATTGAAATAATCATTCATTTTCGAGACTACTGTAATCATTTCTTTCTCAGACGACATCATGAGTTGCTCAAAAAACAAGTTTTTTTCGTCAAAGGATTTCTTTAAGTTTTCTGCCGAGTGTCTTAGTTTATCATAATTTCTTCTTAATTCTGATATTTCTGTTTTGAGATCAGCATTTTCAGTCATAATCACTTCGACATCAGTGTCAGATTTTTTCAGTCTCAACGAAAGAACTTCAATGATGTTCTGATAATTTTTAATGGTAATGTCGTAATTCTTCTTTTCAATTTCAAATTTCGCTTTCTGATTTTCAAACTCTATTTGTGATTCAAGATCAATCGATTGAGCCTTTTTCTGATTCTTTGACAATTTCACAAGTTGATTTTGCACTTTTGAGAGTTGTGAGTTTAAAAAGAAAATTTCATTTTCGTATGAGCCTCTTAACATTTTCAAACTTTCTTCATGTTGAACTTCAAATATTTTCATATGTTCTTCAGATTTCTGAATAGCGTTGGTCATGTCATAACATTCCATCGTCTTCTTCCCCAATTCAAATTCAAAGTTTTTAATTTTATTATTTCTTTGTGATAAAATTAATTTTAATTTATTTAATTCTTCGTTCTTCCCGATCAGTTCGCTTTCCTTTTCTTTAATCTTCTCATCAAACATCTCAACAAATTCTTCATTTGACTTCGTGAGTTCATTGTTAATTTCCAGGATCTTTTCATTTTCAGAACTCATTCGATCCATGTGGTGTAATAAAATGTCGTAGCTTCTTAATATTTCCTTAACTTTTGTGTCTGATTCATGCACTTTACTGATCGCTTGTTCAGCAATTTTCTCAAGAAAATCTTCAGCTAACCTCATACTTTCAATATCTTTGGACAAGTCATCAATTTTCTCATGTTTCTCCAAGTTTTGCAACTGAAGCGATTTAATGGTTTTATTCAAGTTGTCAATGTCACTTTTCAACTTCTCAATGTATTTTTCATCCCTCGATTTCTTTTCCAAAATATTTCTCTCCGATTTGCGAAAGATTGCTGATGGTGGAATTGACTCGATTTGCGGAGAGATCGAAATTGATGATGGTGCTGGTATTTCAACATCTGGTGATGTTTTCTTCGATATTTTCTTGGATGGAGTAAGATCAGATACTTGACGAAACTTCAAACGATACGGTAAAGATGGTGTCCGAAACAAGCGCAATTTCGATTTTTTCTCACTGGGAATAGCATTGTCGTCAAGAAACAAATCGGCTTTCTTTTCCTTCTTAGATTTGTCTTTGGTAAAAGGTGATGCGAAATCTGCACAGAAAGAAAAGCGTCGAAGGATTGAAAATAAATTACACTAATGCTTCTTAAATTTTAAGTCGAATTATCCAAAAAAGTTTCCAGGGATAAGATTCAAAGTAATTTTAATAAGTTTCTCACAAACCTGTAATGTCGTTGAATCTTTTCAACTTGGCTTTAGAAAATGACATCATTTAGAGGCCGTTTTATTTTTATTTCTTTCTTCAAACACTAAAAAACCTTTTATTTCAATCAATTTTTCACAAATTCAACTTAGATATTTAATTTTATTTTAATTTGTCGTTAAAAACGGTTACACAAATTACTTCTTAAACTCAACAATGGGTAACGCTCACTAACAATTTCTAATATATTTGAAGGAAACGCAACATTTTAAGAACAGAAATAAACTTTCACGGTTGACGGTTCTTATAGAAATGAGCAGGGAATTCTTTATTAACCATGAATGTGTTCCTGTACATAAAAGTTGTCGTTTATGATTCACACTGACACAAAAGGAACTCATGAAGAAATAGTTTGTTATTTAAAGGGTCTTTAAAACCTCTAAAGGTTTCATTGATGTAGCACAAAATTCAACAGATAATGTCGGATTGTCTGAAAAACATAAGAGTATTTTTAAGTTAAGGGTGTCACTATTGATATTTTTAGGACATGCTTTATTTCAAATTTTCCATGGAAATGAAGAAGGAATAAGAAGCATTGACTTGCAATTCGTTTGTCCTTGTTTGTAAATTTCTTGATTACGTTCACCCTTCTTACTTACTTACATTTTTCTTATTATTCAATCCTCTTCACCTTGTTTTCGTGTAGAAATGGGTGCATTAACTTAACGGTCGCTGCTTCTTAGATAGAAAGAACAAGAAGAAGAAGTGGTAAGTAAAGTATAAAGAAATGATAAATACATTGAAACTGATTTCAGATTACGCTTCTATGTGTTCGTGCGTGATCATCGTTCACATCTGCCCCTTTGGAATATTTTTGGCGGGGAAGAGAAATAATCCTGGCTCACCAATACGTACTTGAAACATGCAGATTGAATTTATTTAATCATTTTTGATTTACTTAAATATGTACCACTATGAATTAAATAATTAACGAGTTACATACTTCATGCATTCTGACATGATTTATTTTATTTTTAAGTTTTCAAGACATTTTATTCGCTTAAATGACAAAATGAAACTAATAAATTCATTGAAAAAAATTATTACTGTCGAAAAGATAAAAAAAAAAGTTATTGCAAGATCTCGATTTCCTCATATTTAAGGCTTGTGTAACCTTCTGGTAATAACGACATGAACATGATAATATAAATGATCATGATTATTGTAAAAATGACTCGATCAATCAGTTTACAAAAAGTAATCCAAATCATTTGGTTAGATGATAATTTTTTAACATTTTCAACTAAATCTGTTACATCTTCAGCTTCTGGTGAAGAACTTGTCAATAGAAAATCTCCGACTCTATTAGTAGTAGCAGTTTTAACTAAGTTGGTGATCCACAAATATGCATGACTTTCAGTTGATCGTCTAATAAATACTCGAAGAGTGATAGTTTCAATTAAAAGTACCACTGATATTATGTGTGAATCTTTAAAGTAATTTACTGAATTTGGTACCGAATCTCCACAAAAAGGCAGCCTTAAAAGAAAAAAAAACGAAACTTAATAAGCCACTTAAAATTATGAATTTAATAAAACTTGCATCCAATAAAGAAACTCAACGTAAAGAAAATGACAGAAGATATTTAAAATACATAACATAAATCGCTCAATTCCTTCAGCTATCATCCAAAGCACTGTAACATTGCACAACATGAGAATGAATGCTGGTACAATTGTCCCAGCAATATGATAAGCGCTATGACGTTCAATCAGATATGAGAGATAAACTGAAGGATATGTTTCATTTGGGGAAACATCATATTTTCCTTCGTTCACTTTTACACTTGTTCCCAGCAATTTCCATTGATTATTTTGCCTTGATTTTGAAGAAATAACTTTCACTTTATCTTCGTTAAAGTTCAATTGTTCTCCAGATTTCATCCAACTTCCAAACATAAATGAACAATAATGACGATCGAAAGGCCAATTTGTGTAAACGCCCTTACTGCAATGTCCAATATGCTCACATGGCATAACGCAAGCAACTTTTGATTTTGCTGTAATAAGACAATCAACAGCATGGCACAGTCCAAGCCCAGAACCGATGTGGGCATTATATAAGTAAATGTCTGGACTCCAGATATAATCTATGTTCATATGAATGGTTTTTATATCATCGTATTCTGAAGGTTCCCATGAAAGTCTGCTATCGATCCAAACTAATGTCATCCACGCTGTTACAGTAAAAATCTTTTCATTTTCGTCCTAAATGTTTACATTTTATATATTTTTAAGTTAAATTCATCACAGGAAATCTTTAAAAGCTTACGTAATCAAAAGACTTAATAGTATAACGAAAGTTGACTTTTGTAACATCGCTAGAAGGCCCGGGGCGGATTTCCTTATCATAATGATCACAAAAAAGTTTCTTTTTTAATTTCACTTCAGAATTGACAGATTCTCCATCACAATTTAAACATTCTAAATACATATTTTAATTAATTTAAATATTCTGTAAAAAAGAAAGTTTTGTCACTCTTACCGCAATAAAATATGAACAAAGAAAGTATTAAGACAAACAATCCACACTTCATCTTTGGAACTTTATTTTGATGTACACTCCTTGAATGCTTAACGAAGAATGAATGTTGTCTGGCATAAAGTTGTGTCGAAAAGTTAATTTTTAGATAAGTAAATTTCTCTAAAACAGATTCCTGATAACATTCAAAAGATTGAAATAATTATTCGACCACTCAAGCGTGTGATTTCCAATTTAAATTTTTAGTTCATTCTCTAACTTAAATAGTTTCGCAGTCTCTCTTCAGAAGTAAAAACATTAATTTCATTGAATAAGAAGTTGATAAAAATCTTTTTATTGCGGAAATATCAAAAACTATTTTTATATCATGATTTTATTTATCGAATTTTGTTTCGTTTCTATGTCTACAGACTCTTAAAATTCTTTACAACAAAAATAGGCTTAAACTTTATGATCCTTTAAGTGAAGGATGAGTGCAGTTTGATAACGGAAATTGAGGCCACAATCGAAACAACTATAGGTAGAAAGAGTTGATGGAACTCCAGTAAGCTTACTTGAAGCTTGTTGCATAATAATTTTCTTCTTTTGTGCCTCGTGTGTTTGTCGATGACGTTTTAACGCATCACGTCTTGAAAATTCCTTGTTACATCCATGATAATCGCATATAAACTTCTTAAAACCATTATGAACTTCATTAACATGCTTTATAAGTTCATGATTGTTTGAGCTACTGAACCACATGTCGCATTGATCGCATTTGAAATCTTTATTGTGATCATGCAAAGCAATGCGATGTCGTTGGAGAATTTGTTTTGTACTAAAGTTACGATTACAAATGTCACATGTCCAAACTTCTTGATCTTGTTGAATTTGATTCTCTGATTGCGTCCAAAAGTTTTGTTGCAATGGAATTTCTTCAGCAACAAGTGATAATTTTGACGAACATGGACTGCTTTCATTTGGTTTTTTTAAAATTTCGTTGATGATAAAATCGAATTGATCGGATTCAACAGGAGCATCCAGAGGCTCCAGTTTTATGTTCATTGGGACACTTGAATGTTCTAAGAATGATTGGGCAGGATGATCTGTGAAGTTCCTCCAAATGCCGAGAGTCTTTGATGCATCTGAATAGAAATCTGCACTTCGACAACTACTTTCACGTGATGAAGTATCTTGAATTGCATTTGATGAATTTTGAGGATCTTGATTTAATAAGTTTTCTATTTCCGGCTCAGAAACCAATTCAATGGGTTCTTCTTTAACTTTGTTGAGTGTCAAATCTTCACAAATACTCAACTGCTCTTCCTCTGAACTACTCAATTTATGTTCTTTCGATTCTTGTTGATTTGAATGATGCGAAAGTTGATGAAGATGAAGAAATTTCGCAGATTTGAACATTTTCTTGCATTGCTCACAGAAAGGTGTAACATGAATGTTTTCATGTTCTCTTAACATTGCATCCGTCTCAAAGTCTTTGTGACAAATATTGCACTTCCATTCTTTTCTTTCAGGTTTGGAAGATGAAAAATAATTATTTGTTTGTAGTTTTCTTGTAAGCTTTGTTGATCCTGAGTTGTGTGGTTTCATTTTTATGACAGCAATTGATAAATATCCTTCTGGATCTGATTTCATAAATTGTTTCAAGTGTTGTTTGTTTTGTAAAAATCTAAAACAAAATAGAAATTTAATATTTCATTTAGCACATTTATGGAAATTAATTTAGTTTATGTCTTTAATTAATGTTTTTTGGAATACTTTTGATTAAACGCTCATCATATACATATGAATTGGGTATATATAACTCTCTTAATTGTATTCATAAACATTGAAAATTATGAATTTTATATCAGAACTCTCGAAATAATGATTTAAGAAATTCTTTTTCATTATTTTTCATTCTGTGTCAATTACATGAGTATATTTTAACTTTTTTTACTCCTTCAATATATTCTAAAACATATATGTTACTTTTTAATAGGTAATTTTTGTAATTTTTTAATGTTTACAATTTTTTTTGTTGTTTTCATGAAATTCTCGAACGCACTCAATAGGCTGAAGGTCCGAGCAGACCGAATTCAGTTCTTCATAGAAAACTACAAAAAACCATTCCGGAGTTTTTTGTCATTCCGGGATTGCACCAGACAAGTTCCTTAAATATTACGCACACGTACAACATTTTTACTCGGTAGTCCAATTTATATTACATTGACACAACCTATCATTCGTAGAAACTGAACGTTCAGAGACTTCTCTGAATCGATTGACGTGTTTAAATCGGGCCGAGACAATTTTCAATAATATTAACTAGAATTATCAAATAAATGTGATTAGAAATGCGTTTTATTGTTCTGTTATTAACATCTATGATAGCCTTCACTTCCGGTGAGGTTCTTAAAGTAGCATGTGGTGATGAGACGTGTGAAAGTATGTTAATATTCAAGTATTTTTATGAAATTTAGATTTTTTGTGATTTTATCTTGAATTTGCATGTTTTCGAATTTGGTGTGTTTATTGTCATAATTTGATATTTTAGATCCATCAAATAAGGCCGTCACAACACTAAGATACCAACCAGATGAATCTTACAAATTGCAGATAAATGCTGTGAATTCTGAAGTCGAAATTTATGGGAAGACGAATGATTTCTATTACATTAAATACGGCAAGAAATTTGGATTTCTTCCCAAACATAACTTACGAGAAAAAATGCGTGGTAAATTTACGGTTGAAGTAGAGTTAGATCTCTCAAAGTTAAGAATTGATGAGCAAGTTAAAGAGACGAATTTTCTACATGAGTACCTAAAATTAAGTAAACCAAATGCCAGCGAGACTTCTGGAGAATCATCAGAAAAGATTGATAACCATACAGATCAACCTGTTAATGTGGAACCAGCAGTAGCTAAAGAAAATGACAATAGAGTCGATAAAGTCGAGGCAACAAACGAAATGGCAGTTGAATCAGAAGAGAATGACAGCGGAATTGAAGATGATGACGAAACTGATGAAGACGACAATTCTAGTGAAACATTGAACATTGACAATCAGGTTTCACAAGAAGATTCTCAAGAAAATAATCAAGATTTGAACATTACATCTTCAGATTCACAACCAGTCTTAAATGACACTGAAACTCTTCCAGTTACTGACAATCCTCCTAACACCGAAGAAGTCAAAACTGAAGACGAATCTAAAATACCTTCACAAAATGAAATGTCAATAGAAATAACAACAGAAAATGTAACAGAAACAATTCTTCCACTTGAACAACCTGAAGTAGTTAAAGAAGAAGAAGAAAAAGTTGAAACAAATACAATTAAAGTGGATTCAACTGATTCTGCACAGATCATTGAAAATGTTCCCACAATTGATAACAATTTGAATGCGAATAGTGATGAGAATGTGACAGATAATGAAATAATTCTTCCATCAACTCCACCAAGCATTGTTGAACCTGAACCTATAGAGACGACAACAACAGAGCCGCAAATTGAAATTCCTTCAACAACAGAGCCGCAAATTGAAATGCCTTCAACAACAGAGGCTCAAATTGAAATTTCTTCAACAACAGAGCCGCAAATTGAAATTCCTTCAACATCAAGTGAACCAATTATTGAGAATACTCAACCAGAAATTGAAGAAACGACAACTGAGTTGCCTCAAATTGAAATTCCTGTAACAACTGAACAAGTGAAAACTTCTGAAAATAATAATTTTGAAACAACAACTGAGATACCAAAAGTTGAATCAAACGTTGAACAGCAAGAAATTGTACCCAAAACGCCATTGGAATCTCCTCCACCTCCACAAAGGCCGAATGTTGTTGATCATGAACCAGACGCACTCATGCAGAGATTCAACAAAAAATTAGGAGATCGAATTGTGGAAAATACAGGAAAAGGATCAATTGAACCGATTTATAAGCCTGGTATGGATCATCATGATCATCACCATCATCATCATGATGTTGTTCAAGAGAATGGAAATAATCAAAAACATGACGAGGTTATTAACGAGCCTCAAACTAAGCAAATTGATGATGAACAGTCAATTTCCCCTGAAATCAAAGAGAGTGAAGACAAACCTGGGTTCTTTGCAGGTCTCTTCAAGAGCTTTTTCAGTGATGAAGATGATAGTGAGCAACATTTTCATGACAAAACAACAACTGATGCGACAATTGGTGAGTTCTGTTTATTCAATGAAATTTATAAAACTAAATAAAAAATATTATTAGGAGATGAATATTGTGAAAAAATTGATTCGGAAAATTGTCCTCAATCAGTGAAAATGAAGCGTGAAACAAACTTTGAAGAAAAGAAAGAAACTTCATCATGGAAATCTGCTGACGAATATGTAAAAATTTTGTTGAATCAAACAATTGAGATGATGGATTTAATTATAAGCATGGGCTTGACATCATTGACAGTACTTATATTTATTTTGGGTTATTACTGCATCAACAAGACAAGGAAGGAAACGCCGTTGATCGCAAAGGTGAGAAATTTATTCAATGCTTGGTTCGATGGCAAAAAGGCCACACGAAAGGTGAGAAAAGAAAACAAGAACTTTTCGAGCATTTTTATTTCATTAAGTTAATTAATTCTGTTTATGAAAAATCGTAATTGCTTACATGAGGCCTTTAATTAATGAAAACAAATAGATATTTGAGAGGGAAACATCAGAAGAAAAATTATTAATCGTTTGAGAAATTCTCTCAGAATCTTTTAAAAAACATTTAAAATTATAGAAATTATGAGTGGAGTGTAAATCGAAGGGAGAATTGATAAAGTTAGAGGCAGATGGACGAAAACCACGGAAATGTAATCTTTGACTCGTCGATTTTTTATTCGAAACTTCTTATCTCACAAATTTGATAATTTTATAATTTTAAATAGTTTCAATACTGCTGCGTTTCAAATATTCATCAACACTCTCAACTTCATAATTTATACTTCAAATAAATATATCTAATTAAAATTTTTTCCTTAATTTTATATTTTAGATGAATGAATTGGAACGTCATTTAATGGCAACAATGAAAGAGAACGAGGCACTGGCAGCTGATCTCATTTCAACGAGACAGAAGTTGTTAAGCATTGAAGACAATTCATTCGGATCAAATGATATGGTAATATCTTTGAAGAAAGATTTGGAAGTTTCTGAGCAGACAAAGCAAGAGCTTTTGGAGAAAATTGTTTCTTTAGAGAAGGAATTGGAAGCAGCGGCTGAAGATGGGCTGGAATTAAATCGAATGGTGTCGGAATTGTTAAATAATCAAACTGGTAGTGATTCAATCATCAGCTCAGTTGAAGATTTACAACGTCAATTAAATGAACAGCAAGGTGAGAGTTGTTAAGATTATCAAAGATCAATCAAATGACATTTTAATATTTCAGAAACTATTTTCACAATGAACGAAGCTTTGGCAACAAAATCACGTGAAAATAGTGAACTTCAAGTCCAACTCTCAGAGATTAGTTCAAGATTCAACGCGGAATTCCAAGTGACTCAACAAAAAGTTGATAGTGTTGCATTAGAACGATCAAATCTTCAGATTGAACTTGAAAATCTTAAACGTGAAAGTGATATTCAAGTTAATCAATTAATTGAAGAACGAAACAATGAAGTGACGAGATTAAATGGAGAGTTGACATCTTATGCTAAGAAATTTGAAGAGAAGTTAAAATCATTGAATGCTGCTGAATCAAAAGTTCAATCTTTAGAAGAATGTTTGAATGCTGTAAAGAAAGATTCAAAAGATGGAAGTTTCAAGGATATATTCGACGTTGCTGATTTAAAAGCTGATCTTCTTGCTGTGACAAAAGAGAAAAATAATTTACAAGAGAAACTTCAAAGTGAAAAAGATGCAAGGAAGTTACTTGAAGATCGTGTTCAACTTATAAGTGATGAAATGTCAAAATTAAAGAAAGAATTTGGAAATGCCGAGAAAGAAAAACTCGAAGCTCAAACGCGACTAGAAGTTTTGTCAACGTATTTCAAAGAAAAAGAAACGCAATTGCAACAAGAATTAAGTGTGAAGGAAGCTCGATGGATGAAGCAACAAGGAGAGACAACGACAACAGTAGAAAAAGTTCAATCGTTAAACGACGAAATTCAGTCATTGAAGTGAGTCAAGTTTTTCTTTTCATCTTTCATTTAATTAATAGCTTAACATTTTCAGATCACAAAAAGATTCTCTTCATGCAGAGATTGAAGCTCAATTTGCAGCTCATAAATTAAATATTTCATCACTTGAAGCACAATCACATGCTGCGTGGTTAAATGCAAGACAAGCTGAGAGGAAACTCGAAGAGTCGAGAATGGAGTCAGCAGCTTTAAGAAGACGTTTAACATTAATAGCTGAAAATCCAGCTGGTGCTAGTGACTTAATTAGTAAGTTTAATTAATTATTCTTACACTAATTATTTTTAAATTTGTTTCTTCCATTAGATGGTCTTCCTGGGATGATCAATGACACAATGAACTCAATTCCATCTCCAATCAGAGTAGAATCGCCGAATAACACGAATACTATGCCACCAGCATCAATGATGATGCCTCCATTTCTTCCTCAAGGATTTATTCCAGGCGCTCCGCCACCGTTCTTACCACCACCGCCATTTATGCATGATATGGCGCCACCTCCATTAGGACGTTTAATGTCACCACCACCAAAAAGATTCACTCCTACAATGCGTGATGATCGTGATCGATATAGTCCTAGAGGAAGAGGCAAATATTCCCCAGATAGCCGTTATGATGACTACACCGCTTTTGAGACGGAAACAGATTACAGTCCCCCACCAAGTCCAAGTCCACCGCCAAGACGTGGTTATCATTCACCCTCTGATCGAAGCAAGAAACCAAAAGGTAATGGAAACAATCGAATATCTTCATCATCATCTGATTCATCTGATGACACTTGGTGATGTTTAAATTTCCACCATTTGTGTCATCATTCATTCTTTGTTTGGCTTTTGTTTCTTCGGTATTAAGGTGTATGAATGAATTTAGTACTGTTTTCATTTGTCATCAACCATGAATGTTTGTTTTGTAAAAAAGATGTAGAAATGTAGTTAAAAATTTTTCATAATTTGCTATGCTTTCTCATTGAATTAAACTTTTTTAAGTTTAGTTAAATCAATCAATTAAAGATTTAAATAGAAAAAATATTGTTTTATAAGTTTCATTTATTATTTCATATAAACTGTCATTAAAGATTGAGATATGATAAAGATTTGTACACATTTACATATTCATGATTTTTGCATTATTCGCATGATTTTTCTAAAAATGAATTTTCTTCTATTTTTCACAATGTATGGTTTGCACTTTAAATACTGGCGATTTTCAGTTCTGCTTTTCTCGGTTATGAGTTCAAATATCATCCATGCTTATTTTATTATGATTACTTCTGTTAATAGACATCTCTGGCTTTTTTCATTCCAAAATTAATTGTTTATTCATTATAAAGAAACTTCTTTTTCAGGTGGTCATAGTTCAGGATCAGTCGATTCAAATCCACCATCTCGAAGGAAATAACGTTGAATGAGAAAATGTTCTAGAAAAAAGAAATAATTTCACTCAAATTTTTAATAAACATGTTGGTTTTTCTTAAAAAAGAATTAAATAAAATTAGAAATCTATTCCTAAACTAAACATTTTTTTTCTTTTCAAAGACATTAATCAATTGAAAATTTTTAACGGATTTTTATTTAAATTATGGGCGAGTTCAGCAATGAAAATATTCAAAGAAAACCAAAACAATTGCCTGAACTTTACTTCGATTCAAACTTTTGCAACCTGGTGTAAGAAATCAAGTAAGAAATTAATTTTATAATTGAGCCAATGTGAAAGCAATGAACAGTATCAATGCAGTAGTAAGTAAAGAAAAAATTTATCAATTTTTGAATGCAGTTAACATTAAAATCAATTGGTAATTCCTAATGTGAATGCCAAATTTAGCAAAAAATAACATATCACAATTTGATTTCAGTCCTTAAAAGTTTAATTTAGAATAACAAGCCTAAATTAATATTATGATGAATCCGCTTGAAATTAACGAATATGAGCAGCGTGAGCTCAAAAATTTCGTTCTTCTCGAGTCCAGCAAAGATTGTCCACAACCAAGTAAGCAAACATTTGTTCTTTGTTTGAATTTAAAATTCATGGAAAAGAAAAAAAAACTTTTTCTTCTTCTTTTTCTAGGAACATCGAAGCGTTTTCTTCAAAAATCCCCAACAACTAATTTGCGTAATTCAGTGTCTGACAAATCGACACCACGTATCAGAAGCGCGTCAACAGGACGTGACAAAAGATCAGAATTTCAAGCTCGCTACTGGGCTTTCTTATTTGGAAATCTTCAGAGAGCGATTGATGAAATTTACAAAACAGTTGAGCATTATGAACATCTTGCATCATGTCAGGAAGCAATTTTAGTATTGGAAAATTATATTCGTGAATTCAAAGCTTTAGCAGGATTCTTCCAAATGTCTTGGGATTACGAGAAAACACCTTTGCCTCAACGTCCACATTCACTTGCGTGGGAAGTAAGAAAAACAAGCGCAATGCCTCGCGTACGAAATAAGAACATAATAAGCCCATCAATGTCTGGGAAGTCATCACCGAGTAGCTTCTCAGGAACCCACAGTCCATGTCCAACAATTGAAGAAAATAAGCAAGTAGTTAAATCAACTAAAGTGAAGAGTCCAGAGAATCGCATCGTTAAAGAAGCATCAAAGCCTGAAACGGTAACATCATCTGAAAATCCTGCACAAGCTGAAAAAGAACGGAAATTCGAACAACTTCTTAGAAATTCTCAGCCAGCAGAAAACGAACAAGAAACTTTACAAAAACCAAAATCACTCTCAATGGAAAATCTTAATAAAATTGAAAGTTCATCTGAACATCTTCAGTATTTCTATCAAAGCCTTATTGAAGTCGCTAATGGATCAACACAAACCGAAGGAATTCATGATGATGATCTAACTTTACTTGAATATCTTAATAAATATAAAGAAACTAAGAAGAATGATGAAATCGAAACGGAAGTTAAGAATGCTTCGAAGGAATCTGTAAAAGAAAAAGAGGGCACTTCACCGGAACCAACACAATGTTCTACCGTCACTCTAACTCCAACTTTATCAGAAGTTCTTATCAAACCTTCAGCAACTCAGAATACGCAACAATCAACGACATGTCAAGTGTCTCTACCTATTCGACCACCAATGAGAGCTGATTACTCACTACGCAACCAAACAATAACATCAAAGAGCTCCAAAGCACTTCCAGATACTCGCAAGACAACAACAGTGTCAACACATCGTGTTAACCGTCAACAAACTCGAATGCCTTCTGGAACATCCACCATTCCACCCTCACGTCCATCAACAGTATTAAATCGCAATCGTAATTCACATCAGAAATGTCCTCAAAATACCAATTTTACAATGAGATCCAAGACAATGATTGAAATTCCGAAAAGTCAAAAAGAAGTCGCATTTCGACATTCTGATTTGAGGAAAAAAAGAGTGCCGGCTGATGATGACACAGGAAGTTCAAGTTCAACTCTCAAAGCCTCAACAGATAAACTTTCAACTAAACCAAATGATTTAAAGAAATCTGATAACAAATCAGGAGTTCAAGGAAGTTCAGATGGTTGGACGACCGTAAAGTCTAAACGACGATCAAGTTGGTCATCGCAGCGTTTTGATCAGCCAAGTGCATTTGCAAGTTTACCAACACTTGCTTTGTTGAATGAAAATGGTGAAGAATCAGATAAAGAAACATCAACAACTACATTAACAGTTAAAGGGCAAGTAAGTAGTTCTGGAAAATCTACAAAAAGTCAAGACAACAAAACCAGCACAGCAAAATCACAAGTGGAACAACAAAAAAAGAATTCTTTGAATGTAAAATCAGGATCAAGTCAGAAACCAATTGGGCAGAAGTTAAATAAAACTTCAGTCGTTTCGTCACTTGCAAGTCGAAAATTAGTAGCATCAGTAAGAGCAAAAGTCAACAGTAATGTGCTAACAAAGCGTGCAACAAATACAATAAATGAAAAGGGAAAAACTCAGTACCAAACAACGTCGAGTAAACAGGATCACATTCGTGGTGAAAACTTTATTAAACGCCAAAAATCTGACTTGACTGGATTGAAAATTAAATCTTTGCATAAAGAGTATTTGAGGAGCGAAAAGTTTGCTCCAATGAAAAAGAAAACTGATGTTGAAGAAGAGAAGAAAGTTGACATGAACGTTCAAACGTCAACTTTACTCATCTCACGAACAATCGACAATCTTTACTCTGAATTAGGCGGTGGAAATACCTCAAAATTTACCACCAGTAATTTATCAAGTTGCGATGAGTTTGATGACGATGTTGAATCGGATGATGACCATCAAAAGAAGTTAGTGGAAGAGCAGGAAAGTCTTGAAAGACAAATTCGTGAATTAGAAAATGCTGAAATTGAAGTTGACACTGAAACAGATGAGACAGATTGTGAAGCAATTTTATGTGAACTGGAGGATAATGAAAGTTCAGAAAATAATGATTTAGAAGGATGGAAGAGTCAAGCATCGTTTGTTGATGAAGAAGAAATCAGTTTGGAGATGAGATACGCTCCTATGTTGGCTGAACTTACACAGTTAGAGCGAGCAGAGACTTTAGCAACATTACAAGAACTTGTAGCTCGTGATCCAGGAAGAGCACAAAAATTGCATCAAAAACTTTCTTCGCCTTCTCGTCGACGATCGTTCCATGAGACTTTAAGAAAGTATCAAGCCAAACAAACGCGAGCTCAAGAAAAAAGATCCGAATTGCAACATCAAAAAGCTCAAAAGATTCAACATTTAATTCAACGCGTTGAGCAAGTTAAAGCAGCAAAGTTTCAATTAACTGAAAATCGTCGTCTTAAGATTGAGGAGAAACTTCAACGTGCTACAGAGAATCGTGAAATGTATTTGAAGAATAAAATAAAGAAAGCACACGACGAAGAGGAAAAATTGAAAGAAATCGCGTTTATTAAGAATATTGAAATGCAAAACAAACGATTGGATTTGATTGAATCGTGTAAGGAACAGGAAGGTCGTTTACAAGATTTGGAGCAAGAAAGACAAAAACGTCAAACTGAAAAGCTTGCAAAAGAACAAGAAGTGTCTAGACGAAGACAAGAAATCGAAATGGAAAGAAGGAAGAAGTTGGAAAAAATGGATGAAACAAGGTTTGAATTTTCTTTATTTATTTAATTTTTATCCATCTTTAATTTTCTCTTTTAATTAATAATATTATTTTAAGACGTGAAAGAGAACAACGTGTTGGGAAAATTCAGGAAGAAAAAGAAAAAGCTCGTCAGGAACTTGCAAAAGAAAAGCAAAGAGATCGTGATAAACGTCTTCAAGCTATTCAGCAACAACAATTACAAGATACGGAAGAGCTTCAAAGAAAAATCGCACAAAAGCAACAAGAATATCAAAAGCGACACGAAGAAAATATCGAACACATAAGGCAACGAGCATTTGAACTTGCACAGCAAAGAAATCCAGATGATGTCAAAAGTCAAAATGAAGATGATGAAGATAGTCTTGAAATTGCCAAACGAACAAGAGAATCGATAAAAATGAGTAAGAAGAAGATGAGAAGAATCAAGGAAAAAAGTAAAGTTTTGTAAGTAAAATCTTCTTGTTGTTGAGAGCTGTTGATGTAAATAAATTTGTCTCATTTTAAAAAGGAGTCAAGAATATTTGGAAAAGCTTCCAGAACTTTCATCTAACATACGTAAGCAATCAACAGTGCCAAAATTGTTAAATGCTATAAAAAAAGGGAATGCAAGCAGTGGAGTTCAAATGGGAGCTGAAAGACCGATAGGACAAATCATAAGAATAATTGAGAAGTCAAATGTCGTTGATTTTCATGCTTTATGGCTTTTGGATGGATTAGGAACCCTTGCTAATGTTATTGAGTCTGGTCTTCAACCTAATTCTGATGTCACACGGGTAGCTGTCACAAAAGCAGTTCAACTTTATAGAAATGCATGTTCCAGTTGCAAGCAAATTGCACAACATTCGATTCTCGGTGGAAGTTTCATTGTGCTACTCGATGCGCTACTCACCACAATTGAGGTGAGATTAACTTTAATCTAACTCTAAAATTTAAATTTTCATCCAGATTTACAAAATTTATTTGGTTTTCTTTCTTTTTCTTCTCACATATTATTCGAAGAATCCGGCAAGTGAAGTTAGAAATCCTTCGTGCCCTGTAGAGACATCGACAGAAATATTTTTGGCACTTACAGTCGTTTTATCAAACTTAAAGCCATCGGAAAATCCAGCAATTGGACCACGCCTTCCTGATGTTGTGAGGTGAGTTTCTTCATGCAAATATATCGATCTCTTTTCTTCTTATGTCCTATTTATACACACGAATTTTGTTATGCTAGAGACGAAAATAGTTGCTGGTGTTTGTTTAACATTTTTTTCATTCTGCTCCCGTAAAATTACTTTTCTTGAAACATAATTATACGTTACTCTAAATTACGATAAACTTCCTCAAAAGAATTCGTTTGTACTTTCCGTTTTTAAGAATTATAATAACAATGACAATAAAAGCCTTACATTAATCGATTTTTCTTAAAGTACCTAATCTCTTCTACTTGCGATCAATATTGCTGAACGTTGAAAGTTTTTCTCGTTTTCAACAGACTGAAAAAGAATAAAAAAATTCTTTTAATTTCAAATTTCAACGATATCTGGACAAAAAGAGAAAAAAATAATTCTCAAATTTATAGATCTGACTTGAAGAAAAAAAAAGAGAAACATTAAGATATGAAGCCAAACTTGAATCCCGCGAGTGAATAATGTTTGCTTCATAGACGTTTTTGTTGTTGGATCATCGTCTGCCGGCTGGATTATAGATTTGAAGTTGTGATAATTTTTCAACGTGAAATTTCATGAAATTAACTCTTCGCTAAGTCCTCCTAAGAAGAAGTCAATGATTCTTACACAAGACGACATGTTTAATCGAAAGAATATTTAAATTCAAACGAATTTGTCGTGTGCCTTTGTATTTTTATTTTATTCTCTTAGATGCATTATTGTCCTTAAAACAAATTTTCAAGACTCATTTTTTATTATTTCATTTCGAAACAATAAAGCCTCGCAAATTTATTATATGCTATAATTTATATCCCATTATTCCTCATAATATTTCTTTAAGCGCGTTTTGCTTTCATAATTTATCTGACTTCTTATCAAACACGAATTATCATAAAAGAATTTTGGTTTTCGCTGATGCCAACAAATAGCAAAGAAGAATATTTATCAGCAATTATAAATATGTATTTATGCAAGAGAGAAAGAAAGAAGTAATAATTACATAAATAATAATTTAACGATAACCAAAATAAAATATTTCTTAAATTTAAATATGAATGGTTCTGGTTTTTGATCAGTGATGGCACGTTCTGCATGTTGAACTGTTATTAGCTTGAAAAAGTCAACAGAAATTTTTCTCTTCATTAGCGCGGTCAAATTTCTTTAATGATTCCGATGCAATATTGTCTCTTTACCTTGATGAAGTCGGTGTTTTCTTTCATTTTGTATCCTTTACTTCATCATAATTAACCATGTCGATCTGATAAAATCAAAGACATTGAAAATTCCGAGACAACATTTTAACATGATTATAAATGCTATTTTTCGCTTTGAATATTAAAATCATGCCATAAGGCAAAGAAAAATTACTAAAGTAGATATTAAAAGGCGTTTCTAAACTATTTTTATTAAGCGAACTTGGGATCGGGTTTGATTTTTTTCCCTCTTTGATTTTCTGTAATTGATAGAAATTTCATTAGGATAGATACAATTTGAAAAAAGAGTTTTGAAGTTCAAGTGTTCCTGCTACTGATTTTGTTTCCCTTCCTCAAATCTGTCCTACGAAACCCTTCAACGAGTCCTTTTGGCACTAGCTCGTGAATATTCGAGCAATATGTAAATAATAATTTCAATTATTTGAATTATTTAAACCAACTTTGCTCACCCCTTTTCTGCCCATCACTTTATGAATAATTTTAAGTTTTATTTCAAAACTTTATCCTCAACAATCCCTAAACAAGTTGCAACTTTATTATTATTTTTTTGATGTTTCAATAAAAAATAAAAATAAAGACTTTCCATTTATAAATACACCAAAAATGGGAATCAAATGAGCCGAAAGGAATTAAATCACTGCTTAAATACGTAAGCGAATGAGAACGAGAAGTTGCATTAAAAAAAGGGATTTAAATATTTGTAGACTTGAAAATTGTTTTATGAGTTTTCTCGCAAGCTTCTATTCCCTTCATAAAACATTTCATCGAGAAGCATTAACATCATTATTTCCTCTTTTTTTTTTCATTTCATTGAGAGGGAGAAGCAAAAGTTTGTTCAACATAAAAAGTGCAACGCTATCTGACATATTTTTCTTTCTTCCCTTTTTTATTGTATGCAAACATCGAAGTGATACTCACTACCTTGTTTCAAATTTCCTACACATTTGTGTAGATTCTTCAGCCTTTAAATTACAATTTGATTGCCTCATCAATACGATGGTTTTGCAGATGGCATGAAATTTTTATAATGTCATGAAGATGCACATGTACTTGAAATTGATCCCATGAAAATAGTGAGATTGAACTACAATAGAAGTCCATTGAGAGATCTAGAAAATATGAAGTGGCACTGGACGAAATGATATTGATGATGATTTCCCTTTGAACTGAAACGAATTTCACTCTTTTCACAATCGTCCTTGCTTTTATTTTTATTTAATGAGGGGTTCATTCATTCGTTAGGCAAAAAACAGAAAAAGCAGTACGAAAACACCTCAACAGGGTGCACAAAGATGATCATAAATTATGATGAACAACCTAGGATGTTGATGTTGTTGTTTACAGACTGGTTTTGTTTGTCATGTTGAACAAGAAATTTTCTTCGGTTCTTTAAGTACACAGATGATGATAATGATAATAAAAGCGCAATGTATGAAAGGGATTCAAGCGCCATGTGGTGCCACTACCCTTAATCGTCTTAATGTGCTTGTTACTTACTTAAATACGTAAGTTCCCCGTGAATCTGTAATAAATAGGATGAAAGAGAAGTCGATTATTGCTTAATCACAACACAAAACCCGCCTAAAATCTCTCAATTTAGATTCAGAAAAAAAAATCTGTAGTCAAACGCCACATTTTAAATTGCAGTTTTGATTTCTTTCTTCACCCAACGAATATAAAAATATAAAATTATAATGTTTACATCACATCTCTCACTAGTCACTGACAAGCTAATAATGAGCCACCCATGAAGCAAAGAAATTCTAAAATCACTCAAACGTCACTTTTGCCTTTTCCACAGATGTGTTTTGTCATTTTTTGAAATGTTTACTCAAACTGTAGATATATAAGTAGTTTTTTTTACTACTTCTGCTGTCAGTTGATGGTGAGCGAATGGAAAATAATTTAAAGTCGTGAAATAAGAATTTGTGAAGTCAAATACTAAATTTAAATCTAGACTGAAAGAAAAGAGTTGTCATTAATAGAATCCTTCCATATGTTTTGCCATTTACGCTCCATTTAGCACGCAGTGTTGTGTATCAGTTTAAAGGTCTTCCTTCAATCTCTCTCAATATGTACTTCACAATGAAAATGAATGATTTGCCATTATAATCACATCATTGAGTGTCGAGTCATTAAACATTCTTTTTCTTTGTCCTTCTTTCCCCTTATGCTAACAACACTTCCATGGCTGGAAATCTCTGTTTATTATTTAATCCTTTGGAATTGGAAATGATTTAAGTAGAATATCTTAAGTACCGTGTGGATTTGACACTTGTTAAAATATGCCCTGTTTTGGAAGTCTTTTTGTGTGTTCTTTTTCTTTTTCTCTATCAATAAATATTTGCGTGTGAAATGTTGCACTGGCTGCACAATTCACATTCATTCTTGTTTGTTTACTTAATGGAATCTCTTTCCCTTTGTATTGAATTTATTATTTATTTCTTTGCAGTTATTTAACATCGTCTGGAATCATCGAACAAATCACCAGAAAGTGCCTCATGGTTCGTGAACCGATAGAAAATCAGCAAAGTCTTTTACTTCCGCTTCTTGCAATGATTGGATTTCTCACAAAAATCATTGAAATATCAACACGTGATAATCTTATGCCAATTGTTAAGTCGACTGAAATTTTCGGCACCATCACTTTGCTTTATAAAACTATGAGTTTGGGTGAGTCTCGTAACTTTGTCTTTAATTTTTTTTCCCATCGCTTTCGGTGGTTACTCATGTTGTTGATACCAACAGCTAGCCCGAAGAGGTGCTAATTGGATATAATAATAAAACATTCACAATGATTATTTGAATCCATTGCTCAATTTATTAAATTTGTGGTCGTTGTTCGCTACCTCATAGTTCCATGCGATTTGTTTGAGAATTTCTTTTCTTCATATAAAGAAAAATAAAATCACGAGACGTATGTGCTTGTTGATGCCCGAAAAGCGATAATGTGTTAAATAAAAGTAGTTGGAAATGATAAATAATTGCTTTGGTGCGCTTTAAACGCTCTGAAAGAGTCTACGTCTTTGTTCGTTTGGTAAAGCAAGCGTCAAAAGACGTGAGAATTTTTTTCAACCTCTTGTAAAGTTCATTTGTGTTCAATTATTTGGCGTCATGTTGAAATTTTACAATTCCTGAGGAAGTTTTTATTACAAATTGACATTTGAATCAATTTATTCTTAAAAAATTTGTTACAATTTTTTTCAATTAAACTTTTTCTTACATAGGTGAGACAATTCCTCCGAGAACTGTGTCATTAGCCGGCTCTACATACAATCTTATCAAAGCAGTTGCTTTGTTGGATACAAATGGCTTTCAGGTAACTTTTTATATTAACATTCATGCTTTAGCGTTGTTAAAAATTAAATTTCAACTTGAAAAGTTTCATTTACACAAATATTTTCTCCTTTTTACCATAAATTCAATCAAACAACCCTAACAACAAACAAGTCCCATCATGATGCAAGTTTTACTTTTTCTGCAACGAATCGCAATGTAAATAACATTTTAGGATGTAAATTGTGGTTCATCATTTTTTTGTTGCGCATCTTTTGACGTTGGTTTCGAATCATTTTCAGAGGGTTTTTCTCCTTTTATAAAAATATATATTTTTTGTTGTTGTTAGAAGTTGTTTGCACATACTCATAAAACGGTCGTTGCAAAAACTCTCAACATCATTCAACAATAATTAAATTCAAATATTAATCTTTCATTATTTATGTATACGTTGAGTTAAATAATCTTTTTAGCAATACATGAACAATATTTATTTGTTTGTGAAGAATTTTGTGGTTGACTTTATCCCTCTTGGGTTTTTATCTTCATCTCGATGTTGTTGAAATCTCCAGAGATAAAGTTGAAGTTGAAAGAAAACAGTTTTTTATATCATAATTAATTCATTTACGAATAGAACTCTCACAAAATCAAAGAGAATTTCTAATTTTTTTTCTTTCTTTTCATGGTTGTTGACAGGAAATCCTCAATCAAGAACGTTTAACCTTCAAGTTTCTTGATGTGGTGACGATTTTGTTGAATTATTGCGGACCGAAGCTTGCTGAAAGTGATAACATAGAAATGAAAGCTGTGATAAGAGATTTGATTGTGATCATTGGATACTTCTGCGCAAACAATCGAAGAAATCAGGTAAGGAAATTGTCACATTTTTATTATGTGTAATTACTACCACAATCGGAAGTAACTGCTAATGGAAATTTCATGAGAAACTCCAAAAAAAAAAATGTCGAACACATCGTGTGGAAAATTATGGAATTTAATTTATTTATGTTGCCGATTCATTGAAGTTAAATGTCTCACTTGATGTCAGCAGATGAAGAGAAACGCAATAACAGTAAATTTCATAATTACCATCATCGTCACTACTTATTTAATGTATTTTTCGTAATTATGTGCTCTTGTTGAGCCAATCAGAAGACCACTCAGAGTCGAAAAAAAATATAAATTAAAAGGCCGACACGAAAATTAATTTCATGAAAACTATAATAATGAAAAATGTAATTTAATTTGTTTGAGATGGTGCAAATAAGTTTAATGAATCAATTAATTAAGTAAAAAAACTTATTGGTTGCGCAACGTGCTACTAAATGATGACTGAAAACATGGAGTAACAAAATGTTGGCAAAGTTTTATTATTTCTTTCTTTTGTATTATTATTAAAAGAAATAAAAAAAAGAAATGAAAGACAGAAATCGAGATGGGTAGAAAAAGATTCAAGTTGGAAAGAAAAAAAAATTGTAATTCAGTGTGATACATTAAGATGGTTTTGTTTCGATAACTTTTCCTTTTGTGTTCACCTTCACTTCGTATGTAACATGTAACATTAAGTTATCCATTTATATTTAAGCTCAAAAATTTGTTATTTTCCTCTCCATTGAAATCGGCAGGCATGAAATTGTTTCAGTAAAATAGCTGTGCATGATGACGGTCCCATCAATTGAGTGAATTGGCAATTTTAACTTAATATTTTCCTGCCGCAATTCAAAATTATCTTAAACATTTTATCTTTCTCTCCTCCATTATGCTTCTGATGGCCATCATCATGATTTCCCATTAATTATAACGCGGAGTTCTTTGATTGATTTCCTGCACCACTCGCTTTATTTATGTATTGCTTAAGTGACTTGAAGATTCATTTTCTTCAAATTTCCTTCTTTTCTGACAGAACCTTCTGACATCGGAACAATCTTATATTATTCTAAAGTCAATCACGAAGCTGCCAATTGATCTCGCTCCATTCTATTATCCAACATTGTTGACTATCATTTGGGAGAATCCAGAAGCAGAAGCAGTGCTTGGAAAAGATTTTGACATTCAGGTATGCAAGGATTGAATTATGCCGATAAGAATCTTGTCTTAATTATTTTTTATTATTGTACAGATGCTAAAGGAGTATGAAGGTTCAGCTTTGGCCAAGAAAAACCAGCTTCTCAATATGCTTGAAATTTAAATTTTCATTTCCATAAAACCATCAAACATTACATTGTCAACTTGCAACATGGCAGGATAATTAATTTCATTAAAATCATCATTAATATCTGTTGAAGAACATAATTTTAAAGAGAATCTGTTAATCAAGTTAATAATAATAATAATAATAATAATTTTCCTGAATGAAACTCATCATTATGATAACACCAAATGAAGTGACTTAAAGTCAAGGTCCAAGTCATTATCTTAAGTTTTTTTCTGTAAATCTTAAATATCTAAAAAATTTGTCAATTTCTATTTATGCTGAAAAATCTGAATAAAACTTATAAAATTATTAACTCAAGTGAGATGAAAAGTTGTCTTAGGATTATTTCTTTTAATTAACTATATTTGATTGATTAATCAAACAGAAATAAAGATCAATTTTTTTCATGGTCTTAAATATTTTAATTAAAAAATCAAAATTTGAGGAAAACAAGAAAATTTCTAATAAACCCTTTTAAGCTGTGCTTCCCTTCCACTTGAGAAAATGTTAAAGGAAAGTAAACAAGGCAGAAGGAAAACAAGTTGGAAATTGATGACTCAATCGCTGTTTAACACCATTGACAAAAAAGAATGAAAAACTACTTGATAAGCCGGAAATTAAAGTTTGAAGAGCGTTTCGATGACATTTTTCTTTTCATCATTCAAATTTAAATCGCATCTACAAATAAACGATCCAGTGACGTAGCAAATTCTAACAGGATATCGAATTCTTGTTATGATTTAATTTTTTTTCAGTGTTGCATAACAAAAGTATGAGAATTGCAATGTTCATTATGACAAAAGCAACTTGAAAATCGTCATCATTGATGCGTAAAGATTTTTCTGAACAATTCAGAAATATTTGTATTCTTATCCATTGTGTTCCATTCACAATATTTTCAGTTTCATCAGGAATTATTTTTATTTAAGTACATGAACTGAAATTTCATGTGACAACAATTCATTCATTCCAGACAGATGGAAAAAAGAAGAAAAACAAATGTTGGATCAAAACAGCTCAGAAAATAGAAATAAAATATTGTTGATTATTAATGACAGGGGAAATATTCTTAATTATAAAGTAAGTAAATAGCAAAATATCGTCAACGATATGCATAAAAGAAACGAACATTTATTGTTATATCTCAAACAAAAGCGTCAATGTTTTGTACTTCACTTGCCCCATGATTACAATTTGTTTTCATTTTTCTCATAGATATTTTCTACATCAATCATAAATATCAATTCAAATGGATAAAATGTACTTGACTTCTTAATTGTCAGTAACTTTTAATATTTTTTTATGTTTATCTCATTTCCGATGCACAAATCTTTGACGAGATACAATCGCCTCTCATTTTACGTCTTTACAAAGAGAAAAAAAGTTAATCTGCTTATGATTCATACAGAAGCTGTAGTCTTAATCTCAATCAAATCGACTTATGTTTGCGCTTCAAAATTAAACGGATTGATTCTTCAAAAAAACGGTTTCAAGAAATGATATTTAAGTCTTGAGATTGATATCTTTAAAATCATGTGTGGTAACTGTTTGGCGCTTTGACTTCAGCTTAAATGCTTATTTCTTTTTTCACTTTCATCGTTGTTGTCATGTCAATCATAAATATTCAGCAAAGTGAAAGACATCTTTAGATACATTTATAAGTAAGAAGGTTCAATCTTGTCTTCTTGACAATAAATGTCGGCATTTGATGAGAAGAAAAAAAAATATCTAAAGCTTTATAATGACAGAAAGAAACAATGTCTCACATGCCTCAACTTTAAAAACGATTCAAATAGATAAAAATGTTTTATTAATCTTTGTACCGAAATTTTCATTATAAAATCATTAAATGATTTATGTTCGTCTTCTTCTGATCTAGTTTTGATCTTCATCCATTGAGAAATCAAAAGATGGAAGAAACACTATTCTCATAATATCTTACGACCTACACATAAGAGCTTCTACGACAATTCACTTAAAATACGTTTGAGGACAGACGAGCAAAGGAAGATCCATTTTGTTGTAAATTTTTCGTTAATGGAATCATAATGTCCCATAATGTAGAAATATTAATGCTTCCTCGAACACATTTTACCTTTTTTCATTACCACCATTGAGAGAGGAAAAGTAATTTCATTCTTCGTCATGATACGATACTTGCCATGTGGATGTTGATAATAGGACAAAGTCTTTGGGGATGAATTCAAATTCAGAAAGTTTGTGGGCTTTCTCGACGCGTTTTTGAAGTGATACTTTGCTTTCATGCTTATCATCAAAATAAATTTCAACCTAATATGACAATCTGCCTTACTTAGCTTAGTGCGGATAGACAATGAAAAGAATGATTCGTTAGGGGAGATAAACAAATGCTGATGTTAATGTTAATACGTTGCTTTACAGGGAAGCTCTCTAATAACAAACACGATTTCACTATCACTTTTTCCTCTTTGATATCAAAATTGATAATCGTATAATTAAATTATATCAAAATGTGTATATCCCATCTGTTGTCACTTTTTTCCTTTTCTCTTGCGAATATATTCGAAACATTTTTATTTTTTTCTGTTTTTGTTTGAACTAATTATCATAAAACAAATTTCTATGTTATCAGAAGCAAATTGTGGGTGAGATTGCCACTTCTGCTTTATTGACTTCTTATTGACTTCATGTTAGTTATAGACAAATAATTTGATAACTTTTAATTGAGTACATAAAAGTTATTGATATGCTTGTTGCACAACTCAGGGAAAATTTTTCCATCTTTTAGACATCAAAGCAAATATCTTTTTATGTTGTGACAATTATTAAATTTTCAGTGAAAGAAAGAGACAAAGTTTATCTTAAACATAAAATGCATTTACTCAAACTTAAAACTTAAACACGGTACATATATAAGAGAAGAAAGAATTGCTACAATGCTTCCAAAAGTATTTGTTCTTCTCTTCTCTTCTTTTTAACCTTCCGAAAATGTATAAAAAGGGACGCTTTGAAATGAGTGTTTGACTTAACAACACTTTGAATGACTCAATAAAATAAGATCTTAAGATTTGAAATCTATCAAAGAAACCAAACGCCGCCACCGTAAAAAAAACCATCTGATTCCTATTTGTTTCATCGATTAAAAGGCTATCAGTTATGAGCACATCAATCGCTAATTCATTGGATAATGACACATTTCAGCATCAAAGGAATGCCTCATAAAACTTCCATTAGCCATAATAGTATTTAGTATAGATGGAGGCAGCAATTTTTTATTTTGAAATATCATTGTAGGACGAAGAATTCTGTTACACGTGCATATAAAAACAAAAATGTAGAGCTGAGATTTCATTCTTCTTAAATCTATGGAATCAAACTTCTTTACATTTCTGATTATTCAACATTATGATGGCTTTGATGTGACTCGAAAAAAGGTGAAAGACTTGGAACATCCGATGCTGCGATGATTTCCTCTAAAGATAATTTCCTTGGTAAAGTTTCATTTGATTGAAAATCGAAATCATCACCAAATGGATGAACTCCATAAATTAAATAATCTTGTAAATACATAGCAGTAGGTTTCACATAATGAAATTGAGTTGGATATTCGGAACAACAGTCGATGCTACCTTGTGCGACATTGTAATATTTCGTTTTAGTGTACCAATAATCTTCCCTGACTTCTGCTTTGAGATGTTCCTTAATTCCAAGTGGGAAGAAACGTTTTTGATGATGATCATCTCGACAGTCAACAAAAATCGCTTCTTCTTGTAAGCATCGTCCCATTTCGTAGTCTTCAGCTCCACTGCCAATGTGACAACGTGTTTTATCTTTCACCAAAATATTAGCAAACTTAATTAGCGCTTTCTTCGACAATATGTAACCACCACCAGCCATGTAACCTTCTTTCAGACCTTTCTTTGCAAATCGATGACCGAAGTAGAGTGAAATTTGAGGATTGTATTGGGCAAGCATGTAGCGGAGATTCTCAAGAATTAAATAGCTAAATTTTCAATTAATTAATGTAATTAAGATTCACGATTAGTAAATTCAATTTACCTATCATCATCTGCTTTAAGAAACCAATCGAATTCGTCGATATAATTCTTATGCAAGTAGAGAAAGCCTTCTTTAGTTTTATGCCAAAGAGATTTTCTTGTATCTTCAAGATTTAAAATGATTGTATCAAGTTGCAAATCTTCTTTAGAAGTAACAAACAAAAGTTTATTGCATCTTTTTCCCCAAGTGTTTTGAACGTGAATTGCTTTTTTTCTGTGATTTTTTGGATGAGTCATAATCATACATAAAATTTTAACGTTTTCATATAAAAATTCTGATAAAGTTTCATTAAATAAATTCACATTGTTATGACTTTTTTCTTGAAAAAAATTGACACGTTGCAAAAAGGTTGTTGATTTTTTCATTATTTTGCAATTTTTATCATATCCATTAAGTTGAAGTAAAAGCAGAGTTGTTCCAATAAGAAAACCTGCGACTAAATAAATCACTTCTTTCATCTGCATTTTTAACTATTTTTAAACACTCACAAATGACTGCAAACTTATTTTTGTCTACAATCCTCTCTTATTTAAAACTTGAAGAACTATTAAGTGTGAGGTATGATTAGTCAATTGACACTGATAATGGTGCTATCATCAATTCCAAAGAAGTGATAATAAGTATTAAGATAGGACTACATACATATACATTGTATTAAGGTGGATTTGAACGATAAGATATTTGCACGATATCTACTCTGGTTACCGACTTTTTTCTGTATGTTTGTGTATGCAGATTAAAATCAAAAGAAAATCGAATTCTCTGGAGTTAACGAAATTTAGAAATGACCAAAGAAATAATCTGATGTTGAGACTTTGGTAGCTCACTGTGAAATACATTAAAAATAGAAATTAAAATAGATTTGTGGTGACCTGAATATATAATACACGAAAGTAATTTTATTTTAATACACAATGAAAACTTGCAAATTCTACTGTGCGTAAATGTGTGCTATCTGTGTCGATATCTATAGATAAAAAGTTTCATCCATATGATGGCATTTATTCTAACAACTTACGTATGAACTCAAATTAAATTTTTTTTAATCGCATATGTTCAAACGTCAGGGACTTTGAATCAAAGTATTCATATAATGTTCAAAAATAATGAAAAGAACGAATTTGATAGCAAAAGGTGAATTTTCAAACATAAAGAAAACCTTCGAGTCTACCTAATGTGAAAATGTTTTTTTTTCTCAATTTTTCACAGATTAATTTTCAACATGTGCACAACGCCACAAGCCGATTCGAGATTCTAGTTATATGTAATTAAATACTTTAGTTTACCCTTTGACTGACAGTTAATAAACACATCTACTACGTACATAGAAATTTGATATATTGGAAGAGAATATATCTATCTATCATCTTTGTTTTCATCTGAGTTTTCATTATGGTTTGAAAATTTTGAATTCGACTTTACGTACGAACGATGAAAGTCTGAAAGAACGAAGAAAATCATTTAATAAAAATTAAAAGTATTGAAGCTTGCTAGGCCTTAAAAAGAAACGTTTGAATTTTCTCGTCATAGACAGCACGGAATATGTTTGTGTAAACATGATTTTCCCTTCATTACCAATATGTAAGCATTAAGAAAACGTTTTAGTTCTGAGGATTTCAAGGAAATCGATTTTTCACACCATTTCAAAAATGTAAAGTTAGGTACACGAGTTTACAAGGAAGTTTTAATAATAATAATAATAATAAAGTAATGATGATGGAGCTACAAAAGTTGATTCGTCCCACTGAAATAGAAGTTTACTTAGTTTTGAATTTGCAAAGCCACAGAGACAAAACTCTCGATAGAAATTCAACTCGAGCAATGTTTATTGAATAAATATGAAACATAATATTTTTCTCCATCAAATATGACAATATTTACATTTCTGTGGCTTTATTTTGTTTCCATTTTTTTCTTTCTTTCTTCATTTTCTGACTTTATTCTCAATTTGCATTTGTTTAAATATATTTTTTTTTCTGTTCCGGGGTGTTGTTTTTGAGGTAAAATTTGATCGGAACGGAAATAAATTGGATTAAGATCGAAAATATCATGAAGGAAGAAATAAAAGACGTTTAAAGCGTTGTGAAATAATAAGCCAATAAGCTTTTATTATTTAAAGGACGTGTTGGACATTGTATCCTTAGATACGAACTCATTATTATATCACCAATATTAATTAAACCCAGGTTCGGTATTTATTTCATTATTGAGATATGTTTCATCAGTCGAGATAATTTATTTTTGTGGCTAAGTTGATGGATCTATGTAATCTATTTCCTGATTTGTTTTTGGATAAATGGATCGTTTTATAATCACTTTATTTCCATCTTCAATTCTGAAGTCTTTTTCGAAATTATCCACTGATAAAAATCTCATATTTGTAGCTCCAATTGTTGGTTGATATTCTTTTCTCGTCAACAATTCTATTGGCAAATGAGATTTCCCTTCTTTTTTTTTTAATTTGATTGAATGTGAAGGCAGCGTTTTTCATTGCTTCTACTCAAAATCTTTCAGGAAGTTTTGCGTTTATCGCGATACGAACGGCATCATTTAGTATGCGATCTGTATTCGTATGTAAAGTTACAATATCCAACATAAAGAGTGAATTTCGTCATTTCATTGAACTTTCAATCATTGAGAATATTATTAGAATATTATAGAATACATAAAATTCTCGATGAGTTTCAGAAACATTTACAAATGTAAAACAAATTTTCTTTGATATAAAGTTTGCCTCTTCACACAATTTAAGATTAATGATGGAAACAAAATTCGTTTGGCAAGATATTTTTTATGGAAATGCATTATATTTACATTCTTGATCATAAATTTTCCAATCGATGTTTTTTATTGCCGAAAACAATTTAGGTCGAATGTGTTAAAAATGATTATCTGCTAGCTTGAAAAAACAACTCTTGGATTTTCACTCGATTTCACTCCGAAAATGTTTTGTTAATTGTTGAGTGAAATGTTTCAAATAAATCAAATCTGTTGAATTCAAATATTTATTGCTAAGCAGACTCTGAGCTCATTTTCATGTTAAAAAAATTCTTTTTTCAAGTGGCTTTTAATTTTTCACTCGTCGCTGATTGTCGATACATTTCAAGCTACTCGAATATGTTGTTGAAACATTTATAGAAACATAAGTAGGTAGATCATTCTGCAGGTGATAACAGAATGTAAATTTAAATTTAAAATTTCTTTTCTATTTCATGGGAAGCTGTCATTTAAATTTTTATTAGATAATTAAGTTATTATAAGCTGTAATGGTAGGTAGCTAATCTCATTAGTTTGATTAATAAACAACATGATCATGGAAAGCTTAAATTGTCTCCTTCACAGAAAATTGCAGGTGTTGACTGAATTAAAATTACTAAAATGATGGTTTTATTCAATAAATGTAATCGGATATTTTTTATGTTTTTTATGTTAAATTGCAATTATCGTCAACAGTTTTTTTTCCTTTAGGATTATAAGATTGTCATTGTGGTTTCATTACAATAAAGAAAAGTAGTGAAATAAAAACAATTTACGCCATTCGATCGGAGTGAATTAAAACCTTTAGTTGATTAATATTGACGCACAAAGCATATGCACAGACAAAATAAGGAGCAAAAGGATAATAGCACGATATTATCGTGTTCGATAATAAATTATTAAACCCCAATAAAGTCGCGTGCGTGTGTCATCTTGACGAACGTCAGCGCGGCACATAATAAAAATGACTTCTTTATAGCATGAGACTTGCACAATGTAACAACAACAACAATAATCGACAACAAAGAACCTAATCATTTTATAATTTCCTTCTACTCCGTGCAGTGCGGAAAATTGATCCGATGAAAAATTGTTTTTACAGAAAACATTGTACGCTAAGCATACGCTTGAACAAAAATATTGTTCTAAATTATAAATGATAATAATCTGTCTCGTGTATGTTCTTCTCTTGCTAGTTTCTCTTCTCTGTTGTTATTTTATTGAACGTTGCTAACACGCCCCGAAGTTCCTGTGAAAACATATAAATAAATAAAAATTAAATTACTATTTCTTTTGCGCAGAAAATAAACTACGGAGATTAACATGGTGTGAATTTGCATAAAATATTAAAAATATTAAGTATACAACAATGTAAACCTTGTTATTTCTCAATGACGAAGTGAAATAGTTTCATAAGGATAATTGCTTATGTAGTTAAGTATTAAATTATTTTCCATATGGGAAATTAAATAATTTTTAAATTCATCAATAAATTTTAAAATTTATTTCACCACAACACTAAAAATTAATGTTCGGGTTTTATGTTTGATGCTTTATAACAGAAACTTCTGCCTTTTTTTCGTTCATCTATTCACGTGGCATTCTCTATAGATGAACGATGGTTTCCCAACTATGAGCACGCCACGTGTCGAAAATTTGAAAAGTCATTCGCTATGGTGAACACACGCATTTGAACATTAAAGTGTGTGTACATACTTTTTTGTCATGAATAGATTGAGTTAATGATTTGAAGATTACAATTTGACTCTTTTTCTCTCGAGTGAATTGATATTGAACTAATTTTTAATTTTTGTAAAATTATTTAGATGACAAGGGGTGACAATAAATAAGCAAAAATAAAATTTATTGTGGTAATTTTTCAAGCTTAACGGCGTTGAAATCATGCGATGAAATTTCTTAACATAAACATCTCTGCATCATTCACGATTTCATGTTAAGGAACAATTTATTAGATATTTGATAGCTGAACATAGTGAATTACTGAAGTCAAAAGTGAAATCAATAAAATAATAAAAACAGCGTGAATATCTTTAATGAAGTCCAATTTGATGAAAAAAAGGTAGAAACATAATGCGAGCAGCAGATGTTGTTCAATGAATGGTCGATGAATCATTCATTAGAGGTAAAAGTAAAGTTTTAAACATCTACTGAAAGTTTAAGCAAACAACATAGAACATTTTAATAAAGAAACGTCCTTAGGAGTTTAATGTAAACAGAATCAGAAATTTAAGAGAATCCTAATTGAAAATCAACAAGCGACAGAAAGTAGGAAAACAATGAGCAAAATGCAAAATATTGTTTAGAATACAAATCACTTGAAACTGCTTTCTACTCGACTGAATCATCTTAAGTAGGGGACAAACAAGTGTGAGTGAATGAAAATAATCGACACCCTCGCATATTTTCACTTCTTAAAATTCATTGTAAAATCATTTGTAGGTGAAATTACTTCCCTCGAATTTTTTTTTGCAAGTGATAATTTTTAGGATTATTCATAAGTAACTGAACTCATTCATCTAAAAATTTAATTTCTCATGATTTCACTTGTCTGTTATACTGAGTATTTTAAAGGGTCAATTCAAAAAGTGACAATGCTCAATAAATGAAAAGAAAAATTAGCAAAAAATGAACATTAAGTCAACACATCTTTTAAGTGGTAACTTTATAATCGGCGAAGTCTTCTGTTAACAAAAAAGAAAAAGAATATCCCGTAACCGCAAAACAAATATTTATTTTAAAATGTTAACTTGGGTGACCACCTCAAGTGTCATTGTTTAAAAGATTCAACCTAGACTCGACCATTAAAGGGCACCACAATTATGCAAGAACATGATAAGAATAGAAGCAGCTCTTTGTTTTAAATTAAGCGTCTCTTAAGACCTTTTTTCCTTTCGTCATGAATAAGAAGATAGATAACAAGACGAGGATAGGAAGACCTTAATATTAAATAAAAAAATTGAATCATTTAAGACCATCAGACTCAACCAGCATAAAACAGTCGTTTGCTGAGCTGATGTGGAACAAAACGGAAGTGTTTTTGTTAAGAAAACATCTTGTCTATTTAAAGAAAAAAGTGAAAAAGAATTGTTTTCTTTAATTTATGGAAGAAAAGACGAGGCGAAAAAATTACAAAGAAGAATAAATTTCACGCATGCTTCTTGAAGCATTTCATTTAGAAGTCAGTAGTAGTTTTAAAGTAATAACTCATGGTCTCATGTTCTTTTCATCACACTTTGTTACTTTCAAACAAGAAAAAATCAAAATGTTAATTGAAGAAAGTTTTCGCGACTTTTGTTGTGAGATAATTACAGAATAAATGTCTTTAATAACATCAAAAATGCATCAGAAATCATGCAGGTGTAAAAGGGTGAACATGAACAACCAGCAACCGTTCATTGGTTTTGCGGTCAAAAAAGATTTATTAACACCTTTGTTTAGTATTTTTCCCTTTTTCTGTGGTTTTGTTAGACGCTTTCAAATGAAACCCTGTGAAAAAAGGATGACCGGAAATTTAACGCGCACGATGGTCATACATGAAAGATTTTTAAATTATTAAAACGGCGAAAAATCACGTTCATTACATTACATGGAAATGTTTGCTATAAGAATAATCTTTCGACGCTTTAAGCATTCTCTATTGTTGTATATAAATATTGTAAAGTAAATCGTAAACAATTATTTCCCAAAGAATTGACTTATCAACTTGATCGATCCCACCCCATATTGAACAACAACAAAAACCTCATACAATCAAAAAATTTCGAACGTTATAAAACATTAAAAAATTACAAGGCGACAAACAATTTTTCAGTTGTCGCGTGTTCCATTCAACTGACAATATGATTTTTTCATTGTGTGATGCAGCAATTATTTTATAATTTCCTGTTGACTATGTGACAAGTTGCATCAAAAAACTGTTCCCTGAAATAACAAGAACATCGATCTATGTTCTTCGAAGTGAATAATAAATGTGAACATGATTTTCCTTTATATCAACTTTATAATATCTGTAATCAAGGCTACAATCATGTGCATATATTCACGGAAACAAACTGAGCTTTCATTTAATTAAATTTTCACACTTTTCAACCATGAAAAGTTGCAAATAAATTTCTCAAGAAATTTTGTATCACTTTAGAATTGTTCTGTTTATAATTATGATTTATAATGTCAGCTTTTAAGTTTAAATATGCTTTGCTTTTAACATATAATTGAATTTAACTGTTATCAAATTCAAATAAAATTATATTGAAGAAAATGTTAGAAAGTGAGCTAAAGCAGCGAGTATAGATAATTCACATGATGAATTGTGTAATCTTCCATAAAAAATGATAGACGAAAAAGGTTCTCGAATGATTTGAATCCATTATGAGCATAGAATTTGAATAAAAAATAATCTTAATGCTTAATGTGTTTCAATATTTTCCTTATTCATGAAAATTATGTTCCGTCATATTTAGTCCAATCATCATTTTTTATGCTGCAGTTCTAGTTCTCAAAAATCTATTAAATGATTTGCATTTTATCAGAAAAAAAGTACCTATGTAGTTAATATTCAATATAATGGTGCATGAAGTTGAAAGTTTATGATGAGCAAAATTTTTTTTCATAAATTTGCTGAACAAAGAAACATGAATTGATGAATGAAAATCCTCAAACACAGAAAGAAAATTCTTAATGTAAAAAGAGTCGATCTTATCACGTTTATGTCTTAAGATACTTATGATACTTCAGTCTCATTCAAAGTAAGGATATAATAGAAAGCACACGAAAATCGCTTTAACAAACACGTAAATACGTGTATTCATTTAATGTTAACGAATCAGAGAATTAAGATTTGATAGAAGAAGGAAGAAAAAATCACAATCCAAAATACAAACTTCATTTTCATGTAATTAAATATAGAAGAGCAATTTAGTAAGTTAGCATTCTTGCCCTTCGTGTGTCGTGTTTGTGTCCTCTAAAATCTTAATAATTATTCTTGCACATGAATGCTCCCTTCACGTCACAAAAATGTTGTAAAAAGATGCCAATCGTTATGGAAGTAAAAATGAACAGCAGGGTGAGAGATGACAATAGTAAAATCACTTAAATCTTAATAAACATCAAAACAGCATAATGCTTTTAGAGAATAAATGCATTGAAGAGATTTTGTTTGAAATCCTATTCGTTTTCCCTTCTTTGGACTTTAAGAAAAAAAATAATATTTGCTTTCCTAGGGGAGAAAACGGTGGTTAAGCTTTCAGATTTTGAAGAAATAAGTAAAAATTGGAATGTATGAAAAGCGTTCGTGCCACCACAAAATCGTTGTGGAAATTTATTGAATGAATAGAAAATTGGTGAAATTCACAACATTTACAATTGATTTTTAAGAAAAATCTTGAAGAATTAGACGAAGGGAGAACTATTCAGTTGAATAAAAATCTTTTTCCGGATGTCGGAATTCACAAAAGTCATTTAACAAATCATGATTTTAGTGATAGAATCTCTGACCCTCTTGAATTAACCACGATTTTCCTTTATTTGAGTTTTCCAACTGCACTTCAAAGGAAAGATTGTTGATGATTTGCATTACGCAACAACTATTTATAATGTTGTAGAGTCAAACAATGCAATTCCAATTTTTTCCACCCTCCACTCTTATACCAAAATGACCAATGTTCACTTATTGAGATGAAGATGCTTTCCGGTCATAAAATGGTTCAGAATAAATTATATCAGAAATTAAAACAATAATTTTGCTATCTATGAGAAAATCTTTCACAAATGAAAGGTCAAAAGTTGATATTTAAAAGATGACACTTACCAACTAAAGAAATTCGGTTTGGCAACTAGAAAATCAAAAAGCAAAATCATAGAATAAAAAATTGATATGTGTAATATAGAATTATAAAAAAGGCAATCTCAGATAAATATGAAGAAAAGAAGTTCATTTTTCTTTGATACTCCTTAAGATTGCTATCAGCATAATTCGAATGGGATTTGTATAAAATGTACATCAAATAAATATGCTTATAAAGCGTAGAAGGACTGTGAAATGAGATTAACAAGATTTACTTTTCAAGTTGCCATCACCGTGTGAAAGTCTCGATGCGTAGCCATTGTTTCCTTCAAAGAGATTTTGCGCTTTGATAAACATACTTTTATAACAACGTAACAAAGAAGAAGACGATAAATACCAGTGAGAACACAAAAATCACTTTTGTTGTGCATCAAAGAACCGAAACCTTGCATATTATGGACACACCTCATTCTCATTCTTCTTTCTTGTTTGTATTTATTTGCACACCGATGGACATTGAAAATATATTACACAATGTATGTATTTATGCTTAAATAAATCATACAACATTCAATCATAGTTTAACAGTTGTTTATAAGCATCGATAGACCACTATGACAAATAACAAGTCTTAAAATCTCAATTCATAATCCTCCTAGATAAAAAGATTTACACAAATAAATGTGAATGTTGGCATCGAAATGGTCCTCAAAAGAATAGAAAAACGTAATCCCTCACCATAAATTTATTAATCACATCGAATCGAAAGTGATAATCATGATAATGTGCAATGTAATCAACTAATAACTGCACCCCTTTTATTTTCATACTCACATGAAGACCTTCCTTCAATTGCCATGAAGTGACTTCTGTGTAATTGAAATTATTTCCAACTGCTACGACATATATCTACATTGTGAATGTTTAAGTTGGCAATAGAAAGAAAAATAGCAGCAGAAAATGATCGGGCACACAACAACAACAGCCATAAAATCTCATAAATATCAATCAATTTTGATTACAGTCAAAGTTTCTTCTCTGTTGAAAAATAGCGGGACGGCAATAGGAGCAGGAAGAGACGAAGCGCATTTAAAGAGCTCAGGAAACTTTTTGTGTGTGCATAAAATGAAAGGGAACGTCATAGGGAATTCACATCAAAAGGCGATATATGAGAGTGAATGAAATGTGCACCGAAACATGACGCAAATGTTTTTATTGTTTTATCCATAGTAAAATCTTTTTTTTCTATGTTCCTTCGAGAGAAAGAAACATTTTAAAACCCTCGACAAGTCCATACCATATGGCAAAAAAAATGTTGAAACACAAGAATAACATAACAGAATTTCAAAGTGAGGGGGATTATCAGCCGTCATGGTGCGCCTGCACCACAAATCATGATCGTAGACTTATCAAATTTTATCTTTGAGTGCAATTTTCATGATTCGTTTTAACATCTAAAAAAGGTCTTTAAAGCTTTGACTTATTCTATTAAATGACTGCTTTGATTCTATTTTCAAAGAGTTTGAGAAGAAAATTTTCTGAAAAGCGAAGAATGCAGATGAACAATAACAGAACTGTCTTGAGTCATCTGAATACTTTATTGAGAGTATCTAGCTTTGAGTGTGCAAGTTTATGATGGGAAGCACTTTAGTTTTATTATCACGTCTCTATTTCTAGCATGCAGCAAGTTCTGTTTAAGTATCTTAACAGTAAAAGAATACTTTTAAGATATCTTAACAACCACATATGAAATTTTAAAATTGAAATGATTCTTCGACTTTATCATGCTATAAAAGTGATAAAATGCATAACATTCTCCAACATCTTCCATAAATATAATGCGAGTTGTTTTCAAATGCATCAAGAATTGGTTTTTGACAGATGGTTTAGCATATTCTATAATTATGTGCGTCTTCATGCATGTCTAAATCATGTTAAAAGGAATTCAAAATGAATTTTACTGATATTAAAACATTTTTTGGTCCTCGATATTTTTTTTTGTTCTTAAAAGCTTTTAAAAGTTGTGTAAGCAGTATCAATTACTTCATATTAAATATTGACATAAGACAACTACAAATCAAAGCTTTACCTTGCGAAACTGATTTTTTTTTATGTAAAAAATATTAGTTGGAATATAAATCAATTATTATCAGATAAGTCAATACACTTTTACTACGCTATTAGCTCATAATTTCTTCAGCTAGCTAAATCAAACTCCCAATGGAAATAAGAAGCATTCGTGCCGAAGCAATTATTCTTAATCAATAGTCATCTTTTATTTTTTATTCTTATTGTCTTTTCATCATATTTACGATTTACAACATAAAAATAATCCATAAATATTTTCCATTTAGTCGCGCAATAATTACACATTCGATTAATCACAAAAGCAGAAAATATTTAAACACATAAAAGAAATTGTTCATTGACTTTGGACAATACTGCCAACAAGTAGCCAAATGTAAGCAAGAGCATGCAACAACTAACGAAAGAACTTGCCAACAAGAAGTATGCCATTATAATTTATGTAGCCAAAATCACATTTTCCACACATATGACATTTATTTGCGAGAAGCAGGATGAACTTTTTACGACAGACATCCTTTTGCTTGCCTTTGTTTACTCGCTATTTTGACGCATGATTGAATATTTTTTATTGTGATTTCCGTCTATTAATTCCAAGAATTATTTACACTTAGTTGAGCAATTGAACATACTTGAAAGTAATAAAGTTAAATGATTTTTAAAATATTTAATCAAACATTTTATTGTAGATGACCTATGACAATTAAATAGTGAGAAGGTTGAAAATTTAATTTTTTAAATTTGTGAAACTAAGCAAGAATAAATTTATGTCTACTACCTACTTGTCTTAGTTCATAATCCTATGTTTATTTTCATTGATGTAGTTCAACATAAACACTAATATTTGAGATTGACTGGTCTTGGTTTGTCTTCTATCTTTTACATGAATTATTATGCCGGTTGATGTTACCCCACACAGTAAATAAATGTGAAAAACGGAAAGAAAGGAAAAGTGGAAACAAGGTTTTTTTTTAATTTTCCTAATGGATATCGATCCGTTACTTTAAATAGCGAGTAGAATTCATCATGTGTGTTAGTGAGAGAAAAATGTTCTGACATAAAGATTAAAGAACGTGGTAGATTTTAAAGCAACCCCCTGAAATATGCGTTTAAGAAAGTTTTATATATTTCGGACTGAATCATAACATTTCATTGCAATTGGAAGGAAAATAAAATTAATTTATAATTCAACCAAACTTTATTACATAACTCTAACCCACAATGACAGGCTTAATAGACATTTTTTTCAATAGACAAAATTCTTTGAAATCAACTTAAATTAAATCAAAGGAATATCACTTAAAACGATTCTATTTTTACATCCAGGAAGCGTTAAAAATGTTCCCGTCATACATTTTCAGTAAGTTCAAGCTACTGGATAAATTAATAATATGTTCATGAATAACGTATGGACTTTGTGGAAAAAATTATCGATCTGAAGTGTAGCAAGCTTTAAGAATTTTCTACCATGTCAACAAAACATTTTGTGCCGCGTCAGATTTTAAAGCTTCCATTTTTGTGAGATTTTTTTTCCTCCACAAACAGTAAAGGGGAAGCTTTAAAAATTGTTAATAGTCAAATGGAATGAAAACATGCGCAGGAATTCAATCTTATTACATCTTATAGCTAGTAGATCGACAACGACAACACACCCTCTCAACTTTGCTAAAGAAGTTAAATCTTAAAATCTTGCTGAGAACTATGGTCGACTCGAAACATCAAAAGCGTTGTGAGATGAGCAAAATTTTTGTATTGGTTTTATATCGCTTTCCTTGTCACTCCAATACATTTGTAGGTCTTCTCAAGCTCAGTTTTTGTTACCGTTGGTGCGAGTAGATCAACTATATGGAATACAAAACGAAAGAAACAAAAGGGGACGGATGGATGAAATTATCGCTGTGAAAAATTATTCCCGATGTTTTTTAGTTTAGTGTTGACTAGCAGGGCAAGAAGGTTATTAATTCCTTACAATATATTTCTGCGGCCATCAGTGATAATAAATTCATATTTTTCCTTTTTTACTTGCTTGGAGTGATTTCCACCGCAAGTTGCATCACGAAACTTACAGAAAAGCTACGTTGTGTTGAATAACGTGTGTCAAAAGAAGCTCATACACACACACACGCAAGCACACACACTACTTGAATTAAACAGCGAAACGGACGAACTTTTTAAAAGAAGTTTAGAATTTCTTTATGCCATAAATTATTTGACAACGCTGATATTGAAGGCGATAATAAAAGTTCAGATTTAATTTAGTATTTTTATGCGTAAAATTCCGTCGATTAATATAGAAAGACAATCGATTTAAGATCAAGTGATGAGATCAATCATAAATTAAATTGAATAATATTGGATATTTGGCACATTAATTGGATGAAGCTGTTTTAAAGAAAATCAAGTGCCTGGATATTTGACAATTGAAGTTATACGAAGTTTTGTTATTGATGCATTCAGTGAGAATTCAGATTGAGATGATCAAAATGAATTTAATTTTAAATACTTTTAACTTAAAAAAATGAGCTATTGGTTTGTGAAAATTACAGAAATATTGTGAACGTAACTTTAATGGTAATGGCAATGATTGGTGGCCAATTGGCTCACCCTACACCACTGCAAAATAACTATTGCAACGGATTAGTGCAACCGTCGTTAATTATGAATCATCATGTTGATTGTCAGGAGGATATTCACCCAATACTGGCAACAAATATCAGTAAGTTGAGTTACGAATCTTAAATTATTTATTTAATAGCTGGACAAACCGGAAATCACTTTTTTGCGATCATGAAGAAAAACATTTATAACTGTATCCAAAAACACTTTAAAAGTCATTAAATCTAAGTTATAAAAAACATTTAAAGACGTTTGTAATCCAATTATCTTTAAAAAATTATCGAAAATAATAATTTGAACATTATGTTTTCTAATTACCAACATATTTGGTATTTTTCTTTATCCAATGTACATATATTTATACCTACGACTAAAAGGTAGATATATCTAGTTACAGCACAACTTTTTATTGAAATAATCTTTTCTTTATTTTTCTTGTAAAAGAAAATTCTTTTTAAACACAACAATGAGTCATGAAGTTATTAAAAAAACGAAGAACCTTTGGAAAAAATCACAGCCTTCGCTTTTGATTTTAAACTTAAATATGAGTATGATAAAAGATGCTTTTAACTACGCCGATCATAAAAAAGTGTCGCGACAAGATAAACTTCTTCTTTGGATTGAAAGCAGGCGCCCCTAAATTTCAAAGGCAAAGAATAACAAAAAAAAGGATTACAGCTTTGAGCTAGCATATACAGTTGATGTATTAGTGATGCTACACCGGAGAGGAGAATTGTGATAGAATTTATTTTGGCTTTCTACAAAATTTGGAAATGAAACGTCACAAAAAAAATTCTTCTCGATTTTAATATCTCAAATTTTTCTCTACAATATTTTTAGAACATCTTATTCATTTTTCACTTTAATTAAGTATGAAATGATTTAAGATTCTCACCAACCCCGTTGTTTCAAAACAAGAATTCAGATAAGTAAAAGAAATACTGGATAAATATTTATTAATAACGTAAACGCATTTTCCATTTTGTGACAGTAAACTTGTCCTTCGTGTATACTTCATGTTCATTTCAAAATTCGCCACTGTTTTATAATATTTTATTATACTTATTACGAGACCAAAGAACTTGAGAATTAATGCGAGAAAGAACGAAATAATTAATAATTAAAAACATCTTACACTTCACAGTTACAATACAGAAAAGCTAAACTGGTTGGTTAACTTGAAAGGTGCGACCAAGAAAAGACATATCAAACAAACAAAACATTTTTGTAGATGTTTCACCGGCGAATTCTTAATCGTGATCTTCTTCATCATGAATTCAATTTTGCCTGTGAAATATCTTAAGAATACCGAACTTTTATGTTGAATAAATTGAATGATTTAGATTTTAAATTAGCAATCGATCTGAAATATTTTGGGACTCATTCATGATGTTAAAGATGATCTTATTCTTGTTATGTTTATTAGGTAAATTTCTTTTAAATCTTCAAGCACCTTAAACAGGTTCAAAAGACCAGTCATGTAATTTGTTGATGAATGCTTCCTTAGAATAAATAACCCGACTTCAATAAAAACAATAAATACAATACCTAAGCCATTGAATGAATGAACAAGAATCATCAGTCAGTTAAATTGCCTTCAGTTTTCATTCACAAAAAGTAGAAGGAAAGAAGAATTGACTACATTTTTCGGCTTACCCGTATTTCTTTCCTTTATTGAAAAGTTAGACACCACATGTACATATTTAAGTGCGGCGACACTTAAGAAAAGTAAAACATTTTCGATGACATAGTTTTGTTCCTAAACAGCGGTGAAAAATTTGAGTTATTCCATAAAAATGTAACAATTAAAGGACAAAGCTTACGAATCCCGGCATCATGTTTCGGAATGAGTCAAGAGAAACTATAGCGTGAATATATTTCTTCGATAACCAAAAGATATAAATTTTATGTTTTGTTCGAGAGCCGAGAGTCGAGAGGTAAAAATACACACGAGAGGCAATCTACCAAAAAAAAAGTGATAATGATGCCGGCTGAAATGAAATGAAATTAGAATATTAAAGAAACGTTTATCGTTAGATGACATTCGTCTTTTAACGTAGCGTTTGTTTCTTCTATCCCGACGGATTGTGTAGACATGCGGTAATATTTTGTCATCTCTTGTATTCTTTACCATAACATTTTTCGTCTTATTTTATTACTATACTTAATGAACCTTCGATATGTATATACCTAATTTAATTACTTACTTTATTTTTTTATTATTTATTTGGCTAAGTTTACATAAAAATACTAAACCAAGTTTGCCGAAAAGTATTTGAGCTTATTTGGTAATTTCTTTTCGATCTTGTATTCAAATGAAAGATCTCAAGAGTGCCTCGAATATTTCCATTCAAAGTTGACATTCCTTTGTCACCGGAATTCTGTTCCATGCTACACTATTGAAAATATTCCCGTTTCGAAGGAACAAGAAACTTAACATTATTTTAAAACCTAGATGGACTTTACCAAGTGAGATTCTCTTGCCATTGTCGGTTTTTTTTGCTGCTTGCTTCATACACGAAACTTGATTAGGCTCATAATCTTTTTTTTCAAGATAACTGAAATTTTAACAAAATAGATTATAAGCAATAAATTTATTTCGTCAATAAAATGTATGTATCTAGTTGAAAATAAAAAGAGTTAATAAATATTCAACTATTTTGCATCATCCATGATTATTGAAATCCGAACAGTAGTTCTTTACCAGAAGATCAGAACACACAAAGATTGATTTTATTTCGAAAACTATCTTTGTTTCATGTTTTAAAATCTTTAATGCCTATAAGCAAGCTTATAACAAGAACCAGTGGAGTTGTAAGAACAAAGAACGAGAGTTTTTATATTCATTTTCAAAGCGAAGCAAAAGACGAGAAAAAGTATATCTAAATGGTATGCAAAGGAGAGCAACAGTCTGCAGTGCTTCTTTTAAGATCTACCGAAAAGATAAAATCAAGTTTGTGTACACAATCTGTAATGATTTCCATTCGCGGTGCCTTAGCTCATTCTCTTCATTTTTAACTTCAAAGTTTCATGGATTTATGTAAGTGTGTTCGAGATCTTTTGTCGCTTCTTTGTCAAATATTCTTAAATGAACAAAGAAAGACAAAAAATAAAAAATAAAATCAGGTTTAAACTTTGATCATGTAAATCGAATATCTACAATTATTCACTTTGGTATTCAATTACATTTTTCATTAAAGGAATATCTGAATAATTACTTTTGGGTGTTAAACAAAAATATTTAAAGACTGACTGAAGATCTTCCATTTTTTAACCCAGTATTGCATCAAACTTTCGATTTATTTAAACAAACGAAACGGTCTGATGGACAATGGCATTACTTATCACTCGTTTTGAAGGAAGCATTTATTTTCTCAAATTTATATTTTAAGTTGTGCGCAGTCTCACGGAAAAAAAGAAAGAAATGAAAAACAATTCTTTGGAAAATTTTCTCGATTGAGATGCTGCAATGCAGAGAAGAAAGTTTCTGAAATTCGAATTTTTCTTTTTAAAAGCTTTAATCCTACAATGAAAATTCATGAATTATGACTTAACCGAACAGAAATGTTTAAAAACGAATGAAATTAAAAAGGCTGCTTCATAAATATTAAATAATCTTTTTACTTTATCTTACAATTAAACAGAAAAACAAAACTACTCGCATTGTGTGGGCTGTGGAGGACAGATTTTGGATCAATACATTCTTCAAGTAGCCCCTGATCTCGAATGGCATGCAGCATGTCTAAAATGTCAAGAGTGTCGACAGTTCTTAGATGAAAGTTGTACATGCTTCGTTCGTGATGGCAAAACTTACTGCAAACGCGATTATGTTCGATTGTTTGGTACAAAATGTGATAAATGTGGATGTTCTTTCAGCAAAAATGATTTTGTAATGCGAGCGAAATCCAAAATTTATCATATTGAATGCTTTCGTTGTTCAGCTTGTGCTCGACAGTTGATTCCGGGTAATAAACTTTTTAATAGATCTTTTAAACAAGAACTTTAAATATTAATAATTTTTATTAATTTCTTAATAAGGAGACGAATTTGCATTACGAGATGGCGATGCGCTTTATTGTAAGGAAGATCACGATGTTCTTGAGAAGTCATCCCAAACAAATCTCAATTTATCAGAGCATAACAACAACAATGCTTTGCTTAATAATAATAACACAACAACCAACAGCCACTCGGGAAGTCTTAGTAATAACAACCACTCAAGTGAAATGGGATCAATATCAGGTGAGAATATTTCGTCGAATTATGACATTGAATGGCATAAATAGTTTAGAACAATATCTGAACAAATATCTAGAAGCAGCTTCAAAATATTTCTAGCGACAAGAAGTCAATAAACATCAAAAACATCCGCTTAACAATTTACACTTCAAAATAGCGTATCCATGCAGAAAGATTTTGTAAAAGAATATAATTACTGAGTGGCTTTTTTAAAATTTGTTATCGAAAAATTTATTGGAAGTCGTTTTACAAAGAAATCGCATTGATGAGATGTCAAAAACAAAGAGATGTTTGTTTTTTCAATTTCGCGGTTTAACATCATAAAAGATATGAAAGTTTATCGGTTGTTTTTTGTAAATGACCCCTTGAAAATCATTAAAAATAGTTAATTTAGCTTAGTTGGGAGTGGAGGTAGAAAATTTTAGATCTTGGCGATTGTGACTAACAAAATTCTGTTGATTATTTGATAAATCTATTAAATAGTTTTCGGAAATGGTTAAGTTAGGCAATCAACTGATTTCAAGCCTCTGTCGAGGGCTTTTTAAAGATTCGCTCTAAGATTTCTATTAACTATTCTTATGTTAAATATAGAATAAAGTTTCATCTTTAAATTCAAAAATGACAAAAAATAATTGGAAGTCAAATAGAGATTAAAAATGTTTTGAAAGTCTCAACTCGAATTTATTAATTTTTTATTTTACTTCTTGTCATGATAACGATTTCCGATTCAACAAACAAATTCTGCATTGATAACAAAATTAACAAGGTAGTGAACAACCGTAATTATTAGACGTCATTGAGTTGCGTGAATCAAATGGATTTTATCGGTTATTGTTTATGTTCGACATGAAGAAAATTTCTGTAATTTTTTTCCTTTCCATCGTTAAAATTGACTATCGAATAATAAACACATCGAGTAAATCTTGTGATTTTTTTTTGTTGAAAATCAAACAAAACATGTTTTTGATTTGATTTTTGTCTTTATTTTCGTTCGGTTAAATTTTTGAAGACTGCCGACTGAATGACAAATATTTATTTTATAAAACCGAAAATTAAACAAATACCGATCGAAAAGCAGGATGAAAGTCTTTTCTTGATTTTCGACTTCAAAAAGGATAGCAAATGAAAGATAGATTTATGTTTATTTATGTTCATGAAATCTATTTTTCCGCAGACTCTGAAAGTGAAAGCGGATCCCACAAAAGCATACGAGGTAAACAATCGGGCCCATCTGATGGCAAGCCTACTCGTGTGAGAACAGTACTAAACGAGAAGCAACTTCACACTTTAAGGTGAAAATTCTTTCATTATTGATTTTCATTTCCGATAGAAAATAAAAATGTTTTCGAAAATTCATTCATTCTTAAACAGACATTGAACTTTATATTTATTTGCTTTTATTGAATTCAGAACTTGTTACAATGCTAATCCACGTCCAGATGCTTTGATGAAGGAACAACTTGTCGAGATGACGGGCTTATCACCAAGAGTCATTCGAGTTTGGTTCCAAAACAAGCGATGTAAGGATAAGAAAAAAACGATTCAGTTGAAACTGCAAATGCAGCAAGAAAAGGTGAGTTGTTAAAAGCTTTAAATGTAGATTTTTTTATAAACATCTGATAAATGATGCAGGAGGGTAGAAAAATAGGCTACGGTGGAATGCAAGGCGTTCCAATGATTGCCACATCTCCAGTTCGTCATGATTCTCCTCTTAATCTTCATGGTTTAGAAGTTACAACTTACCAACCTCCATGGAAAGCATTATCAGATTTCGCACTTCATGCTGATCTTGAAAACAATGGATCCGTCAATCACACACCTGCGTTTCAGCATCTCGTAAATCAGGTAAATTGTCATCAATAGTATGAGAGAGAGAGGGAGAGAGAAAGAGAGAGAGACTTGCGTATCTTTATTTTTCTGCCATGCATGAATTCACATTCCTTTCAATATCTTCTTATTTCTTGAGCCTTTATTTTATTATTATTATTTATTCAAATCGTTCAGCTTCTCCTGTTGACTTTCATCTTCGTTTTCTTGTCTAATAGTTTTACCTTTCTTGTCTCAATATTTGCTTTAAAAATTTTCTTAAAGTTGGTAAATAATTTCTTGCAAATAATTAAGATTTAATTTAAATTTCATTTAACAGATGCATGGCTATGATATAGGAATGAATATGAATCCACATGGTCATCAGCCACCTTCGATAGCTCAACATCCTGTTGATCCAAATTCTCATCATCATCCTGACAGCACAGATTCCTACGTGACATATCTGGAAAGTGACGAAAGTATGCAAGGATCTCCTTAACAGAAATACATTGAATGATAAAAATCGAAATAAATCCCAAACGATAGTTGGAAAGAAACTTTAGAAATGATTCTTTAATTATTTGATTTCAACAGTGTTATTTATTAGTTTCGTTTGTCAAACATGTCTGTGAAAACTTAAAACTAAGAATTCTTCTATTTGAAAAAAAAATATCAAATTGTTGCAAAAACTATTTTCAAAATAAAAAACTTTCACTATGCTCAATAACATTTAGTTGTATTTTAATTAATAATAATTTTGATCTATAAAAGTGAAGTAAATAAATTTTGAATGTCTCGAGAAACCTTTCATGATCCTTGTGCATAAATATACATAAAACATTTACGCTTCTTTACGAACTTCCAGAAAATTGAAACGACGCTGTAAAAGATGAGTGATGACGGATGAAAGACAAAGGTCGCCGTCCTTTGAAAGCCCACTGATGCGTCAAATGTTCCGATTATAAATGGAGAAATAAAACTGTGATGTGTAAATTTCGGTTCTTTTATTTTCCAAAACAAAAATTTGGTTTCTTTAGTTTAAATTTTTACGTGTGTTTAATTCAAGAATTCAAAATGTTTTCTGAAGTCTTTAAATCTTATGAAGAAACGACAAACATCTTGTAATATTATACAAATTAAATGATTTTCACATCCAGATGCTAGTTGGATAATTATTTTGATATTTTGTAAAACAATTCCTAATCCATCAGTTCTGTTACAATTCATCATCGCCATCAAATATAATTTAAGAAGATACGATTATTTGATGAAGTTTTCTTGGAAAACCAATAAACAGCAGCAGATATTATGTTGAAAACTTAAACGCTAACATCTCGGAAATGACAGGAAATCTTCGTTCGATTGCGAGTGTTCAAAATAGAAGAAAGAAAAGAAAAAAAAGGCAAAAATATTATGTTGTGATCATTTTTTTTATTTTTATTTATTAATCTCATCTCTGTTCTCGGTTAATTTAACTATAAATATTTTTCCTTATAATTATATGAACTTATGTGCAAAATGCTTTTACTTAAAAAAAGAGAAAAACAGAATAACAAATTTTTGTTATAAGCTTAAAAAAATAAGCTTTTGATAAGCATCAACTTCATTCACTCAAAAGAACCATGAAAACAACTATCAGTGGAAGCATCAAGTGGGGAGCGCTGGTTGAAAAAGAGAAAAAATAGAAATTCAGACAGCATAAACATAAAATAGTTTTAAATCATAATTCATAATGAGTGAAAGAAGTTAAAATCCAACTGAGAATTGGACAGAGAGAGAGAGAGAGAGAGAGAGAGAGAGAGAGAGAGAGAGAGAGAGAGAGGGATCTACTTATGTAAGCTGAAATCAGTTTCTCACCTGATTTACAATATCTTGATATGCAGGAGAATGCATTTGATGCATTTGATTGTTTTTCGAATCTGCATGCATTGCAAGGTCAGAAATCATTTTCCATGGTGGTTGAAATGATGTCACTTCGAAGCCATGTAAATTAATTGGTGATTCGTCATTTCTAACAGGACTTGTCGCGATAAGTGGAACACCATGCATACGACCATATCCAATTTGCTTCATCTCCTGATGAAAATTTTAATTAAACAACTACTACTGGTTAATATTTCAGCCAACTTTGTCTCACCTTTTCTTGTTCCATTTGAATTTTGAGAGCATTTGTCTTCTTATTATGCTTACAACGTTTGTTTTGAAACCAAACTCGGATGACTCTTGGTGAAAGGCCGGTCATTTCTACAAGCTGCTCTTTCATGAGTGCATCGGGTCGAGGGTTTGCATTGAAAAATGTGCTGCATTAAAAATTCAATTAAAATTTCATTCAAAATCTTTTTTAAATCGACAAAATTAAGAAGAAGAAAGAAAGAAAATTGTGAAGTGTTCAAAGAAATTATTTCTATCTATTTGTGATGTTGATGTTAAAAAAGGTATTTATTAGATAGCTTTGATCGAATCCCTTCGTCAATGATACGGCATGCATGAAGACGTTAATTAAAATAACCAACTTTTCATCATACAAACCTCAGCGTATGCAACTGTTTCTCGTTAAGCACAGTACGAACGCGCGTCTTTCCATCATTTGACCCTGGCGGCTTTCCGCTTCGAACCCGAACATTTTTATGTGATCCCGACTCGCTTTCAGATTCTATTTTAGTTTCGTTGGTTAAAGTAAATGAAATAAAACAACAGATTAAAATGTGACGAAAATTACAGTAAAATACTTTTGTCATTAAGATCTTCATGTCAGATTCTAGACATTCATTAACATTTCAAAACTTTTACTATCACTCTACTAAATACTACAAATGATTTTCAATTTGTATTTCATATCACTTGAATCTTAAGTGAACTCATGAAAGACTATTGAGATTGAACAATAAACCGATAAGTATACTTATGAGAGAAGAAATGTTTTTCAAAATCTATCACGTGGATGTGATTGAAATTGTAGCAATATTTTTAAATATTCGATGAATCAATGAGTTTTAAGAAGCACTTAAAAAAAAGCAGAAATATCTTAGCAATTTTAAGTGAAGCACAAAACATTGAGACATTCCGATTTTATTGTTTCTTGTAAACAATTCACTTTTTTATGATTATTAAGTGTCTCGTAAATATGCAGTCAATGTTCAATGAAATATCTTGAAGAATAATTAAAAAATGTTCTTAAAAGACAAGCAACAAAGTTTAAGCATCTTGAAATGAGATTTCTGGAAGACTTTGAGAATGTGCAAAGAAGCTCAAGTGTTTTGAGAGAAGATTAATCATCAAACATGTATGGATAATCGAACGAATGAAAACAGTGAACAGAACAGATTAAAATCATTTTATTATTAAGAAAAAGACCGGTTCAATTTTACTCAGCTAAGGATTAAACAAACTTTTATATTTTTGGGAAAAACTGAACACTTTTACGCTATGTTGATTGTGTAAACTGTAAACTGTCGGCACACCTTTGATTATATTTAAAAAAAAAAATTAAAAATAAGTATTGACGAGACAATCACTGATTTAAAACTCCAAATACGCTAGTTGATTGTCAAGTGTATTTACATTGCTCATATCTTGTCAAAAGCCTTGTTAAAAATAAAAAAAACGAACGCTGATTACACTGATACTAATGAACCATTTAATGAATGTCTAAGAAATCAATGTTATCGATTCAATGGTTTGTTACCTGACATTGAGCCAAATTCACTAGAATTATTGTTGCTTCCCGAACTGTTGTTAGCACTATTTGTAGTCGTCACAACTTGGGTTGATCCCTCTCGAAAATCTATTGCTGATGTTTCATTTTCAGATTGTGCCAATTTATCAAGGGCGTCATTATCCATTTTACAAAATAATGTGTTGCCATCTCGCAGTGCAAACTCATCGCCTGAGTAACAACAAAAAAATATGTGAAGGAATAAGAAAAATTTAACATATAAATAGAAGAAACGAAGAAAATGAGCGAAACTGGAACTACCTGGAATAAGATGGCGGGAACAAGCTGTACATCGAAAGCATTCCAAATGAAATATTTTTGATTTCGCTCGCATTACAAAATCATTTTTGCTGAAAGAACATCCACATTTATCACATTTTGTGCCGAACAATCGAACATAATCGCGTTTGCAGTAAGTTTTGCCATCACGAACGAAGCATGTACAACTTTCATCTAAGAACTGTCGACACTCTTGACATTTTAGACATGCTGCATGCCATTCGAGATCAGGGGCTACTCTTAGAATGTATTGATCATATATTTGCCCTCCACATCCCACGCAATTGGAGATTCGCTGTTTTTCTAGAAACATTAAAATAAGAAAACAACATTGAAAAGTTTTGTACGGAAGAAGTTTTGTTAACTTGAATGTTTTATATTCAAAGAACAAGAAATGTTGTTGGTAAATGTTACTTATTAACTAAAAATGATTACAATGTGATGAAGACAGCTTCTTTATAATCAGAATTAACCTATTTAAGAAATATTTAATTACTCTTTATGCTGCATTTAGAATTTTAAGGGTATGGCGCCTTCAATGTTATCTACTTAACCTATTTTTATTTCCATAATCTCATGATGGTGATAAAGAAAATAAGTTTAAATTTTTGTCTTTAAATTTATTAATAATTTATGCCCAATAACTATAATAAGATTCAACAGTTTATTTAAAAGCTGACAAGTCAACTACAAAATGCATTCCATGCAATGAACTGTTCGTATTTATTTGTTTAACTTTTCTCTCTTTTACTCATTGATTTTTGCCGCAGTTGAGTTTTTATGTCACAAGTGTTAATTTTCATTTTTAACAGTATCTACTTTCAACGTTCGTATAATGTAGGGATAAAGAACTATCATGGAATTTCATTGCAATTTTTAACTCAATTGACATTTAGATTTCAACAGAAAATATCAAAAAATTGTATGTTGTATCGACAAAATACTTTGACTTGTTTCGTTAAATGAGCGTCAATTTACAAATCGAGATTGATCGTTGAAGTTTTATTCATTGATGTTCTGTATTCAAATGTATTTGCCTTTTCTCACTTTTGGAACGTGTAGGAGTTTTCTGGTAAGTAAGAATTGGTGTGAGAACTAATTCTTTTTTACTTTTTGAGTCTAAAACGGGTTCAAATTAGACTTTTCAAATGTTTACGACTTTCACACATTTTTCAAAAAGAACCGACAAATACATGAAATTGAAAGTAAAAGCCTTAAACTTATGTTGAATTCTTAAATTGTGTGATTTTATGCTACCGAACACACTTCTGTATTTATTAGACTTAACAGCATAAAAGCTTTGCTAGACATAAAACATTCAATTAAATTTATTACAAGCACATTAAGCAAAAACAAATTCTTCCAATTTAAGAAGCAAAGACAGTGCAATTATTGCACATTTGAAAGTGTAGAACTGAGTAGTAAAATAATAATTAATAACAAACACATCAAGGATGCAAAATGTCGAACAATGTTGTTGTTGAAAACAGTACAAAGAAGACATTTGAACATTTGTGGTGAACATCATTAAATCTACTTAGCATTATTTGTTTTCAATAGAATTATGTTATTTTCCTTCTTTTGTATGAGTCTGCTGTGTGATGAAGTTTCTATAACCTGTTTTGAGAACCCATAAAACCTTGACAAAAACACCGCTTACTTTTCATATTATTAAGCTCTAATGTGTTGAATAAATTCTCTGTTTTGCACGTTATGTACGTTTATTTATTGTTGAGTAAACATTATTCATTAAGGTCTGTAAGTTGACTGAGTTTTCTCCTCAAAGCTTTTGCAACTTTGTATTTTAAAAAAGTTTAGGAAAATAAATTTCATACACAAAAGAAACCATAAGAATTGACATAATCATTCGACATTCACATGGCAAAACAAATAAACATTTTGGATTCTAAACAGTTCCATTCAAACGGATGATCTAAAAAAGATAAAAGTGAAGATATAATAAAAAGTTAAAGGTGTAAAATTGCTCTCATTTGCAATGCAAGTTCACGAATATAAATTAAACCCAACAACGTCTCTTTCGTACGCTTTGGGATAAAAACAAAAAAAAATTTAAATAAAAAAGTCCACAATAAAATATGCAAAACAAAAAACTAAGAAAGTGTAAGAATAAAAACGGAATAAATAAATTAGCGGCGCAAAAGAAATCTTCGAGGTGAGTGAGAGCAACAGCATCAAATGAAAATTTTTTATTTGCCGACACATCGAAAAGAAATATTTTGTTTTGCAAGCGACGTTAATAAGAAGAATGAAGAATTAATGAACGCACTTTGATGACCCGCAATGACAAATAAGATAGCTTGGGCGATATATTTTCTCTCGATCTGTAGGTTAATGTAACTAAATAAAACTAAACTCATGATTCTTTTTTTCTCCTTAAAAGTCATCAAGGTGCTACAGTCGTCTGCTGCTTATCCAAAATATTTATGTTCTCAATAACATTTAATTTATGTCTTATTTTGTCTCATTATAAATATTTAAATGTTTCATTATGATTCATTGAGTCAAAATCGATCTTTATGTTTGTTTGTTTATAAAATAGTCGGCATGAAGATTTTTTTTTTGGTTTGAATAAAGTTGACTCTTCCAAATAACAAAAATGTTAGATTAATGATGAAATTGTTTCTATTACAATCTCGTTAGATTCGGATATATATCCGGAAGATAGTCAAAGAATTTATGATAAATACTTATGTTGCTTCTGAAAAATAATTAATTTTTCATTTCGATTCATAAAACATCTTTGTCGTCCACCGCTTCTCTTTTTTATTGATTTTTGATTATTTTAATCATTTATTTTATGGGGAGGGGGTAATTGATTGTTGATGTTGCTTCTCTTTTTCGGTGGACTCAAGCGACATTAACATACTTAATGATAGTTATCAGATTTCAATAACATACACGACAAAGAAGAAAAGATGAAAAAAAGGCCGATATGTGTGATTCATTCATTCAGAAGAATGAGACTAAAAGAGTAATGGTTGGGAAGGAAATATTAATGAGATCTCCTGGTGGGATTTCAGAAGCTTCTGAATTGAGAATATTCATTAACACCTCGTAAAGTATTTTAAATTTTTTAATGGAAAAAGAAATGTTTCGTCAAGAGTTTCAAAAAATTTTAAATAATTAAAGTCTGAATAGAAAAGTATAAATTTAGAAGATTATATTTGAGTTGAATAAATGACGCGAATAAAGTTTACTTTATTATTATTGCAGGTAATCCCAGTCTGCTTACTTATCTTCACCGAATGATAATATGGAAATAAAGTCAATAATTCTTTCTCGACTTCTTTTATTTCGCTTTTTTTCTGTGATATATTTCATTCGTGTCAGCAAAAGTAAACAAAAAGTTTTGTTGCTATAAGCCGCTTGAATGCATTCTGCAAGAGCCAAAAGCGAAGTACAAACGACAAGATTAAACGAGAAAAGGAACAAAACTGATTATGTAGGCTTCATTCAACAAAACTGAGATAGTTGGAAGGTAAATGAGTTTTCTTATCCAAAATTCTCCATTTTGTTTAAAAATATTTCAATAAAGATTGTTAGAACGAAAACTAAAATAATCAAATACTTTAAATTCCATACTACAATGTTAATATGGGTGACAACTATATCGTCTTCAATTTATGTTAATTTATGATTCATTGTGCCATTCACACTTTGTTTCATTCTTAGGTTGTCATTCTGACTTTTCTTTTCATTCAACAACGTACATTATTGAAATTAAACATTTATTTCTTAAAGGATAATGCTGAATGTGCTTAGAAGAGAATGAAAATTGACATAATGTGACATAATTTCACCTTGATTTACATTCAATGTCACAATTTTCTTTTTTAATTTTCCATCACGATAAAAATAGCGAAATTTTCTAACACAGGATAAATGTTTATGCTCAATCGTATTACATGTATTAGCTTTCCTTTTTAAAATGAAAATGATCAGATATGATCAAATTTCAAAATGCAACACAAATGTTTGTTTTTTTGAACAATATTTAGGTTCCATTTCGAAGTTGCAAATGAAATATTGTTAAAGACATCTGTTGTTGGTAAACATTGTTTAATTTTTCCTTGTTTTGTAACACGATATTCCATCTCTTTTGTCTCATTTAATAAAAATGCTGGTTAAAAACTGTAAAAGAAAAGTTCAGTAGAATAATAGTCAACTTACTTATGTTTGTTGTGCCGATGTCAATTCCGATTTGATTACAATCAGTATCAACGATGTGATGATGATTCACAACTAGAGATGGTTGAACTAATCCACCGCGATGATTATGCAGAGGAAGCTGGTGTGCCATGGGGCCACCTTTTTGTATCTCCGCCATTACCATATAGAATAAATTTTGATTAACGTTTTTCTTTCTTTTTTGTTGTTAAGTTATTCACTGACGATATAGATTTATATATTGTAATTGAAATATTTATTATTTATTTCATTTGATTTCTTAGATATCTAAATAGGTAATTTAGATAATTGAATTTAAAATTTATTCCTTTTTTCACTTAAGGCACTTTTTACTTTATTTACTATTTTTCCACTTTATCTGTGAAAAATTTATTCAATTATGTAGGTACATAACTCAGTGTCGTACTATTTTATTTATGTTTATTTATTTTGAATTATCCATTAAAGTGTCATTGCTTCCATTCGATTTTTAATTCTGCAACAAAATATTCCGATGAACTTGAAAAAAGCCTTCTTTTTTTATTTCGTAATCCAAAGTTTCAATACGAATATTGAATAATCTATACGGCAATTTTTCAACTTGTGCCGTTTAAAGTCATCAGAAAACTGATCCATCGACGGCATTTGGATAGAATTGAAGCCCACACTGAACTAAGAACTCATCGTCCCGTCTCGTTCGTTCACACACATTATAAAATATGAAACAGAAAACAAAACAGCAACAGCAACCGCTGCAACGATTGGACAACCACCACCTGGGAGGGAAACGAAGAGTGTGAGTAAGTCGAGGTGTTTCAACTGAACTCTTCGATTCTATTTTTCTCTCTTTCATTTATAAACATTGTACTGTACTTTGAAGTTCGCGCGGTCGCCGCATTGAAAGAAAAAAAGGAAGAAAAAAATAACAGAAACAAGTTGAAAACCCGAAAACAATCACCAAACATCATGCTCTACATGAACCAGATTTAAACTTTTTTTATTATTAGAAAATACAAAATGGACGGTTTCTTTCTTTACACGCAATGCACCAGACGATGCACAATCGAAACTTGATTGTAAACAAATTATCAACTTGTGGTCGTTGATTATTTAGTGCTCATTGAGCTTCTTGAAATCAATATTTATTTTGTTTAAAAAGTTCGAGCTCTTATTTTATTATTTTTGAAAAAGTCATTCATCTTTTTAAGCAGTAAGTTTCAATTGTCTCTGAAATAAATTCATATGAAGAAACATTAAAGATAAAATCACGAATATTAATGTAAAAGTTCAACGACAAAAAAATATTTATTACACCAATCTAAACATATTTAAAGCCCTAAAAAGAATTTCATAAATGCTTAGAAAGAAATAATTTAGAATTTTTAGTTTTATTTCTGCTAAATGACTTTTACAACAATTCAATAAAACTGACACTCTCTACATAGTGACTCACGTTATGTCTAATCCAGTATTATAAAATGTGCGACTTCATCAAAGAAAAAAAGGGTTAAAATAGAACAACACCTAGCACTCCTTCTCATACACAAGTAAAGTCAAAAATCGATATCCATTAGAGAAATTAAAAAAGGAATTGAAGAGATATGATTGCTTATGCTTCATGTTAAATAATTTCTGTTTGTTGTTGCAATTGTAGATTATTATTCATTCAACAAGTATCCTTAAATAAATTTAATTCCAGTTTTAATTAATATATAAAAAGTTATATTTGATGATAGGACGAATGGATATTTGAACTTTTCTAGACATGGACAAGGATGTCATGTCAGCCACATAATTAAAAATTATCAAAGCAAAAGACATTTATTTCTTGTTCAGATATTTGGTTTCAGAAAATTGAGCAATCAATGTCAAAACTTGTCACTTTCAAAACAAATCGTTAGAATTTACAACAAGAGTTGACAGAATTCTCATCTCTCTCCGTCGATGACCTCATCTACGACATAGTTTGAGTGATCCTTATCAGAAATTCCTAAAATTCATTGTCATGTTTCGGTTTTGGGACTTCGAAATGTCCAGAAACTTGATCCCATCAAATTGTTTATCTATTTTACTTTTTCCTTCTTTGTTGTCTTCTGAATGTTCTAACGATCAATCTCGAGTTTCGACCTGAATTGGTGGCGCCTGCGATTTTACTTCCGTCCAAAGGTTATTACTGAATATAAACAAAAACTTTTAAGAAAGATATTTTGGTTCCACTTGCTAGTTGAAACGGAATTTACTGCCGTTGTTTCCGTTTGAGAAGTACTTAAAATCTTGCTTAGATTCACTTTTTCTTCTACCTGAATAAACTCCTTGGTTTGTTTACCCTGCTTTCGTATTGTTGATAACAGCACGTACTCCGGGTTTCTTTTGTCAATGACTTGAGATTTATAAGTCAATAATAATCTCAAATTATTCCTTTCTTTATGATCTTTAATAATTTATCAAAAAAATTTCACGAATCATGCAAATTATTTTAAGGAAAAGTGAAAAGGAATTCTCATCGTTTGAATGTGTCAATTGATTCAGCTTCTTGTCTTCTCTGGTTATGTTTAAAATAGATTTAAAATATTCTAATAAAACTAGCAAACATCCTTTGAGTCCTCAAGTGTCTAAAAAGTTATGTCTTGCTTAAAGATTACGCCGACGTCTCGTCGTGTTCAAAAGTTGTGTAAATCATAAAACTTAAGTGGGTTTCTTGCGGCACTGGTAGAGAGTGCATCTGGATTTTTAAGTTGCAGAATGATTTATGAGAACAGCATTCAAAATTTCGTTTCAACCATCATAAGTTATTCTTTTAGATACTTTTGATGCCGCGTAAGAAATTTTCATTTCTCCTTTTTAATAGAAAAGCAGACAGACAACACTCACTTAACACATTTGTTGTTAGAAATTTTTCGAATCTATTGAAAGAATTTTCATTTCTCAAACATTTTTGAAGTTTTTAGTTCATGAATTTAAGACATACATAAAATTGCAGATGCTAATTGCTTTCTTGTACATATCAAAAAGACAAATTATGAAAATAGGTCTGAAAACAAGGACAATAGACAAAGCAAAGTGTTATGTTTGAAACATAAATATTTTGTAAAAGTCCTAAGCAGAATGGCAAATAAAAGTATGAAGAAAACGAAAAAATATTTGTTTATTTATTTACAATGTGATGTTCAAATCGTGTAAAGAGAATTCAAAAATATCTCCGAAATTAAATAAGAAGGTTGTGGTTTTGTTAACAACCCTTCCAAATTATTTAATGTTTTGGACGAGAACCTTCCATATTAACCTTCCAAATTAATCATAATTAATTAAATTTCTGCACTGATAATCTCAACAAATTCAATCTTAAAACTAGAAGTGAAGTGACAAATCACTTTTATTTCTTTCATTGCCCGAACATTCATGAAAAATAAATAAAATCTTAACAATTGGATGTAATTACCAAATTAAAGGTATATTTATTAAAGAATCCAACAATTTATCGTGAGTCTCATGATCATCACATGAAATAGATTCTAAATCGTCTCGCCATGAGCTTATCTATAAATGTGGCGCCCGGAAATTTATTACGAATGAAAACAAAATAGATGTGAATAATATTTTCTTAAAAAGTGTTAGATAGAACTTATATCAGTCATCAACATCAATTCAATAAAATTTGAAGATTTTTTCTTCAAAATATCTTTCTACAAATTTTCAATCTGAATCTACAAATTATTTTGCTTTCGTTTCAATCTTTAAATTTATGCTCTTGGAAATATGATGAATAGGAAAATATATCAAATGAAGAAGGAGAGAAAATTGTCATAAAATATAATTCTTTTAAAAGGTTTTAACTTCAAATATCAATATTACTTCTGCTGTTTTAAAATGGATGCTGTTAGATGGATGGAAGTGAAGAATTTTCTCATTTTTCACATAATAATATGAACGCAGGAAGTATTTTCCCCTCTTAGGACTTCTTATTTTTAAGACATTTCCTATGCACTCAACAATGAAAGATTTTAAATCTTCAATGAGGGTCGCGAGAATAGAAATTGAAGGGATGAAAGAAATTTTATTAAAAAATGGAGGTAGCTGCAAGATTCCTTCCTTCTTCATTGTTATTTATCGTTTGACTGAAAAAAAATCTTTAATGCACAATGGAATTATCTACTTGAACAGAAACTCATTCTGAAAATTATGAAAGAAAAAGTCAAGACGAGAGATTTCGTTTTCAAAGGCTTTTTTATCTTTTACATGTGTCGATGTAATTTCTATACAAGTTTTTCATTTCTTTCTTTATAATTTATAGTGATCCTGCAATACTTTCTTCACTTTCTTGATATGAGTCGATGCTGTCGCGATTTTTATGCCAATCAGGTTCATGATAATTGCTTTTGCTTACGTTTGTTTCATCTCCCAAATCATAACCGTGAAGCTGTGAGAAATAAATTCAATTAGATATTTGATTTACACATTTAAGAAAACAGCTTACTTGATTCACAAGATGTTGAAACCCAGGAGTTTGCAAGCAATCGTCAGATTCATTTTGTATCGCAAACTCTGAGAAGGTTCTCCATGGTGGTTGATACTTGGTAACTTCGTAGCCTTGATAGTTTAATGGTGATTCATGTTTGACAGGAGGTGAAGCAATAAGAGGGATTCCATTCATATAACTGATTTTTCCTTCCTTCATTTTTAAATTAAATTAGAAATTTTCTTAAATTCTACAAACATTTTTCTTACCTTTTCTTGTTGGATTTGTAATTTCATTTCTAATGATTTTTTCTTATCTTTACATCTTTTATTTTGAAACCAAACGCGAACAACTCTCGGTGAAAGTCCAGTCATCTCTACAAGTTGTTCCTTAACAAGTGCATCAGGTCTTGAATTTACTTGGTAACACGCCCGAAGCATGCTGAGCTGTTTTTCATTTAACACCGTTCTCACACGGGCTGGTTTGCCATTAATTGTGTGAGATGATTTTTCACGATGATGTGACGTTAAAGAATCTGTTTCGCTTTCCGAATCTGTATAAAGAAATATTTTTTATAAATTTAAATTCTAAAGTATGAAATTGATTTGATGTACCGGTGATCGATCCAAAGTCGCTTGAAGCACCACGATTTTTAATATTGCAAACATTTTGTTTGTTTGGAGAAACTGACAATTTTCGATTGTTAGTGCTGAGCTCTATCAAATGATGTGTCGATGCTTCTTCAATTTTCATTCTCTCAATTTGATCATGATCGTTTTTACAATAAAGTGTGCCTCCTTCACGAAGTGCAAACTCATCGCCTGGTTTTAATTGCCGTTCACATGCAGTGCATCGAAAACATTTGATATGATAGATTTTCGTTTTTGCTCTCATAACGAAATCATTTTTTCTGAACGAACATCCACATTTATCACATTTTGTACCGAACAATCGAACATAATCGCGTTTGCAGTAAGTTTTGCCATCACGAACAAAACATGTGCAATTTTCGTCTAAAAATTGCTGACATTCCTGACATTTTAGACATGCTGCATGCCATTCAAGATCCGGTGCAACTCGCAATATATATTGATCTTGAATCTCTCTTCCACATCCTACACAACTCGATTTTTTAAGTTCAGTTTCTGTGTTCAAAAAATGCACTCATAAATTTCGTAATTCCTTTTATGAAGATTAATTAGGTATCTAACTTATTTTTGTATTTAAAAAAAAAAGTTAAAAAAAACTTACTAATTATATTATTATCAAATTTGAAATCAAAATGATGGCGATTCTCAACTAAAGTTGGTTGAATAAATCCTTCATGTCGGTTGTAACAATGGTGCATAGAATTTTCTGCCATGACCATATTTAAAGCTTTTTTCTCCCTCAAACTAACTTTATTTACTCCAAATCACTGACACTTTTTTTCAATGAAGTACACAAAATATGTAATGAAATCTTTTTAAATATCCTTTATTAATTCTATTTCACCCACATACGTTGTCTCTGGTTAAACGCTAAATGAAGAATGAGTGAAAAAAGTTGAATTTTTTTCTTTCTCTTTTGCCGAGTATTTCGCCTCTTCCTATACATATTCCATTAGCATGTGTGCGAGAATATATATTTCTATCCCTTTCTAAAAACCCAAGCCCAGAAGATGAGTTTTGTTGAAATCCTAGGATTTAATGATGAGATTAAGTTAATCGAGGTTAAATATACTCTGCTTAAGATGGTGTTAGATTAAATCTCAATTTTCAAACTCTCGTAAACTTTTTGCGTTCACGCTTTATTTTCATTATTTAATTTTTATTTAAGGACTAATATTCTTTTGACAAGTATCTACTAAAAAATAATAAACTCGTGTTTATAAAATTTTTGGTACAAAATCCAAAGGATAATCCGTAATTCTTGGATAGGTTTTCTTTATGCCATCATCAATTTCGTTTAATCGCTGAGGTACAGGCCGTTGTTGTCTGATTTGATTTGTAACATTCTCTAAAATCTCTTTTGGAACATTAGCATCTTTAAAAAGATGAAGACGTTGCATAGTATGACGTCTTTGAAGACTTATTCCAATACAGCGGTAAACAGCTTTTTTAATAATCATAGTTGGATCTTTCGAGTGAAGTTCCCAAGCCAAAGTCCAACTTGCACCACCTGGGTAACCAGTATGATGAAAGTATGCTCTTTGTTTCCATTCATCACCAGGTAATGCAATATCTGCTGTGTTTATAACAACAACATGATCTCCTGAATCGTCTAAATTGTAAAAAGTAAAATTTCATCCGGTGTTTTTGAAAAATATTAAAATTATCCCTTACTTAAAGGATGGCAAATAGGTTTGTGCATTCCTCTTAAATATTTTGTAATAAGCGGTGCTGCTTCATATGGATTTTGCCAAGCTGCATCAAAGATATGCCATTGTCTTGCAAAAGTAGCCCATTGCTGAAAAAGTAAATAAAAGTTAGAATTACAATTATTTATCTTCACTTTTCTTGATGAATTTGACAAAATACCTGAACTCTTTGTACCGAAGACATTGTATTGTTTGAAAAAGATGCAAGTGCTACACGGTTGTTGAAGATAGAAAAATTAAGTCAATTATAATAATAATAATGAAAAACTCTTCCGTCTCGAAATTAATTAATTTTATAAATTATGAAAAACAAATCCTTAACCACATAGCCTTAAGGTTAAAAGTCGCTTATCTTCACATACATGTGAAGATGACAGACTAACGAGGTTGTAGGGAACTCCCCGAGTAAAACAAACAAAAATTCTTAGGTACGTTCAAAAAAATAGAAAAGAAAAAACATTCAAATACCTACTTTATAAAATCTGATAATATAGCTCTTTATTATCAAAAATGGATATGTTTCAAAAATTTAATTCTTATTTAGAAGAGGAATACGAAATTCGTGAGAAAATAAGAGAAATCGTAAGGTGAGTTTATAACGTTTCGGTTTTATTTTTCAAGTACTTTTGAAATTTGTTTTTACTCAATATATTGAAATGTCAACAATAATTACAGACAGATTGATTCAGAATCTAAGGAAGCAGCTGCAACTCTTCAAATTATTCACATCAGTCTTTCAGATGTTGGGAAAGCATGCACGGATGCTCGAACAATATTTGACAAATGCAGAATTCTTTATAATGATTTGGCCCAGTGTATTCCAAGTGGTCAATACTATCGTTTCTCTGATCATTGGAATTGGTCTATTCAGCGTTTAATAAGTCTCATAGCTTTAGTGGTTTATCTTGAAGCTGGATTTCTTGTTACTCGTGACACGTGTGCTGACATTCTTGGAATAAAGAATCAGCAAACAGTAGGAGAACTTCATCTAGATTTGGAAACATATTTATTGGGACTTCTTCTTATGGTTAATGAGCTTTCAAGATTTGCAATCAATGTAGTGACATTAGGTGACTACTCAAGAGTTTTATCACTCCAACGATTCGTGTCTGATCTCAACTCAGGTTTCCGTTTGCTTAATTTGAAGAACGATGGTTTAAGAAAACGTTATGACACCTTAAAATATGATGTTAAGAAGATAGAAGAGATCGTTTACGACTTATCAATAAGAGGACTTTTGAAGCCAACAGAAGAAATAACAGAAGCAGTAAACGCTTAAAATCATAAATTTTTGTTGACATTAATTTCATTACGATGTCAAATCTCGTTGAAATACCTAAATACTTATCTGCTGCATACGTAACAATAAAATCAACTTCATTTTCACAATAAAATATGAATGATTCATGAAGTTGTCGCAAATATTTGCTAGCAATCACTCAACATCGAATTTTATTATCGACTAGGTACTTTTCGAAATACATAAAGCTTAACATAAACTATAAAAGTTTAATGTCCAAGCTATGATAACATTTCAGAAAAAATTAATATGAATCAATTCTTGGGCCCGGTGTTTGGTAGTGTTCTTTTCTCTCCCCATTCCACCATTGTCGATGTCGTTCTGTTCTCATTGCCTGAATCAATCAATTATGATGTAAAATTAACAAATAAATTTGAAAATAATACGCGATAATATACCAATGTCCTTAACTGCTGTTTTCTCATTGTAAAGCACTCAAAATAATCATCAACTAAATCAGCACATTTCTTCTTTCCTCTTTCAATGCCATAAGCTTCCAAACATTCCATCATTTTCAGTTCTATTGGACCACACTTGCTATAATGTTGAGTGTTGAGAAGTGATCCTGTTAAATCAGTAAATGGAGAACGAAAGAAAGGCGTGGGAACATGACAGTTTCTGTCTGGATGTCCTAAAGTGTCATGTGTGGCTTCAGCCATTCTTGTATGCCTAAAATTTTTTTTGATTGAATAACATAAGAAATTTTCAGAAAAATCAAATCCAAGATATCAATGGGTTGCTTTTGACTCGATATTGAGATTCCAAGCGAAAAATAATTGAGCGCTTTTAATATCTAATATCAAAGACAAGCAACTAAAATCTTGTTACCTTTAAATTTCGGAATTTATTTTTTTGCAATTTTTGGAAGAAAAACAAGACAATCTACTGAGAGTCTTTTGACAAAAGAAAATTTGTTTTACGTTTTACAGAGGTTCAATTACGAATTCTTATCTAAGACACAATCAACTTTAGTTCAAAAAGGAAGTTTTGGGTTCAAAAAGTGAACTTGTAAGTTCAATCCATCGAAAAAAAATTAAAAAATCGAAATGATTGTATTCCTCTCTTCCAAACCTTTAAACTTGTGCTAAAAGAAAGAAAGGTATCTTAAAAAATCAAAGAAGATGAAATGATCAATCGAGTTTAAGGAGTTTTATAGATTGAGTGTTAATAACAGAGAAATAAAAAAATCACATATTTCATGAAAATGCAATTTTTGTTCACTGAAAAATTATCGATTTTGGCTCGAAAGAGCGAGAGTGCATTATACAGCATATTTTCACATTTATTGTTGACAGAATTTGTGTTCATATAAGTGATGGAATTTTAACTTAACTTTTTTACAATTTTCGATAACAAAAAAGTAAAAGAAACGAATATTTAATACAAATGAATGCATCATAAAAAAATTGCTTTAAAATTTTACCAGAAAATGCCATTAAGTGATAAAATAAGTAAACTTTTTACTTCAATTTATATGCATACACTTTTGATTAATGCAAGCTTTATGAAAAAAAGTTTTAACGCCTCACGGCTTTTTCTGAGATTTTCCATAAGATTGCAAGTCATTAAACTCTTATTTCAAAAATATAATATCAGTCAAATTAACCCTGATATTATTAAGTGATTGCGATGGAAGATAATAAACGATTTAAGTAACTGTCAATTAAATAATAGCATAACTTCCTGATGGAAGTTTAAGTGATGCTTCATAAAGCTCTTACAAACATCCTACCGAATATCGATTATGATAATTTTATAATCATCTAGATATACTTTTGTGAAACAGAAAATACCGAAAACTCTTTTGTTTGCCATGATTTATAGAAATAAATACTTTTTTTGTTTTCTTCTTCTTAATTTTAGAGAGTGGTGATTGGAAAAAAGTGAAGGGAAAGGAGAGAAGTCAGGGCGATAGAGATTGATACGATTGAAAAGGCGGTTTTCCCGTGCAAAAGTTTACGGGGGCGGGCAATGGGGAAATGCAGCAGCCGCCCCAAATCCGATCAGTCTCTGATATATATGGTACCGATGAAATAGATTTCCTACTGGACGAAATACGTGATCTTGAACCCGCCTGCTGCCAAGAAGATTTACAAGATTTCGAAATCGCTGGCAGCAGAGCCGGAGAAATATCAATAACACCACTTGAATCACCTCTGGGAACGTGCTCATCGTGGGACTCACATTTAAATTATCGTGAACGTCTCGGACAAGCTCAACTTGCTTGGGGCGTTGCACTTCACTGTGATTCATCACATCTCAAGACACCAACAGGAATAGTACGAATTTTACTGGTTGTGAGTAACAAAACATGTTAATTAAGAACTTTGAAGACATGACATGAAATTTATTTGTTAGATATCGTCAGCATGCTGTCTAGCTTTCGAATGCTCCGCTGGAACAGTTCAAGTGGGACTTTTTCTGTTACCATTAATTGGACGTTTAAGATTGATGGTACGAAATGTTGTTGATGTTAATTGGAAAAGAAAAATTAATTTCAATTTTCAATCTTTGTAGGTTTTTTGTGCACTTTTTTCATTGCTCGTGACATGTTTAATGCTTTTTTTGGATATTTCACACATTGCACTGATGTTTCCCTTTAACTGGGGGAAATTAGTAAGTATGCTTGTATGTATTCGATGAAATCATTGGAAAACTTCTTACCTTAATAATATTTATGCTGAATCGAAAATGTTGATGAATTGAAAATGTTTTAAACTTTCATCAACATTTTCCTTTTGTTTTCTTTCGTTTGTGATATTAGAAATTATAGTTTGATTAAATTTATTGTTTTGTTTAAGTTATGAAAATAAAAAAAGTTTTAAAAATATTTAATTTTCTTTGATTACCTATTTCTTTTGATTTTTTAAATTTCTTAAAACATTATTAAACTTTCAATATGACTTGAAAATGAATTGAAAATGTTCCAGAACGCATGGTTGTACCTGACGATTGGTCTGTTGTTCATACTTGGTTCCTCACTAATAATAAATGCCGTGTTTTTCGCTGAGGAATTCTCTTGGGTAGCGAAGTATACGAAAGATACACTGTTTGTCTCAGCAGTTAGTGTTCGATCATTTCATTCATTTAATGCTTCAGTTTTTAAATTCAAACACTCAATTTCAGATCATAGGCTATTTTTGTGCGCTAGAAGCACTCGTGTTAGCAATTCTAGCGGTCTTTCCAATATTTCGTCAACGATTTCGAAGAAGTTTAACAAACGACGACCAAATGGGTCTCCACGATAGAGAGTTAAGTCCATTAAGTAGTAACGACATTGGTGATAAAATAAATCTAAATAAGGTCAGCGATATGCCGAATCATTTCAATAGAACAATGAAACGATCAGTGACTGATACGATACGAGATAATCTCGATAGCGAGACAGAAATCCATATAATGGCCATTCAAAAGCCAGCGTACATTCCAGGTATGTTAATTGTTTGTTTTGAAACATTCTAATATTAAAAAAATAAAAAATAATTTTAGTTAAACGACCGGATCAGGCGTACAATCAAAAGCCTAAGTTAGGTTCAAAGCATAAAAATCGTCAAGGCTACCATTATGAGCCAATTGCATCAACATCCCGCCAAAGTCCAACGTTTATCATCGATCCTGAAGATTTAGATTTTGACGAGCAGGATGATGATGAACTAATAATTCCAATTGGTCTTGGACATAAATTTGCGTGATAATTGATTGAATAAATGAATGGATGATTGAAATGAATGTACTTATGTGTGATTCATAAGAAACTTAAGAAGAACAATATTTGCGGGTAATTTAATGAGATAAGATTTAAATGTTTTCGAATGTTTCCTTGCGTGTAAATATTTAAATTTGTCAAATCTTAAATGGCTTTAAGCGTAACAAATTATGTTATTCTATAAATAGAACAATCACTTTTTCCATTACAAATTTATGAATTTTTCTATAATTTTTTTTGTAAATGCCAATTAGCATATGACGATGTAAGTTTGTCAAACAATGTGAAGAAATTTGCTTGAATTAAAACAAAAACTTTGAATCAATCATCGAAAATTTTAATTTAGGTAGGTAATTGGAAAATTTTCATTCGTTTTCATTAATACTCTGTCAGGAAAAGTTGAAACTTTCTGTTGCTTTCAACAATCAAATTGATTATGTTTTGTAGATCGTTAATAACAAACATTCTAGTTATATATGACAAATCCTTTTCGAAATATATTTTTATTATCTAATCAATATTTAAAATATTGCAGAATGAATTTTGCAATAACCATTTAGTGACACTTTCGTTAATATTTTATTCAAATTCATTGAATGTAAAAGGTATTAAAAATATTTAATAATACCTAATTTTTGATTGGTACTTAGTCTTATCAGAAATATTATTTGATATATTTAAAATTTATTCCTAAACATTCGGGCTCGGCTAGTGTGCCACAAGCACGTGTTTTCTCTGTTGAATTGAATTTTATGTCAGAAATCATGTATTTGTCTACCTAGCTCTTGATCTTGTTCTAGAAAGAAGCATAACAGTTAACACTAACGATCACTGTTACATGAGAAATTTTTTATTATTTTTCACACTTCTTTCCCTTAAAATGCTTTGCTTGTCACATACTCCCATTGCGATATTTGTTACATTTATTTACCTAGTTATGATTTAAATGAAATTGCATAAACTTTTTCAAGCATTTACCAAATAAATAAAAACAGAAGGTGTAGATGCATGTCAAATCCCGTCCTTTTGTGAAATATGGAAGAGAATGTAGAAATGAAAATGAAAATGAAAATAATTAAAAAAAAACATTTTCTATGTTTCATTATGCTTGTCAAAATTAGCAAGTGAAACAAGTTTTAAAACATTTTTCTTTTGTTTTTCAAATTTTTGCCAAAAAAAAGAAAATAAATAAATAAAATGATTAAACAAAATTTAATTAAAACTGAACACATAATAAATAAATAAAAGAAAAATAGAATAAAGCTATTGATTGAATATTTAAAGAAAAAATAAATAATAAAGAAAATGATCAAAAACTAACTTACGTATGAAAGTTTCTATATTCAAGTCGGTAAATTGATTAAAAATTTAGCAAAATTCTAATTAATAGGATATCTGTAAAAAAAGAATGAAGAAAAGTTTGAAGTTGAAGTAAATCAAATTATTGAAAACAATAATAAAATTTATTAAATAAAAATATTTCTTTTTATTCTTAAATAGATATCACAAACATTTTTTTAGTGTATCTTTGGCAATGTTTCAATGAGTAATTTTTTTTAATACTTCATTTTGCACTTCTTCGAGCCATGCTGGAATGAAATTACTTGTTACGGGAAGAGGTAAATGTTCAGTTGATGAGATATAATCATGCATTTCATTGATAGTTGTACTAACATTAATAATTGTTTGTGTTTTGATGACACTGACATCAGAAAGCAATTTTATATTATCGCTATAAACAGTAATTGCGATTTTATTCTTGGTATGCTCATTTAAATATCCAAAAACTTCATGCAGTTCACATTTTACCGGATCATTAAATTGAACTTTCATCAACAAACCGACTTCACATAAAGGCACATCCCCAGCACTACAATAAATCATAATCTCATCTGAAACCACATGTAAAACTTCATCAACTGTAACGTGACTCCATTTGTCATTTTCATGAAGTGCGATGAAAATTTTCTTCAAAAATTCTATTTCTATATAAGTTTTGCATTGATCGACACTTTCATCATCCAGATTCATCAATTGCATTGTTGTTTTAAATTCATCTGAATAGTTATTACTTCTATCCTTATCCAACCACAAAGGATTTATATGTAATAATTTGCGAACGACATTTTCCTCAATTTTATCTTTCAATTGAAGTTGTTGTTCTGGAAGGATTTCTTTTTCAAATTCTCTGATTTCAGGTACATCATTAAATGTAACTTTCTTCTTCTTTATGAAATTTGTGCCAAGCTTTGGATTATTTGAAGTCACCTCATTGTTCTGTTGTGAAGGAATTGGGGTGTAAAAATTCAATGATTTAGAATCTTGAGCCGGTACTGATGGCTCACCGAAATATTTTGCACAAAATTCTGAGACTGTTGAGACGTGAGCCTTAATGTTTTTCTTTTCTTTTTGTTCAGGAGGCTTTTTTGTTATTTCGACTGGTTTAGTTATTTTTTTTTGTATTTTTATGGGATTCATATTCATATCAACTAAGAAGCTTCCACGATTATTTTCTGTTATTTTAATTTTTGGTTTAGGCGCCGAACGTTTTGTTGCTTCTATGGTTTCACCATTCTCAGTTTTTTTATTTGAACTTTCTTCAGCAATTTGTTTCAGTTTTTCTCTTCGCTCATTGAGCATTTTTTTGTTGACATAGAAATTGTTGTTTTTCTTTTTAAATATATTTTTATGATTGCTATTGATTCTTTTAAATCGTTTATTTATACTTGCTTCACTTGAATCAGAATCACTTTCGCTATCAATTAATTTGTACCGCGATGTTTTTGGAGATTCTTCTTTGAATTTTTGTTGTTGTTTATCACTTGAACGGGATTTTGTAAATTCCTCTTTAATATTTCTTTTCATTGATAATATATCCTCTTTAGAAAGTTTCTTAATTTTGATGCTGACCTCAACAAGTTGAAATGTCTCATCACTTTCAAAAAGTTCTCCTTTCTTTTCAGATGAATTCATAGCTGCATGTTCGGAAACGAAAAGTTCATTTTCATTTGGCTTTGTTGGTTCTTCTACTTCATCTTCATCTTTTCCAAGATATTTGGAGAATTCCGAATCAGAAAGTTTTTCTAGTTTAACAAAACATTCCGGCTTTAGAGTCAGATTTGAATAATTCGGATTGAAATTAAGAAAGTAATTATCATCATAAACAACTTCAGATTCGTTGACAAAGCTGCATGTATTGCTTATTGTATTATTACTAACTGTCATAGATTCATCATCACTTGAATCTAAATTGATTGTTTCCACTTCAGTTTCCATGGTTTTTACTTTGAAAACGAGTTTTTCAGATTCTGCTAATTCAGAATCCTTTGAGGGATTGAATCCTGAAAGAAGAAGAAATCTTCAATAAAGCTTAATGAGACTTATTTTGCATTTAACCAACCAATTCCGATAATATCATTTTCAAACACTTCTGTTCTATTTTGAATTCTTTTGTTGTTTATATAAGTACCATTTCGGCTCTAAAAAAACAAGAATTAACTAATGAAAAATCTGTTAAATAAAAATACTTACGTTCAGATCAGTCACAAACATTCTGCAATCCTGGAAGTCTATAAGGCAATGTATTTTCGAAACAATTGCTTTACTTAAAGTTATATCAATTCTGTTTGATGATTCTCGGCCTGAAATTTATTAAATGAATTAAAATGACATAATTTGGGGATTAATAATATGTTTCTGTTGAGTTTACCTACCTAGTTGTAATTTCTTTTTATTGGAGAATTTTAGAATTTTGTAATGTTCTTTATTTCCCATTCGTTCAAGGAAGAAGCTTTTACGAATTATTTCACTTGTTGAACCCATTTTTGTGGTTTATGAAGCAAATACGGTTAGCGGTATAAGAGAATTAACTAATTAATATATCAGTTAGATGGAAACAAGATAGTGAAAACGTAATCATACGCTTTTTAATTGAAAAATCAGTCATTTAAACTAAATCACAAAGGACTCGCGGAAGAAAGTTATTGACCCCTTGTCAAGTTATTGGCCCCTTGTCAAGTTATTGGAGCCTTGTCAAGTTATTGGCCCCTTTACGCAAAATGTCGCAATCTACCGAAATAACATTAAATTCGCTTTTTGATGAAGCTTATAAACTTTTTGAATCATTTGACAAACGTGATGATCCCAGCAATAGTTCAGAATTTCAGGTATTGTAATTGTATTTCTTAATGAAAAGTCAAAAGACAAATAATGGCAAAAATAAAATAGTTATTATATTTTTATGAACTTTTTTCTTTTCTTAGCAATCCGTGAAGAAATGTATAAAGATGTTTGAGGATTCTACCCGTCTTGTAAGCGAATGCGGAATGTTTAGCAAGAATGAGACCTATGAAGAAATCTCAACAAATGACCTAAAATTTCTTCTACTGCCATATTTTCTTGCTCAGACAACATTAAAATTATGCGTTCAAGATCGTAAAAACATAGTTGATGTTGCGAAAATATATTATGAAGATTTCTTGAAACGTTGTGAAGAATATGGTTTGTGTGAAAGAAGTTCAACAGCAGTTTCTAAAGCTACAGACATTGTTGTAAGAGATGAAATGGCTCGTCTCACACAAATGGCACAACAACGCAATCAAAAACTTCAAAAATATCAACAAAAGAAAGAGTTAAACGATCAAATTAAACAATTGAAAATTGCTATGGAACATGACTTTTCTGATGATGAAATTAAAAGGAATTTTTATCTTAAACTTATCAAGCTTTGTGTGTGGGAATCTCAAGATGAGCTATCAACATTAGATCAAGAATTTGAAATTTTAAAGCATATCGAAGGTCTTCGGAAACATGATCCCGATTTCGAGAAGAGTTCAGGAAATACTGCCAAGCATCCTCATACCCAAACACCTTTGAAACCAATAATAATTACTAAAGATGTGATTCAAAAGGCTGTTTATGGACTTGGCTATCCATCACTTCCAACTTATACCGTCAAAGAGTTCTATGACCAGCGAGTTGCTGAGGGAATATTTCCAAGTGAAGAACAGTTAAAAGCAAAGTCATTACAAGGACGTGTTGAAATCGACCAAGAAGCTGAACAAGCGCGAGAGGAAGAAGAAAAAGAATTAAAAATTGATAATGACGATCCTGAATATCTCCAAAGAACTAGAAATATGGACGAATATAAAGATGATCATCGTCGTGGATATGGAAATCGATACAATAGAAGTTAAGCTGATTATGTTGAGTGTAAATGTAGATTTTCATTTTTTCAAATCCGATTTATTAAAGTTTTCTCGACACTTAAAGAAAGACGATATGAACCATGCATTGCCCAAAATTTTTATCCCATTTCAATGATAAAATAAATAAATAAAAATGAAAAAGTTTGTGGAAGTATAAATTTGTTTAGTTTGAGATTATGCGAGCATTTTTTCCAATTGACCATTTTCGTACAATCGCTTACAGTCGTCACCACCACCTATGAAGTTACCATCGATAAACACTCTTGGCACTGTTTTGGCACCGGTCATTTCTCCTAGAACATTTTGAATAGCTTGACAATCAGGACGTCCATCTAGTTCTATTGTTAAATAATCTTGATTTAACTTTTTAAATTGCTGAAACCGAAAACAAATAATGAAATGAGTAATTCTGAGTTTCATAAGTCTTGTTAATTTCAATTATCACCTTTTTAGCTGTCGTACAATAAGGGCAATAAGATTTGGAAAAGATCACAACACGATCACTCTCAATAGTTTCCCTTACAAATTGTTGAGCCATTGGATCAATATTTCCAGAATTTGAACTTGATAAAAGTGAACCCATTATAAATATGTAAACACACTAGTCTAGGTACCTAATTACGAAGGGTTAGTATTAAGGAAGGTAAAATAAATTTAAACAAGAAACTAGGTATTTCATCTTTCTACAATATTATTTGATCAATTCAATAATCTAATTTTGTGTTGATTATAGCCGACAAACTTTCAAACATTTCTATATCTTAAATTTTAGGCAAAACACGAAATCAAAAGCTTTAAATTTAACGAAAGATAATTTAAAAAATATCCCTTGAGATCTACCTCAGTAGATCTAAAAGCTTCATCAAACTCGTTTGCGTGTGAAAATTATTAATTTCATTATTTCTCGTAAATTATTCAAAATAATGGCACAAAAATTTGTAAAAGATTCGATTGGAAAAGATCGTGTTGTTATATTTTCAAAGACGTATTGTCCTTACTGTACTAAAGCAAAGGAAGTAAGTTATAAAACCTTTTCTCATATCATAAACTTTTTCTTATCTTTAAACCACATTATTATCGTTTTTCAGCAATTCAAGAAGCTAAACTTCAAGTTTTTGACAATTGAGTTAGAGGATCGAGCTGATTGTCAAGAAATTCAGGATGTTTTAGGAAGCATGACAGGAGCACGAAGTGTTCCAAGAGTTTTTGTTGATGGAAAATTCATTGGCGGTGGTGATGACTGTAAACGCTTATACGACAGCGGTGAATTAGAGAAAATGCTTACTACTTAGCTAACTTAATATTACTTAAGATGCTTCCAAAAACAATAATTTACTTAATGCTTTCCTTTATGTGCTTAATTTTTAAATGTTGTAGATTCAATAAATATTAAAGTCGAGCAAATTTTTCTATTTTACCATTGAGAAAGAAATATTTATTTCAGCTTCAATTATTACAGATTCAATTACAAGTATAATATTTGTATCATATCATAAATTAAATTTCGAGACATTCAAGGCTCGTCTTCGTCCTCTTCTGCTTCAAGAATTTCAAAATCTTTCCCCGTTGATGATCGTTGAGAATCTGATGATTCGGATTCCGAACTAAATAAAATTATTAATATTAATTACCTAAATGTTAATTAATTGAATTCAAACAAATTTTACTTTTTAACTTCGTCCGTTTTAACTTCTTCCTCTTTCTCGTCCTTTGCTTTCTTTACTTCGCCTCCTTTTCGTTGTCTTAATTCACTTTCTTCGGCCTCTTCTATCTCTATGTTCTTTGATTTCTTGTTCGATTTCTCTTGAGGAGCATCTTCATCGTCACTTTCCTTTTTCTTCTTTTTTGTTTTATCTTTTTTATGTTTCTTATTTTCCGAACCGTCCTTGTATTCGTGCTATGAAATGAATTTTTAAATGTTTTATGAATAAAAACAACTTTTGAAGATGGAATTTCATTCCACTTACTTTGTATAATGGTTTGAAGGAATCGATAAATCCAACGTCTTCTGTTAAATTTGGAAGGAACCAGAAGTGATGCTTTCCACCAGAAACAATCCAAATGATGCAGAATAGAATAAATCTAAGAATAACAAGAGCAAGAAGAAAGACCAAGAAACCAGCAGCCGTCATTGACAAATAGTAGACACCAGTTCTTAATTGTGGTGGCCATAAGGGAAACAAACAGATGACTATTGCACCAATAACCACGAGAGTTCCAAAAATCCAGTAATGCATAGGAATCGGGTCATAAATCCAAACGTATGGTTCATGAAGTTGATCAATAAAAATCTGTTGTGGATGCATTTCAAGTCGAATCTTTCGTTTCTTTTTCTCTGGTGCAACCTCAGATTTTTCCGCTTTTTCCTCGGCATGTGAACTTTCCGCATCAGTCTCCTTAATCTTGATGTCCCTGTCCTTATCCTGATCCTTTGTCCTCTCTTTTGATCTCCCTTTTAATTCATGTTCACTGACTGGAACTTTCTTTGCGCGATGGAAAAATTTGTGAGTAAGCATCAAATCCAAGTAGTCGATTGCTGATTGTCGATTTTGGAACAAACAATTTTCTCCTTCTGCGAACTTTGATGACATCAATGCATCCAATGCTTTACCAGAAGCAAAATACTCAACATTATGGTTCAAAAATTTTGTTTTTTTCACTTGAACATTTTTTCGTAGCCATTTCGCAACTTTGAATTCCATTTTATTAGGTTTTTCTGTCTCCTCATCTCCATCCTTATATTCCTAAAATTAAAAAAAAAAGTTTAATTAACACTTTTCCAAATATATTTGACCTCAACTGTTTATCTATGAGATAATTGAAAAGAAAAACAAATTAACTGGAGCACGTTGAAGTTGATTTTTATTGCAACTTTAATACATGAAAAAGTAATTAGCTGTAGAATCCAACACTTTTATTGTTGTGACAACTTATGGCACATAAAAAAATATTTAGAGCATCAAAAGCTATCCAGAAAGTGTTTTTTATGTATGGAGTTCATGTTCATACGTACGAGTTTCATTATGAACCGTTAGATTATTTTGAGATTATCATGAAATGAATTCTATTTTGATTTTGAAATATATAACAAATAGAATAGAACTTCGATATTAAGAGATTGAGATTCTCATTATGACAAAGACAAATACCTAATTGACTGGAGTTTGATTATTCTAAATTTTTGGAGTATTTTCCACACATTTCTTTTCTTTTTGTTGATGTGTCAATTTTACGCTGCGCAGTATTAAATCACATATTTGATGTTAATTTTAGAAGTCAAATTTTAGAAACACAATGTAACCTCTCGCACTTTTATCATGATTGATTTAATTACTATGTTAAATAGATGTATTTTGACTTAATTCAATTTTTAAAGCTTAAATATATTTATCATTGAAATTTTGATTTTTAATTTTAGAATCACTAATTGCTTAATACTTACATCTTTCTTCTTTTTACTTGATCTTTTCTCTTTTCCTGACATTTTTCGAAGCTTTCAATGTTCTTTCTATTATCTCAGAAACAATAAAACTAATATAGTTGAAAATTTATGTGATTATGAAAATATAGGTACCTAATATTTTTGAAAAAAAAAGTACCTAGCCCCTTTATTTTTGCTTCAATTTCGCATCTTTGAAAGTAAACAATTTAAAAGAAAAACTTTTGCGGTCATTTAAATATTTAAAAAAAGTTACATTTAAGAAACAAATAAGATGAACACAAAATTCATCTACAGTGTATTCCTTAGTGGACTCATAAGATATCTTTTGTCTATATCAAAATATTCAAAATCGATTGAAAATCATGTAGAAGTGTCAACACCTTTGAATTCATTTAAAAGAGGTGAATATTTAATACTTTTGTGAATTAGAAAGCAAATTTTAATTTGTTTCGTATCATTATTAGTTAAAGAAGGAGCATTTCTTTACGCAAATGATGTCGATCCATATGAAGGAGATGTTTACCATGAAAATCCTTTCATTTTATTTACAACAAGTTTTCTTCTTAAAAACATGAGCGGAATGATTCCAATCATCATCATTCTTTTGGATCTTTTAACTGCAATCTTCATTTATCTAGGAACAAAAGCCATTAGTGAGAACAATGTAAGATATTTATTGATAACTAAGTTTACCGGAATTTTTAGTACAAAATTTTCAATTTTCTTTTTATAGTTCGAGAAACAACAGAAAAATTTATCAACGTATGCCGAGAATACAACAGAAATTCAATTGAAAAAAGCTGATACAATTGAAATACCAACTTATTGTGCTCTTGCATATCTTTTCAATCCATATTCAATACTTAATTGTGTTGGATTAACAACGACTGTGATCAGCAATTTCTTACTCTCCATCATGATATTTTCTCTGTCAAGGAATATGAAAATATTATGCATTTTATCACTTGCTATTGAAACACAGAAGAATTTCTACTCTTTTGTGCTTATAGTGCCTGTAGCATTACGATTTAGTGAATCCAGCAAATCTAAAGTTATCTCCAGAATTTTAACGATTATTGCATTCCTAATAACGTTGTTAAGTCTTCATTGCTTAAGCTTTCAAATGATGAAAAGTTTCAACTTTATTGACTCAACTTATGGCTTTATCATTCATTGTCGTGAATTGTTGCCAAATATTGGATTGTTTTGGTACTTTTTCACTGAAATGTTTGATCATTTCCGTAATTTATTTCTTTACACATTCCAATTAAATTCAACAATTCTTTATCTTCTTCCTTTAACTTTCACTTTTAAAGATTCTCCTGAATTTCTTCTCACAATATTATTATCGTTGATTTCGGTTTTCCGTTCTTATCCATGCGTCGGTGATATTGCTTTCTGTATGTCTTTAATTCCATTATGGAAAAGAATTTTTCAATTTATGTCGCATAACTTTATAGTTGTTGCAGCTTTTCTTGTAACATCAATTCTCGGTCCAACAGTTTATCATCTTTGGATGTATGCAAATTCTGCAAATGCAAACTTCTATTTCGGAGTTACCTTAGTTTTTTGCACTGCTAACATTTTCCTTCTTACTGATTTAACATTTGCATATTTGAAAATGGAATTTTGTCTAAAGAACGGAATTTCATTTGATAAAAGTTTAAAATTATCTTTGGACTGAATATTGAAATTTATGATCATCAACCAAAGAACAAATAAATAGAAAAAAAACAAAAAGTTGTAACTTTTGAACAGTATAAAGGATTTTATTGCAATTTTTAAGGATTCACATTGTCATCATCTGTTTCTCAACATTTCTCTTAGTAGTAAATATATAATTTCTTAACAACTCATAATCATTCACATTTCATTGTTATTTTTGCAGCTTTGCAAAGTACCTCAAATCAACTGACATTAAAATGAAGGAAACTTTTAGTCAATTCGTCGTCTTTTTAATGGTGGAGACAGAGCAGGATTTTTGACGTCATTGAGTGAAACATTTACTAAAGTCGTCTCAAGTTCTGCGTCTTCAGTTTCATCGACAACAGTTTCATTAAAATTGTATAATTTTTGAACACGTGAAATTGTTTTTAAACATTTCAACCATGGATGACTTAAAACTTCATCGATTGTTAATCGTTTTTCTGGTTCTTTCTGAATAAGTTTACGAATCAAATCTTTAGCTGGACGACTAACATCATTCCATAATCTGCTTTTAAATGAATATTTGGCTTCCTTTATTTGAGTCGTAACATCAGGAGGACCATAAGCATCACAAAACGGAACAGAACCACTCAACATTGCAAAAAGTAAGACGCCAAGGCTCCACATGTCTACTTTGCTAGTGTACACGCCACCCATTAAAACTTCCGGTGCTACGTACTGAAAATAATTAATTTAAATAAATTATGATGATTATCAAAACGATTTATCTCTTACCAATTGTGTACCACATACTGTTTGCATTGAATCTAAGGCCACAAATTTACTGAGTCCAAAGTCAGATATCTTGACAAGAGGATCAGCATCGTTGCTTGCTAATAATATGTTATCAGGTTTTATATCACGGTGAGTGACAAATGAATCGTGCAAATATTTCAGTCCACGACAAATTTGAAGGAAGAAGAACTTGGCGTCTTTTTCTGATAAATACTTTCGATTTGGATCAAACTGTGTGATTCGATGTAACAAGTCACGACCTTCCATATATTCCATAACAATGTAAACGCATTCAGGTGTCTCAAATGTATCAATCAAACTAAGCACATGAAAATGTGAAAGCTTCTTCATAATTTTCACTTCATTCAAAATCTTTGAATTATTAGCGACACGATTAAGAACCATTGGATTGATTTCTTTTCTAATAACTTTCATAGCAAATTTCTCGGATGTTTTAAGGTTTTGAATTAAGCGAACAATCCCACACCCTCCGCTTCCTATTTGCATACCAATGTAATATTTAGACAAGCAACTCTTTGGTAATGTATGCAATTCAGACGGTGTGTTTTCATAATGGAATCGGAAGAGTTCATAATTGGATAATTTTATTATGTCGTTATGAGCGAGCATTCGTTTTTCTCCCATTAATAATTTTTCATCGTTGATAAAAATTCCATTTCTTCCAGCACAACTCAATGTTGCTGGACTCATATCTTTTTCTGAAGATTCACGAGCACAAAATGAGTTTGACTCTTTTGGTTCTCTTTCAATTGTAAAATGGCACTTTGAGATTCGATCAATATATTTTGAAGGAATTTGATCATGAAACACGAAGACATCAATATTTTCTGTGCTCTCATTAGAAGGAGCATCTCGTCCGATCCATGCTTTGTTATTACGAAGTTCTATTAAAAATAAATAACCTGATGAAGAGATAAATTTAATCGACAAAATACCTATTTCATACCAAATACAGAAACTTTTGGATTAGGAAGAAAGTAAAGCTTTGCCCAAACTGTACTTAATGAAAGCGATTGTGAAAATAAGTTTTCCGAATCATCATCAGTTAAGATCTCTTGGGTCTCGGGAAGCTCAGGGAGCGCTTTCCCATTTCGATTTCTAACAGACGTCATAATTTATCTTCTAATAACCATTCAAGCTTTTTAACTTTATTTATGTAGTTTCAGTTGTGGCGTTATGCACCATCAGTTATATTGTAATTCTAGTTACTTTATATTTATAATGTCACAATGAGACGTTATATGATATTACATAAAATAACAAATTTAAATTCTTGCTTGAATTTAACCGCGAACCAAGCTGTTTATTTTTTCACTACACACACTAAAATTTTAAAAATGGTGTCACATGAATGGTCTGATAAAGCTCTCTCCGCATGAAATATTTTCGGACCTTAAAATTCAAATTCCATTTGACAGTTATAAAAAAATTTCCTTTATTTATATTTGTTCATTTTAAATGTAACAACATCAAGATAATGATCAAAATCAATATAAGATCGGCTGAAAATTTGATATTTATTTTCAATATTAGATGACGGTTTCCACAAATATCCTCTTTGAACTGAATGATTGGGCAATTGGACCCATCGTCTGTTCCAAATATTGCCGTAAAATATCGCAATGTTTTCTAAAGGAAATCAAAACGAAAGGAGAGAAAGATAATTGGATGGCATAATAATATAAAAAAAATGCTTCATCCTAAACAAGCAAACAACGTTTAGGGAAGAAATCAGATAAAAATATGAAATAACAGAGGTTGGAAAATAATATTTCCATTTCATTAATTTATCAAATTTCATGATGATTTTATAAAAAAAATTCTTTTTTACCTTGAACTTAAGTCATATGAACTTCCCCACAATATAATCCCATTAGCGCCCTGGCTCTTAGCACTTTGAAACACCATCAACAAGTCACTCTTTAGAATTATGAAAAAGTTTAAAACAAAAATTACATACACTTTTTAATGGAAGCTGTTTTCAAGATTTACCTCTGATAAAACTTTCCTACTGTCGGTGTAGACATATCGTATATACACATACACTTCCTTCTGTTTTCTCGAGTATGATTTCGATGCTCTTATAGCTTCCTGAATTCTTGCTGAAACCATGCTTTTAACGTAGGAGAAAAATAAAAAGATTTTCCTTTAATATTAACGGCCATAATTCAATTATCTGAACATCATTTATTATACAACTGAAGAAAAGTTTTCATTCCATTACACTTCCATGTTATCATTCTCAGGAAAGGATAAAAATAAGTAAGAAAAATCAAATTGAAAGCAGCATACCTTTGTCTCTCCTGTGGTTTCATTTTCTCATTCAAATACACCGAAGGCAATACCATATCTGAATGGAAAAACATCCAACCCATGCTTAAAAATTATAAAAAAATATGAAGAAAAGAAAAACAAATTAGGCATTTGAAAAGAAAAAAAAATATAACATGATGAGTAAAATAATAATATTTAATTATCCTAAAATGAAATCTGATTACCGGTCATTTTCTGCTTTGACTTCTCTGGGACAGAATGCATTTTGACCTTTATTAAAACAATAAGGAAAGGCATAATATCCCCATTTGGCATAAGGTCGTAACAACTTTGATAGTTTCAATGTCTCTTCAACATATTTTCTGCCAGCCGACTCAAATCTCTTCACAGCCTATACAATAAAAATGTGATTTTTCAAGTTAAATAAATTAGGTACGGGGGAAAAGAAATTGAATGTGATGGAATTTTCTTTTAAAATTGTAAATGTAAAAGTTTCGAAATGAATTACAAAGCTTCTACCTCAGCTTCATAGTACGGCTTCGGCCAAAACGGATGACGTTGTTTTTCAATCTGATATGACACATCTTTGTACGGTGTTAATGTCCCAAAGTTCTGACGAAAAATTGGACGCCATGATTCAAAATCAATGATAACGAGGCCATTATTGTTAATGTCCGGCACAAGCTCTTCGATATGTTGTCGATAAACCGTCAGATGCTTTGTCAAGTTTCCTTCTTGAGGAATACCCCCGTTTCTTTTTTCATTGTTGGTACCTAAAGCGGGAAACATGCCAGGATCGTACAGAATGGTGATCTTTTCACCTCTGAGGAAAATAAATGAAATCCATTAACGTAATTGAATACTTTTTGCTGTCAAAAAATTAATTTTCTTCTTTCTATTCTTTTCTGTCTTCCTTTGTAAAGCTTGAAAAACGAAATATTTTTTTGATTTCAAAGTCAACACATTTTCCGGCTTGCGATATTATTTTGCTGTTCACAATTTAACAAAAAAAAGTCAAATGGTTTTTGCCTAGATTTTTTGCAAAGGTTAGCACAGCTTCGTCATCATCATCATCAATAACAAACCGAGATATAGCGGATGAAACATATCTACATAATATTTTCTTCTAGCCTGAAGAATCATTTTTACATTATAATCCATTTGAAATCAATTTAAACTTTTTCCTATTAAATATCTGCATAGAATTTGATTTTTACAGTTGAGAAATTACAATTAATCTCATTAAAAGTATTTATTCGCTGAGTTCTTCTTTCCATCTTCCTTCCTACATTTATTTATTCATGGTAGATATGTAGCAGAATATTATAAAACGAATAGACTTTTTTTTATAAATTTTGTCATCAAATTACATACTCAACAGAGTGTAACAGTCATATAATGATAATAATGCATAAATTAAAAGTTGTTTCGCTTTTTATATGAAATTATTTGAAGACAGATGTTTTATTTGTTGTTGCTAGACTCATACTGAGCAACTTTACTGGAAAATTTGATGTCTTTGATACTTATAATTATGTCATTTAACTCGCTTCATCATAAGTAACGAGAAATGATTGAATTATCTTCCTACAAATAAACGAAACAACCTAACAAAATATTATATTCAGATCAGATTTAATACTCTTCTGAAATGATGATTATACGAAAACGTACGATGAGTTAAAATTGATACAAAAACTTTGATAAAAGTTTGATATATTTTTCATTAATAAAAATTTTAATTAATAAAGTTTTAACAAGCGAATATTTTCAGAAAATAATGATTCATTCTTAAACACCTCTGTTAACACAACATTTTTAATATTCAAGGAAGTGATCAACTGTTCATTGTTTTGTAAAGTCTCTGATAAACATGCTTAAATTTCTGCTTTGTATTTATGTAAATATCAACGTCAGATTTTTCATTTAAAATTTGAGTAAGGTATGAGTAACTGCAGATTTTATCTTTTTAAATACGATGAAAGCGATGATAAGGAGCTTAATTCACGGAGGAAGTGAACAAAAAAGTATTCATAGCTTTGAAAAAGGAATGTGAACATAATTGTTCTACCATAAAATGCAGATTATTATTCTAATTATTGCTACAATTTTTTACTGCTGATTATTCTTCATGGATAGAATAGGTGATTATGTAAAATTAAAGCAAAAAAACATATTTTTAAGATATACAACAGGTACACTTCTAGTAAAGACTTTTAAATTATTTCATCATCATCAGATCAAGGACAGACCCATATAGGAACCACCACCATCTAATATCGAAGCATTTGATGGTAATGATCATAGTGGCAAACTACTCAATCTCATTTAAATTGATTTTGTGTGGACTAGTCACTGCCGACCGTTTTGCATCCACCAGAAGGTCATCATTTAACGATAGAAGTGTTTCATTTTCAAAAAGAATACTCTCATTGTTTGAATTGATAAGAATTTCAACTCTATACAAAGAAACATATCAGTACTTTTTTTAAATTATTTAACAAGATTATCTCATGAAATACCTAATTCATTTTAAAGATGTATGTTTATGACATAACTTACAAAATAACTTCAATGATTTTTTACAAAGTCACAGAATCTTTCACATGTCACACTTGAATATGTTTCTAATGACTCTTGTTACCATCATCATCATCAGATCAAGAGGAGGCACCCCCTATAGGCCAATCCTGGCCTTATAGGAACCACCATCAAATGCCGAAGGACTCTTGTTGTAGTTTATGATTAAAACATAAAAAGAAGTTGGAAGAACATTTTATGGAGACAAATTGAAAGCTATTTGATACATAAGTATAAGAAATAAGTTATAGAAAGCTAAAAGTATTTGTGAAGAAGATAGAAGAAGGAAAGAAAACGCAGCGGAACCTTTTTTAACGAACGATTCTGTTAGGAAATTATCCGTAAGATGATTGTTAATTGATTTAAGCAGATATCTGGGCAAAATACCTCGCATTTAATCAATTACTTCTCTTTTAAACTTTTTTCCAATCCTCAGTTAACAGTTCTTTCTTCTTAAGTTGAATCTTGTTCAATCTAACAAAGGGACATGATTGCATGTTTTTTAAATTCGTGACGGTCGAATAAAATCTTCAAGGAAATTTATGTTACTCTAGTTTAACTTCTATTGTTATAAAGCACATAGAACATAGGCCAAGTATACAGTGAATGTCTTCTATAAAGATTCAACCATTCAATTCAACCACCCTAAGTATGGCTTAGACTTTCACTGTTGTTGTTTGTTTGAAAAGTATTGAAAAGAATGATTCCTTGTAATACAAGCATCATTAAAATAATTTTATTAGAGCCAACTCGTAATTCAAGAGACAAATAGGAACACCGTAAAGACGAATTTATTCTGTCACAATAAACATTAGATACACATAAAAGATCAATATATATCCTTCAAAAATTTATAACAGATATTTAAGTTTAATTATGAGTTAAGACAAATGAAGAGAATATTAACTACAGTGGACTCTCGTTATAATTAACTATCGTTATAATTTTTCTCTCGTTATAACTAACGTTTCGAAAACTATTTCGAAAAAAACGGGAACAAAATTCTCTCGTTATAATTTTTCTCTTGTTATAATTCCTTTTTTTCCGGTCCCTTCGAAAAAATTATAATGAGAGTCCACTGTATTTTAAATGATTTACAAACAAGAATGAATGTTTCTTCAATTCGTTGAAGAGCGTAAATTCTCAAATACTCGATGATTTAAAGAACATTTTCATAATATCTAAAGTCTTATATTTATTTATGAAATTTACGCATGTGTCTGAAGATATGTATAAGGTTTATTCAGTACATGGTTACATCAGTTAGAAAAACACATAAACTCTTTTTGATGGATTGCAGCTTCATGTGTCAACGTTTTTCAATTTATGAACATTCTTGAACATATTGCAAAATCAACAGTCTAAAAACATGGAGAAAAAACTTTATGAAAGCTGCTCTTTTCTTTTTCTTGCCTTCTTGAACTTTATGAGAATCTTTTTTTGCCTTTCTTCCCTCAACTCGAACTTACACCGACACACAGAAGTGAAACAAGTGAAGACTATTCATTATTACGAGTTGATATGCATTATTTCCAAAGTTGAAATTAAATTAATGACTCTTCTTCTTTTTACTTCTTTTCAGTTTGTTATACCTTTCGGAAATAAACTTAATATTGACAATAAAACTTTTATTTTCTATTATGATATATTTTTAATGAAAATATTTTTTCAATTATACTTCTAAAGCTTCAGAGTGAAATGGCAAGTTTTATCTCTATACATTCTCTCATCAAACTACTCTATCGCTTTCACATTGATGGAAATTCTCTTCTTCCCTTGAACATTCGCAATAAAAGTAAAAGACCAAGTATAAGACTATTAATTTTCGTTTGTGTAATTTGGAATAGCGCTTTTACTGGAGTTCAGTAAATTGTTTTTTTTCTCTTCTGTGGCAAATGATGGTGTGAGGAAATACATAATCGAATATTAATTATTTATTGGAAAGTTTTTTAATTAACCAAAGGAAGAAAGAAAACATTTCTGAACAAATAAAAAAGAAGCTGAGCTCAGAAGTTGATGGATAACATGATTTGCTGGATATATATATGGGTGATGGCTCAAGGGTAAGTTAGTAAAACCATTGACTAATTACAAAAACAGATCCTAAGTGGCAGGATGATGGAAGATACAAACATAAGTTACTAATTCAATAGGTGTATAGAAATTCATAGATTAATAGGCATTTACGCTTTCTAAGACTCTTACGCTTACATATCTTGCTGAACAAATCTAAATAAATATTTTAATTTATTTGATTAAGTAAACACAGCAAACCACAAAGCCGTGAAACGGTTGATAAAATACCAAAATCATGTTTGCCAAGAAATGATGAAATTTACAAAGAGAAGTTTAAAACGCTTAAATTTACATACTTACTGAAAGTTATCCTGCTCATTTTGCAGAATGTCATAATTCTTAACAAGACTGGTGAAATCGAATTGATGCTTTTTACACATGAAAGATGGAATGTTCCAATAAACTTCAAATCCACTAGAAATTTAGAATTATATGCTCGTTATTCATATCAATGTCATAGGAGAGAAATAAAAAATAGAAATGTTGAAATGTGACGAGAAAAAAATGAGTGATTGTAGGTAGTTGGGTGAAACATAAGTTATGTTGCGAGTGTAACATTTTGTTTCATTTAAATGTATCTTGACAATCGTTAAATATAACAAAACATGATTCATGTCAATTATTTTGACGTTTACATTTATTGAAAAATTTATATTAATTATTCTGTATTTATAGATTAGCAAGAATTCACATAAATAATTAATACCCGCATCATAACGTGAGAATTTCCTCATATACTTTTACCTATGAATAAATTTATTGGAAATTTTGTATATACAAAAATATAAATTAAATAATGTATTGAAGAATAAAAATTTTACAAATGTTTTCTAAGTCTTTCATGTTAAAAAATGTCTCAAATGGTTATGGAAGAAAAATTGTTTTAGGACGTTGAGAAAATAGATGATTAGGTATATGTATTTGCTTCAATGTTCTTAGGAGGAAAAGAAAAATAAACAAATGAAAGAATGAGACGTTTCTATTTGAAATCATCATAGTTCCTTTAGCAACAATGAACAATTTCGTGACAAAATATTATTCTTAAGTTGCAGAATTCAAAATTTTAGCGTCTATTTTGTCACTGGAAAAACACTTTGGAAATTACCACAACATTTTCATATGAGTAAAACATCGAAAGTTTGTTTTTGTTGTATCTTCTTACTATCTTCACAACAATACAATAATCATTCTTTCCTCAAATTGTTTGTATTGGGATGTTGAAATTGAATTAAACTTTCTTTTTATTCGTGCTCTTCTCAACACATTATGTAACTCAACTAAAAGTATTTTCATTCTCTTAGTAAGAAAAATAAGGATGAAACTTACCTAACTATGGTTAGTTCTATTAGCAACCATGTTAAACCTCTCGCAATTAAAACTATCTTCATTTTCTCTATTCTTAAAGCCTTAAGACTTGTAGCCAAGTTAGTAATGATTTTTTTTCTTTATTTCTCTGACAATTCACTAAACTTTTAAGAAGGCAGATAAAGAAAAGTGTTCCTATTCCCTACTATTTATTTTTACGGTAGGAAGGAAAACCACAATCACTTTCTAGTGGTCATAAGAGTTTTTAAGGACACAAAAATGAAAAGACGGGTTTAATCTTACAAAAAAGGCAGAAGAAAAATTTATTTTATGGTTTTTGTCACTGCGAAGAATAAACACTTTCACTTTCAATTACGTTTTCTCATGTCTTTTCCTTCTTTTCCTATCATCAACACACAAACTACAGCGACGTTATGGTCCGTTAAATCATTCTCCACAGACAACTTGTCGTCTTAAACGTACTGTTTCCCGAATAAAACCACTTCGAGAAAATGAAGAAAAAGTGTTTTATTAGTCCAAACACTTGCCTTACATAAGCTGTAATGAATGCACAAAACAATTCAATTCTATTTATTTATGCTAGTTTTCTTGGCTCTCTCTCTTGTTGTTTTTGCTTTTATTTCTTTTTTTTTGACGTTCACTTAGTACGATAATTTTATTTACTGCTTACGCTTTTAGAGTTGAGTTCAGAATGTATTATAAACAATTAAGCACGATTACAACTTTCAGCATTGAAAGCAAAACTATTTAAAAGCTCAAGACTGTCAAACCCGTATTCTACTGATACCAAAGAACAAAATTTAACTAATAATTTATGACTATTTATGGCAACTGATACTAAAACAATGTAGAAGTTGACTGAAATAATAAACCATTTCAAACTAATTAAAATTTTAAATTTTTTTTTGGCACTCCCACTTTGAAAACAATTATTTACTTAACACCTTGACATAAGTGTTATTGTTTTTTCCCACTTCATCTCAACTCTAAAATGAACTTGAATATTATCTATTGAGTTCTAAATCCGTTCTTGTGATTATCTTCTTTGTAAAGCAAGAGCAATTGACTAGATTTTGGCTTTTTACCATAATATTAAGTGAATAAAGAAGACATTGCTTAAGAGAGATGAGGTAAGGGAATTTAACTAATTAATCATATCTGTCATGAGAATTATATGAATTTTTTTAGATAAATCTCTAGAAAACGTTTTCCCTGCAGTATACTCAGGTATAATTAACAGTTTACTTTGAAAAATGACAAACCCTTTTTCTTTCTAATGGAAATGAAAAATCTCTTTCAAAACAATGACATCACTGTATTTGATGATAGAAAATACAAAATAGGTAATCAAAGACATTCATCATCGAAACTTCAAATGATCATAAGAAGCCTTGAGAATGTCTTAATATATGTTTGTGTATCTCAACTTACAAAAGCTTTTAATATCTATCTGAATATGATATATTTTCTTGTTTTCCCATCATATCATAAGCTTCTACCTACTGTGTAAATACAATCAGCACTTTTCCGAAGCAGAAAGCAGAAAAGCTAATATTTAGATATCTTGACATATTCATTTTTTACATTTCATTATCTTATGTATGTTTAATGCCAGCAAGCCTTAAATTTCATGAATTTTCTAATTTCATCCAAGTTCATTGTTGCTAAAAGTATTAAATTTAGCATTTGTTGTTGCATAAAAAAGAGTTAAAATGTTCAAACAGCTGTTTGAGTTTATGGCTACACTCTTTTTTATTTAATTCGAATTGTGTCAATAACACATTTATGAACTAAATTTTGAAATTCTCTTGAACTTAGGCAAGCTTAAAACAATCAAGAAAATACGTTTCAAGAACAATGTGAATGTCAGAGTGGGACAATGTTTTACTTTAGAAAGAAAAATCTTTTCATTCGCTAATTAACAATAATCTGTGAAGTGAGATGTCGAAAGCAGAAATAAAAAATAGAAAAATATTTTATAAAGAGTTTAATGCGATAAACGTTAAATCGTTTTTCTATTCTCTCTTTCTTATTTAACTCACACACAATCAACTTTATTACTTTTTTCATGATTGTAACTATTTCAATACGTAAATATTGGATTTTAAATGCATTAAATATGTCGATTAGATTATTCCAAAAAATCATTTCCTGTTTTCAAAGCGTGATGAAAACGGTGTCACCATTAATTTTCAACTTACATATTTTATTCTTGATAATAAATAACTTCTGTAAATACTTTTGATCATTGATATATTGTTAGATATACTTTCTATATTAAAGATAAATAATAGGAAGATTTAGCGCTTAAAGGAAATTTCAACTGTAGATATGTTTCATGTTATTTACGATAGTGACATTAATAAAATAAATTACCATATGTTGGGCAGCACAACAATGTATAGGAGCAAGTGAGTTTTAACCTCTATTTTAACGCTTCTATATTTGTCGGTGAAATATTTGATCGAAAGAAGTTTCTCAAACTTTTATAAGTTTCTGTGTAACGACAGTTTTTTATCGTTTCTTCCCTCTAAGGCGCCATTACGTCCACCGTCGCTAAATCTCAATCATGGTTTCCTTTCAATAGCCTTAACGAAACTTTCTGCGACATCAGAGCTTGCCTTATTTCAATAAAAAATGTATTTTATAAAAAAATGAATCCTCTTCTCGTTTTAAGAAAAAACTGAAATTTAAAAGCCACCTGTGCTGTGCATATTATAATTTTCAGAGAAAACGAATATTTGTTGTTCGGGTTACTCGCAAAACTTGAATTTTTTTCTGTATCCTTCTCATACTTAAAATTTGATGTTCTTAATATCCAAGTCTGAAAATCAGGGATTGACATTATAATGTGACTTGTGATGTTTGCCAATTTCATTCTATTTTAGCTATTTATGAATTTAAAGCTTATTTTATGATTGAATCTGAACTGATTTGGAACTCTAATCAATTCCAATTTCAATCCCTGTTGAAAATTGTAAATGTAAAAGGTTTTAGCTTGGGTGTTTAGACCCTTCAACAAAACCTTATTAATCAGCACATCTTAAGATATCATTTGTGTAAATGCGTCTTTTTACGTTCCTTGTAGTATCCACTAACTGCAAAGAAAAAAACCCAAGAAATTTATCACATCTAAAGTGGTTTTGAAACAAAATGTGATGGATCCAAATGTGGAAATGGAGATGTTTTACACATCAGTGTCGCTTTTTTTGTTACTAAAGGTATGAAAAAAGACTTGGTCATTTTTTTTAACGTTTCTTCATTCTTCTTTCTAAATTTGTTTTTTCATTTGAAAGCTTTTCATGTTTGAAATTTGCAAATGGTAGTAAAGTCGAATTTTATTGCAGTTTTGTAGCGTTAATCTAACTTAACATTCGAGTTTTTGTTATATGTATCTAAAAACATTATGAAATTATAAAAAAATTAAGTAACTTTAAATTGATTCATGCCAGGAAAAATTATTATAAAATACTTCTTGCATACATAAATAAAAGCAAACATGCTTAGTATTCATGCGGAACAATCAGCCATGTCTCATCTGTTTACATATACTTGCTACATTATTCGTTAAACATTTTTCAATGTTGCTTTATGTTTATTCAAAACACGCTAAATTTAAGAAAGCAATTGTGTTATTCTAAAGTTCAAGTTAATCTTGAGTATGGAAAAGAAACAAAATGTTTTTGTGGATTTTCGCCAGGCATTTTGCAAAATGTGTGCTTTGTTATTGAACAGATAAAACATTTCATAGAACATTTAATGGATTTTCTTATATGACTAAGTAAGCTAAATTAATCATAATTAACTTGATACTCGTCAATCATTTAAACATATCTTCATCGCAGTTGTTACGTTGGGAAAAAGAAAACAGAAGTTAACTTAAGTGAATCAACTTTAACGCTGCAGGAAATTTTTCTTTGTTGTCAGCTTGTTTTTCCATTATATTTTCAACATTTCATGCAAGTATCTATGTGGGTCTAGTTCAAAAAGTTTATAAAAATATTTCATAAATAAGACATTGAAAACAGAAGATAACAATATCGTACGAAAAAAAACAAATTATGTGACTTTTTGGGTGAGAATTAATTTTGTATACTTATGTAGGTGGCCTTAGAAGTTATACATACACTTTTTTGATATTGAATAAGTTTTTGACCAGTTTTCGAATAGGAAAAATCTATGTAGGTAAAATTCATACCTAAACTTCGGAATTAGAAACAGTTACTATAGGCTTAAAGCTGCTTAAAGCCTACCCTAAACTTATATCCCAATCCCAACTATCGTAACATTATTCAAGGCTTTTGCTGTATCTACTCATCCATCAGATTGACTTATAATATGTCATTGATACGTCCTTAAAACGAAAGTGTTTGAAAAGATCTAAATTTAATCTTTCCGATTGATAAGGGTTTTTTATGGAAATGATTTTCATTTTTTCGCTCTGTTCTAACATGTTAGTGTCATTGAATATCGTGCATGACAAGGAACTCTTTTTTTTCTTTCTCTTTCATATTATATAATAATATATAATATTACATAGACCACATTTGAAAAAAAGAAAAGAGATTCTAATAAAATACACTAACGTACTTGAATAAAAATTTAATTTTGAGAAAAACAGAATTTTCTTACAGGGTTTTCTGAAAAACACAAGAAAATCTTATGCTAACAGGATATGCCTCATGTAGTTAGAAAACCAAAACAGTCGGTAGAAGCAAATTCTAACAGAATAAATATCTAATTTACTTGAAACCTTTTGAAATATTGCAAATTGGAAAGTTTTCAATTAATCATGATAACACGAGATTTTTTCCTGAATGAGAAAATTAAGCTTTTTGTTGAAAACTCATGAAGTGAAAACATCTCATTCAAAGACATAAAGTGGAGACCCAAATAGAACGGTGGTACTTGAGATGTTTTAAATTTCCGAAATGAAAGTGTTTTCTTTTATTTCTCCTTGCTTTGCCAGATGGTGTAAGAAAAAAGCTTCTTCACCCTTTTTTTCGCCTATTTTTGGTTACTATGAGAGCAGAGTCAAGTTTATTTGATGTTGCTCGTGAGAAGTACTTCTTGTGTTTCTTTTTCCCTTTTTTTCCTTTTCATTGAAACTCAATGAATATAAAAAGAAATGATTGAAGCAATTCTAATACCTACGGATATTAAGTAACTGAAACTTATTACTTGAATCAAATATTTGAATGTGACAATGTTCAAATTAAGATTTGGAAAATATTTGAATTTATTTCATTCAAGCAGGGTATGAAACTGGTTTCAGAAAGAATAAAAAATAAAAACTGAAGGAAGTATTAAAATATTACAACAACTAATTGAAAATGTTTAGTTCTTTTGAACCCTTTTGAGAATTATTAGAAATTCTGACATTACCATAACTCTGCACATTTACAATACAACTCGAGCCATGGCTTATTCAACCCTAATAGTGGTAAGCAAATGTTTCAATAAATTATTATTTTTTATCACGTCTGAAAACCCTTTATTAACTTTCACTGTGAGGAAAAAGGAAAAGCTGCTTGAAATGGAAAACAATGGCGACATTGAGGCTATTACAGCTCTTTTTCTCTCTCTCTCTTCCCAACCTAACGTTGGGAAAAACAGAACAATTTCATCCTGTGTATGTATTTTCCGAATAGAGAATGGTCGCTACGAAAACGAAAAAGCGGATAATGAAATGTAAAATTGATAAAAGATATCTCCTAAATCCAGTTATTATCAGATTGGAGAAAACCGGGAAAAATCTTTAAGGCGGCTTAAAATCCAATCTCAAACTTCCTTTCAGAAAAAAAGTAATTTGCAGAAAAATTACTCAGTAATTTTAAAACTTTTGAAATTTGTTTTCGTCTTGAGAACGCGATAATGTCAAGTGAAAAAAAGTCAAGTTTTAATAGATCGTTGTTTAATGGTTAAAACAACAATTAAAATTTTAATTCAAAAATACCTCAATGTTACTGAAAATTGTACATCATAACTTCTTCGAGAGATATATTCTAGCAAAAATAAGAACGTCCCAGCTTACTCTGTATTACGATGATAACAGTTGGGGTTATTTATTGATCGAAATTAATTATACGACAGAGAAGGAAGTTTTCAAATAAATGAGCTTTCATCGCAGCTTGAAAAAGTTTTCTTAATGTTGTTTCTGTTGTAAATAACCCATTGTTTTTTCGGTTCAACGATGGTTATGTAGAAAATGCCTCAGCCAAGGGCAAATGATGAAAGTTTTATTGGTTCCTAGCAAGCGAAAGCATATTAGCTTCATGAACACATATCTATATTTGACACTATCGCTAAGTTATTGATTAAAGTTCATGGTGAATAACTTTCATCTTATACTTATTCAAACTACCTAATCTATGTTTCGTATTTTGTCATTGTCAAAGTATTTTATGTGAATATTTTATACAAAGCTTATCCTTCCTTCGATAAATCGGTTAAAGTTTTTGTTTAATTTTAAACGAATGAATGTAAATAAATTCATAATGTAAGTAAAGGGAGTTTCCTAAAAACCACTGACATTTTCTAAACTGACAGATTTGTGTCACTATATTCATATATTTTTTGTCTGAACATTTAAAGTTGCGAGAGAAAAGTTTCAACTGACTTTTGCTTGATAACTTTTTTATGCTTCTAAAGTCAATCAGTCAGTTTGTTAGACAGGAACTTTAACTGGAGCGGAATAATTATTATCTATAGAAAACAAATATTTGAATGTACCTTTTTTCTGTTTATCATTCAATTTTGCAGCTAATTTTACTCACGATGAAACTAATTCTTGATAATTTCATTTGTTTACCAGTATAATCGTCTTACAAAATTCTCCTTTGCCTTCTGGATGGGACGTACAAAAAAATCATATTTCTTTTCAGTTGCCTTTTTTCCCTGATTTTTTTTTTCGCTGTAAGCATCTTTTCGACTTTACGGGGCTTTTTATAGCTTAATACTTATTTTCAAACCAGTTATTTTCTATGTTATAACACTTTGTCTAACTTTAGTCATACACATTCGTTCCGAAGAGCATGTGATTTATGAAAGGCTGTAAGTTGTTTAATGGAGAAACATTTTCGTGCATTGTCTCCGGGAATAAAATTTCGTATAAAATATAACACTTATGTACGTACATGTATGGGATAATTTCATTATTAAAACGTTAAGAAAAGCTGTCACTCTTTTGTCAGTTGATTAAAAAGGTAATTTATTTAACTCTCAAGGAAAAAAATTCCATCTTAATGATACATAAAAAAACTATATTTGGTATGCTAGACATAACATTGTTGTTAAAGCTGAAGAGAAAAATTATAAAATACGAGAAAAGTATAAGCTTGTTGTCAAATTCATTCAAAGATTGACAAATTTATCTTTACATAAGCATTCACGTATGCTCTGAAACTCGACTTTTACTCTTAAAATGTTTTCTCAATTGATTGTACGTTTTCAATCTTTTATGGAAAAGAGCGATTTAAGGGATTGATTTTTTGAAATTAGGGATTGTATAAGGTAAGTATGTGCGTTAGTCACTCGGTATAAAAAATTGCTTTGGAATGTGAATGTTTTTTTGAGGATTGATGTTACTTTACCACCTGTGTAACCTCATTTTGAAACAAACTCATTTAATGATCTTATGTCAGATTCTATACGGATTATTACTTTAAAAAGGGTGCTTAATGTTATATTATTACGAATTAAGGCATGAGGAATAAACGTTTGAATATTTGTATAAAAATTATTTAATCAATATACAAAAGCATTAAAGCAATTTGATTCTAATAAAATCAGAAATATTTGTTCAATTAGCATATGGTTTGGAATAATTGTCAATTAAAGCAACCCCAAAAATATTAATCTAAAGGAAAATTATTACGGTTTCATTTTTTCTTCCTTTCGAGACACAATTTTGTATACGTTCGCAATTCCCGTGACAATTTCTAAGTTATATACCATTAAATTAAAAATTTACGAAGATTTATGACGAAAGAAATTGCATCGTAATGTTATATCTAATTGATGTAGAAGCGTCGTTATATTGCTACCTCATTTCGTCCCAAAAAACAGAAATAATAAGACAGAAAATGGAAATCTGAACGAAACCAACGAAATAAAGGTGTGGTTTTTAAGCACAGTGTATAAGATATGATTTCAAATATTCTATTTCTATTAATTTCTAAGAATGTACATGACAATGCATCTTATTTAGCGATGTCTACAAGAAAGTCAGTTTTTTACTTACTTAAATAACTTTAGGTTTGACGTTTGAATCATCAAAAAAATATATCAAAAAGATGTTTCTTCATCATTTACTATTACTATTATAATATTAATTATAAAACAAAATCCATGAGATTTAATTACTTTGGTAACATATAAAATATCTATCTAAGCTTTACTTCTTCCATATGAATCTCTAAGATGTTCACGTTTGAAGTGTACGCATTAAATGATATATAAATATATGTACATATTTATTTGCTTCATAAAAATATCTTCACGTCCATGGAATTGATTGAAAAAAAATCTGACAAATCTTTTCGTGCTTGCTGTACCATTAGCATATTTCAGAAGGGACATAAGGGGTGGAACCATCAAAACATCATTTTTACTTATTCATGCATCAGATGTTGCAAAATTCATTTTTCTAGACACTCAATTTGTTTCTAACCTCTGGAAAAAATTAATTTTATCAACATAAACCCCTCTCTTACAAAAAAGCGAAGAAAAAATTATTCAGACATAAATTTTTATTAGAAAAAAAAGAAAGACAAAATACGTGACAAAATAAGCTTAAAGCTTCACTGTCAAACAATATCTAAATATTTACGATTCCAATTAAAATTAATCGCTAAATAGAAAATAGTTTGAACGATAAAGAATCAATAAATCCTAGAAAGAAAGTATCTGTTTAAGTGTAATTAACTTTTACAACCCTCTAGGAGCTTTCGTGAAATTATGCTTCGTTATTTAAAATTTTGTAGCTGAAAGCAGTCGAAATTTTCTTTTTTCTTTTTGAAAGAAACTCTTGCTTATGTAGTTTAACTAAGGCTCTTTTTTCTTTTCTTTTCTTATATCTGTGGTATCATCAAAAGCTGTGTAAATATATCTTAGAGCTAGAATTGACTTCATTATCTTCATAACAATGGGTATTCATCATCACCAGCACTCATATATGATTGCACTGCATAAAAAAAGTGATAAGAGGATTATGTAGAGCATAGAACATGTAGCAATGGATATTATTGCTGTAGATATTTCCATTATTTAGAAAGGAAAAAAATTCGCATAAGTCGCAGAACTAAGCAATATTTTTCTTTTACAATTTCACTCTTTTTTACATAAAAATGTTACGCCTGCTTTTATATGGATCAGGTCACACACATGACAAAATAATTTCCTTTTTTCTAATTTATATACATCCATCTAATACCTAAGTGTATCATTTTTCAATTGGTGACAATGACCAGTTCCAATTTAAACGAAGCTACGTATCAAAATTTGTGATGCAGTAAACCCTTCATGACCATTGACTCCTTGGGATGAAGTTTTTCTTTTCTCTCTTTCTCTCTCTCTTTTATTGTACAATTGTTATGGGTTCTTAACAAAATAAAATTGGCAAAAATTTCTGTTTTCAACATTAACTGATTTATGTAAAAAAAAATATTTGATAAATATATACTTACTTCATCAAAATCAGGAGCTTGGTCAGCATTAGCATGAATGCTTTTTACAACAATTAAATATGTTGCTACGTTCAGTAAAGTCGAGGGAATTTATGCTGGTTCATTATTTATTGTACTTTATCATTTCCCCTTCACTTAGTAATTCCCGACTGCTAACCATTTTATCAAATAATAAATATAAAGCCATTTGTTTCTTATACACGATAGACATAAAGTAAGGGACACGTATATGAGTCTTTAAATAATGTACATTTCCATACATCATTTGTTCAGTTGGTTTCTTTTTCTAAGGAGATAATCAATAATTGAAACAATTTATTTTCAAGTTTCTTTTCGCTATATCTAATCGAAGTAAAATCAATTCTTGTGCTTTTTTTTATTTTGTCAAAAACTTCTTTTACTTTTGGTGATTTCTTTCGCCTGACAAGTTGAAAACAATAAGTTGGATTGAAAATATCTAAGCGGCACTTCAACCTTGTAATTACTTTTAACGTTTGATTAATTTTTAATTAAACTGAATTATTTAGATATCTATTTTCCACAGATTTTTCCGATACCTTCAATGACATATCTTAAAAACGTTAAAGACACGGTTGGCTCTTGATAATAAATTTTTAAATTCTTATCGTGACTGTTTCAATTTTCTAAAATTTGGCTTGGAATAATACATAATGTACACACGCATATGTTGGAATTTATAGTTTCTTTTTACATTTAGTTTTCACAAAGAGTGATTTTTTTTTTGTAGGAGATAATAAGATATTGAAAACATTCGCACTATTTCAAAATAGCATAAATCATTATGATTTATTCCGAGATCTTCATATTAGAGAATTTTTTATGATTTCAAAATGAATGCGAAAACGTTATTGTTCTTCAATACATTGTAAATAAATAATGATTTTTTTAATGAATAGCCCAAAGAATTGTGTAGATTTTAAAAGCATTTAAAGTTACTTTTTATCATTTAATTCGCTTACAGCACCTTTTGCTACTTCTTCCATTGAAGCAATAAAACATTGAACAACGCTTTTGCGCTTTTCTAACGTTTTCTCTGACGTCTGTTGTTGTATTCTTAGTTGTATGGAAAGTCTTCACACAATATTCCAAACAATCTTCCATGAATCGAGGCATCGGTTATGTGTCAGACTTTCAGTTAAGTTTTTCCTTCGAGTGTTGTTGGAGGTGATTCAAGGATCAATCTACAGAATAAAAAAGAATAATTTTTTTATATCTATATACAATATAAACGTATACTTATATATAATTTATATATAAAAGTATAAAGATATAAAAAGAAATAAACAAAAGTTATTAAATTAGATATTCTTTATTTTTCCTCTTTGTAAATGCAAATCTAAGATTCTATTATGAACAACTCATCATTAAATTTAAATTATATCTGAGATGCTTTTTTTCTGTCGAAAGATATCGAATTAACTAAATGTGAAATGAAATGAAACAAATCTTATCGTGTAATATAAAAAAATTTAATTCGATATATGTTTTATATCGAAATGTTTCTAGAAAAGAAAACTATGAAATATGGACGTACTTGAATCTGTTTAAATCTTAATTATATTATAAATATAAATCTATTCGAAACAGAAATATGAAAGTGTAGTGATTTCAATTATTTCATTGATTTTTTTTAAAGTGAAGAAAGAAAATGTGAATGAATATACCTACAAAGTGTTTTGATCAAACATCAGATATTATTAATTAATTTTTCTCCAGCATCTTTGAAATTAGGATTCTTTTTTCTTTACTTATTTTTCATACGAACAGGTGTTTCTGACGTGGTTTATGAATATAGACTTGATGTTAAATCTTTCTAAATAAATAAAATGGGAAATTTGATAAATGATAATAATTCAAGATCAAGACTCAAATAACGAAGAAAGTTTATTATAAATCGTTGAACTAAATATTCAATTCTTTAAAGCCGTTGCCAATTGAAATTGGAGAAGGGATATAAATTTCCTTTGACATTGGAATAACATGGATATGACCAGATATGTTCGAAAGGTATCTACTTTAATTCAGTAACTGTAATTTATTATACTGATCTATCTGATATATATATATATATATATTTATATATGTATCTAAGACACTTGATAATATCTCCTTTAATTAATTTATTATAATATTCAAGAGCGATGCTTTTTATTTTCTACGAAGTAATCAAAATCAGTATCAAGTAAATTACTTTTCATGCAACAAAGTTTTTAATTATTTTATTTATTTGCGTTATGAGATTTATGAACAGTTAAGAGCTTTGCTCTTATTCGTTTATTTCAGATTGAAGAAAAAAAGTCATGAATACACAAGAAAATATATTGTGAGCAGTCATCACAGATTTTCTCTGCTTTCGTGTCGAAGTATTTATTTGTTCTGGAAGCAAAAAGACTGTATGATAACTCAAAGGAAATAAAAAAGAAAAAAAGTCAAGAAACTCAGAAAAAGAGTTTAACTTCTCTAATAAATAATTCGATGACGATAACTTTTCTTCTTATCTACTTGACAATAACTTCATGACTTCAAAGCAAAAAAAGAAATAAAACAAGTCTTGGTAAAATTGATGAACAAAAGCAATTTTACGCTACGAATCGTAAGTGCAATCAGAGCAAAATAATATGAATCTTGGGATTTAAATTATACACCATGAAAGCTTCTGTTCAAGAATATGAAATCAGTCTTCAATAAACACTTGCACAAATATAGTATTTTGCCTGCATTTGAAAAAGTCAAAGTGAAAAATCGTTCAATTTTTTTGAGAATAACAAAATTAATTATTTTTCCTCTTGTAGCACTTCATGAGTCTATTTCGAAATAGCAATAATTTAGGAGTCGCTTTGATTATTTGAAAAATAAACAATATTGCGTTAAACCTTCTGTAAAGCTTACATGTGATTAAATGTAAACAAACGATGAGAGAATAAATCGTAGTTTTCTTGACCATCTAGTTGAAAAATTTTTGAGTGAAAATCTTTTTCATCTCCACGAAATTATTTATTTATTTTTTACATGTATGAAAATATGTGTGTTTTTCGCATGATACCTAATAATTAAAATGACCTTAAAAAATTCTTTATTTTTCTCTCACTTATAGGAATTACATATGTGAATGAAAAAAAAAGGTTCATAAATATTCTGCAATATAAAAATTACTACATAGATAGATATGTATTTATGTTGAAGATTTGAAAATCAAAATAATGCCGAAAGATAATAAGTTGTCGACACAATAGAAGTTATTTGTTGATGAAAGTACAAACACGTTCATTTTCTGACAAGCAAACAAACATATAAGTAATGATATGAAAAAGAAGAAAAATTTATAAATGATGTGCAGGCATATGACTATGAGCTTAAATTGCCAATAAAAGAAAAAAAATCAAAGAAGAGGAAACAAGAATGAAAAATGAAGGATACATGAATAAATTACAATGTCACCAGTGTTTTCAACACCAGTGGGAGCAACAATCACACATTTATCTTGGCCTTGGTCACTTCATGCGTCATCGAAAAACATGACATTTTGGAATGATTTACTATCGGCACTCACTCAGTTCTCATTGTTTTCGTCATCAACAGTCTCCACAAGTCAAATTGGGCATTTCGTATCAACATCAACAACAACATCGATTACAACAACACCTTCGACTACGACGGCAGCGCCAATCACATCATCACTTGTATCTTTTTATCAATATTTAGAATCACGAAAAGATTTTACAAGTCATTCAAAACGATCGTTAAATCAATCGGAAGTTAAAAAATATGACATTTCAAAAGAGATCAGGACAAGCAATGTTGATAGTGAAAATAATGTGTCTGTAACAATGCAGAAGGATGTTAAAATGTTAAGTGTAACTAGTGCCCCGCCACTCACATCCACCAATGAGACCGTATTAATTAGCAGTGACTTTTACAGTAATTTGTCAACAGATCTTGTTATAAATAATTTCGTGGATTGTAATGATTTTACGGAACAGAAACTTTTAAACATTGTGATTTGTTCAATAAGTGATGTAAATAGTAATTTAATCAACAACTCGAGCAGCCATGAAATTAATGTTTTTAATGAAAGCTTGAAAAATTTAAGTGATAATGCTATAAGATTTTATAATTTCAACAATTCATTTTACAATGAGACGGAGGTATCAGGTAACAACAATACCGATATCAAAGCGACACAGTTTGAATCAACCATTTATTTAATTCAAGTTATAACAACGGCTGTTATACTAGGAATAATTATACTTGCAACAGTAATAGGTGAGAAACATTTCAGACCTAAATTATTCATGTAGATTTGCTTTCTTTTGTTGAAGAAGTTAAGTTAAGTTAACATTTATTTTTAGAAACGTAATGGATATCTGTTTAATTAACAATTCCTTAGGTTCGCCCAAGAAAAGGTCATATTTGATATATGTAATTTTATAAGATTCTTAATGTTGTTTTCCTTCTTCGTAAATCCATTAAATCAATAATTTGAAGGCCAGACATAAATTCTTATTTGATATTTAATATGTATAAGGGAATGCTGGCAATTTACAATTTATGTCTACTGCTTGTAGGAGGCAAGCAGTCATACAATAATCATAAAAGTGTAGTTCATCAAAAATGGAGTGTAAAACGTCGCTTTTCAAAGCTCTTGAAAAATCTCATACAAAGAAAGATGAAAAATCAATTTAAAGATAAGAATTCAATTGTCAGTAATCTTGTCACAAATTCCAGAAAGTTATCTAGATCAGAGACGTTATACTGAATATTTCATTTATTTTCTTTTTTCAAAAGAAACGTTAAACCAGAAAAATCATCAAATATTGAAAAGAAAGACTTTTGATATCATGGTTAAGTTGATTTACTCGCTCAAGTAGCTAAATTCTCGGTCTTCTATTAATTTACACTGGAATTTCTCATCTTCCATAAAAGTCGTACAGCTAGAGTGAAGTATGTAAAAAAACATTTTTTGATTCAAAGGTTAAATTTCTGAATGTCGGTCTCTTTTTTGTAGACTGACTGACTGACGTCAGTTTTGTTAAATTAATGAGTATGTGCTAAAAGAATGTGCAAACAAAAAATGTTCGCCATTAATAGATTTCTAAACTAACCAAGTGTCAAATGATGTGAATAGGTCAAACGGAAACCTTAATTCAAGGGATATCTCAGCGGTTTTTTGGGCGGGGTGGGGTGGCAAGAGAAGAAAAAAAGCACAAATAAATATTCTATTTTTATCGCTTCAAATAAGTATAAATATCTAATTGAAAACGGTCTTAGTAAAGTTTCCAAGCAATTATGGTAGATTGCTAAGTGAATTGTGGAAAGCATGCAAAAGAATATCTAAGAGAAAAAAGGCTTTCAACGCAATTGTAAAAGTCTAAACGTGAATCTTGATACAGAAGAAAAAATCAGCTTCATTCAGTTTGTTTTCTAACCCTCACGCAACATAAATCTCATTCTAAATCAAGAAGTTGTTTTTTTCTTTTTTGCAAGTAGTAGTAGTGAAAAACGAGAAAGATGAACAGACATTTATAAAGATATATCAAATGAAGATACATATACTTGAATTCAAATAAAAGAAAAAGTATTAAGAATACTTTTTGGATTTATATTTATCATTGATTATCTACTTACTTAAGAACATTTCGAATTTCACTCTTTCTCTTTTCTGGATAAAAGTGAAAAAATCTTTAGCTAATTTATTGCTTTATTCGTCTTAAACTTGATTTTGCTGACGTTAAAAAAAGATGGTTAAGGAAGCAAAAGAACTTTTGTTTTCTTTTCTTCTTAGCAACATATATTCGACTGAATGTATCTTCATGGGAATGAAAAAGTGAAAGTACATAATTTGAATTGCAAACTCATTTGTCTCTTACGTACATAGAAAACGAAAATTTTTCCGTTTGACTTGTGAATTTTCTCATTGTAGGAAATGTATTCGTGATAGCAGCAATATTGCTAGAAAAGAATCTTCAAAGCGTAGCTAACTATTTAATACTGTCATTGGCAGTAGCAGATCTTCTAGTCGCATGTCTAGTTATGCCGTTATCAGCAGTTTATGAAATATCAAGAGAATGGAAGCTTGGGCCAGAACTCTGCGATATGTGGACAAGTAGTGATGTTTTATGTTGCACAGCATCCATTCTCCATCTTGTGGCTATTGCTTTAGATCGGTGAGCTTCAAAAATCTACAAAACTTTAAACATGGCTTATTTAGAATAAATTCAGATTTTTAATTCATTTCAAAAAATTGTCTGCATAGATATTTGCTTACATCTCAGATTACTTTTGCCTATTGAAATGAAAATTCAAATCAATATCAAAATTATAATATTAAATAATGAAGAATTTATTTAAATGACTTAGATACAAATTGTATAAATAATTCTTTGAATTATTTGTAATTTTTATTTTCGTGTCTCCCTGTATAGATACTGGGCAGTTACTGATATCGATTACGCTCATCAACGTACCGCGAAAAGAATTGGTATTATGATCGTTATTCTTTGGATTTTATCTTTTTTGGTATCAATTGCTCCGATGCTTGGATGGAAGGATCCTGAGTGGAATAAAAGACTAGAAAATTACGAGTGTTTAGTGTCGCAAGATATTGGATATCAAATATTCGCAACAGCTTCTAGTTTTTATGTACCTTTACTCGCAATATTGTTCCTTTATTGGCGAATATTTTTGGTAGCACGCAAACGTATCAGGCGAAGACAACAGGTAAATAAAATATTGGAAAGTTATTTCTTGCATTTTCTTATTCGTTTAGAACCCCCCTTCATCCTAGTTCACTCTCACATTCACATAGATTATTTAATTTAGACAAAAATCACTTTCTTTATTCACAAACTTATCCCAAATTCATTAAGAAAAACTTTGTTTCTAAACTGACAAACTAGATTGCTCAATCTTTAGAATTGCAGACAAAAATATATTTTAGAGAAGTTTTCCTATTCTAACTTATAATATTAAAATAAGAATAGGAAAATTCCTACATGTTATCTGTTTTAAAGTACTTTATCTTTTAAAATATGTAAAACATTCGAGAGTATTTTAAATTTTAAACTACAATCAAATTACCACTATATTCACATGCATAGGTTTCTTTAGGTATTACTTGAATTCTTAAGTTAAAAGTTTTATGATAAGCTATTAAAAAGTTTCGATAATTTAGAAATTATGTTTCTATTAAATTAGAAGTTTTCATAGTTTGCATCCTTTAGAAACATTTGACTTATAGCTAGTTATAGACATGTTCAAAGATAATATTATGTTTGGTTTTTTATAGAGTATTTAAGAAGATAATTTCAATTATTTTCGACATATCATATAAGTAGATTCATGTAATTTAGTGCATTTAGAATGTTTTGACTTATTTTATACAAAGTAGATGATTTAGTTTTGTTACTTTAGAGGTAATTAAACATAAAGTTTGAAAATATTTCAGTATGAATACAGGAAATGATTCTTTGAATCCTTTTTCATGATGATGGATATTTAGAATTTATTTAAAATAGCTTTTAGATATAAAGTATACATATAGACATAAATGTTTGTTCATTGAAAGCGTAGCCTACATTACGTATTGAATTTAAAATGTTAAAACCCTCTTAGAGAACCCTTTCTTCCATAGAATCCCGATGTAGAATGAATTTAGAAAGGTATTTGTTGTGTGCTAAAAATGTTATAAAAAAAAGATGTCTAGAGTTGAAGATTATTGAGTATTCTTTGTGATAATCAATAATATTTAAAATTCTTTGATCCTCAATTTTTATGATAAATGAGATTAATATGTACATAGAAAAATGCATAAACAAATAACCCTTTAGGCAAATGTACAAACTAGTGACAATCCCCGCAAAGAAAAAGCTTCTATATGTAATATACCACTAACATCTACATTTGGTATCCGATGGAAGGTCTCCTATGGTCATCAGCAGCAACATCAGAAAAAGCAACTTCCTGTAATGCCTGGTGGATGTATTGCACAAGCGGCTGGAGGGAGTGGAACAATAGCCGCGGCTGTTGTTGCAGTAATAGGAAGACCGTAAGTATTAAAAATTTATTGATATTTGATATAGGTGTATACATGCAGAGCTCCGCAATCTATATTAGCTACTCAATTCCAAATATTTTATGCATAAAATATTCTTTTGATTCAAATTTTCATCCATGCCCAGCACTGCATACATAAATATATTTATGTTGTGTGAATTAAATATAAATTTAATTACATTAGGTTACCAACAATAAGCGAAGCAACAACAACTACCACAACAACAGCGTTCACAAATGTATCTTCAGCTAATACAAGTCCAGAGAAATGCAGCTATGGCAATGGTCTTGATGATCGAATTGAAATCGATCCACCCACATCTGACAATGTATCTGTAGCATATCCTTCTAATATAAGTTGTCCACCACATCCTATACCAGCATCTTGGAAGAAATCAACATGTGGCTCTGAAAGCACAAATATAGATCAAAATAAGTTTAAACCTTCAATATTAAAGAAAAAGCCAGCAACATCAAATGATACAAGTTCGAAGCGTGAGAGAAAAGCAGCTAAGACTTTGGCTATTATAACTGGAGCATTTGTTGTTTGTTGGATGCCATTTTTTGTTATTGCTGTATTGTTACCTATATGTGCCGAAGAATGTCAAATATCACCCGTTATCATAAGCTTATTCTTATGGCTAGGATATTTCAATTCAACCTTGAACCCAATTCTATATACAATTTTCAATCAGGACTTCCGCAATGCTTTTACTAGAATATTATGTGGTCGCCGCAACAGTGTTCGGCGTAGAAATCGACGTATGGGATTACGTGAAGCTCGCTGACATCAATCGTTTTAAGGTGACTTATTCATTTCCTCTAAATTCAATGTGTAAGTAAGTAGTTAATTTAAAGAAAGAACTTTCTACAGTTTCCTTTCTTTTTTGTGTTTGTTTTTGTTTGAATAAACGACAGCAGAATATGTAAGTCCAAAAAAAAGTAAAAACAAAAACTTATCTATGTAATGTTCAGACTTTCTGAGTGGTTTTAATGAACACATGCTTTCTACACTAATGCTTTAAATGAAAACAAGTTGTTTGAAGTATTATATTAGGAGATATGAAATATAATTAAATTAAGCTTTTATGTGTATTAATGTTGTTAGATACTTTATCTTATTTCCTTACCTTTTTTCCAAGAGCCAAAAGTTATGAAATAAGGATTAGATATTTCCTTTATAGACAAAAACGTGTTTACAAGTAAATAAGTGCATAATATTAAAAATGTTACTATAAATGCGCATTAGTTTTATGTACAAGTAAATTTAATGATAAGAACAGTTTTTCAAAAAGAAAAGAAAAAACTTATTGATAGCATAAATAAATATATATATATATAGACAAACGGTCAGCAATAATTAAATCCCCCACACAAAGAATGAATTTATCCAGTTAAGTTTATCACATCAAACAGTGTTTTTCCTTTCTTTTTCCTTTTATAAGGCTTTATATACAAAACTTACCCCAAACATATCAAAAGTTTTTGTTATCCAAACCAGAAACATAGATACAAACAAACATTTAACTTATGTCAATAATTAATGAGGACACCCCAATCATTTTTTTATATTTTCTAAGCCTACATAAACATCTTTATATTTATGATTATATAATTCATTTGATGAAGCAGTTGCACTTGTTCATAATTGTTATCTACTCTTAACCTTGAGGAATATTTTTTTACGTTGCAACGTTGTTGACTAAGAATTGTTTGAAAAATTGAACAATCTTAAGCGTTATTTATATATTATTAATACCTATATTATCTGCCATATATACATATTCTCTTCAGTACATTTTAGAAACAACTGAAAAAAAAGTTGGTACTTATAAATGTGTGTTGAAAATCAATTTTAAAGTTTTTTCGTGTTGATTGACATAATGATAGACAGAATTTAAAATAATTAGGATTCCGCTTTGATGAGTAAAAATATGTTGAAATATTTTGTAATGCTCCACTGATGATTGTGATATTGTTTCTTGTTTACATTAAAAAGTAAATGACTTTAAAATATTATCCTAATTAAATGTTTCACAGCTTATAAAGAGACTAATTAAATTCTAGAAATCCTTGAATTTTGGTTGCCACGAAATGTATCTCTATGTATTCTCCAACAAAAGCCCTTAATGAGAATATAATAAGTGAATGATTTCTATAGAGTAATCGAAATTTAATACGTTTCTAGTTTGAATACGTCGAGTCCTTGATAAAGTTTCTAGTGAATATAAAAAAAGTCATAACATGCTTTCATCTAATACAATCTGATTGAATTTTGAATGAAAAAAGAAAAACTTTTTGGCTTTTCTTTTTCGAATAAGCTTCTATTTATGTAAAAATTGGAAGTGAAAATTCAAAATGTCTGGAACATATGTAAATAGGATTAATGATATATATAATCGTATATAATTATGTAATTGGAAGAAAAAATAGATATAAGTTTTGAAATCAATTTGATGCATTACTATAGAAAATGTACATAAATATTTGTATTGTAATGGCTGACAAGTGGAAAATTTCGAATGATAATCAATAGATATAAAGATAAAGCAATAATAAGGATCACCAAATACTTGCGACTAGTTCAACGGATAGTTTTTGTAAATGAAAAAATTTTATAACTGAGTTGAAATTTTAACAAAGTTTCATAAGATTTTCTCTTTAGTTCCAAATTTTATTATAAATTATTATTAAAGAGAAAAAAAAAGAATTAAAAAGATATAAATTTAAATATATATTCCTTGTCTTGATGCTCTTCCAAATAATGATTATAATAAGGAATAAGATTAAATTTAGAAAAATTATCTGAATTCATGTATTTAGTTTTAAAATCATAAAATTAACTTATCAAAAATGAAACTATTACAATTAAATAAAAAACATTATCCTTTGCTTTCAAGCATTTCATAAAATGTAAATTTTTTTGAGTCTAAAGACGATAAAGTCGCAAATCAATTGATATACAATTGAACTAAATTTATTGACAATCATTCAAATATCTAACACAAATTGTGTATAAGAATGGTGGTAAAATAAACCTACAGCCCTAAATTATTTTTATTAAAAGAATGAATGAATTTTCCACAAAGAACGATTATTTTGATATAAATTTACTCTTAAATTCCTCAATATCTGAAAATGCTAAAACATTAATGATTTTCAAAGATGAAAAAATCAATGAAACTCAAAATTATTATTTTAATAACGAAACCAATATCTAAATTTTGTAATTTAATAATGCTAAGTTGTGGTTAGTTTTGATAACCTCCTCAATTCCTATTTTGACATAGATATATGTGTACACTAAATATTTGAAAATGAAGAAAATTAGAACTGTCCAAGTAAGAAAATATCCAATAAAGTTCATGAAAGTTTATATTATTATTATTTTCTCAATTTCAGGAAGATGCTTTTCATGAAACATGCAGAATAAGTGGAGTGATTTCTATTTTATTTCAACTCAATAAGTAGATAATCGTTTGGAATGCATCACATATTAAATCATTTTATGCTTTGAATTTATGGGATAAACTTTGGCCGATAAAAGATTTATTTGTTTTGTAAATATTTTGATTAGATTTTCAGGATCATGTTTGGTGAACTTTGCAAGCTTTTATACAGATATCTTCCTAATTATTTTTAAACATTCATGACAGGTGAAGCTAAGTGTGAATGAACTTCTAGAATTTTAAACTACAATGGCAAAAATATGAATGGAAATTTAAAGGAATTTTAATGAGAAAACAAAAGATATTTCATGGTAGCGTAATAATGTTCTGCAGAGATCTTTCTTTTTAATAAACTACTATATTTAGCCCACGAAATGCATTAATGGTCTTTGGAAAATTATGCGACTGCGCATGAAATAAATGTTGTTAATTTTTCCACCAGCACATTGTAGCAAAACATTATGTATTTCAACGTTTTTCTGTTTTTCTATTTATTATACCGTTCCTCTCTATCTACGGTATTTAGGTACCTTTAAATTTAGAATTCTTCATACTTCCTTTTTATTTTTACAATTTCAGGCAGAAAGGTTGTAATAATAAACCATGCCACAAACATTCATTAAAATGAAATCAACACATTTATCACCGAGAATTTTTTCTTGTTCTTTGTTTTAAAAATAATATAATTGAATTTTAAGGAAGGAAAGATTTCAGTGAGTAGGTTTTAATAAAAAACGACATAAATGAGACATACAGAACAACATGCATGAGTTTGTCACATTGTAAGTTAGTGGTAAATTTAGACAAATTGCTTCATTCAAAAACTATGTTACAAATTTGAAAGGAGTTTTATTCTATTTAAATAAAAATTGTATAAAACAACTTCCCGATAGATAATCCAATAAACATAAATGTTTATTATTATCATTTGTTGCAAAACAATTGAAAAATGATAAGTTTTTCTGAATAAATTTGTTAAACATGTTTTCAATAAACAAGTGGTCTATTAAATTTCAACAGCCTGCAACGCTTTGTACGTTTGTTTATGAACCTCAATAGTATTATCCTTTAATAACTACAATATGTGCATATTTTGTACTACACATTCTATGAGATATTGAAAAATAAACAATCGAGCATATAAACGTTATCTACTCAAGTTGTCTAGGAAATGATCTATAATCCCTCTGTTCTTTATGACATACAAAGTAGAAAATTAATTTATATTAATAAGTTTTCATTTCATGTTTAAACGTAAAAATTTCTCTGTATGTGGATATGAAAATATTTCACGTACAAATTGTCAATTTATTTCATATATTATGGAAATAAAAATCTTCATTGTCAAATTTACCAAAATTCATCATACTGCACCAGATTCACGTAGGTTGATAAAACAAAAAATGTTCTTTGTTTACCTTTACATGGAATTAATTTTATTTTCCCTTTGATTTCATTTTAATTAACTTTTTTTCAGTGCTACCTAGCTACATAGATAGAAAGTAAATTATTATTCAATCATCGGAATTTCTTCATGTTTCATTTTTAGAGGTAACTTAGACAGCTCCTAATTGGCGAGAATTTTCGGTTTTTTTTTATCGTTTTGTGACTTTGAGTCACGTTTGTATTTATGTGAACTTTTATTCATTAATTTGATGTCAAATAAAAGTTGAAGTTCTCTTTACTTTAGATTCTTTCATGATGAAATACATGACAAAGTTTGTTCTATTAAAACCTACATACCTTAAATTTTACATTATTTGTGGGAAGTCTTTAACCATTATCATCAGAATTTTTACAACAGTAGGAAGTAATCTTTTCAATATTTAAGCTTTAAATTGAATAGAATTTAAATAACGAATTTAAGTATATAAACATTTCATATTGTTAAAAATGAAAAAGAATATGTGAGAACTTTGCATGTGCTTCATTTTTAGTAGAAAATGAGAAGAACAAATAAAGTTTCTAAAATATTGGAAAATTGTTAAAAAAAATTCAGATTTCTCCGAATTTAGAAATTGATTGTCACATTTGAACATTTTTTTCTCACATAAAATAATAAAATATTTTGATTGCAACAAAATTATTGTATGGCAACGTAACTTACGTCTTGCTACCGGGGAAACATGTTAAAAATTAACATTTCTGAAACATTCTATTATTCTTACTTTCAAATTTTATCATAAAAAAACATAACTGTATCAGTTGTTATACTTTAATGGTTTTATTTTTGGATTTTTAATGTTTAAACAACAAAAAAATAGAGAGAGAGAGAGAGAGAGAGAGAGAGAGAGAGAGAGATGGTACAAGGTTAAATAAATCAGTATTCGATGAGTAGGAAGATTTCAAATATCCTGCTGATAAAAAAGAAATTATGTTGTAATTTTATAAAAAAAAGCAGAATTTCTTACCTAAATCAAAGCTTCCATAAATTCTTTTATATGCTTTTGGGTTAAAATAACATAATTTTGTGATTAATAAATGAAGGTGACATTATTTAATTTTGGCTTTCTAGCAAAACACTTGCTGCAATTTGCAAGCTCCAACCAGTTTTCATCAGCGTTTCTTCACATGTTTTTTGAGAGCATAAACCGAGTCTGTAGAAAGAAGAAGAAAAAGAAGAAGAAATATATGAGATCAGCATAACAACGCAATACATCATATGTAAAATTAAGAAGCTTTTATGTATGTTGTTTATATTAATCCTAAACAATTCTTACTTAAATAAGCGTTCAATTTTGAAATGTCTGGTTGCCATATCCAAATCCCAATTACAAACTTCTAACGCTTGCTTTGCTTCTGTCTCTGTCATATTATCTCCCAGTGATTTATTCATTAGCACAGTAATTAGTCCCTGTTGATAGTGATCCTTCTCAAGTCGACGGTTTATTTGCTGCTGTGACAAAAGTGGTGAAGATGTTGGGGGATCGGGAGCTCTCCTCAAAGTACCTCCCACTTGGGAAATTCGATTTATTTCATCATATGTAGAAACCTCATCATATAAAGCAGCTTGCTGTTGCATGTTATTATACAAAGAACTAGAATCCTTCATTAAACAACCATTATAAGCTTCAATCGTGTCATAAATATTCTGTTCATATATTGAATCACCAGCAACAGAATTATAAATATTGGAATCGTAATGTCGATGTGTTGTTGTATCATATTTAGAGTTTGTATCAATATTGTCTCCAAAAAGTGAGAAACTATCGGAACCAGTCGCATTTGTTCCCACTTTCATTTGATCATTTGGTATTTGTTCAGGTTGCAATGTTCTCAGATTTTGATTGAATTGTTCAGATAAAAATCGTTTTTGTAGAATTTTTGATGTTGATGGCTGTCCATTGAGATTATCTTCTCCTTTTTCTGATAGTCCTAACGTCAAAAATTCTGAGCTCAATGATTTGTTAGCGAGATTCGAAATGTTTGTCAATGATGCATTTTGATTAACATAAATTGATTCAGGAATAATTTGAGCTGAAGAATTCGAGTACAAAGCTTCTAAGGAATCGAGATGTCTTGTATCAAAAGGATCGTCATTAATTGGTGAGTTTCCGCTGTGATGATTAATTGATGTGGATGGTTGAAAATTGGCTAATTCTGTTGGAACGTCGATTGGAGCATCTAGAAGACAAACAGCTGGCAAATTTGGGGCGAAAGTTTTATTCGATTTGTTAATCTGATTAATAGAATGTAATTCTTCAGGAGATAAATCGATTAGAAGACCTTCACTTGGTTGTAAACAAGGAGCTGGCGGTCTTGCTGGTCTTGCTTGATTTCTCGCCAATTGTTGATGAGATTGCTGGGTATGGGCACGATGTTCATTCACAAGCTTATTATAACTAAATTGTTTACTCGCTCTGGACTTTTTTTCTTTGACAAATTGTTCGGAAAGTGTTCTTTGTTGACGAAAGTTTTTCGGCGTTGTGTCTGCAGCTTTTTTTCTAATCTGAACTTTTCCATTATATAAAGAATCCAAATAACCAGGCGATTCCCGATTTTGATTCCACATTTGGTCTGGTCGGCTTATTGTATTAAGTGTTCCATTGCGATTGAAACGAAGAACTTCTAGAATATTGCGTGGAAAAGTTCCAATTTCAAAAGTTCTTTGATTTTGACCTTTAAGAAATGAAAGTTCAGGACGACCATCAATTATTGCAATTGTGTCATTTTGTTCAATCTTCAAACGTCCTTCAACAAAATACGTGCTTGTTGCTTTTACAAGTTGTGGAGCTTGGCAAATAAGAAACTCTCTGGAAGAAGAAGATGTAAAAAACAATTATTTATTTATTTCTTTCTTTAATTGAAAGCTTCAATTAAATGCTTACTTAATAGCAGCAAATGTTGGTCTCTCAGAAGGTGTTTTATCCCAGCATTGAAGCATCAATTGATAAACATCTGGTGGACAACTTTCAGGATGATGTAAACGTTCACCTTCTCGATCAATTTTTCTTAATATTTGTGATCCATTTAAGCCAATCCATGGATCTTCACCAAATGTATAACATTCCCATATCGTTACAGCAAACATCCATGAATCAGATGCATGAGAAAATTGACGATAACGTAATGATTCGGGAGCGCACCAAGGAAATGGAACTTTCTTATGTTCCGTCATTACATACACCTCGTCCTCTTGCGGAAGAGCTCTCATAAGACCAAAGTCAGCTATTTTTATTTTATTTCCTTTTGCGATAAGAACATTTCGACAAGCTAAATCTCGATGTAAAAATCTTTTACATTCTAAGTAAGCCATGCCTGTTGCGATTTGAACAGTGAAGTTCCATATTAGTGATAAAGAAGTGCACTTAGATTGCTTCCTCAAGAAATCTAAAAGAGAACCGTTTTCAGCCAGTTCTGTAACCATCATCATTGGTTGTGATAATACAACGCCATACAAACGAATAAGATTCGGATGGTCAAGTGTATGCATTGATTGAACTTCTTTGAAAAAATCTTCGAATACATGAGGAGACAGAGTGTCAGCCTTTAATACTTTAACAGCAACAGGTATGATTTCATTTGGTGCGTTCCACTCTCCTCTTTTAACAACTCCAAATGAGCCATCGCCCAGCTTTATTGATAACGTGATGTCCTTTTCATTTATTAAACATGTGAGTGCTTGTGATGACGTTCGATTCTTTGTAACATTGTTTGCAATTGATTCACTGGAATTTTTTTTTGTGTTTGTCTGATTATTAATTTGTTTCCCACCTCCTATGAGTTTCGATAAAATATTTTTACGCCATTGTTGAGCCTTCTTCTTTTTGACATGATCCATCAATTGTCGTATTCTAGGCTTTGATAGACCAATTTTAGCTAAATCCTCAGCATGAACATAATCGAAATGGGCAAGTCTTGTAATCTGAAGTTCGTCTATTATTGGAGAATAGAATTGCTCTAATTCACAATCTATCAGGAGATCAAAAAGCCATTGCGTCTCTACTGATTCTTTAGATGATGAGGCCATTTTTCACAATTTGTTCTTTGATTCTTTCTTTATCTCATCTAAGCAAACATTAATTTTTAAGAAATCAAAATATTTGAATTATGCGACAATAGAGCTCCCTACGTTTAATATTAAAAATGTTATCACTTGATTATTGGGTAGTTTGTGATGAGATTAATGTTAGAGATTCTTTTTTAAAAAATAGAACTAGTTAAAAGATAAATACTTTTTATTGAATAAAATTTAAAATTGAATGTTGAAAACAACAGACAATACTGTAAATGTTCTCACTATGTGAAAGAACATCTTGGATCACTACAGAAACTTTTTTAAAACATTTCACTGTGTTGAAGCGGAAAATGAACTTGAGAAAGAGTCAGAACATTCCTTTGCATTAGTTTTGTAAAAAAGTGTTAAACTTACATTTGTTTATTGAAGAATCTTCGATTTTTGCATAACACTTGGTCAGAGTTAGCATACTCTTCCATCTAGGTAGTTTGTTTCGTTGGAGCCAACGATACAAGTTTGTTTTTATCTAAATATCTTTATAAAGTTATTAATTTATTTAAATCAATGATATGGCTGTAAATATAGAGATTGTTTATTACCTAAAGAAATGTTCATTAATATTTACTTTCAATACAAATTTAATATCATTTTTTTTAAAGTTTTAAAGAAATTGTGCTTAATGACACTTTTTTTTTATAAATTTATTTTCAGGGGGAAAAGAAAGGAAAAGTTGGAACAAAAGGAGCCAAACAAATTATTGAGGAAAACCTTGGCACCCTCAAATTTTATCGAAACATGTCGCTAGGAGCTTGCATTGCTTTTTTTGTTATAACTTTCTTAATTAAGTCATTTACTGGAACAATCATAACAATGACTATTATTACATTTATTATTCAATTCGGTTCTTATTATTTTATGAGAATGATGAGTCGCCCACAATATACAGACACAGGGTCAATTCTGGATTCTGGAACTGACTTAAATCTTGAAGGCGGAGTAGCTGAGTAAGATAAATCTAAATTCTTGATGCATGATTATAAAATATTTATAATTCTCTACAGACATATAAAAGACATCATCATCCTTACATCTGGGACACAAATTTTATCACTACTTTCCAACTGGTTTTGGCTGCTACTTCTTTTCGGACCAATAAGAGCGGTGTACATGCTTTGGGGATCAGTGATTCAACCTTGGCTATCACAAAAGGGTGAAGAAGGACAAAATAGTGTAGCAAATGACAAAAAACAGAAAAAAATGGAGCGACGCATGAAGCGTGTTAGCGCGAGATAAACAAAATTGATATGAAATGCCTTAATAGACCAATCGTTCAAACACAATGTTTTTCTAATTGAAATAAAGAGAGAGAAAAAAGCAAATTAGGAAAAAATAAAGCTCGAACTTTCATTCCATTCGTGATTGACAGAACATTAATTTATTTTGTTTTTATTTTAATATTTCATAAATAATAGATCGCAATTTCTATTAACTGCACAATTCAAAACTTAATGTCTAATCTCTACCTTTTGAAAGTTAATGAATTAGATACTGCGTGCAAACTTGTACAAACAAACAAAAGTAACAACTGATTTTCTTTTACTTTTTCTGTACAAACTCTCACCAACTCAATTTATTTTCATATGTGTATATTTAACCTCGTATTTAACTTTTTTTTATTCATAATTATTGCCGGCTGAGAAATTTTTCCTACATCCCAGCAAATTTTCATCTCCGAAGCAAGCTCACTCAAATCTGAAGTCTGGTGAAGAACGTTTTATATTCACAACGCGGAGTGAATTTTTTTTTTATTTTCAGAAATATAGAAAATTTGAATTTAAAGTAAGAAAAGTGCATATTTAAGAACGTTCGTGATTTAAATAAGCCTAAGAAAATATTCTAGGCTTAAAATTAAATTGAAAAATCGTTCGAAGAGTGGAGGAATAAAAAATATGAAAAGCAAGCATAATAATGGGGGGAAAATATAAATAAATTTATTTGCAATACTAAGTGATACATGATACCAATGGATTAACAATAAGAAAAAAAAGAGAAAATAAATCAGCTCCTATGGCTTTAAGCATTGAAATTTTCTTCTGCATAATAAAAAGTTATAAATAAAATTACGGAAGACTCCCTCGAGATAAATAAAAGGAGAGATCATGTTGTAAACAGAAAACAAAAATCTAGATATTTGATTTTAAATATTGTATTTGAAAAAATTGATTAGGTCATACGCTGAAGGCTTACCTAAGCACCGGTATTTTTTTTCTCGAATATTTCGCTTCTTGAAAAATGTTCTGAAACATTACTAGGATTTTTGAGTTTTTAAAATGATGTGAATTTATTTTTAGACAGTTTCCGAAGAGCATTCAAAAGAAAGAAAAATGTATTGTAAAATTATTTCAGTATAAGAAATAATATTCAAATCACTACAAAAATGGTTTTTTTGAATGTTTTTGAATGTTTAAATGTTAAATCTGTTATCAGCAGCTCAGTGAAGATATCAAAAAAAAAATTGAAATTTCTTCTTTTCCCAGGAGTTTTCCTAGAGACTGAGCTATTTATGTTACAAAATTTATCCATAATTTTTTTCCAACATAAATTTAGTGTTCATTTTTCATGAGCCATTATTGAGAAAGATAATAAACTCTGAAAATGCGTAACAACCATTTATTCATAACCCATATAAGATTTTTATGCGGAAGAATTTTCGAAATCGCTTAAAGACTAAAAAATGATGTGAATATATTCGTTCAACATAAAATATGCATGAGGTACAATGACATTACATCGTGCACAGCATAAGTGAGAAGATGCGATTTATTTGTTGTCTCTGTCAAGGAACTTTTCGTTTTTGGTGGCCAGTTATGCATAATCTTATTTATTTTTAGTGTTTGTTGATACTTAGATGACAAAAAAAATAACTGAATCATACTCAGAGTAATCTTTTTTAAAAAAATATCTACTAATGTTTAAGTTTGAGGAAGATGAGAACCAACAAATTCACTGCATCAATCATTCAACTGTCGAGTTATCGGCAACTTTTGAAACATTACCTGAAAAATTTGATACAATAACAATCGATTGGTGAGTAAACAAAATGAAACATTATTATATGATGCTTCTATAATTATGGAAATTGGAAAAAAGGGCCTTGGTTACTTTGGAAATTGGATAATAAAATTGATTGATTAGTTCTACTTTCGTCATATTTTTAATTTAAAACTATCAACATGCATCAAAAAAACTTTTATAGATTTTTCCTTTCCAAATGGATTCATGAATCATGCATACCTTTTTAATGCTATGAAGCAATTTCAAATGTGTATCACAATTATGTATCAAGTAATATTATTAAATATTAATAAAAAGTACTGTGCCTGTGATAGAGAACAATGCCAAAGAAACTAATTTAGTTTTTTGAACCTATAAATAAATACATGTTTTTATTTGAGATCTTGGCAGGGCTTGAATGCATGATGTCTGATGTAAACTTTCATAGTTTTCTTCATTCGGATTTTATTGATGCTGGGAAAAGTAATCTTTGGTTCTATTTATATTTTATAGCATAAATTTGAATTCCTTCCTCTAAGAATGTAGCCATCGAAACAAGATATCTGATAAATGAAAGTCTTAATAATGTCGTAGATACACTCATGTCAATATATAAATAATACAATCATTTCCGAAGTTAAATGAAAATCGTACACAAAATCTTTAAATATCTTACTGTTGATGTTTTATTATTTTTGAAAATTTACGATGTAGTCGAAATATTTTCTAAGCTAAAGGCCTAAATTTTCTCGGTCAGTGTTATGATGACGTCGATTTTTTTCTCTCCGATCTCTTTATAAAAGTATTGCAGCGTATATATTATTTCATCTAATTTTAAAGATTACGGTTTTCAGAACGCTTTTTTTAAAGAGATTTTTGATGATCGTTTATTTGTATCTGTAAGCTTTCACAAAAAAAATATCCCGAAAATTGAGAGAAGACAGCAATTTCATAGTAGAATACAGAAATATTGAGAAGATTATTAGTTTCACTTCAACCGCGATCGAAAATAATATCTTGTTCAACTTGCTTAGTCAGGAAGGCTTTAATTTTTTATTTTTCCTTTCAAATTGAAGTCACATTTTGCGTTTAAAAACCGTTTTTATATAAAGAAAAGTTCTTATTACTTCGCCTAATTGAAAAAGTTTTATTGATAATCAATTAAAATTACAACAAACTTTTTAAAGTCTTCAACTACTTCAACTACAAAGAAAAGTGAACATAAAATAATTGTTGTATTTAGTCGACAAGTTTCTTAAATTACATAAAACTAAATAAATTCTATAAAAATAAGTTTCGAGTTTTCGTGGGTGGCTTTAAAATTATAACCATGTAGATACACACACAATTTGTGTGTGTTGATCAATTTTCAACGTTCCCAGTTGAGAAAAATCTAAAGGAAAGTGAAGAAAAAAATTCTCTTACGAAAATATCTACATAGAGTATCCATCGTCTTTTATGACTTATTTTTCAAACTTTGTTGAATTTATTATTAAATTATTTCAAGAAGCAAATCAAGAAAACAAAATTTGTGAAAATTAAGAAATTCTTTCAATTGATTTTCTTTGAAACAAAAAAAAATTGAAAAAAGAAAATATCTACGATGACTTTTAAGATAAAAGTTTAATAAAAAATTTAAGACAAAGGAAATAGAATTGTTCTTATTAGAATCTTTTTGTCCCGAAAAAGAAAATGGGGAGCAATTGTTGCAAATCTTCAAATCCAAATGATAAAATTTACAGCACAGTATCATCAAACTCTTCAGTTTATGTGAAAAGGTTAGGCTTTTAAAAATAAAATCAATCTTTCATAATTAATTAGCTATACACATATATCTGAGTTTCTTAAAAATTAACTCAATAGCAGAAATATCTACATTGAAACAACATTTATAAACACGGAAAGAGAAAATTCATTTTTATTTCGAAATGCCTTCAAACATAAATTTTCTTTTCTTTTAATCTCCAATGGAATTTCTTTTCTATTAAAGGGCTCGTGACGGGCAGTCAATTACAAATTCTGAAAAATTTAAAATTACTAAAACTAAGAATGCTATTCAATTGGCAATTCAGCACGTTCAGCGTGAAGATGCAGGGCATTACACATTATTCGCAAAATCTGACACTGGAGAAACTGCGAAGAAGGAAATCGAATTGTTGGTTGAAGATCGATCTTTTGGAGATAATCCACCAACTTTCATAAGACGATTAAATGACCTTGCAGTAAAAGTAGGAACAAGAACACGTCTGTTAGTAGAAATTAGAAGCACGACAGACGTTAGAGTCACATGGTACAGAAACGATCGTCGAATTTGTGAAAATGACAGAATCAATTTCGTTAATGAAGGATCATTTTTCTGTCTTGAAATCTCATCAATTACTCTTGATGATGGTGGAAGATGGATGTGTATGGCTGAAAATCAAAGTGGACGTAATTCTTGTTTGGCAACTTTAAATGTTTTAGGTAACGTTGAAATTAAAAATATTATTTTTTTGTCATGAATGTAAAAGCATAATATATTTACTTAAGTTTGCAAAAAATAGAATTACAAATAATGAAATAGGTACCTTGAAACATAGACTAACAAACATTTCAATAATTTATCTCATATTTTCTTCAATATTATTTTTAGTACCGAAAGCATACAAAATCCCAGAGTTTGTAGAAGAACTTCGCGCTATTTTAACAGAACAAGGAACAGTTTCTTTAGAATGCAAAGTTATCGGCGTGCCAACCCCTCTTTTAAGATGGTTTAAAGATTCAAAAGAAATTAAGGCCGGTGATGTTTTTGCATTAACTGCTAATATAGACGACCCGACTTCTCTTGGAACATATACATGTGAAGCAGTGAACTGCATGGGACGAACATATTCTAGTTCAAAGCTTCATATATCAGGTAAAACTAGCCGTGAGAGTTCAATGCAACCTGGAAAACCACTCGGCCCACCTCCTGTTTTCACAAATGAACTAAAGAATGTCCAAGCAAAAATTGGAGATATGCTTTCAATAGGATGTCAAATAATGATCCCACCATGGCCAAAAGCTATTCTATGGTACAACAAAGATGGAAAAGTTGAGCTTAATGATAAATATAAAATTATTGAAGATGGTTTAGGATCATACACGCTTGAAATCAAAAATGCTGAGTTTTGTGATGAAGGTGAATGGAAATGTGCAGTGACAAGCAATGAAGGAATTATTTCGATGTCGACCTGCATGGTGAATATGGAAATACCAAAGAATTATAGAAAGCCTCGATTTATGGAGAATTTAAAAGCCATTTTAACTGATGAGGGCTTAGTGTCATTCGAATGTAAAGTTGTCGGATTTCCAACACCACTTTTAAGATGGTTTAAAGACGGACATGAGTTAAAACCTGGCGATGTTTACCAACTCACTGGATCAAATTCTTTAGGATCGTACAGTTGTATAGCAAAAAATTGTATGGGTGAAGCAAGCAGTTCGGCAGTTTTAACATTAGAAGATATTCAGAGTCAGCTTAATGAAAATGAAAAGATTGAATTATTACAAAAGAATCAACCACCGAAATTTATTAAAGGACTTTCAAGCACAGAAACCAAAATAAATGAACCATATAAATTTACAATACAAGTGAAGACGCCAAATAATGCCGTGTTTTCATGGTGTCGTGATGATTATCCCATCAACTCTTCCTCTGATCATTATGAAGTTGTAACTGAATCAAAAAATGGAATTTGCAATCTACTCATAAAATGTGTGGAATTTTCGGATCAAGGTGAATGGAAATGTGTAGCAACAAATGAATATGGTCATTCAACATCAACATGTTTTTTGAAGCTACAAATTCCGAGGCATTTTAAGAAACCCAGATTTTTGGAATGTTTAAGGGCTGTTCTCACTGAAGAAGGTAAGAATGTTTGTGTTTTGTTTTGACTATAATTTATTACAACATTTTTCCACATTTCCTATTCATGTTTGTTCTCGTTTTTATTTTTCTCTTTCACAATCAGGTGCCGTGAATTTGGAATGTAAAGTTATTGGAGTTCCACAGCCAGTTCTTAAATGGTTTAAGGATGGAGTCGAGTTGAAGCCTGGTGACATTCATAGAATCATATCAGGTCAAGATGGTGCTTGTAGTCTTGGAACGTACACATGTGAAGCAAAAAATTGTATGGGAATTGTTACATCATCGGCAACTTTACTAGGATACGATGAAGGGTATAAAAATGTACCGAAAAATGAACCATTAAATGTTTTGCAAAGAAATTTATCATTATCAACAATTCATGAAGAGAGAACTTCACAACTTTATGACACACCAATGGGTGACATTACTGTCGATGAGAAAGCTGATGTTTCATTTTCTTTTGATGGAAAAGAAGTTTCAGTTTCTCTTTACGAAACACCTGATTTAACTGAAGAGGAAGCTTTACAAATCATTGAAATGTATGCTGATCAAATATCCGAACATGTAACTGAACAAAATGTTGTTGAACTTCCACCATTGAGATTTGTTAAGGAAACAACAACATCAGGAAATATGTTAATGGAAGCAGTTGTAATTGACGTGTCACCTGATTATTTCCCTCCAGATGACGATATGCGTACCGAAGCAGATTTAGAAGAAATTTCAGTAATTGATCCCGTGTCGCAAATATTTGACGAGTCGCAATCAATTCCATCAGCATCTAAAAGAAAACAAAAAGATGAATCACTCAAGAGTGGTGAGGTTGAAGAATTCTTCAGTCTATCACAGTCTAAACAAACTAAACCGTTATCGATCTTGGATAATTATGTAGTGGCTGAAGCTGAAAGTGAAGGTGATGTAACAGAAACAGATTTGCAGACATTTGAGAGTGCAAAAAGCTTTGAGAAAGTTGAGATGGAGGTGCAGAAAAATTTGGTTAAAACAGATGATTCTCTTAAGCAAGATGAATATCCTAAATCACCAAAAAGAAAAAAATCAAGCCCAGAAAGTAGTTTAAAAACTAAAGATGATGAATCTATTTATCTTCAAGATTTATCAGGTGAACAAGGAGATGGCTTGAAAGTTCCACCTAAAAAGAAAAAAGATTCAAAAATGATTGCTAATAATAAAATAATAATTGAAACTATTCTACGAGATGTTACTTCGACAAAAGCACATTTGAAAGCAGTACAAAATGAAGTTGTAGCTCAATCGAATCTGATGATGATACCTGCATCTGTAGAAAGCAGCATTGAAATTATAAGAAATGTTTATGATCCATTAATGGAAATCGAGAAGAAATCCAAGAACTACAATGGAGAAGCTAATATTGAAACACTTTATAAAGAATTATTGTTTGACATGAGAAATCTTAATAACGCTTTAAATGTTATAGAAAAATGTGTTGAAATGGATGCGCAAGGTAGAACACTCGTTCAACGAACAAGCGTTTGTGTTATTGAAAGTGCAGGAACTCAAATTTTAACTTTGTTTGAAGACATGAAGCAAATTTATCTCAAGAATGTCGAAGGAAAACTTCAAGATGAGGCTTTGTTGATAATTAATGAGATGAAGACTGGAATAAATATAACAGAAGACACGATAAAATCTCAAATATTGATGCAAGAAGCTTCAGCTATCGAAGCATCTAAGAGAGTTGAAGCTTCAATTGCTCAGATTCAACTTCCTGACTCTGTTCCTTTGGAAACAATGTTCTTCTCAGAACTTCCTAAAGAAGCTCAATCGTTTAAAATGTTATGCAAGCTTGTCATTCAATTTCAAAATATCGTCGAACAAAGTTATAACTCGGGAGAGATAAATGAAGTTGTTCTCAGTGATATTAAAACAGTCATCAATGAAATGCATAACATAATGGGGAATGTTGAAAATAAAATAAAAGTTGTTAATACCAAAGATTCACTTGAAAATAAAATCGCTATTAAATTATTTGATACAGTATCACCGCCACTTTATGAGATTAACAACTCTCTCCATAAAATTAGACAAGAAGTTTCAAGTGGCTACAATAACACATTTGTACTTGATAAAATAATTTTGCCACTTCAAGAAATTCAAAATGGTTTAGCATCAATGGGCAATGAAATTGATACTGATTATAATAGACAGGAATCACCAGTTGAAACAGAAGACAATCAAAAGCTTATACAAAATATGAAACAAAATATTATTTACCTTGGAAGCAATATTGAAAATATTAAATCAGCAGCAGACTCATCAGCTTACAACTGTTTTATGGACGTCAAAGAAACTATTTCTAAAATCATAAATAAAGTTACTGAAGGTTCTATTCCAAAGGGATCAATTCAAATTATTACGATTTTCAAAACCCCTATTGAGGAATTGAATTATTGCTTCCGTCACATGGAAGAAAAATCCACAACAGGAAGTTTAAAAGATTTATTAGAACCTTTAAGCATTTTGAGAGAGAAGGTTGAGGAAATACCAAGCTTCTCAAATTTGACAGATTCTTCATGTATTAATGATGAATTGTTAGAACTTATGACACAAATTGGAAGATGTGAATCTGCAATAGCAACTTATAATTCTGGTCAACGTGAAAAGGAAAAAAATCTTGCAAAACAAGAAGCAACATTAATGTTAGGAAATATTCAAGGAAATATAATGGACATTGAAGAATTCATTTCAATTCAAAGTGACTCTTTCAAGAAAGAGTTCTCTTCGTTGGTTACAATGACAGAACCATTAAAGGAGATTTCAAAACAAATTGCTCAAGTGAGGGAAGAATTTCTTCTTGAACATATTTCTGAAGAATCTCTTAATAACTCGGAAAAGCTTCTAAAGCTTTGCAATCCAATCAAAGAGTTACATCATGATTTGAACATTTCTATGAAGGCTGATCAATTACTTCTTGATTCCATTGACGAGTTTTCTAAAAACGAAGCGAAATCGAGGTTTGCCAATATTTTGATAGAATTCAAAAATCAAATTGCAAAAATTCAACATGAAGTTTTCGCTGTTGATGAAATAAGTGATGTTATTGCTTATGAGAAATTTGATGTTTTGTATGCCAAATCGTTAAAACATCTCCAAGAAACAATTGAAGAAACATTGCATCAAATCATAGAACCTAAAGAAAGAACAGTCGAGACTGATGAAAAGTCTAATCTTATAGAAATTGAAAATGTGCATAAATTGAGTAGAGTATTAAATGTTCCAGACACTCCAGAAGTGATCACAGAATTTCTTAATGAAGAGAAAGCAACACAAAATAAATATTTCGAAAGTGAAAAGATATCAGAAGAAATGGTTGAAGAAAAACATATTGAGAATGTCAACGAAACAAACGGAGAAAAGAATGACCAAGTAACGGAGACTTCATCAAACGAAACTGATACTCCCAAGAAAAAAATCAAGACCGAAATAAGTGTTATTTTACTATCGATGAAAAATATTACGAAAATGCCACAGGAAGTTCAAGCAACAGAAAAAATTCTCTCAAATATTCTTGAAAATATATCCGATTTGGATTCAGATGAAAAACAATTGCAAGATGTTGTGACATCAGTTGCAAAAGCAGAAGCTTCACTGATGGCTAGAAGAACAAGCGAAATGATTCTTATCAAAAATAATTTTAGTTCTCTCAAGGAATCATTGGTTATCCTTCAATCGAATGCCAAAGCTCAAACACCTGTTGAACAACAAGTCGAGCAATCACAAGTTGCGACGATAGACGAAGTCAAAACTGATGATGTTTCGAAAATTGTAGCAGTGACTGATGAGAAAGAACAGAAGGCTTCAGATGCAGAAGAAGTTCAAGAAGTAATCATATCCAAGGACGAAGAGATTGTTGAAGTCACTGTTGAGAAGGAACAGAAAGCTCCAGATTCCGATAAAGTTTCAAAGCAAGAAGAAATTCAAGAACCAGCTGTTCCCAAGGATGATAAGCCTTCAGAAGAACAATCGCAGCCATCGACAATTTC